TGAAATTGAACTGCCATGAAACTCAGTATCAAGATGTGATCGATCGAAAACGTGCCAAACGCACCCCGTGGTTGAAGCCTGCATGGTATGCTTTCGGGAACGTGATGACAAACTCGCCTGCCCGTTGGTTGCACGCATACACGCGGACTCCGGCATCAGCGAGACGTTTCGGATTCATCAACGTTACGAGTTGAAATAGGAGATCGGACTGCGCCTCAAATAAGTCAGGCGCCTCACTCTTGATGGCCGCCTCGAACTTTTCTGCGTCTTCTCCTGGGATACCATACCAGGTCTTTGTTTCACCCCAATGCACTAGGGGGAGCGATCAGAAAAAGTAACCTGTTGCAATGGGACACTACGTACTGAAGTTGATGCTATAAGTATAATGATCCTGTCGTAGCGTAGTTGGATCAGCGATCAGTACTTATAACTGAAACGTATCAAGATGGACGCACCTCGTTGTGCCAACAAAATGTCGAAAAGACCATGCCAACGTATGTCCAAGGGACGGTCATACCAGAAATATCAGACTTGATGTATCTGAGAAGGGAATCTGGAAGAATAGGCATATTGTTTAGATTCCACGGGTCCTTCGAGGCCGGCTCCAGTGGATGGGTCTCCAGAGTGGGCATGGCACTGGACGAGGTAAAAAAAATTGTCAACATTCATTTGAACGGTGAAAAAATCCAAAAATCCTCCCACCTGCCATGCGTAGTCGAATGTACATCAGCACCATATTCAATTTCCACGGTTTCATTCGGTGATTGCACAAGGCGCCAAAATTCATTTTCCACATCATACTCAGATATCAGCGTGCTTCCAACGTAATTCACCGTAGGGTCATCGAGATCCGCGGCCGATGGGGACGGTGGAGGATGAGAGGTCCACCACCTTCTGCGGAACTCAAGATCGCGCGCCTGGAAACTCGAGAGACAGTGTTCCTCGCCCTCATCAAAGCCGAAATCGCCACCGGTGCCAAAAAGACAGATGTGGCAAAACCACTGCCCTTTCGGAATGGTAGCCAAAGGGGGGTCGAGACAAAAGATGTGAAATCCTGTGGCAACAAAATCAAACGCGCGCATATTTTGAGTATCAAGTAAACATACCACAATCACACCCATCACATAACAACATTTTTTCGTCCTGATTCTTCTTCTGGCAGATTTCGCAGGAAAGCTGAACAAGAGTGAGTTCATCGAAAGGGAAGGGTGCAATGATACGTACTTCTAAGGTGCGCTTGTACTCATCGTCGGGCTGAGGTGAAGCTGACGCTGGAGATAACCGATTGAGAACATCCAGAGACTTCCTCGTAGCTGGGGGGCGTTCATGGTTAGATATTGACTAACCGAGTGCATTGACTAGCTTACGAGTCATTTCCTGAGATGATACTCTTGCTCCGCGTTTCACAGCGGTGCTCTCGGGTCGAGGCCCGCTACGTTCCTTATAATCACCGTCATCAGGGGGTTCTGATAATGGGCTAGATGTAGAAGTAAGCGGGCTGGATGGTGGGGAACCACGCTCGCGAGGAAATGTCAAAGGATGTGTGGCAGTCTGGATGTTCATATGAGTCTTCAGCTGCGGATCGCGCGCTGCAGCCGGAGATGTGGACAGGGTTGGTGAATTCCGAACGCAGTCGCAGAAATGCTCATAAGGCAAGATAACTCTTGTATAAGAGTTCTTAATCTGCGTAGATAGTCCAGGGATGCCACGGTAACCGAGGAGCGCCCCGAGGTCCCCCCATTTCTTGTTTTTAGTCACCTATGAGACTATTCAGGCACTAGCTACGCTATAATGGAGGATCACGCACTGCCTCGTAGCCACCGAGTTTCTGGACCTCTTTGCGGAGTAACCACAGGTCTAGGGGCTTGTGGTTGATGGTGGGCACAGATACACGAGGATTGCCTTGTTGTTTATGAAAACGGTAAAGCTGCTCCAAAAAATTGACCTTTGCACGAGATGAGGCCTCGATAGAGTTAAGGCGTTGTAGCCGAGTCTTGAAACGAAATGTCTGATACATAATTTATTAGAGCCATCGTCGTAAAGAATATCACTATGTCACGGAGAAAAAATATACAAACCTCGCTATCAGTAACACAGGGCATCTTCCAACCAACGGGAGGGATGATCTTGCAAATGCCATAATTTTTCGCCTTTTCTGAGATGGAGCGGATGTAAGCCATAGGGTCTTTGAACTCATCTGACGTCGGGTAAAAAACTGGGCAGTCTTCTAATCCAAATGGACGGGGTTTGGAGCGCATGGGCTGCGTTCGGGGACCCGACGTTTTGACTGTAGATAAGTCTAACGTGGGTGAGACGGAGATTGGAGTGCCATCTCCAGAAAAATTATCGGTAGATTCCTGCTGTGTCACATCATCATTATCCAGTGATGTCACGTGGTTCTGCAGGGCAGCCAGAGCATGTGTCTTGGATTTACGTGGTGCGCGTTTGGTGCTACTGGATGCGCTTTGCTGTGATACTCTGGGCTGTGAAGGAGAAAGAATTTCCTCCTGTGTGTCTATAGGGACTGCACCTTCTACAGGAATTGACAGACAAGAAGTGAATGTAGCAGGCTGTTTATTCGAAAATTCGGTCGGCAAGGCGTCTGAGGAGCGTGGGGCGCTGCTTTGTACAGGCGTTCGCGGAGAGCGACCGCGACGTGAAGGCGATCCCCGCGAAGAATTCGGAGGAGAAATAGTCTGCATAAAGCAGCAGATGAGAAATAATAATTGCTATCGTCGAGGAGGAGGAGGAGTTATTGTGAGTGAAAGCTGCAGACTTCCGAAGGTCCTGAATTCCAATGTGTGGGAGCGGGCATTGAAATTGTGCACTGAGTTATCGTGTTACCTTGTTGCTTCGGCGTGGGAATATGACAACATATTCGCGGAGTTTGGTGGAAAGCCTCCTTTGCGGAAATACTTTTAGCTGTTCCTCTTATTTCAATTCCACATTCCTTGCACACTACACTCCCCAGTGAACAACCCAGGATTCCTACATGCATCATAACCTAACATATTATGCATGAAGCTTGTCTATTTTGCACACAGGCGCCAAAGATACGCTTAGATCATTCACTGTTGATCCAGATGAACTTGCCACCGATACGGAAGTCTTCCGAAGACTACCAAATCCAGCAACATGGCCACCTGTGGCCAGATGGAGCTGAGGGGGCGAAAGATCGAGAGCGGTGCGCTTGACCAAAGGAACACTTGATTAAATCCATGCATTGATGTTTAATATGCCTCCTGCGATGCGGCCGTATTCAAAATCCAGCGAGCCAGACATCAAGCAGTAGAACGATATATTACCACACCAATCTCGAGGAGATCGGATCTGCCTCCAACAATATTACTTATGCGAGGCATCCGTTACACGCTGTTATGTACATAGCTTCTCCATGAAGCTTCAGGCTAGTCATATTATGTGCTCCAGCACATGCGCCGCCCATGTGCCATCATTTCTGTCACGATTTATATCGAGATTCATCTGTATGTCAAGTCTTGCCTGTACCACGTTCGAACTTACATGCTCCAGCTGGCAGCCATAGCACCTTTTCTCTGGTGCCTTTCACTGTTAGTCGGCTTTCGGCACAGAGAGCAAATAAAAAAGCACTTACACGCCTGCACCGCGGCCTGTGTGGCAGTTGAGTGCCGAGGCAGCAGCTGTGGACCAAAGCGGTATCCTTTGTTTCTGAGTATTATTTTTAGTACCTAAAGAAGGACAAAGAAACTTTGAATAATCGTGATTGTTTTAGGATATTCGAGAAATATATGGTATCATCCCAAACTTGGACGGTTCATGCGAATTCTTGAATCCAGAACATATTTAGGAGATAGACAAGCATCGTTCCCGCTGAGCAGTCTTCAAATTTCCACGGCCCGTCCCTTCAGCTGATCAAGACGATGGAGTTACCAATATTTTTTCTATCAAGTTCTCTATTTCCTGATTGTGCTTCAACTATAGTGGCGAGCGATACCACATTTCCTTTGGACGTGGCTCGTGTATTCTTCACTGCAGAGGGATGAACATTTTTCTTTTATCATTCTCAACGGTCACAATTCTCTTCCATCCTTCAGAACGCTGAAGTACTGTCTAATGTGACCGTATCTCTGACATGTATCTCAACAACCCGATACCCATATGATTCTCAAGATAGTCGTGATATTAATAGCTTACCACACTAGTGCGGACCTCTTCTAGTTGCGAGAATCAAACTACGTCCAATGATTATTAAGACTCCCGAATAGACTGTCCACGAGATTGCCCGCGCCGTGTACAGGCTCGCAGCATATTTATCTGAGGCAAGCTTCCTCGAGAGCGAAGCTGATAAATAGCCAATTAGGTATTATTCGGGCGCGTTGGAGCAACGTAATATCGTGGGCCCGCTGACGGTAGTATTTTCGATAGTACCCCACTCTCGCTGGCAAGGTTATATTCTACTGCGTGGCCGTCTGCCTGGGTCTCCTTAACACCTCCGAACACACGCTTCTGCATATCAGCTGCCCCTTCCGCAATCCCGCGCGTTTATTATGCACATAAAGAGATTTCCCCCTAAACCTTTAAAAGTCGGTGGTGAACGGAACGGCTGATTTATGAAGCTCATTGTTCTTCGACACAAATACAACGATGTCGAGGTATGTAATGGCATCGGGTAGACACGTGCGACTATATGGATTAGTTGGGACCTGGAGATTGTGCGAAATTAAATACCAGTTGGCAGCCTTGGCTACATAAGGCTATACATCCTGGATAGTGCCTGCCTTACGACGCTGAAGCTTGCAAGTCTCACGTCGACTGAAATGGCACGTATTCAAATGAACATTTTCCACAATAAGACTCCGATAGCCATCAAACTTTGATACCGAATGGGAGATCGGTGATGTTGAGCGGCTATTGATTGTGGGCCAGAGCCAACTGGCACTGTAATGTCCTGACCTGCGAGCCCGAGCCTGTCTGAATACATGATTCTCTCTCTGATTCAATCAACCTAACGCATAACATCATTGGACACGTAGCACCTGTACGCCGGGATTTATATATTCCACATCATATAAATAGTACACCAAATCACAAATTGGAAATTGACTGAGCTGTATCAGGCTGTATTAGGCTGTGTCCGGGTTTCACTTCTTGCTTTGCAAATGGAAGCCCGGAGCCACACCAGCAATCGTGTCGAAACATGGAAATCCCTCGCCGCGTATATGAGCCACAGCGTAAACAGCGCCACAAGGCCGCATGCGCTCCCACTGGTCGCGAGCGTCAAGGTGGGCGTAGACGTGAAGACCTGGTAAGAAAACGCAAGCATGAAATACAACATGCTGCAGAAGAACAGGACTTCCGTGAGCCAAGCAGGATACACAATAGCAGAGCACTCACCCCCACAGCAGCATAGCATACGGAAGACTATGCACGGTTGCTACAGCTTTGGTGCCGAATGCGGATCCTGTCATCTTCTTGAGGAATTGGACCTGTAACATTTTGTTGTAGTAATATGCGACAATCGATGGGCCATTCTTTGCTCACCGCTGTGTCGGCAGATTCCTGCCCATACATCCGATTCTGTCTAGTGAGAAACAAGGACACGACCAACGATCCAACGATGCAAAAAATGGAAAGATACGTGCTAATAGTTGTGACCGAACCTGAATCCTGGGAACTGACGGAAGGTACGGCCAGAAAGCTGACGTCCACAGCTACCATCACAGTTGCCTGGCATGATGAAGCATGAGGAGCCGAACAACGAGAATCGTGGCACGCACATATATTGTGATGCTTGACCATTCACTGCTCAGCTTACTGTTAAAGTTCTTCCAGCGCGGAGAGTTGATACTGCGGTCGACCCATACTCGTCGAAGTTCTTCCATGTGTGACTGCGGGGCACCGAACATTGCAACGTTGAAGGCCCATGAAAGAACTAAGATTAGTTTGTTCCTCTTCTTCTTTTTGTAAACGATCTGGTCCGCATCCAGACGGGCAGAAGGGAGCCCACAGAAGTTGAAGAATTTAGCTCGGGCTGGTAGGAAGCTTAGAGGGGATGTATTGTGGAATGCGCGACTTACTGAAATACCGCATAAACCTGGCTGCTAGACAGTCACCTCCTGGAGCACTATGGAAATGATGATACTTACCAATGACACAGATAGAATAAGCGCCACCGACATTCTCTAGTTTGGAGAATCAGCAATGCCACTAAAGAAACCTTTCGCTTGCCTCCAAGTTGGTCGATCAAATCCAGAATTTTCGATAATTCATCACCGTCAAAGGGCGAGAGCGACACGTCTGTCGTAATGGTCTCTGCACACTCCTTTCAGCGACTCGTGCATGGAGTCAAGAGGAATTCTCACCAGCGCTAGCATGTACAACAACTTCTTTGAGTTCCTTGAGCAACTGAGTGCATAGCAGATTTTTATTGGGATACATCTCGCAGTGTTGCCTAGGAAGGACCTGATTAATCCCGCATTAATCTTGCATTTTCTATTCCGTCACTTCGTGAGAGGATTTCACGAATAGAAACAGAACACACACAATGACAGACTTGCCAGTACTGATGTTCAACAGCATACTCTGGAAACACGAACCATCAGAACACGACGATTATCCACTGTAGAGGGCGCACTGATATGGCTCAGCTTTTCGACGCCCTGAACTCCACAATAAAGTTTTACTGTAGGTAGCTTATGGAGCCAGAAAAGCAGATGCTTGTCGTGGTCGACAAAATAGTATCTGCAGATTTCAACTCCAGTCTTCTGGTTCCGTGCCAACTGCATCACAAGCTCGATCTTGTCGCAATCCAACTGCAACCCAGAGGGCATGAGAGCGAATACTTGACCTACATACGAGTCCATTTTGCACCGGGGAATACTGTGGTGCAAGTTCGAGTCCGTATAAATACCCTGTTACTAGCAGTAAGAGTCCGATTCTCCTTCATATTTCGGAGATGAATGACATACGCGCGTGGGGTCATGGAAATAGAGCGCTCCTTCTGGGTGTATACAGGCACGCCAGTTTCCACCGTCTTGCTGATGTGCACTGCGTCTCATTTGTATTTATTTCGACCAAAAAGAAGGTAACACTCACTCTAAAAATTCTCTCGTTAGAGGATCAATAAACTCGTATTTGTTAACGTCGGGGTTTCTGCGATTGAATCAGTACTGGATTGCAGTCGGAACACAAGAACTTACATCGACGGAGGTTTATCGTACCGCATCACATCGGAGGGCACGAATGGCACGAACTCAGGGGAGATCTGGCTCTGGGAGTTGACTGGAGCTGTAGTAGGCGACTGCTGTACAGGATTGGAGGGTGACGGCGGGGCGTGGACCGAGCCGGATGAACAGGAAGCAGGCCCTAGCAATGATGGGACCTGCGGCTGATGTTTGCTCGGAGGAAGAGGCATCGTAGGCTGGCTTGAGCCAGCAACTCGGTCTGGGTGTCCGTCTGTGTGAATGCACTGGAACCTGCGCCTGGATGCGATGCTACATGAATCGTAGTATAACCGCAGAAGGGTACGACACAGATGGTGTACAAGTCGCAGCGGGAAGGTGAGATGTCTGAACAACACCTTCAGAAACACTCGCAAACGGTGTATGAGCCTCCGAACGGAGTCGCCGTCATGGTTGCGCGACATGGTGTTGTTAGCAGACAAGTTCAAGACACGAGGCACACAAAATAAACCACCCGAGGCATCTGGTAATAACTCTATTTAAACTTAATCACAACCTTCTAGTTGTTCGTTTGCTTCATGAAATGGCCATTTCGTGATTCGACTGCAGGCCTCATGGCAAGGTCGGGTATAATAAACTAGGCACTGGAACTGCCCTACTGATAAAATGATACATCACCATGCCCGGATTAACTGAAATTTAGGCTATAGCATAGCCTACTTATGTGCTACTGCTACTACTTACTAGTATTTACCAGTACTGATCAGAAGTTGACTGAGCCGAGTCGACCGTATCCGACAATTTGCTCTGCAAGCCCCGAACCGAGAACCGCGACAGCATGTTAACCATGCCAAAGCATGGAAGTCCCTTGGTGCGAATAGTATGAACCAGCGCCACAACGCCTCATCCGCTCAGGCACTCCCAGCGGTTGCAAGTGTGACAGTAGACGTGGATGCGAAGACCTGGAAAAAGAATGCAAGTATGGAATACACCATGCTGCAGGAGAACCGGATTTCAATGAGGTAAGAAGGACCCTCAATGTACAGTCACCCTCATTGCACACAGAAGGGCATGGTCAGTCGAGGACGTCTCTGAAATGGCTGGTCTGGGTACAAGTCTGCGCAGATCCCCGGCCTGTGTCTGGGTGCGTGCCGCATGTTCTGCGGAGTTATCTGCAAAACTTTAGTTTTGGATCACCGATGCCATGATCCGATGCACTGTTCAGATCCCTGCTCATCAAGCGAATTCTGTCTGTTCAAATAAAACAAGGACACCACCCAATGCGAAATATAGAAATATATCACCGGGACTGGATGTGATTCCTATCATATTGACGATGGAGTTTGGGTGACGGGATTGAGCCAAGGTCGAAGCCGAACAGCGTGGATCATGACATGCATCACGATCTTCCAACAGCCAGAGCCGATGTCACAGTCAACCCATCGTCGTCGGAGCTCGCTCATGGTCCCAAACAATGTGGCGTTGAACGCCCATAAGAGAGCCGATTAGCTTATGCCTGTGCTCCTTGACGTAAACGGACTGATCGAGATGTAGAGAGGGAATCTGTAAATGTCGAAGGAGTAAGCTTGGAGACGTCGCATCGCGGAATCTGGAGGGAAACGAGACAGAATAAGGCTACTTACAGATGAAAAAAAAATAGAATGGGCGCCGCCTCTGTTCTCCGTATTGTCTAGTTTCGATAATCACTGATGCTTCTGCTTGCCTTCAACTGCGCGAACCAAGTCGAGAATTTTCAAATGTTCATCATTAAAATGCGAGAGCGACACGTCCGTGGTAATAGCCTGTGCATGATCCTTTCAGCGGTCTATGAATGCACTCAGAACGAATTCTCACCAGCATGCAGAAGAAATTCCCTGTGCTCCTTGAGCAATTGACGGTCTCTCCGCTGTTCATTATATATCTCGAACTGCTACCTGGAATAAGATGAATATTGCAAGGATATTGCCCATTCTGTGCCATCAATTTGTTAGAAGAATCAAAACAGAAAACGAATACACACAATGACGACTTGCCGGTATCGACGCTCGACAGCATACTCTGGAAGCATAAACCATCAAAACCTTGTACTTGTTGATGTCGGGCTTGCTGTCATCACCACATTATTATATTTCAGGACGAATACAAGACCTCACGTTGAAGTGGATTGATTTATCGTATCGTATCACCTCAGAGGGTATGCATAGCTGGAACTCACCAGAGCTTCGGCTCTGGGAGTTGACTGGAGCTACAGGACACAAATGGAGGACGACGCAGGGGCATGTGCCGGCAATAGTGGGATGGATGAACAAGACGCAGACCTTGATACTAGTAGTGGCGAGACCTGCAGCTGATGGTTTCTCAGAAGAAGAAGCATTGGGGGCCGGCTCAACCGGCAACCCGCTCTGGATGACCACCTGCGTGAATGCATTAGAACTGCAACATTGGTACGTGGATATGATCACAGAAGGGCGTGAAACAGATTTATGAGTGAGTCGCAGTGGAAAGACAAGATATCTAGACTTGCTTTCAGAAACACTCGCAAGCTTTGCATGAGCCTTCGAACATCACCGTTGCGTGACAAGATGCTGTAAGCAGAGAAGCTGAGAACAAGAAGGAAACTCACAAAGCACAACAGGCGCAGTCATGTGTTATCATCGTCAATGGCAGGATGCATAATAACATCAAAATGCTCATCGATTGAAATTACTATAATATCCCTCAACTAGTAAGAACTGGTAAACTCTTGTAGAGCACTCTGGGCTAGCTGTGGTGAGACTCTGTCAAGGGCTATGTGGAAGTTGTTTTTAGAACCGGATTATCTGACACGTACTATACGTCAACTGCAGCATGGCTCTGGCGTTTGTCCGGGATAGTCCGATCATGGTTGAGCACCGAGCTGGGGCTCTGAGTTCACAACGAGAAGATGCACACGATTGCTACTTAACTCGTGCTCATTGGTCACTCTATAAGGCAGAATAGGTTGGATCAGTTGATGGACTCCGGCGACGAAAATGACCATGGCAGGAGAGTGAAAAGCAAGTGGATTTAAGTAAGAGGAGGCAGCGGGGTTGCAGCGGTAACATCAAAAGTCAAAGCTGTGTAATGCCGCACAGGTGCCAAGGGTTGTGTTAAGAACGGTTGCCATACGCACGCACATTCAATCAGGTGGATTCCCTCGCTCTTCCCCCAAGTTGCGAGCCTCTAGATGACATCAAAACAATTTGAACTTTCTGCGCTGACGAACTGACGGACAGCTTCGGCAGGCGACGTTTATCATCTGCCAGTAGTTGGGTATCCTCCGAAATCACTATCAACGTCAGGCCACAAGATACGTCACTGACGGTCTCTCGGATACTTTCAAACAACAGCCTTACACGTACTTGTCAACCTCTGGCGGAGAAATAGGACATGGTTTTTAGATTGCGACAGCCCACTGCGGCAGCCAAGAAATTGGTTCTGATACCCGTGTTGACCATGGAGGGTCACAAAGACTATATGTCATCTATATCCTACTTTCCGGACGGGAAGCGTAACATCAGCGGGTCAAGCGATAAGACCACTCGTCGATGGGACCTAGAAGCGGGTAAAGAAATTAAGGAGGTGCGCGATGTTTGTGAACAGGAAGTACATGCTGTGTGGATATCAAGAAATGCTCGATGGGTTGTCACTGCAGGTGGAGACAGTGGCCCCGGAACCGGGGAGTTCAAAGTCTGTGAGGTTGAGACAGGGATCATCGTGAGAACATTTGAAGGTCACTCGCGGAGGATCAACTGCGTCGACATCTCTAGCCGGACAGCATGCTGCTGGCGAGCGGGGCAGAAGACAAAACAGCGCGGGTATGGAGCTTGGAAACTGGCACACTCGTGGCTGGTCCATTCCAGAGCATTTATTTGGTGGGCGCAGTCCGATTTTCGAAAGACTCCAAGAAGCTCGCAGTCAAATCGCGGTGGGGAAAATACCTTGAAGTGTGGGATGTCGAAACACAGAAACTGGATGTCAAAGTGGGGACATCTGGTCACTGGTGGCGCTCACTTCTCATTTACACCAGTGTTTTGGACTAACAATGACAAAACAATCGTAACTGCATTCAGCTTCCAATACTTTAGCCCCCCAAACACGATCTATGAATTCGACGCATCTACGTTGGAGACTGTTGGAGCTCCCTTCGAAGGGCACACTCATATCTAGAACTTTCACTTAATTGTGCTCTCCTCGCTAGTGCTTCTGATGATAACACCATCAAGCTTTGGGCGTTCGAGTCCCGTCAGCTCCTCGCCTCATTTGATGTTATGTATCCTCGTCGTCTCATCCTCTCACCTGACTCGTGCCAACTAGTTTACACCACCCGGCGCAACAACAACATCTACTTATGCAACATTCTCCCTGAGATCCTTGCTAGCATTCAGCCTGTACCACAAGTTAGAGTGCGCAGCCAACCCCGAATACTACTGTCGTTCATGCGCTAACATTTTCCTACAGATCAGTGCTCTTAGAAACCTACCTTTCGCTGATGTACTCATCCCTTTCATTTGATCATTTACACCACTCCATTAATCCCATCTTTACAGTCTGGCGCACTCTCTCTCAACGCGAATCAATCCACTAGTGAGGCCCCATCGAATGCGCAACAGTGCCTCCCTTTCCACTCTCTAACACCTCCCCCTGTCAGTTTCGCCCGTCGTGCAGGGTCCTAATCATGGACTGACACACGCCGGAAACTCTCGCATACAGCCTACCAACATGCAACCGCTTCCTGACATGTGGAAGTGGCCCTACTCTTCTCCCTCCGCCGCAGATACCCTCTTCTACAGTAGGTTTGCGGCTACCCCAGTTACGCTCCGACTGCCGCGAACTCCTTCCCTCTCCCATACGCATACAGTCTTCTCTGCTTGTAATGACGAGCCTGGCAATCTCACCCCTGAGGTAATGCTCCGAGACCTCTCAAAATGTATCGCAAAGGATGGCGATTACCCTGTTGCTCGTGGCGGGTTCGGGGAGATCTGGAAATGCACCTTGTACATCATTCCCAGACCGGTCAAAGTTTGTTTGCAGTGTTTTTTTTTCCATCAGTCTGAAACTGATCATTGGGCAGGTCGCGGTGAAAGCATTGCAGGTCTATGCTGCTGATCAACTTGGTGCAGCGAAGACGAAAAAAATCAAAAGTGAGTTTCTTGACGGACGACTGCATCTTTCCTTACGGGTTGTCACTTTGTAGAGAATAAAGCATGAACTCAGAATATGCGCCAAACTCAAGCATGCAAATATTCTATCCGTCTACGGTTATACGTATGGCTTCGGCCCATTCCTAGCGATAGTCAGTCCTTGGGCGGAGAATGGTAACCTGTCGGACTATTTGGAGCTCGAGGGTGCGGCTCTTGGTTTCGTTAGAAGATTTCAGATCGTAGGTCCCCCTTTGTATTTCGCGCAGACCACAAATTGATGGCAATCTCAGCTCAGGGATATCATAGCTGGTCTGCAATATCGTACGTGCTAGTTATTCTCAGTGCCAGACTTGGAGTAGTAATATTCCTCACAGTTCATGCTAACAGTGTCATCCATGGTGACTTCAATGGGGTAAGTTTGACTACTCGATAGTTTCGATTTGATTGAGACGTGAGTTCCAGCCCAACGTGCTGATCCATGGTGATGGCACTGCGTGTGTCGCCGACTTCGGTCTTTCCTTGATGTATTCGGAGGTCATAAGCGCCTCTCAGGCTTCCTGGACTTCCACCCTCAAAGGCAATGTACGATGGATGGCTCCTGAACTGCTTGTAGAGCGGGAGGATGGATCTCCGGCGCGGCCGAGCGAGCAGAGCGACATCCCCCCATTCGGCGGTATCATGTTGCAGGTACGTCTGGGGTAATTCTTACCTCTGGTTGATATCTTCAGCTCCGCTTTTAGGTCCTCACCAATAACGCTCCCTATCATTACCTTCAGAATGATGCTGCCATCATCTGGGCTATATAGAAGTCGGAAAAAGCCTTCCCGATCTCGTTATGCTGATCTCCCTGAACAATACTGGGAGTTTATCGAGCAATGTTGGTCTACTGATCCTCGTGGCCGTCCATCGACGGAGGGAGTTGATGTGAGGATCAGGAATGAATATGTAGATCTCGTTGATTCTCGAACTCCTTTGCATACAACGTGTTTACAGATAGACATTATGAGGCATGGTCCCCCAGACCCCTTCGAATACCTACACACAAAAGACTGGTACTCGTCATGCTGAAGAATGGAGGCGTGAATCGCCATGTTGACTCCTATTGTCACTACTGCAATAGTATGGCTCAGCTTTGTGACGCCCTGAACCAAAGAGTTGTATCGTATATACCTCATAGCCAGAAAAATATTCCAAGCTCTGTGGACCGTGTCAACACGAGCACGATATCACCACTGCTCGACTGCAATTTAGAATTCAGAAGAGAGTAGCTCATCCACACAATTTCATTCCACCCCGTGTCTTCCTGTATGTTACAAGTTGGTGGAAATTCCCTTGTTACAAGTGGTAAAAGACAGGGCAGATCACAATAAATGACATACGTGATGAAAGTAGAGCGCTTCTTCAGGATGTACAGGGCACACCAGTAATTGTCACTTTCCTGTGGACCGCGCTTCTTGATCAAGACTTGTTGCATCGAACGAAAGGGAAGAATTTATTCCGAAGAGTTACAGAAGGAATACTTAACCTGACATTTCGCACTTGCTGGCAGCTGTGACCATATCAGTATATCAATTCATTCGGAATGCAGAAGCTCAATGTATCGCATCACCTCCGAGGCGGTGAGCGGCAAACGCTGACTGACTCTGGGACGGACTGCAGCTGCGGAGCATGATTAACCAATGTGTGCGCCATTTCTTCTTCATGCCGTGGGGTTTCAATGAGCCAAGAGGGACCCTCGATGTATAGAAGGGTGCTCACCCTCACAACAGCATAGCACACGGAAGGGCATGGACAGTTGAGCTTGTCGAGGACGTCTATGAGACTCTGAAATGGCCGGTCTAGGTACAATTATGCGCAGACTCCCGGCCTGTGTCGGGGTGCGTCCCACATGTTCTGCGGAGTTACGTGCAAACTTTAGTTTCGGATCACCGATGCCATGATCCGATGCACTGTTCGTTGCTCACCGTCGTTTCGGCAGATTCCTGTTCATAAAGCCAATTCTGTCTATTCAAATAGAACAAGGGCGCCACCAAAGATCAATGCAAATTGTAGAAATATATCACCGGGACTGGATGATGTGACTCCTACCATATTGACGGAAGGTACCTCTAGAAACGGCTATGTAGCATTACATTTGTCCGACACAGGATTGAGCAAAGGTAAGAGCTGAATAGTGAGAATTATGACGCGCACATGCAAATCACGATGCTCAACCATTGAAATTTCTATGTCACGGTCGACCCATCCTCGCCAGAGCTCGCTCGTGTGTTACTGCGGGGCCCAAAACAATGCGGCGTTGAGTCGATTAGCTTATGCTTGTGCTCCTTGACGTAAACGGACTGATCAGGATGTAGAGGTACTTGGGAATGTGTGAAATTTGAAGGATTGTATTGCGCCAGTTGTAAGCTTGGAGACGATGCAACGCAGGGTAACAACTTGCTAAAATATCAACCTGGCTGAGAAAAATCAAACCTTGGAGGGAAACGACAGAATGGGGCTACTTACAGATGAAAAAATAGAATGGGCGCCACCTCTGTTCCCTGCATTGTCTAGTTTCGAGAATCACTGATGCTTCTGCCGTTAATGAAGGAATCTTCTGCTTACCTTCAATTCCGCCGACCAAGTCGAGAATGTTCGAATATTCGTCATCATCGAAAGGCGAGAGCGACACATCCGTGGTAATAGCCTGTGCACCCCCCATTTCAGCGGCCTGTGGATGCACTCGGAATGAATTCTCACCAGCATGCACAAGAAATTTCTTGCGTTCTTTGAGCAATTAAGGACTCTGCTACTGTTTATTGTACATCTCGCATTGCTGACTGGAATCAGATGAATATTGCGTTGATATTGCCCATTCTGTCTCATCAATTTGTCAGAAGAATCTTGTGATAAAAACAGAAAATGAATACACACAATGACGACTTGCCAGTATTTACGCCCGACAGCATACTCTAGAAACATAAACCATCAAAACCTTGCGCTTGTTGATGTCGGGCTTGCTGCGATGTGTATGGCTGGAACTTAGCGAAACTCTGGCTCTGGGAATTGACTGGAGCTATAGGAGATGGCTGCAAGACACAATTAGGGGACGACGGATTGGCGTGGACCGGCAATAATGGGATGGATAAACAAGACGACGACGACCGTGGTAGTGGCAGAACATGCAGTTGATGATTGCTCAGCGGAAGAAGAGGAGGCTGGTTTGACTCAGCAACTCGCTCTGGGCGTCCGAATGTGTGAATGTATCAGAACTGCGACATTAGTACGTGGATATAATAACAGAAGGGCGCGAAACAAATTATGAACGAGTCGTAGCGGAAAGGCAAGGTATCTTAACTTGCTTTCAGAAACACTCACAAGCTTTTATGAGCCTCCGAACATCATCGTTGCGTGACATGATGTTGTAGGCAGAGAAGTCGAGGACACGAGAGAAACTCACAGAGCACAACAGGCGTAGTCATATGTGGTATCATAGTCAATGTCAGGACCCATAATAACATCAAAATGCTCATCAGTTGGAATTACTGTGATATCCCCCAACTAGTAAGAACTGGTAAACTCTTGTAGAGGAGTCTGGGCTAGTTGTAGTGAGACTCTGTCAAGGGGTATGTGGAGGTTGTTTTTAGAACTGGATTATCTGGCACGTACTATATGGTCGACTGCAGGATGGCTCTGGCATTTATCTGAGATAGTCCAATCATCGTTGAGCGTTGAGCTAGGACTCTGAGCTCACAGCGAGAAGACGCACACGATTGCTACTTAACTGGTGCTCATTGGTCACTCTGCAGGTCAGACTGGGTCGAATCAGTTGATAAACTCCGGCAACGGAAATGACCATGGCAGGAAGGTGAAAAGCAAGTGGATTTGATTAAAAGGAGGCAGCGGGGTTGCAGCGGTTACATTAAAGTCAAAGCTGTGTAATGCCGCATAGGTGCCAAGGGCTGTGTTAGGAAGGGTTACCAGACGCGCGCATATTAGAGTCAATCAGTGAATCGCTCGCCCCCAAGCCCCAAGCCTCTAGGTAACATCAAAACAGCTTGAACGTTCTGCTTTGACAAACTGCTTTGGCAGGTAAAGTATACCAGCTGCCAGTAGGTGGGTATCCTTCGAAATTACAGGCCACAGGATACGAGAAAGCCTCACCGACAGTCCTTCGAATACATTCAAATAAAACACTGTCCGCATCTGCTAAACCTTGCTGGCGGATAAACGGGACATGATTTCCAGATCGCAACAGCCCAATGCGGCAGCAAAGAAATCGACCCTGACAACCGTGCTGACCTTGGAGGGTCACAAAGGCTCTGCTCCATGCATATCCTACTTTCTGGATGGGAAGCGAATGATCAGTGGATCAGACGATAAGACCATTCGTGGATGGGACCTAGAATCGGGTAAGGAAATAGAGGAGGCGCGCGATGATTGTGAACAGAAAGTATGTGCTGTGGGAGTATCAAGGGATGGTCGATGGGTTGTCACTGGTGGCGGAGATGGCTTTACCGGAGGGGAGCTCAGACTCTGTGAGATTGAGACGGGGATCGTGAGAACATATGAAGGTCACTCGCAGAGGATCACCAGTATTGATATCTCCGAGGACAGCACACAGCGGGGCAGAAGATTTCACAGTGCGGATATGGAGCTTGGAAACGGGCAAACCCGTGGCTGGTCCATTCAAAAGTGCCGACTGGGTGGGCGTAGTTCGATTCTCACGAGACTCGGAGAAGCTCGCAGTCAAATCGCGGTGGGGAAAATACCTTGAAGTGTGGGATGTCGAAACACAGAAACTGGATGTCAAAGTGGCGACATTTGGTGTTGCGAGCTTCTCATCTATACCAGTGTTTTGGACTACCAATGACAAAACCATCGTAACTGCATTCAGCCTCAGACACTATGACACTACGAGGACGATCTATGAATTCGACGTGTCTACACTGCAGACGGTCGGGGCCCCCTTCGAAGGACACACCAAAATCATCACCGGTCTAGCACTTTCACTTGATTGTGCACTCCTCGCTAGTGCTTCTGCTGATAGGACCATCAAGCTGTGGGCCTTCGAATCCCGCCAGCTCCTAGCCTCATTCGATGTTCTGTCTACTGTCCCCCACCTTATCCTCTCACCTGACTCGCGTCAACTAGTTTACACCACCGTGCGCAACAACAACATCTACTTATGCAACATTCTCCCTGAAATCCTCGCTAGCATTCACCATGTACCGCAAGTTAGAGTGCGCAGCCAATCCCGAATACTACTATTGTTCATGCGCTAATGTTTTCTTGTAGACCAGTGTTCCTGGAAACCTACTCCTCGCTGATGTACTCATCCCTTTCTTTTGTTTATTTACACTACTCCATTAATCTCATTTTTGCAGTCTGGCGTACTCTCTCTCACTGTAAATCAATCCACTAGTGAGGGCCTACTGAATGCGCAACAGAGCCTCACTTTCCACTCTCTGTCACCTCCCACTTTCAGTTTCGCCCGTCGTCGCGCAGGGCCCGAATCCTGGACTGAAAGACACGCCGGAAACTCTCGCATACAGCCTACCGACATGCGACTGCTTACTGACATGCGGCAGTGGCCTACTCTTCTCCCTTAACCACAGATGCCCTCTTTTCCAGTAGGTTTATGGCTAACTCAGTTATGCCCCGACTCTCGTGAACTCCTTCCCTCCTCTTCCCACACGCATACAGTCTTCTCCGCTCATGATGTTGAGCCTGACAATGTCCCCCCTGAGGCAACGCTCCGAGACCTCTCGCAATATATCACCAAGGATGAAGACTACCCCGTTGCTCGGGGCGGGTTCGGGGAGATCTGGAAATGCACCTTTCACATCGATCGCAGACCGGTCAAAGTTCGTTTCAAGTTGCAGGATTGTTTGTTCATCAGTCTCAAATTGATAATTGGGCAGGTTGCGGTGAAAGCATTGCAGGTTTATGCTGCTGATCAACGTGGTGCAGCGAAGATGAAAAAGATCAAGGTAAGTCTCTCGACAAAAGGCTGCGTCTCTCCTTATGATGGGTTGCCACTTCGTAGAGAATAAAGCGTGAACTCAAAATATGCGCCAAACTCAAGCATGCAAATATTTTACCCGTTTATGGTTATACATATGGCTTCGGCCCATTCCTAGCGATAGTCAGTCCTTGGGCGGAGAATGGTAGCCTGTCGGACTATTTGGAACCCGAGGGTGTGGCTTTTACTCTCGTTAGAAGATTCCGGATTGTAAGCCCCCCCTTGTATCTCGTGCAGACCATAAACTGATGGCAATATCAGCTCAGGGATATCATAGCTGGTCTGCAATATCGTACGTGCTAGTTATTATCAGTGCTTGACCTGGAGTAGTAATATTCCTCACAGTTCATGCTAACAGTGTCATCCATGGTGACTTCAATGGGGTAAGTTTGACTACTCGATAGTTTCGATTTGATTGAGACGTGAGCTCCAGCCTAACGTGCTGATCCATGGTGATGGCACTGCATGTGTTGCAGACTTCGGTCTTTCCTTGATGTATTCCGAGATTATCAGCGCCTCCAAGGCTTCCTGGACGTCCACGCTCAAAGGAAATATGCGATGGATGGCTCCTGAGCTGCTCGTGGAACAGGAGGATGGATCTCAAGTTCGGCCAAGCGAGCAGAGCGACATGTATTCATTTGGCGGTATCATGCTGCAGGTACGTCTGGGTTAATTTTGGCCTATCATTGATATCATAAGCGCTACTCGTAGGTCCTCACCAACAAAGTACCCTATTATTACCTCTCGAATGATGCTGCCATCATCCTCTGCATAGCCAAGTCGCAAACACCCTCCCGATCTCGTTATGCTGAGCTCCCTGAACGATACTGGCAGTTTATCGAGCAATGTTGGTCTACTGATCCTCGGGAACGTCCCTCGACGGAGGGAGCTGACACAGCGATCAGGAATGAATTTTATTCGCTGTCCGGATCTGGCTGAATCTGGAACTGCCTTTCATATAACAGTCTTATGCACAGTACAATCAGATAGACAGCATGACAGCATGAGACACGGTATGCTATTACACGTAGGCTCATCCCCCGGACCCCTCCGAATACTTACACACACAAAAAGACTTTTCGTTACTGGTATCCTTCACGTTGAAGAATGGAGGCGTGAATCGCTATGTTGACTCCTATTGTCACTGCTGCAATAGTATGAGTCGGCTTCTTGATGTCCTGAACAAAAGAGCTGTGTCACGAATATCCCATGAAGCCAGAAAATATTCCAAGCCCTGTGGACCGTTTTAACAAACCCTAAACTCTAGCGTGGTGGTTGAACCTAACTGCGCATATTCCCTTGTTATGCTTATCGGAAGAGCAAGTAGCTCATCCACACAAGTTCATTCTACCCCGTGTCCTTCTGTATGTCCTTACGAGTCAGTCTTAGTAGTAGGAGACCGAGGGCACATCATAATAAATCACACGTGATGAAAGTAGAGCACTCCTTCAAGCTTCAGGCCTGCAGGGTGTATACGGGCACATCAGTTGCCACCGTCTCGTGAACGTCAAGGCTTGTTGCATACAACGAGTCTTTCGTTACAGAAGGAATAATCTGACATTTGACTTCGCACGTATTGCGACCCTATCAGCATGTGAATCCATGGGGCTATCGTCAGAAAAAATGTACGTAGGTTGGTATAAATTTCTGGTGCTCCACTAAGTACACAGTATGTGTCAACGAATCCGCTGCAGGCTTGACCGTGGGAGCAGCGACCAGCTGGAGGCGAAGTTTTCCTAAACATGTCTCTCCCTTATTGTGCCAATGCCCGCCCGTTCTCTGCCCAAATGTGGCAATCTGACATACCAACTCGTGAAGCTTTGATAATACCAGAGAACTTAATTGTTTGAGTCATCTGTCTCCGAATATGGTGTCTTCCAAGATCATATCCGAGTCTACGCGCCGTGTTTTACCGCTCCTCGATAAAGCTGGCTGGTGCTATCGTCGAAGTCCACTTCACACTCGTGCACGGATCAGACAATTAAAGGGGTCAGTCTTCAATCAGAGTTAATGCTATGCTTTAGGAGCTCGTAGTATGGCCCGAGAGAAACTCGAAAAACTGAGGTATGTCATTCAACACAAGTCAACCAGTCTTTCGTACATTGAGCTTTTAGGTGGTACCTCAGTACGTACTTCATGAGTTCCATACTTTCTGGAACTCTGATGGAAGTCATGCAAGATAAGGACGATAACAGATGGACCTGTCCCGAGTCCTTGTGTGCGGACCTTATGCAATTGTGATTGCTACTCAGACGGGTAAACAGGGTTAGGCCAGCTGGCGCCGCAGTTCGGCTCTTCTCTCAAGTACAAATCTTTAGTACTCGAGCACAGGATTTGCAGTGTCAATGCTCCGAGTCAGCGCTCATGTCGATTTCAAGCAGGCACATTCACACACCCCAGCTTGTCACTTGACTCTTTCCTCCAGATGAAACCAGAAAACAATATCGACACTTCCCAAGTGAAAGGGAACGCTTCTCTGGAGATAAAACTTACATTGCTAAACTCCTTGGTGCAGCTGAGCCGCCGTGATGTCTTGCGTTCGACTGGCAAACCCTTCAGAGGTTTCGCAGCCGAATTCGTGTCCCGGATGCAACTAGCAGAGGCATCTACCTTGTCAAAGGCAGAGGAGCCCGACAAACTCGAGGGACGTACTGTCTTTGAGGTGATTGTCGATGAAGGTGCCTAGATTTCTGGTATACGCTCTGCTCATTGACATATCATGGGGTACCCTTAGACATGGCCAATGAACTTGAAGTTGGAACCATGCACGGTGGCTGTCTGGCCATGCTAATTGAACTGCATGTTTATTCTACTCATGTTTGTCTGGAGCTAATATGGATGCGCAGCTGCTCGCCAACGCCCATTTATGTTCTTAGGGCTTCGACAGGCGCTCATGGCGTATTCGGTGTACAACAGTCTTTGAATATTGTGTTCCACTCACCAGCAGTGCCGTACGTTCAAATGGCACATTAATTATTTTTTTGCTGAACCATTGTGTCAGGGGCGATAAGCTGCACATCGTGAGCACGACACTTGCCCTTGGTAGCCGGGTACGCTCGGGTCGTTGTGAAGTGAGATTCTGACAAGCTCTCATTGCGCCATCCGCTTACGTAGCTTCGACAGGTATGGAATGTAACGCGACACCGACTAGTCGCATCAGCTGCATACATCAACATGGTTCCATCTGAATCATCCAAACTCTGACCAACGTGCACGAGTTGTCATGTTGATTCCTTACACATAACACGATCCTGATTCCTGACTGCCTGAAAAGTTTATTTATTCTATGTACATAATGTAGTTATCCGCAGGATGTGGTATTCGCCGGGTATCTATAACCCAAATGTATACGAGGACGTCACGATATATATAGCGCAAATGATCTGCGATCTCGAATGATAAGCAACGCAAATGAATTTATCTCTTCCAAGTGTTTATATCGGGAGGCATGAAGGGACCAGCCTAGACTCTCCACGCGCCAATAGATCTCGATATGACCATCCTCTTGGCCTCCTATGCCTTGAGTGCTTTGAGAAGCAGTAATAGTTTTCCTCATCGGATGTCGTTGACGCTTACGCTGCCCATTTTTACGTCATTGTCGATGAGGAAGTCAAACACACGAAATAGCCCTTGTCGTCGTCGGGGCCAGACGAGAATGCCGAGTCTGGCACGGGGGTGAGGGTGATTTCCCTAAAACTGATTCTGAAAGACGAAGAAGAGCAAGACCGGTGAAAAGTGAAATCGTAATTTTTAACGCAGCTGGTAAGTGTGAATTAGCCCATTCAACCAGACCCGCGCCAGAAGGATTCAGCTGTACAAGGTTCATAAAATTAGTATCTCAGCGCAGAGAAGGCAGTGGAAAACTCGCAGTAGGGTGTGTCTCTCTAGTCGAGCGGGGAGGAGCTTGGTTCGCCACAGAAGATGATTTGGACTCGTCCCTCAGGCTGGCTTGAAATGGACTGCTGAGTAAAAAACGAATCAAGACGCGTCCGTTCGCTATCCTGTGCCAGCGATGGTAAACCCATCAGGACGCGAGTATCACGAAAAGATAGCTTATTTGGATTCTCGCAACGCAAAGCCTTTCGTGTCGCATCGCGAGCGGTAGGAGACGGCAATCGGGAGGTAAGGTTCATCGCCTAGGCAACTGTTGGAGGGATGGTGGGTATGTTGATGGAAGAAACAACAAGCTCTGTTTAACAGAATGATAGATAAGCGATCGAAGATGATGGCTCCTCTAATAGTCACTTTCATCACGTACAACGATTTACTCATCAGGGCTGAAGAAATGCGCCTTGTGGGTGTCGTGCAATATGCTGAAGCCATAACGTCCTGGATCGACGTTCTCGTCTGCAATAACCTTGTATCCGACAATATCGATGTGTCGTCCCTCGATTTTCACCTCATGAACAACTTGCATAAGTATATGACTCATTATTAAGTAGGCTTGACCCCCACCGTCTTGATGTCGCTCCGTGGGATGTACAGATGTGGGCCTTTGATAACGAAGTACCGCACCTTCCAGGCATTGTAATGGTCGCCTTTCTTGCGCATCCATCCTTGGTGATCAGGGTGCCGATCTAGTCAATGATACTCTTTCGTGGCTTGAACGTACTAGGACCTCGAGACTGGCTCTCGAGCCCATCGGCGTGTTTTTTCAGTACCGTCGGGTCTTTCAGGGTTCTCTTTCAGTGTTTGACTGTCCGCATCCTTGCCTCACAGCTTCTCAGACGTCTTCTCCTTCTCCCTCAACTCCCTCTTCCCATCAAGAGAATCGCTGCGCGAGTGATTGTGAAGAGTGCTGGAAAGTGATCCATCTGACGTTGATGGGCGACCTGAGGCTTCTTGCTGTTGTACAGCTGGGAAAGATAAAGACTCGAAGATTCTTCCATTGGGCTTTCGTTGTCAATCAATGACCTGTTTGAAAGTGAGTGATTGAGCAAACTATAAAAAAGCTCAGTGCGTACCGGCTGATCGTTAGCAGAGGCTTCCTGGACGTCCAGAAAGAAGTCGTGAAAGTGCCTCTGAACAAACTATGCCGCTCTGTGCCTCTCGTCGTACCCTCCCGTTTATTCCGGCTATGCTTGCTGCCAATACTGGAGTTGTCCAGTAACTCCCGTTTCTGTGACGATCTGGGTGTTACCACCGCCAACGCCAAGGGCACTCAAGTCGAGAGTGCAGTGGTAGAATTATCGAGGAATGTGTTGCCCTTCTCCTTCGCGGTAGACGTGAACTCTGTGGAATGGCCAAAGAGGTGCTGGGCCCTGGCGTTGTTTGGCAACAGATAGTGCATTTTCTCCCTGCCGAAAAGATTTTCACTGATACGCATAGAAAGAATATATGAAAAGGGTTTTATTGCGGGTTCGGTCAGGTGTCGAGGTTAGAACGAACTGTACAAGGTTTAGGATCTACGCCGCTGATGTTGTGGCTGTGTAGATATGAATTTGGCATCGGTTCTAAAAATGACATGGCTAGTGTCACTCTGTCGGCTAGTACTTCAAATTAGTAGACTGCCTCTCTCTCTCAGCGACACAGCGGTAGGAAGGAGCCTAGGCAGGGAGACCCACTTAAGGACGTTTGCGGCTACGATTGCAAAAGATATTACTTATATTCTTGCAGCTTACTTTTTTTTTCTTCCTCATCGTCGACCATGATGACAGCCACCTTTTCAAACACTACACGCACACTTTCTCTGAGTCTGCCACCGCCTTGATGTCACTCGCCCTCAATCATACGCATGTATACGCGTGTGCACTCAAACCCTATTCCTGCTGCTGCTGATTACGACTTCCAGCGGAGCTCCTAGGGAGATATTCTTGCTGATTGTCAACGGCATGTCAGAGTCCCATACTATCTCCGATGCGGAGTAACTACCATCTCGGCCAATTTCACCAGCCCTCCCCTGGTGTGCTGACTTTGGCGGGTCGTTGCACATTCGACGACCATCAAAGTTGTGCTTCCTGAACGACGCTCCGATTTATTTGATGATCGATTCTTTCCACCTCCGCTCCAGTTTTGGCTAATGATTGTACGCACTCTTCGGAATGTCATTACAGGCACAATACATCTCCGATAATTGTCAAATGTATCTGGGATTGAACGAGACACGCATCGTTTGCACCAATGCACATACGCTTATCCAAGCTCCCTCGCGGGATTATCGTAGATGCAAGCAACAGTGTCGAATTGACACAGGCAGGATCATTGATACGTCTGTCATTGTGCAAATGTACGTGCAATTACGAAGTCCGACAACATAGTAGCTGTACTGGCAGTACTGCTGTAGTGCGCTGTTGGGATGTCTGATATAGAAGCTGCCGCATATTAATAGTACACCAAATAATTGATCGGAATGTAACTCGACTGAGTCACTATCAAGGCCGTAGCCCACATCGTGCCCGATTAAGTGTCTGATATTTGTCTTTGAGATGCGCCTGCAACCACGGCAAAATATGGAATTCCCTCGCTGCGCTTACGAGCCACAGGGTGAAAAGCGCCACAATGCCACATGCACTCCCAGTGGTCGCGAGAGTGATGATGGGCGTGGACGTGAAGACCTGGTAAGAGAACGCAATTATGAAATACACCATGCTGCAGAAGATCAGCACTTCCGTGAGTAACGGAGGTCCAACAACAACAAAAATACTCACCCCCACAGCAGCATAGCATATGGAAGACCATGCACAGTCGCGAGAGACTTAGTGCCAAATATGGATCCTGTTACCCGCGTGAGGAATATAACCTGCGATGATTTTGTTTCAGCGATATTTGGTCACCGGTGCATTGCTCTTTCCTCACCGCTGCATCGGCAGATTCCTGCCCATACATCCGATTCTGTCTAGTGAGAAACAAGGATACGACCAACGATCCGACGATGCAAAATAAGGAAATGTACGTGCTGATGATCGTGACCGAACCCGCATTCTGGAGATTGACGGAAGGTACAGCTAGGAAACTGACGTCCACTGCTACCATTACAGTTGACTGATATGATTCAGCAAAAATAGGTGTCAAATGATAGGAATCGTAGTACGCACATACATCGTGATGCCCGACCACTCACTACTCAGCTTGCTGTTAAAGTTCTTCCAGCGCGGAGAGTTGATGCTCCGGTCGACCCACACTCGTCGGAGTTCTTCCATGTGTGACCGCGGAGCATCGAACAGTGCAACGTTAACGGCCCATGAAAAAGCCACTAAAAACTTTGACTTCTTCTCCTTGACGAAAAGAGGCTGGTCCGCGTTTAAACGGGCTTCAGGGAGTCCGCAAAAATTGAAAAATTGAGCTCGCGCTAGTTGGGAGGTTAGAAGCGATGTATTCTGCAGCGCGGCACTTACAGAAATAACGCATAAACCTCACTGAGAAACAATCATCCTCCGAAGGAAAACAGGATTCAAATATGACGCGTACCTATTACACATGTATAATGGGCGCCCTGGACGTCGTCTAGTGTCAAGAATCAGTGATCGCTCTGCTGCCATAGATAAGCCTTTCGCTTGCCTCCAAGCCGATCGATCAAATCCAGGATTTTCGATAATTCATCGGCGTCGAAGGGCGACAGCGATAAGTCTGTTGTAATAATCTCTATAAACTCGTTTCAGCGACACACAGTGCACTGAGAAGGAAATCTTACCAGCGCTAGCATGCACGACGACTTCCTTGAGTTCCTTGAGCAACTGAGGGCCTAGCAGCTTGTCACTGGGGTACATCTCGCAGTGTTGCCTGGAATCTGATTAACCTTGTACTAATACTGCAAGTCCTGTCCCATCAGTCTATCAGAAGAATGTCACGACCAGACAATGAATACACACAATGACAGACTTGCCAGTACTGATGTTGGATAGCATACTCTGAAGATGTAAATAATCAAGAACACATTAATATTTTCTCCTGTAAGAGGACGCACTGATGTGGCTCCACTTCTCGACGCCCAGAACTCCGTCAAAGATCCTTCTGGTGGGCATTTCATCAAGCCAGAAAAGCAGACGGTTGGGATGATCGACGAAATAGTACCTGCACACCCTAGTATGATGATCCCGACCCCTTGTCAACTCCACAACGAGCTCGATGTCACCACTGCGCAGCTCCAATCCACAACGTGAAGTCATCAGAGCGAGCAACTCATCGATACACGAGGTCATGCTAGATCGGCGTGGTTCGTCCCGCATGTTTGAGTCAGTGTAAATACCCTGTTACCTGTAATAAGCGACGGAGGGCACGTTGTAATGGATGGCATACGCGAACGGGGTCATGAAAGTATAGCGCTCCTTCGGGGTGTACACGGGCACACCAGTCACCACTGTCTTCTGCACTACGCTCCATCAAGTACTGTTTGCTCCAACGAAATGATCAGACTCACTCTGAATAGTCTCTCTTTCCAGCAGGAATGTTCACAAGTCTGACTTCACGCTTGCTGCGACCCTATTTAGTCCATGAATTCATCCGGAATATGAGAAGCTCACATTTGAGGGTTTTTATTGTATCGCATCACCTGGGAGGGCGTGGTTGCCCTGAACACTGGATGGCAGTGGACTGGAGCTGGTTGCTGGCCATGATTAGCTAATGTCACAGGAGTGTGGACTGACAATAGCGAGACGAATGAATTGGTCGCGGTCCCTGATGGCGGTGGCACCTGTAGTTGAGTAGGGTTGCTCAGAGGAAGGATGTGGGGCTGGATTGAACCAGCAACTCGCTCTAGGTGCTCGTCTCTTTGAGTGGGTGTGAACTGGCGCCTACGAGAATATAGTTGCAAAAGGGTATGAAACAGACGATGAGTGAGTCGTAAGGGGTAAGCAACATATCGAGCCAATACTTTCAGAAATACCCTCAATCGGTTTGTGAGCTTTCCACCTTCATGCTTGCGTAACATGATGTTGGTACCGGACAAGTGCAGACAAACTCAGGACACGAGGTAACACAGATGCAGATTATTCGAATATTTAGATAGCAGGTTGGCACTCCCGCTGTCCTTGCAACAAACCAAGACTGACCAGAGTATCGTAGCGTACTATCATCATTCGAGACATGGAGCCGAGTAAGATTGTCACACTTTATTGAGAAGGACTTTCATAATATCTTTGTTTGCCCCTAGAGGCTACGTGACATGGCAAGACCGCAAGTATGACTACGGATAATAAAGGAACATACGAAAATGAGACGATGCGGGAGGTGAGGAAATGCAAATGAAGTGTCAAGGACCCAAACTGTCAGATATCGCATCGGTGCGAGATAGCAGCGGGTAACCTGATATAAAGATCGGGAGGCAAAGGCAAACCTCTAGTCGTCGCCTGCAGCCTCAGCCTCGTCTTTCGTATCTGGTTTCTCTGTAAGCCAGCTAAGAAATGCATATTAGATTGGTAGGCAGATGACGCACCTGAATCCTGCATGTCTGAAGTCCAGAGGGTCAGGTTGTCCCGTAATAGTTGCATGATAAGGGTCGAGTCCTTGTAGCTCTCTTCCGAGAGCGTGTCAAGCTCAGCAATCGCGTCATCAAAGGCCTGCTTGGCAAGGTGGCAGGCACGGTCGGGGCTGTTCAAGATTTCGTAGTAGAAGACAGAGAAGTTGAGGGCGAGACCAAGGCGAATGGGATGCGTGGGCGGTAGTTCCGTAACAGCAACTTCCGATGCATCCTTGTAGGCACCCAGGGACTTGTCTGCGCTGTCCTTGCGCTTGTCACCGGTAGCAAATTCTGCGAGGTAACGGTGGTAATCACCCATCCTATTAAGTATGACGTCAGTGAATGATTATGCGTGACATTGGGAGACGTACATCTTGTGGTAGAATACCTTCGACTCGCCAGAAGCAGCGGAGGGGATTAGGTGCTTGTCAAGGACGTCGAGGATGTCCTCGCAGATTTTGGCGAGCTCGCCTTCGATCTTTTCCCTGTAACCCTTGATCATGGCTACTTGAGCCTCGTTACCCTTGGACTCCTCCTTTTGCTCGATCGAAGAGACAATGCGCCACGATGCACGACGTGCACCAATGACGTTCTTATATGCTACGGACAAAAGGTTGCGCTCTTCGACAGTCAACTCCTGGTCAGACGACGCCACTCGCTTCATGTTCTCAACCATTTCTAAACGATTGTGAGCAATTGTACAAGCTTGGTACGTTGGTTTATTACCTTCATAACGCTCAGCCTGCTCAGCGAGCTTAGCGAGGTAGACAGAGTCCTCACGCGTTTCAGGCATCTAAGGAGCAACTGAGTTAGCAACGTGATTGACGCGTCCTAAACGCGTCAAATACTCACTATTGTATGAGTTGAGGATGAGTATAGAGCTAGAGAAAGAGCAAGACAATGAGCAAGGCAAGTTTGTCGGTGAGGAAGACGACGAGGACGTACGAGGAGTTGATGATGGTAGTTGTTTAGAAAAGAGGAGTGTTGTGGAAATAAACTGCAAAATTAAATTGAGAGCTGGGCAGAGGGTTCGGGTATAGGGCAGGGTCTAGGGTATATCCAATTTTAGAAGATATTCCCACGCCACACTTGCTCAGATCTGTGTTTGATTGTTGCTATTGTGATTTCTAGAACCTCGTTTGTGTCATATTTCTTGTCATTGTCGGCCTCGTTGTTCGGCCATCTTTTAATGTTGTACTCATACGTTTCTATGTTAGATGGCGGCCTGGTGCTTGAATTAAGGTAAGTTCGCTTGTCCTTGAACGTTTGAACCCTTATCGACCAAGCGGTTCACACAGCCCCATGAACACTGCCAGTCACCAATTATAGAGTTGGCTGCTCTTCAGACGTGCCGTCATGAAGCCCCATCATGAACGTTACTACGACGCAGGCGGTGATGACACTGACAGGCTATACCAGATCTCGGCTCCCATTTCACACGAACAATCTTATCGCCGTTACAGGTCACGGTGTTCTATACATCGGAAACGTTGTCTGGTCATGCCATTATCAAATTACCCGCGCATAATCAATCCCACACTGGACCAACGTATTTCTCCGCACTTGACGGATTCGAGCGAATGTAGTAGCCCGCGGTCATAATCGAGAAGGAACGACTGTCTTCTATATCCAGGTCTGACTTGGGGAAACTCGCCGCGGTTATACACGACGAGTTTAATATCGATATCTCCCCCCATCAGGCTACTGCGCGAACATGCTCTACGTCGAGCTTCTACGTTACTCGCAGTGTCACCGCCTTCTTCTCTTACTGGCGTAAATTTAATTATACTTATCTTATCTGTAACTTATCATCCAGTAATTTGTCTAGTTGCCGGAGCGAATGGCGAAATACATTTATGTAATGCTCCCTGACCCCTCTTGACAGTTAAAGGCGGTCTTAAAAGCAATGTCGAACAGTCTTCAGCGCATTGGTTGAACGAAGGCAGAACCTAATTAAATGAAAAATTGCAAGCATGAAGGCAAAACACATAGCCTACAGAAGACTAGTTCTACCTTGAGTAGACCAATGGTTCCTATGATGCATTCTACCACGATCGTATCCACAATAATTTCATCCTCGCACCTCCGCCTCAAGTCACATTAAACTTTTCCCCTAGCCGGACCATGCATGACAAGGAAGACAGCCGGTTGCATAGGGTTTCACTAGGCTACAGGTCGTACATGTACTAGTTGTGCTTCCCTCTGCCCTAGTACTAGGCGGTTTATTTTGGAAAACTGAATTCAGGAGTACTCATGAGCCATTGGCGGGGCGTAATAATAATGAATACATTTTTTCTACATATGCATTCAGCACATGATGCACTGTCATCCACCCCATCATGCTGTGCCGACCTGCTCGGAATGGGGATAAAGCCTGTGCCAAGTTCCTGTCATCGGTGAAATTCATGTCAGGGGGCAGAGGCAGCCTCAAGCCCGACCAAATCAGTTGATCTGGGTACCCAGGCGTCTGCCAAGTATGACCGTTTGCGGAATAAGGTAAAGCAGGCCAAGTTGGCCATGATCTATAGCACTTTGGATGGCTTGAGTCAATAGTTGACAATCCCAAGAGCATACCAGCTCAAAATCTATGGGAAAAAAATATTGCATTGACACCAATTTGGATGGTGGACACAGCGGGAACTCGAGCATGCCACCCACAACATACGAAAATGACCGCCGGATATCAAGAGGGAGTGATACACTCACAGACTGAGGTTGGTCAGTCATATCCAGTAGCTCTTTACCAACTGCACATCTCGATGGCCCGCGAAACTCTATGGCGATCTAGGAATAGCATGCGAACTGTGATGTTTTGCAGCCTCGCCGAGGACAGAAGGGTCACCCACCTGCATGATAAGCCTCGACGGACTTTCGGAATGCGCGATTTCCTGCTTCTCCGTACGCAGTCTTCAGGCTGACGCCAAAATTACCCATCGGGGAATATGCTACATCTCCAACCCTTCTTGTTTTGCGTCAGGCTGCCCACGTCATGCGCGCATCTACACCGCACGGACATGGATATAGCTTGCGTAGGTAATGCGGCTCTCATCAAAATCTCCAATGTGTTAGATTCTATGCAGGGCTCTTCATCGCTTTTATGACCTTTCAGGGGTATCCAGTGCTTGTTGAAGAACCTGATCTTGGCAGGTACAAGAAGATCATGAAACATCCAGCTCCTTGTCGTCCATTCATCATCCGCCGTGTCCTCGGACCAGGTGGGTAGTGCAGATGGGCTGAGTTGTGATACCACCGAAACCTGGAACGAATCGACTTGTCCAGCTCAGTATTGATAATGCATTTGTTAATGCGGCAGGTATCTTACCATGCAAAATCCATGCTATAACCACTAGTCTTCTCGCAAAAAAACCGCAAAACTCTTGGAGCTTTTCGAATCCCGAAGCTCTGACTTAGGCCTTCTTCATGTCTTCAAAGGTCAGGTAGATAGGCTTTCCTTTGTTCAATCATCAGTGAGACAGGGTGGTGTATTCGACGACGACGGAGGACCTACACCATGAAGACTGGATAAAAGCCGGCCTAAAGCTCCCTCACGTCATTGCGTGCAACCAATGCCATGTCTGATAGGCATATGAGGAGGATTGGGATGTAGTTCATCACACATCCATCGAAGTTGTTTAGGTCTTGTTTGTACGACGCATGATAGGTCACTACCAGCCGCAAACCAAATGAATTTCTGTGAAAAATGGTGTTGCGCCCAACTTAACTCACCGTCTGGCCCACGTCAATAGATGTTCCACCGCATAATAAGGCTTTATAAAAGACAAGTGAGTGGTAGAATCAAAGATGTTCAATATAGTACATCTGTTCGTCGGTATCAGTTCCTCAAATAAAGCGATATCTTCGAAAAATCACCTCAAGCGCTCTGGTGAGGCATAAAGAGATGTATTCCGTAATACTGTGAAGATGCTGCAAAGAACAGTATTAGCAGCAGATATTTTTGTACTCATCAGAAGAGGTATAATCTCACATCTGTGCAGACCCTGTACAGCTCGGGCCTGATATATGAGAGCGCTCCCGCGATCACTGATTCAGACATGTGAGCAATGGAACATCCTCGACGGAATAGCCTGATACTCGATCAGTTGATTACATTCGGTGCCAAGGCGGAGGAGATCTGAATCATTTGATCATCATTTGGGTTAAGTCACTTCAGTGTCCGGTCCCGGCGTGTTACAAATGGCAACTGAGTCGTGTCACAGCTTGTGTGATTTTCATTGTGCACGAATGCTGCAAACGGACACCAGGGTCCAGCACCAGCGTCACTGTACCATGTCATGATGTGCTCATGCAAATGCCGTATCTATGTGTTGGTTAGTTTTGCGAACAAAAGGGAGAAATCAGATGGATTGTTGGCAGAATTACTTATCTGAGCTATAGAAAAGAATGTTCGAGTGGTATACAGTACACTATCTCATAATGCATAACGTCGGGACCCCCTTCGACCCTATGCATTATGAGATTTATGCATTAGTACATATGTCACACTTGTGACAAATTGTGACACCGTGCGGTAGAGCATCACCGGCACAAGTACATACTACATATCTAACGAAAGTAAGCATCTATTGTAGTCTGTGTCGAGTGTAGAAGCTCCTCGCGTCGCAGCTCAGCACGGAAAAGACGGATCTGTTTCAACAACTCAAGTCGAAGTGTTGCATCAGCATTTCCAAACTGGAGGCAAGCCCTTCCGAGCCGCTGACACAGCGCAAGTGTTTCTGCGCGGGAAACCTCTGGTTCAATCACTGAGAGTGAGGTTTTGACGTGCTGTGTGCACTGTAGCTGGTTGTGCTGAAGTTACCGGAGCATTTTTGACCTTGAGTTTTTTTTGCTGTATCTGGTATGGTGGGGGTGTATCTCGAGGTTTGCGTTTCCGAACAGACTCGGACATGGTGGATGGTAATTGAATCAAGGTTGGTTACTCTGACAATATTGTAACATGAATAAAATGACCCGAACAAGCATCGCCGATATGACTCAACCGGCCAAAAATGCTATCTCATAATGCATAATGGTCCCACAGGCTTATGCATTATGGTTCAATTTCTCACTGGCCCACGGTGGGACCTTCCGAAGTCAATGCATTATGAGATTTATGCATTATGAGACGATGCATTATGAGATAGTGTACTGTAGTTTGAGCATAAGCCCGAACGGCGAAGGGCTCCTCGACATAAACCCGCATCTGTCGAAGATGAACGATGAATCTAAATATACCAAAGGGTCCCAGGCAATGCGTCTGGAAAAGTCTGATCACTCCGTGCAAAGGAGAATAGTACACATCACTACACATCCTTGAAAGCATGATATTGACGATGAGTTGGATGAAGTTCGGCGGTTCAGTGTGTGACGTGACAACGCGCTGCGTCACGCCGAATACAAACGCGTCGCGTCCGCTTTTACATACAGTCCAAAATTTCTCATCCATAACCGTGAACGCCTCCCACGAAATCCCTAGTATGCCAGCACAAAAACGTAAATCAGACGCCGAGGAAGCGTCATCTTCAAAGAAATCACGCACTTCTCACTCCTCTGCGAAAGCGCTCATCAAAACCATTCTTGCTCACCCTGACACATACCCGATCCCAGATGACGACGAGGATATCCGTCAGTCCCTGGTCGAGTTGGCCCAATACGCGAAAGAGCTTGAGCAGAATCTTCAGCAAAGAGAGGCTGGTTCCACGCCCAAGGCTATGAGTGCAGATCAACTTGCCGCGGCTGTCGAGAAGATCAGAAAGGCTGCCAACAGTGGTATCAAGAAGCAGATGACAGTAGGTTTCCTCGATCATTCTCATTTGTCAACCTGTTATAAACGTACATTACAGTGGAAACCGTCGTGCAAGGCTGGCACTGCCAAGTGGTCCTACGATGGCGTTTGCGCTGATCCCGTTGTCTTTGGTACTATGCTAGGCCTTGGTGGTCCACCAACGTGGAAAATGCACAAGATGCCCATTGATGACTTTGAAACACGCATTGGTCACCTCGACGCGTCTGCCAGGTCTGTCTCATTGATTATTATCTTTTTAAATATGACTTGTTCTTGCTGCGAGGCAGATATTCGCACCTCTACCTCAAAGGTCCGCACGTAAACATCCGCTGGAGCGATAGTGGAGAGTTCAAGTTTAGTGGAACATATGGCGCATAGATTACTCATCGTCCTCCCTCACGAATTTTTTGAAGAGTGCTCAACTACAGCTTCTTTCTTGGCACTGATTGATCCTATAGGTACATGCTTGTCCTGTAATTTACCCTACACTGCTGTTACTCCCATGAATGGTTTACAATATTTTCATTAGTATCCCTGATTCCCCTCGAGAGATGAACCGGGAAGAACTTCGTGTCCAGAAAAATTGGTCATGGACTCATGGCAAGGGAATGCACTGTGCAGGCTCGGCGAACAAGACTTTTTTCTTTGGCAAAACAAGTCGCCAAAGGTTCCTATTCGGGAGTCATAAGTGTGGAGAGACAGTTGGGTGAGTAGAGTTTGAAAACAGTTGACCCTTGAAGGTGCCGAGTCCAGAGTAAGAATCGTGCCTGGTCACGTGATGATGGAGCTGACTTTCAAGGATGCTGCGCGTGTTCCTTGGTTTGTCTTGGTTTGTCACAGCTAGAGAGCTATGTCTACACCAGCTAATGCTCAAGCTGGCCCTCCCGCCGAGCAGGATGAAAGTCCAGTCCGGAAATTGTTTTCAGTGGCTCAGGTCAGCGCACATTTACCTAAAATCTGTGCAATACCACAGCTAACCCGATCTGCAGCAAGTGTTTTTGATATGGGCATTCTCTCAGCTTGGTGCGTCACCAATTATTTGCTTAGCAGTTCAAGACTTATCGGAGAATGTTTAGCTATGAAATTCATATCACCAGCGAAGCCTTCAACTACCCCTTCCGTCGCAACACCTGGTAATGATGCCGCTCAGCCAGGTGAGGTCAACCCATTCCTTTTACCCCCCGTACAGGCATATCCTGCGTGGAAACTTGGACAACCTTTATCCATGCACGTATATTTCTCGACCTCGCCGAATGGAGATGTGTTTTCCCGTCAATGGACGTCAGCATGGCGGGAAGACCAGGACGCCGGTCTTCCCAATTTCGTCTGGGAGAACATCGTTTTCGGAGACTGGAAGGAGACAAGGGTTGCCACGTATGACATCAACCTTCCCCTGGTGAGCTGCTTAATGTTATCCCTTTAATGTCTATATGGAAACTTGTACAGACTGTGCAAAAGAACGGATCCTTATGGGCAGATATTTTCCTTGTCAAAGATGGCGCGAGTCCGGACCCTTCAAATCCCTCTTTTGATCCTCATTCAGTACATCATGTTCGGAAACGTGAGCTTAGAACCTGCCGGCTTCCAGTCCGGGATTGATTCGTGTTTCATTTCAGTTTTGACGCGGTACATGCCCAGAGTGAAAGCACGCAAAGAAAAAAAATTGCTTTCCAATCCGGATGACAATGAAGAGGTGGAAGAGGTTTGTCACTGTCCTTTTTCTTGCTACCACTTTCGACGAGTAGGATCCTCTAGGAGCCGCAAGACGATGTCATAGTGTCGCATTGGCACAAGGTAGATCTTAATTTGTATGAATCTTCTTTCTAGATAAACCCATAAACAGAACCTCACATTGGCCCTCGTTTCCGACGAGACGGTCATAGCAGTCGACAAATTGCCCCCAGTCCTGGTTGAGCGTATGTTTGTCTAAGAGGGTTCAGGACACATAATTCACTATCATTTAGATGTGCATCTGGTTCCAGGCGCGCGGGATGACACTGGCACTAAAGGATTCTACAAGCCTATAGTCTTCCCCAATGACTTTTGGTTACTTCGCTCGCATCTGATCGAAATTAATACAACCACCCCGACGCTGCCGCTTGAAGTAATTTTCCAACCCATGTCATACTTCAAATTCCAGATATTTGCATCAATGAGTCATGGCTTCGACGAAGCCCTCAAGCAACAAGGTGGTGGCGCAGGAGCGGAACTTGACGAGGTCAAACGAATGCTTACCGAGACTAATCCATGGTTCCTGGGCCTGACTGGACTGGTTAGCATGTTGCACGTTGTGTGAGTGCATCTCGGCGATTGTCGGATACGTTATTGATCCTGTGGCGCATGAAGATTCGAGATGCTTGCCTTCAAATCAGATGTTTCGCACTGGCGCCAGCGGAAGGAGCTGGTGGGTATCTCTGTCAGGTGAGATATTACGTGGTACAGGCGTCGTTGGCTGCCATAGTGACTTCTCATTCTCCTTCAACAGAACGGTATGTTCCCTTTTCGGGAGACGCCCCAGTCTCAAATTGATCGGCGTATTGGATCGTTTTCTAGATAATAACGAACGTGTTCGTCCAGACCGTGGTGCTTTTGTACCTCATTGACAACAACGAAAACACGAGCTGGATGATCCTTATGGGGTCTGGGATGGGTGTCGTTATCGAGGCCTGGAAGGTGCATGAGGAACATTACCACAAAATCGAATTAAGCTGATTCTATTCGCAGATCACAAAGGCTGTGGATATCAGCATCATCGCTGCTCCGTCTGGCTCTCAATTGCCCTATATGCTTAGTATCAAAGGTACAGTTTCCTGCACGTGTTTTCGTGCGCTAACACACGGCCACGTCAGATAAGCATGTCCTCAGTGACGATGAGAAGAAAACACAAGAGTGAGTCAATGCAGTCGTTACAGATCCAGGACAATGAATATTGACATAATTATTTGGTCAGGTATGACAAGCTTGCATTCCGCATTGTGTCATACTTTACTATTCCATTACTCGCCGCTTATACGATCTACTCGCTGATTTACGAGACCCATAAAGGATGGTACAGCTTCGTGATCTCGACGCTGACTTCATTCGTGTATATGTTTGGCTTTGTAAGTCCGCATTGCATGCTGCTGCTCGGCTACCTGACATCGATGAATTATGACAGGCACAATTGATACCTCAACTCATTATCAACTACAAACTCAAGGTTTGTCGCTTGCCCATACGGGGATTATATCCTGTCCTGACTTGCGATATTCTTTCAGAGTGTGGCGCATATGCCTATGAAAGCAATGATATATAAGACTTTGTCGACAGTTGTCGACGATCTTTTTGCGTAAGAATTTACGATAAATCAGTGCATAATTCCAGGCTCACAAGACCTGTCGCGGGAATACAGGTTCTGCATTAAGATGCCTATGCTGCACCGGCTGGCATGCTTCCGGGATGATGTTGTGTTTTTAATTTTCCTGTATCAGGTGTGTCCACGAGCTATTTCTCCACATATAATCCGAACTCAAGCCTCGTGTTTGTTTAGCGCTGGATCTACCGTATCGATCCTAAACGAGTGAACGAGTATGGTCAGGTAATGGCAGAGGATGTCATCAAAGTTGACGGCAGCGGTGAGACAAAGAAGGACAAGTAGACCTCCAAGGACCTCGCCCGATCAACCCAGCGTCTCGGAATGCTTAGTCTAATGGAATGTTCTTGTTCTTCTGCGTGCCAAGTCTTGTGGGGCCCGCGTAAATGCGATTGACTCACCCTAGACCATTGACGTTCCTTGCTAATTCAGGTAGACTGTATTATCTGGAGTCTTGATTATTGTGATCAGGAGAGATATCTTGTAATATCCCCAATTGGTCTGATGCGCGGGGGAACTCTGGACCTTTGGTTTTCGCCGTTGCTGGAACATTTTTGACTTTTGCGGCGATATTGGATAAAATTAGGTAGAAACACGCGAATTGTACCGCACTCATCGGACCGTGGAAAATATTTCTTGATTGGGATGACTATGACACAGGATTCATATCCACATCTCTGACTCTCTCGCCAACGCTAGTGTTGTAATCTCCTTGCCTTTCATCTTGCCAGGTCATCATCAACCATGGCGAATGTCCGCCAGGATGGTACAACCAGGGCTTGTAAATGTCTCAATATTCGAATAGATTCCAAGCAACCGCCACCGCAGAGCACGCCTCCAGATTTTCTCAAGGACAGTGCAACAGATTCTGACTATACACTGATGTATGTTGGTCAAGACGGTCTCGACGTTGTAAGTCGCATCTTTTAGCTAATGCATTTTTTTTCACCGTGAATTCTGATTTATATGATAGGCCCATCCTCAGGTGACGATGAGAACACGTACAATGGGTCCCTCTCTGGGCGATACAAATCGATGCATCCGGTATACGACACTGACTTGTTTATTGTGTCAGACCCTCGCATATCGTGTGCAGCAGTTGGTCCCATTGGATGTGGAAGGCCAAGAGGGACCATTACTTCCAACTTATGATTGGGTCGAGCAAGACATACTGATGAGTAGTTGCGGCTGGATTGAGGTACACGCTGAGTGCCTGGTGAGTCATTTCATTTTCCTCCCGTTGCTAGTGAGGGATGTTAGGTCTCTAGTCTCTAGCACAATTCCCTCAGCCCTTTGTGCAATTTCTGGGGATATGCCATGACGTCTATGACGTGATGATTCCATGCAGGGTTTGCTGACTGGAAACTTTCTTTAGGGTCCTGATGCCGTCTTCAGGCTCCTGTCGTCAACGACATATTCCTCAATTTTCAATGTTGCTGTGCCACCAGGTGCCTCCAAGCCCTGTGCGCAGCCCTCTTACATCACCTCCACTGACGTGTCGCGCCCTCGAGTACTTTCTGAGCCCATATTGTCAAATTTGCGTCCCTTGTTTCCACCCGCGCCCTTTATACCTTCACATCCCGTTTTTGCTCACCTGTCGTCCATAGCCACATCCAAGTCACAGGGTCTAAGATCGTCCGCTGAGGAACAGTTCACTGCTCTTATACGGGATAAAGTCGCTGAAATTGAGAAGGCTGAGGAGGATTTGAAAAGAGCCGTGGAGAGTCTCTGGAAAAGATTTCTCGAGAGCTTAGGTCAGACGGAGAAGGATTGGGGCGCGTCCGATGTCGCTAAGCGGAGGGATTCTACAAGAAAGCCCAATATCAACAATGTAGTGGGGCCGGCCGTTGGTTCACCGGTGGTTTCCGTACGGGACTTCGTGCCTGTCGTCAGCCCCGGCAGAATGGTTTCCCCTGCGTCATCGATACCAAGAGTATCTTCGCTCTCTGCTTCTCTTGCGACTTCGGCATTTCACCATCCTCGTGCCCTTCAGGAACGAAATACTCATTCTGGACAGGCAAGCGATATTCCACGGTCGCCGCCGCCTTATTCATCCCATCCGTCATCTGTCGGCTCTGCTGACAGTCGGTCACTGTCGTCCTCTATTTCGTCTAGAGAACTACTGCCACTGACGACAGGTGAGAGTCTGATTCAGCCATTTAAACGCAGCATGGACGAGGCTCGGGATACGGCTGCGAGCTTCCGATATTTCATAGATATGGAAGCTGAGATGGAAATTATGCGCGGACGTCAGCGACTCCCAGCAACCGGAACGACCGATACAGAGACGTGGAAAGCGACTACGCAACCGAGTAACGCTTCCACTTCCGCCAGGGCACCCGGCGACGAAGAGAACAAGCTGAAGGGAGTTAAAGAGGGCCGATTGCAGAAGCCAGATCATGGCAAGAATGGCAACGAGTCGAGGGGGAAGCGCAAGGTGACATTTGACATTAAACCAGACACGTTGATAGCCGACGGGCCAAATCCGGAGAAAAATGGAAGCAGTCAAGGACGCGATGTGCAAGGTACCTAACTGTGATCATTTTTACGCGATTTTCTGACGTTGCTTTCATTTTAGACATGATATTTGATCTGGATGGTGAAAGCAGTGATCGGGATTCTTCAGACGCAGCTCCTGTCCTTCCATTCAAAGAGACTCTACACATTCCCCGACGCCGTGCACGCCTCCGTAACAACACGAACCATATTGGCCTACCAACATCTCTATCGTCATTGAGGCCGACCTCATTACCCGCCTATGCTTCTCTTCAAGCCCAGATAACTAAACAGGACTCGACATTTAGAACACAAGCCCCAACCTCTGAACAGTTGCACACTGAATGTATCCGACCCACCATTGAAGCTAAGGCTCCTGATCCCCAAGAACATGAAATTTTGAAGTTGGTTGCCGCTGATACCCCGAGTCACAGAGGCGCTTGGAAGCCCAATAGCAGAGCGTGGCAGTTGTTTGTCAGTAGACAAGGTGGCAAGAACGGCTCGGCTGGGGCGTTCATACCGGAGGAGGTTGAAGTCGGTGTCACTGTTAGTGACACCGATGACAGTGACGATATAACTTCGGGTCAGTTTTTTCTTCCCTTTAATCAAGTCGCCATGTTCAAGGCTTATGTAGGTACGCGTTATCATCCTCCAGGAATCCCGGGGTCGTTGCCCATCAGTATTGGGCCATTATCACGCAAGCGAGAACCTCTATCATTGGCGTCATATCAGCCAAAGACATCCCTTCCTGACCGTGCTAGTGCCATGGTGCCCCCTTTGCCAAATATGGTTGGCAGGCATTCCACTTCTTCTTTGCGCAAAGCTTCGTATGCCGCTCGTGATCGTGACCGTTCCATGGACCCCGGAACGCTGGACTTTGTCTCGCCAGATGACGAGGGTGACGAGGATGACGAGAGTGATGACGAACCTTCTCAAATGGACCCTCCTGATGAAGCACGGGGCAGACAGCGGGCGTTCAAGATCCTTGAAGCCCGAAGTAAACTTCCAGCGGCTGGAATGTGGAGAAGCCTGGCATAAGACCACTTCAAGTTGGTGATCTACATTATTCTTTCAATAATTGCCGTGCTTCATCTACTTTGCACCTTGATAACCTACTTGTACCAATACCGTTTGTTGTACATGGTACGGATGTTTTGGCGTGCATTGAAATTCATCTTAGTTTCTTTTCCTGCGATCGCAGATGTATTGTTCAATGGATGAGTACTTACATTTGTAACCATAAATGGAAGTTCCGCCCAGCAAAGTTTGAATTTAAGTTTGAGCTAGCTAATGACTTAAGCTTGATTGGTTGCTATTTTGTTTGGATGTCACGGTCCAATCAGAGGGACCGTAATTCCATGTCGACTTCACCAGCAGTGGCGACCAAGTGTAATCATCATGTTTGTGGAAAGCCTGTCACTACTTTTCACCATCTTGTCATATTCTTCCACCATTCGTCCGTTTTCTGGTCTAGTTCCGTTAGCCTGTCATCTTCTCCTTGTACGTACTAGATCACACCGCTACAATATGAATATGACAAGCTCAAGGTTTCAGATTTCTACCGACTCGGGCAGAATTTTACGAGTTGACTTTAAGTTTTGAAGTCTGGTGTCGAGTATCACGACATCGCGGAGCCCCCATGGGGTTTGCGCTTAGGTACCTACTACACCGTTTCGTTCCTGCAGATCTTGTTCTTCGGCCCGCTTGCCTCCATCAAAGCCTACATGTGATGAGTCAGATATGGAGCACATGGAGGAGCTCCAAATTGTCATCATTGAAGCTCAATTGGCCCCTCAGGCCTCAGGCCTTTGACAGGAGGCGCTGTACCTGTTATCTATATAGAAGCAGCTTTGCGGCCGTGTGACTTGATGAGATAAACCTGGGGCCGTGAGTAATGCCAACGATCAGCGCTCAGCATCCTCCCTGAACATTCATGAGCGCAATTAAAGTTGGCGTTATCACAGGTTAGGGTGTTGTTGACTTCATATCGCTGAGGGTCAAACTGAGCCACAAATCGTGTCAGTCAGCGACACAGCATCGGTGGACGCAGCTGCAGACAGATCGGGTCCAACGATTCAGGAGATCGTTCGGCAACGAGGGCACGGTTGCACACGCTCGGCGATTCTTCCAGATGATGAACAACAAATAAGGGAGACAGTAAAAAACTGGTGCTACGATGTCGAAAACGCTGTTGACTGGATCATCTCCACGGGGGGAACAGGATTCGGCGTGCGCGATCGGACACCTGAAGTAGATACCATTCATACTGCTTCCGCAGGTACTAACTTCCTCCTCTTTAGGCGATTGCCCCCTTGTTAGAGCGCGAGGCAGCAGGAATCGTTCATCTACTGCTAGCCGAGTCGTTGAAGCGCACTCCGCTGGCAGCACTATCTCGACCTGTCGCAGGCACAGTAGGAAATACTCTTGTCGTCACACTTCCTGGCAGTGTGAAGGCAGTCAAAGAAAACCTGGAGGCTCTTTTTGCAAATGGGTTCATCGAACATGCCATCGATCTCATCAGAGGGGGAACTGGCAAGCAGGTGCATGCTGCTATGGGTTCAGGACATGGTGGAGTCCCGCACCACCACCATCATCATCATGATCACCGCGTGCCTCAGCCTCGGTCAATTTTATCTCATGATCCTTCTTTGCCCGGTAAGTCTTCATCCAATACTTAGTCCGCATCAATGCATTATGTGATCATCGACAGTTTCTGCTCGTCATCGCGTTTCACCATATTCGCAAATATCCCTCGAGGACGCTCTGAATATCATCGTGAATGAAATCCAACCACTGGGTGTGGTATCTCTTCCTGTCAGTGAAGGCTAGACACATCGAGTACTTGCTGAGTATCAACAGGTGACACCTGCGCTGGCTGGTAACATCCTCGGCGAAGATGTCTTTGCTCCGCAAAATGTTCCTTCATCAAAGACTACCAGCGTAGATGGCTATGCGCTTCACTGTTAGTTTTCATATCTGTGCATGTGATGGGCTATGCTGATGTAGCCATTAGCGTCTGACCCTCCTGGAGCGTACAAGGTTTTGACGTCTAGAACTCACGCCTTGACCGATGTTCTTCCTGAGGGATCCATTTTTCGAATTAACACGGGAGGGCCCCTCCCAGCAGGAACTGATACGGTGATCATGGTTGAAGATACTGAGCTATTATCTACTGCCAAGGATGCGAATGGACAGGATGCAGAAGAAAAAGAGGTGAAAACTCTCGCGCAGGTCCCGCCAGGCGACAATATCCGAGAACCGGGCTCTGATGTGCATAAGGGTGACCTCGTGCTTCAGAGAGGCGAGGTCCTGACGAGTCTCGGAGGCGAAGTTGGGACCCTAACATTTGTCGGGAGAAAAGAGGTATGTCGACAAATAGACGTGTGTCACTGCGGAGATGAACTGTTATCAGGTCAAAGTGCATCGCAAGCCCGTTGTCGCTATTCTGAGTACGGGAAACGAGCTTCTAGACCTCCAATCTCCTAACCCACTTCCCTCTGATGGTTGGGGAGGCATTTGGGATACTAACCGGCCCTCACTACAGGCAGCTCTCGAAGGAATGGGATATAATGTTGTTGACCTTGGAATTGTTTCCGACGAGTAAGAAGGCTGATTTATTCAACACTCATCATCTGAGGCGGCTCTAGCATCGACGCGCATGTGAAAGCAATAAAACAAGGTCTTGAAAGTGCCGACCTTTTACTCTCGACGGGCGGGACATCCATGGGAGCGAGCGACCTTCTCAAGCCTGTAATCGAACGTCAATTCGGGGGTACGATCCACTTTGGACGGGTGTCAATGAAACCTGGAAAGCCAACTACGTTTGCAAGTATCCCGACAACACAAGGAGAACACGAGAGGAAATTCATGTTTGCTCTCCCCGGTAACCCTGCTTCTGCCCTGGTCACATTCTACGTCTTTGTCATACCAGCGTTGCGGAAGCTTGGCGGATGGTCTGGTAAAAGATGCCAGCTGCCCCGCGTGCGTGTGAAGGTACGTGTAACTCACGCCTTTAAGAAGTTTTTTCTTCACGATACGGTAGCTGGGAGATGCCATGCGACTGGACTCTCGTGTTGAATTCCATCGTGTGATCGTGAAGGCTGGGGAGGAAGGTTTACTAGTAACGAGTACAGGTGGCCAAAGGTCGAGTCGAGTTGCAAGCCTGAGCGGAGCGAACGGCCTTGTACAACTACCAACAAAAAAGGAAGGTGGGCCAGATAGATTGGAAGCTGGGAGTTATGCAGATGCTGTTATTATCGGAGAATTGCAGATGTAAATACTACATTAACATAGTCACGCCTCATTAGCAACGTTCACAATGAAAGCAAGCTCAAGTCCTGTATACATCCGCTTGCCCGTCGGAAACGTCAACAGCTTCGACAATGGTCAGCGCGTCCCTCCAGATTTTCTGATCAAATTTAGTGAGCAACGGGGCCTGACGTTACGTCCCGCTCTCCTTCGGAGAGTTGTTGCCACCATGTATCAGGTAAACTATGCATTCCCGGACCCTTCAATTTCTAGTGTGCCCATCTATTAAGAACCTTTTAGTTGGGTGTCCGAGTATCTGGAACTTACATATATAAGTTGTTGCGGCGCGCCCGAGTTCCCCTTTCATAAGCTCCTAAGTCTTTCATTCAAAGTTGAGCACTGCTGGCAGATTGAGTACGTTCGGTTTCATGTGTTCTCCCAGGCAAAGTTGGGAAGACAAGTGCCAGCGACCAACAACAGTCTTCCCCCATGCTGCCAGTGACGTTTATTGATGGCAGAACATACCGCTATTCGGCAAGATCTAAGAATACACGTCACAGATAGTATGGCTGTGTCAAGCCTGTGTTGGATCCGGAGGTAAAAAGAAACTCTGATGGAGAACTTTTCCACCTACTAGAGCTCCAACAATTTGGCCTATGAGGCTCATGATCTGCCCATTGAATGACTGATTTCACAAACATGAGAAAGTTCGCCACGACTATGTCTGTGAATAGTCGCTATAAGTATCGCGGGGGCATGAGGACTTTCAAGAACTTACTCTACATTCCGAGGGACAATGAGTTCACGAGCGAGGTTTAACCACACATCTAGTAGAGTCCAGATCTGAGGGTTCAGCCGAATTGTCGCGTTAGCGGGGACGATTGGAGGTGATTGTGAAGTTATCCAGGATAGATGAGCTTCGCAACATTGATGACATTGGACAGGTCGTAAGTACTAGTTAGTTATGGTATCAGCACATTTTACAGCCGGGAAGCGCCAACTGCACTATCGTGACAATCGGATGCGAGAGGATACATTCTAGAAGCTGCGGAGATCATTTGCAGAGGTAAATGGGCTTATACCATCAAGGAAGACGCACATAAAAACCAGGATGTTCTCGCTGCAGCCTTGATGGAGGCGAACAACAGGCTCAGTATGTCCTGGGCGTCTATGTAGCAATCACGAGACAGGTTGATGTCGGTTTCACACCCACATTAATTTTACCTCGACCGTACCATCAACCTCCAAGAAAATGGAGTTGCAGCTCATTCCAAGCACCACACCCGAACGGCAATTTAAGGACCATGAGAGCGTCATAACCTCGGTCGCAGTTTTCCCCGATAGACGCCGTATGGTCACCGGCTCGCTGGATAACACGCTTCGCGTGTGGGACCTGAAGACAGGTGTTGTGTTGAAGAAAATGGTGGGGCATCGCGGCGGAGTGTGGGGATTGGCAATATCGCGAGATGGGAAGTTGATGGCAAGCGGTGATAACAACGGAGACCTTATCGCCTGGCATGGAGCAACTGGAGAATCTCTCACCCAAGTCATGGAAGCCCACTCCAATTGGATCGAAGCGTTGGACTTTTCTCCTGGTGGTACAGCACTGGCTACCAGTGGTTCACAGGACAGAACGACGAGGTTATGGAGCACGGAATCATGGCAGCAACAAGAAAATCCAATCAAATGCAGTGATTGGGTCCGCTGCATTCGGTATTCGCCGTCTGGCGAACTTCTCGCGATTGCGACAGACAGCAATATCGAAATTTATAACCCAAGCACAAGGGAATGCATCGTGAAGTTCAAGGGTCACACTGTAATAAATGTATCACTCGCATGGACACCCGATAGCACACGTCTTCTCTCAGGAGGCAATTATCAAGATCCTAGCATACGGGAGTGGGATGCATCGACCTGGCAGCAGGTCGGAGATGCCTGGACGGGCCATACTAACGCTATCAATGCCATTACTGTTCACCCTACTGGCAAACTCGTCGCTTCTGCATCTACCGACAACTATGTCCGCCTCTGGCGGCTCTCGGATCGAAGAACGATTGCCATGTTCCAACGCTCGTCCTTAACACAATGCGTCACTTTCTCAGTGGATGGCAAGCACATCCTCAGCGGAGGTGATGACAATGTAATCTCAGAGTGGGCAGTCCCTAGGGATGCTTTGCCAGAGGAATTTCTCAAGAAACCGGCATTGAAGGTACTTTTACGCTTATCTCTCTCCCCTTCGCCGTCTCATCTAGCATGTTTTTGATGTCAAGGCTCAAGTCTCTGATTCAAAAGCATGTCCGCACCCTTGATAGTAATAACGCAAATTGACCATGCTTCATCCCGCAGATCCTTACCATCAATACGACCGCCCGCGATGCATGCATCGCGGGGAACTTGTCTGCCGCCGAAGAGCTATTCACACAAGAGATTGACACTGCTGCCAATAACTACACCTCGTATGCCAACCGCTCATTTATTATGGCACGCAAATATCGTTGGGACTGCGCGCTTCGGGATGCAATCAAGGTGAGATATACTGATCCATCATAGACTATATATGACTCTAATTATCGTCGTGACACAGTCCATCAGCATTGAGCCCTCATTGGCAGGCTATATCTCCAAGGGTATTGCCCTCTGTGGAAAGGAGCTAATTTGGGACGCAATGAAAGCATTTGACCTCGCGTTCATGTTCGCAAACGAAGATTCAAAGATTGTCCATTTCCTTCTTTTGATTAAAGTACGTTCGTTTTTTATTACATACTCCGCACTTCCTTACGGGTTGCAGGCCATCGCTATTTTCAATGCAGGTCAACATGAAGAAGCAATAACACGTGTGCAAGAACTAGCTGACGCTTGTCCGAACAATGATACTGTTGTGTGTCGCATCGTGGAAGTGAGTATCATGTCCTTAATTGACACCACTTTCGTGTATCGGCATTGATGTTCCTGAACTTGGCACATCAGGCATATCTGTGTGTTCAACTCGGTATCAATGCTATGGATGATGCGCATTACAACGAGGCTGCTGACCACTTCACCGCCGCTGTCAACTCTGACGCTTTCTCATCTAAATCAGCTATTCATTCCATATACGAGGACTTGGTGATGGTACGTTGGTATCATTTATCTGAACATATTGTTCATATCGATTCCGTGCTTTGCGCAGCTCTTCGGATGGGACCTGAATTCGTTGTGGAAAAATGCACATCAGAAACAGTGCGATGCACTCCGTCAGGCAGGTAGGCTTGAAGAAGCCATGGACTCGTACCGAGACATGATGGATAGAAGTGACGAAAACACACAGGCAAGCTGCCTTGACTGGTCCAATGGCAAGTCTGGAGTCTGTAATGTCGCGCAGGCTGTAATTCTCACGCCATTCCAATCAGCTTTCAAACAAGAATGCAGCATGTTCTATCTTGCCAATGCAGATACCGCCCTCGCTGCAAACGATCACGACAGGGCTATCGGCTTATACTCTGAGGCAATTGCACTAATTTCTTCAAGTTACACCATATGTGCAAGCGATGCTATCCTTGCGGGCGACACCGTCTTTGCAAGCCCCAGTAAGGCTAAGGAAGCAATTGACCCAACTTTTTCAAACGGCACCATCTTTGCAAACCGCAGTAAGGTTCAGTCGGATAATTTGGTATGGGAGGATGTGCTTCTTGACGCAGAAAAGGTATGATGACATCCACTCAGTATTTCATAGCCAATGCTCACTTTGGTGATTCATAGGTCATCGAACTCAACCCTTCGTCTCATGTTGGATACCAGGTGAAGCGCGCAGCGCTTCATTGCGCACAACGCTATGATGAAGCAATTGAGACCTTCCAAATCATGCTGTCCAAATTGGACGAGGCTCCCGACATCCAAATACGAAGTAAGCCCTACGTAACACATACATCAAGATGTTAAACTCTTCCCTAAGGGCTGCGCGAGCAGTTTATCAGTCCCTCCGATTTGGAGAGTATCATTCGAAGGGCCATTGACGTTCAACTCGATACCGCCCCGCTTCGTTTAATTGACACCGCCACCGGGTTCTTATGTGATCGAGAAGCACAAATAAGCACGTTCCAAACGAGCTCAAAGTACAAGGAGCTTTTGTTATCGAGCACAAAACATCCCCTCCGTATGGAACGCATCACAGAAGCAGTGACGATGTACTTCCGTTGCGTCATGTTATCCCATAGATGGGAAGGGAAGGAGCCGCTGCTGCGGGACATCCAGGACAAAATTGTGTACAAGTTGAATTCGCTCGGCGGTATCGTAAAGTTGCGGACATTCTGCGAAATTGCTCGCGATGCGGGGTATCGCTGGGCATGGAGTGATACATGCTGTATCGACAAAACCAACAACGTCGAGCTGCAAGAATCACTCAACTCTATGTTCGTATGGTATCGCCATTCAGCGCTTACGATTGTCTATTTGTCAGATGTTCTGCCTTCATCCAAGCCCGGCGCACTGGCGAGGAGTGAATGGAACAGACGAGGATGGACCTTTCAAGAATTCCTCGCTTCCAAAATCATTCTCTTTTACCAGAAGGACTGGACCTTATATCTCGACGACCATTCTCCCAACCACAAAGACTCCGCTGCGATCATGGAGGAATTACATGACGCGACTGGCATAGATCGACAGACCCTCGCTGTCTTCCGTCCAGGGATGAGCAACGCCAGGGAGAGACTTCGATGGGCATCGTCACGCATCACCACATTGCAGGAAGACGTCGCATACTCGTTATTTGGCGTTTTCGGTGTTTACCTACCCGTAATTTACGGTGAGAAGAAGCAGAATGCACTCGGACGGCTCTTGCAGGAGATCGTGGCTCGGTCGGGTGATACTACTGCCCTCGACTGGGTCGGACAATCCTCCGAATTCAATAGTTGTCTTCCGGCCGACATTACCTCATACGCAGCTCCGCCATTCACCGCGCCATCTTTGTCTGAAGATGAGATTTGGACAACAGTTTCCTCGTTGCGAAATATCGTGGCTGCGGAATTGGCTTCAAAACTCTATACCCTGCTTGACAGCATGGGAGCTCCTCGTTTCGCGCACTGCAGGCTTTATCTGCCTTGCATGGTGTTCCGTGTCGCAGAAATCAGACGGAGGCGCGAACCCATTGGGAAACACGCCACTAGTGTCACATATGGGGTCAAGGCAGACGGGCTTCATGACCTGCTGATCACCACGGAAGAGAGCCTTGTTCAGTTCACCCCAGCACGACCTATTCGTCAGACAGTCTTGCTTGTCCGTCCCTGGAATCGGAATCTTCTTGAGCCCGCTGAATTTGCAGAACCTCCTGATTTTGGAGATGATACACTAAGCGAGGATGAATATTGGTCCGTGCGCGGGTCTCCATTCGATGGGTCATATGGTAGTTCTGATGGAGAACAGGAGCTGGTTGACTCAGAATCAATCTCACGGGCATTGCGATTGATCGTTCGCCTCGGACAACCTTTCAGCGCACTTTTGCTAGCGCAGCAGTTTGGGGGAGAATACAAAAGGATTGCTTCGGACCACAATATTATTGCAGAGGTCAAAGACATAGCTTCTGTCAATGACATGATGAATGTCAGGTTCCTAGAAATATTATAATTGTATGTATTTATCTGAAAACCGAAGATCACTGGATAATTGTCGCGCTTTGTATGATATCGCACTGATTTGACAGGAAGGGGGGCGATTAGTCCGAGACTAATCGCGTCAAGGAACAGCACTCGCGAGAGGCATCAGGAATGTGACGAGGGAATTTGGTAGTAAGAAGGGACTGGCGCGATCTGGAAGGTTTGTAGTCCGGCAGCTTTAGAGAAAAGAAAGGCCGGACGTGGAAGAGCCAAACCTTCTGAGCGTGAAAAAGTCAGTCTCGAAGTGCGTGTTGATGGGACCGCGAAGAGGAGGAAAACGAGACCAAACCGAAACACGCTGGTGTATCGACAGAGAAAGGGAAGTGGGTGGGTGGACAAATTTCTCGTGCTGAGGAACCTGGAGGTGGGGGCACAAGGCAAAGAGAGAATTTGATTTATTGAAGAGCACATGTACTACGTGCGAGAACTGTGTGTGATTACAAAGCCCCTGCTACTGTACTGAGATACGGACTCCACTTTCGCTCTCCTTCACATCCTTCTGCGCAGGATCAACTACACATCACCTTTTCAGACTTGGATGTCGTGATGACATTTGAATTTTGCATTGTTGTGAACAACAAATGACGAAAAATCAATGACTTGTAAAACATTTGTCAGTTGTTTTGAATGCAATAAATACATTGGATCTCAAGAAGATCGGTGCAAGTCCATGTCTGCCTTCATATAGTACATGTTACAAAATGACATGTCAACAGCTAGCAAAATCTACGTCTGGACAGCTTCAAAACCTGTGCTAGGACTTATAGCCGACGTGCGACGTTGCGCTGCAATGTAGTGCTGACGCTTTTCCAAATCTGAAGAAAACATGGGAATGCATGAGGGTGAAAAGTGGTGAACAAACATACCATGAGCCCACATAGCAGCTCCGATGCGATTTGATACTGTGAAAACAAGACCTACGATTGGCAGACCCTCGAGTAGCGCCGCGACGAAACCGAACACTGATCGTGATGTGAGTAAACACGCAAGTAATGAGATATCGTGCATACTTCGGTAGTCCCATTTGCGCTCCTCAATAAATACAGCTTCCTGATGGGCTGTCATTTTTTTTGTGGTGAAATACTTGCCACGGGAGTTGGTATTGACGAGAAGATAAAAATGAGGGCTTACCGGCTTGTGCAGGTCCTGAGCGGTCCTCAAGCTTTTGAAAGCCGCAGCGATGAACGTGCCGACAAATGGATACAGTGAAAGCGGAAGTAAGACGACTGAAGATGTGACGCCTCAGGGAATAGCCCCGCAAATACCATAGAACACATGGTCACCTTTCTGTATGATCATCTTCCAGAACCACATCTTGAACATCTTGTCCAGACGATTCCAACTTTCATTGACAACAGGTGGGGAATCCCATTCTTCAACATATGGCTGCCAGAAATCAGGTCCCTTGCCGCGCGAGGCGACTGTTTGATCCCAGACGCGTTTACGAACAATACGAATATTGCGAGCGACAAAAAAGTTGATGATGCTGGTAACTTGCGATCCTACCAAGAGTATTGCGACGTCTGGGAGGATAAGTATATGATCAGTGTCGAAATGTGGTAACCAGATGATGAGGTGCACATGTGGATATGCTGAAGGGTAACTTGAACCCTAGGAACGTCTCGTGAGATAGTTCGCCTGCGGTTTCTTCGAATCGCGTTATGTAGCGCACGGAGAACATGGAGGAGGGGTTTCTGATGGCTGCTTTGATGATGCGGCGCTGGATGCTGTATGACGCGCACATCTGACCGGAAGCTGTTGAGCATGTGTGCACTGTGCGTAGTGTAAATTTCGACTCACCCAGGCAAAACCACATATCAGCCCTCGTCGGGCACCGTTGCGGCATTTATTCCACGCAGGGACATAGAGAGACTTGTCGGTGAAGAGTCGGTATGCACCGACGACCACGTATGAGGACGGGAAATTGAGCCGCAGCATGGCTCGGTGCAGTTCTTGGGGAACCTCATCATACTTGGACAAGTGGCTCCCTGAGTGTTCTAGGATTGGTTCTACAGGCATATATCCAGAGTTTCGGAAGGAAGCTTAAAGTAAGGTCGAGGTTGCTAGTCGCTAACCGTGCGAATGCTGTCTGAAGTCTTCTAATTCAAATGTATGCATGCGGCTGTGTTATCCGCTTGAAACTTTCTTTCTGAACGCAGACTATGTCTACAGTGACGAAGCGCTCCTGGAACTAGTCTCATCTGTGTTCCCAACTGTCGCTGCACCTCACAATGCACCTTCCTCTCTCACCCTGAACATGCAAGCTCCTGGCATTCCCTCCCCAGTAATGACCACGTTGCCTGCGCCGCCTGCAAGTGCGCAAATTGAGCACACCAACACCGTGACATCTGTGTCTAGTGAGAGGCCTCATAACCTAACAAGTCATAAGGCCAACGAGCACTGAGGCACGTGGGTTTGCCATAGGTTAGTGACCGCGGGTGACTGCAGTATACCAGTCGTTGTCAAAGTACAGGTTGAAAGTTTTATATTATCAAGTACATATCTATCACAGTGGAAGGTGGTGTTAAGCACGTCGTGTGCGTGCCAAGGGTGTTGGAGGGCCTAGAGATGGTGTTGTGCCAGGAACACTGAGTTACAACCACGGACAAGCACAAACGTGGATACATTACACAGACCAAGTGTGAACATAGAAAATGTACCAACGAGTGAAAACACACCTAGGTATACTGCTGGCCAGGGTCAAAAAGGAAATACAACCCATTCCAGGCTGCCTACAGTACTAGATGAGTGTGATTTTGGTGCATTACAAGGTCAAGACTCCAAACAAAGGCCATATGATTGAGAGACGCACAGTTGATGAGTTCGCACGCGCTAGGTCAATTACCTTGTGCATGAGAATATATCAAGTGGCGTTGAGTACGGTAGCGGTGCGGCAATTTACTTACCTTGTTGTGGTACAACACCAATACAACAGCGTTCAAAACCGCTTTGCCACAGATCTTGAAATTATGATAACAAGGCCATCAAGAGTTAGTATATTTATCTGCATTGTGCCTCGGGCTGTTCGGCAAATTGGATAAAAAGCGTTGGGATATCTAGCACGAATGCTGTTTTCATAGTATCATACGTCCACCAACTCGCACTTTTCCCATTCACTGACACCAGTACTTCCTGCATATGACCTTAGTCTCAAATGATTCCAGTTTCTGGCCGCAAATCGCTTTTACTCGTACTGTCAGCTATTTTGTAGGTTCGTAGAGTGCATGTTGATGATGTTTTCACTTTATTTTGACCGTCGTGGTCGCTTTGCAGTTGCATCCTCTACTGCAGTGGTATACGATTGGAGTGAGCAAGGAAGTCCTTATCTAAGAACTGTCGATGACTTATATGATATTCTCCAGTATTGACATTCGGACAGGAGGTAGGTTGTTGACATCATCGGAGCACGTATCTCACTATGAACGGTTTCATAGATTGAACTTCTTTGGGTGAGCAGAGTCCCATCACAAGAACAGCAGCATATAGAATAATTCTGGCAGAGGCAACGATGGTCTCTCGTGACCTTTTTATACCTCGGTGTATGCACTTGCCTATGTTGCAAGCCAGTTGGCAAGTTCAGCTGACTTCAAGATATTATAGCTGCGCTACATTGGACTACTATACTCTGTGTTTGTTTCCAAGAACTAACAAGCTGATGCTGTACTAATAAACTTCTCAGTACCTACGTACTACGTACGTCTCCCTCGCATACACTATTCATTTCTTTTGACCAACGACATGCAGCCAATCTACAGAGCATTTCAATGACAGATGCGGTGAGTTTTCTGCGTACCATTCTCGTCCACCTAATTTGAACTAATTACATTCCTATACAGGGGTGAGTGACGTTCTCGATCAACTTGTTGGTTCAATTTAACCACTGATAACAGTTGTGAGCCTGAGTTTGCTTCACGCAGTTCTCCAATACTCATCGGTAACTTGAACTGGTTTTTCTAGGCACTGATGTTTTAATCGTACAATGGTGGATGTTATTCGTCACAGATATCATGCTAGGTGGTAAGCTGTTCAACTGCAGTCGATGACATTGACTCGACTGAAATACCATGTAAGCCATCATGATCATCCGGTTACATGCCATGTATCAGCAATCCAGAAAGATGCTCGTCTTTCTCATTGTAACCTATCTGGCTGTTGCAATTGCTAGCTCGGTGATGAGCAGCGTAGGATCCCACCCTTTCACTTGGGGTAAGCTTTATTTTTGGATGAATGATTAAGATCCTCAGGCTAACGGGACCAATTCCAGAGGAGTCCGTCCTGTCGGGCACCTATATGTGCATTTTGGTTGCAGAAGACCAGCCCCAACTTCTCACTTGGACTTGGGTGATCGGCACTGCGTGGGAGGCCCTCACTCTGTGTCTTGCCGTCCGGATTGCTATCCAACATTTTCGTGAAATAAACCGACTCGGACGATCGACAGCATCGACCATCGGGGACTGTTTCACTGTATTGATAAAAAGCCAGGTGCTTCACTTTACAGCGTGAGCTTGTAATTTGAATGACCATTATTTCGCTGAAATTCCACACATTGTAGTTTTGCTGCTGTTTCTTGCTTTAACCTCGGTTATTTCTCCCAAAAGCTATCGGTATGGCGATCTATAACTGATACCTGACCGCTGCTCATAATCTTTATAGGCTTCGAGTTCTGCGGGAGCTCAAATCTATAATGGTATCATGGCGTTTATCTTCCCTGTGCAGCAGTTTGTGCTGGGACCACGCCTTATTCTGAGTGTTCGAGAATATTACGCCGAGCTCGTGGTCAACTCTGATGCAGAAACTGGCATGACTACAATTGCTTTCCAAGAAGGCGCACTTGTGTCAACTAGCAGTAGTGTGTAGTACGGAAATTGCTTCAGGTGATTAATACATGCCATCAGGTGCTCTACAGGAAACATGAAGACGTTGTCGGAAGAGGCTGCTATTCTGGACGCTCAAAGTTGGCCGCACATGTCGCACGTGTACACCACGCAACGCACTGGCAAAAACGGCAGTCTTAGATGACCGTGGGAAACCTTCCCGGGCCATGGCGTCGAATATGTACTTCAATTATCTCCTAAACCTCACTGACATCACCGAATACTTAATGTGGATGGCACTCTCGAGCTCTCCTCGACCTCGACATTCCTAACCCTTCCTAATCCTGGGCCTTGCCCTTTGTCATATAATAATTTGAGATTCAGGAGACAAATTCAAGTTTTCGGTGCTGTGCTGGTGCGCACTACCACCCTATAGAGCGTATTCTTGGGATCTTAATTTCTTACATCTTCAGCTAAATTTAACCAGTGAGCACAACTCATCTTCGAGTCGGACATAACCAAAGTGCTTCGCGAATCTGAACATTTGCTGTCTCTCCACCAATCACGTCATCTTCCCCACTGGTGCATGCCGTATTTGCAATGCACCACGAGGACTTCTGTCCAGGTCGAAGCAATTTTAAGTACAGTAAGAGAAGGAACTCAAACTTCGTACCGCATTGACTCCAAATTATGAGATGGAAGATACGCATTGTAGCCACTCGAATTGGCATGATAATTGCCTGGGATACGACACGAGGCGAACCGTCTCTCGATTAAACCACTCTAATGAAAGCAGGTTTTCTCAGGTGGTTTTGGGGAACGTGAACGAAGGTATAAAAGCCCTCGCAACTCCCTGATAAGATCTGACATTGACGCAGTTGTCACTTCTCTTACTTCCAACCATGCAGTTTTCACTTGTTTTTACGATACTCATGGCCTTTACCGCAATCAGTGCTGTGGCACACCCCATTCCGGAATTGGGGATAGATGAACGTGCGTTCGAAGACCTCACTCTAGTGAGAATGATACTGATATGCCATGCAGTTTTGGCTGAGCGCGGGGAGCTTGAGTCTGATCTCAGTTATTTCATTAGTGATTTAAATGTAAGGTTCCCTCACCAATACGGAGAGGATGGGGTTGACTTCGGGGGAACTGGCTATTTCCACGAGAGAGGCAAGTTATCATATGCATAAGTGGATCACTCGGGTGTAACCCCTGTCGCAACAGAGTCTTCCGACTATAATGATGATTTTGATGATGAGGAGTGCGAGTAACTCAAGTCTTATGGTGACTCTGGAAGTCCGAGAAATGAACCGATGGAGGTACTTTTTCCTCGCCATTATTATCATAATACCTGACTCATTACATTTTAGCTTCAGAATAAAGGCAGAGTTCTGAGGGTATTGTAATATCATCAGTCACCATGTATTCAATGTGTAATTGTACTTCAACGACAAATGCTTCGATTCATGAGTGAATAGACAAGCGTAGTGCATATGATAAAGCCTCAAAAAAGCGCCTCGACACTTTAAATGCAGGCCAAAAACAAGCACGAGTGAATGCTACACTTCACGAGTCCAGGTTCACCGTGTTCGAGAGAATGATTGGTCTGACCCGTGGTCAGACATGTCAAGCGACAAATGGGCTCTGCAGCGAATGGTACAATAAACAACCTAATCTATTCTCTCTCTCCGCATATCATCACTAGTATACTCTTCGTCCTCTCCAACATCAAAGACAGCCGTCCCGCTCTCATCCTCAAGAGCCCGTTCCTTCCCTTTGCGTCTTCGATGCGCCTGTTCATCGTCATACCCGTTCAACGGAATATTTTCTTCCGATTGAGGATTTCTCAACAACCGCACTGGTCGACGACGCAAACGACACCATATGCAAAGGCCAATGGCAACAGCCAGAATAAGGAAGATCAGGACGACCGAACCTGCGTTATAGTAGGCTGACAATAACACTGAGTTAGCACTCGTTTCCGTATGCAAGAAAAAGATTGTCACCATCCCACTGCGCCTTAGTCTGCTCAGGCGTCTTGCCGGGCAATGGCGACGACAGCGGCACATCATCGCTGTCCATAAATATCGGTTTGGTGTCGTCCCCGACTGCACTTGGTATACGTGCGGACCCGTCGATGATAGCAGAGAAATCCATCCCCATGAATCGCAAGATCATGTCATGCGCAATGTCAGGAACGTCGTATGGTACCATGTGTGATGCGTTAAAGATCTGTGGCGTCGTGAGTAGAGTGCATTGGGCGGGGTACATAACGTACCTTGGCATACGTAAGGTTTCGTGAGGAAACCCAGGTCCCTGCTGGCGTGCCGTTGACCGTCCATGATTTGGTTTGTACTTGCTGAGGTGGTGGTCAGTTCCGAAACTCTGGACATGAGAAAACACCCACCCCTAGCCCCTTTTCTCCGTTCCATGTCAAAGACTTGATCATGCTCTCGATACCCATGTAATTGCAGATAAAATCTTGATCACCAGCAAACAATAAAATGGGGATTTTTTCTAGTACTGAAGGAAGGAGTGTGACAGATGATGGAGACAGATAGTCGTGCATCTCAATGCCGACCCGTCCGAAACATTCAACCCAGCTCTCAGATTTGGCCTCCGCGTGGAGTGCCCTGACGACATCTTTGCGCTGGAAAAAAGCTTCGTTAGACAGCGAGGGTGGTATGTGGAGAGAGACAAACAGCAAGGTAAGAACTGATATTTTTCAAGTCAGGAGGCCACTGCATGCCGCAGTAAGGCGCATCATCTTCCAACCGGACATCGTAAATATTTAGGCATTTTTGTTGTCCGTCGACACTATTGTGATAGTGAAACCAAGATTCGACAGATTTTCAAGAGTGTTACTCACATTCGCGACTTGCTTTTGAGGATAGATTCCAGCAGCCCCTCGCATTGATCTATATGGATGGGTTCCGTAGTAGCGCCCCTGAACTCCGCCATGCATCTGTTAGTCGCATCTTTGCTGTCTTTGTAGTGCTGTGGATCGTGTCAGGCTCAGTGCGAGCAGGGCTCTTGAGATGGTGAAATTACTCACCTGTGAGCTTTCGTCGACAAGTCCGTGCGTGACGGCGTAGTCTAGGTATGCAGGGTATTGGTTACGAGCATCTATCCAGCCATTACCGATTGCAGCTCCGCGTAAGGGCATTTTGAGTTCTGATGAGAGAATAGCATCCGCTGTTCAAAGGGGTCAGTGTCACTCAGTAGGAAGTGATTCGGAGCTGCTATACCGAAGTAGGGAATGTATTGTCCAGCATAGCTCTCGCCGCCCAGATAGGTCTGCAAGCCCCCGTTAGGTGAGCTCCGGGATAAACAAAACTACGTACGTCTACAGTTTCGTATTCAGGAAACACTTTATAAAATGTGCGTAAAAATTCCATGAGTTGGTCAGTCGTCTGAGATAGCATAGCCACTAAGTTGACCAGCATTGTGCCCATACGTCTCAACACGTACCTGTTCTAGACCGTGCACGTAACGATTCGTGCTAGTATACGAGAGACCCGTTCCAGCAGGTTGGTCCACTGAAAAATCACTTGGTTGACCTTGGTCAATGCAAGAGACGTGATAGACTTACCATATACCATAGTAGTGTACTCATCCCAACCTCCTTCTACAGTTTTAAGGCCACCTTCTCCATCAATTCTCCAAGGTCCAACTTCCATCATCAGACCGTCAAATGAGGAACATCCCGGTCCGCCCTATTGCATTCAGTTCGCTGCATACCACTGTAACATACAACACGCACATTAAACCAGAACATCAGCCGTTCCTTATCGGCTGACTTACGAGCCTTCACCATCACAAAGAATAAATGCGCGAGAACGTCCGTGCTGGCTGCTGAATCTGCATCGGGATCGGAAAGAATGTGTCCAGCGTATATGTGTAAAGGGTGTGTGGTATCCTGGTGCAGGCTTGGTAGGTAAGGAACATAGAAAGAGGCTGCTGAGGGAACTGTATATCTTCTGCATTAGAGCTGTCAAAATCTCTGAATGGTTGGTCCGTGCTATACCTTCGGTTGGAGCAGCCTTTACTGCCAGTGGTTGGCTCACGAGAGCAAGAAGCGACGTGACGCAGGTCAGCGTGCCTCGCAGATACCTCCGCATTCGCACTTTTTAACTTTGCAAGACTGGCTGGTCACTCGTTGAGAAGAGTTTGCTGCAGTGAGCTGTGCGCAGGGATGCTGCTTGAATTTGAAAACTCGAGGATTCGGTATATGACGTGGTGCCTGCGGGCAGTGCGGCCCTGTGCGGTAACACTTGTCAAATTGTTACTTGTACAGCCCCACACAAACTCGTACATAATACATCACGGCCATTTGCGTCAGGCCTGGTCCCAGGAAGCTACATCTTTAGATGGCATGACCAGCTTCCGAGCCTGGAACTACGACACCTATCAAGGGCGCTACGGACTTCCCTCCGATCGACCTCTCAGCCTGAAGTTCTACTATGGAACTTCCGGGTGCGATTCTTTTCACTCTAATAACTACGCAATGTCTGCACTTACACCGTGTCAGAGAGATTCGTCATTTGGATCAACAACAAGTTCTTCACAAGACGAAAGTTACACCATAAAGAAGAACTTTCATCTATCTTGAAGGTCTGACTACGGGAGCCTCAGTCGGACGACTCGGATCAGTGCTCGCCTGCATGCAGGTCGTCGCAGAATTCGCGAACAGGATAATTTTTCTCGTCGACGACAATGATTGTCCTGACTCCAATGAATGCCTCATAGAAACTGGATGAGATCACTGCAGAATCCAGGGGCAGCATAATCTCTTCGTCAGTATTATACCGAGAAGGGACTGGGGCTCACTGGCCCCTCGTCACCAAAGACTGACAAGCAGTCAGGTCTGTACCTATGTGTCACGAGGTCACCATACACTTGGATGTGAAGCCTGCGATGAGATGGAATGTCCAATTTCCTAGCGGCAGCAGGACACGAGTTTACTTCGGGACTCAATAAACTAGAGGTGGAATATCCTCATTCGTCTAGGGAGACTAATTTATGCCCGCAAGACGAGTTACGACAGGTTCGTCGAAATCGTGAAGTAACTTGAAGCTTCAAGTGACTCATCTTGTTGGAGTAATTCAGGATTGGGCGTGGATGGCACTGGGGCGCCACACGTGACACGAGACTCGGAAGAATCCTGGGCAGATTATTGCGCCGTGTGGCATGCTAGCCGCATCTATGTTTTTGTAGTCAGTTTTTGTGCACGAACACAGAATCTGTTTCTCTTGGACTGCGCAGGTTCGGAACCTGCCGACAAGATTTTCTTTTCTATTGGAACACACCTCGACTTTCACTCATGGATGGTTTCGTTGGTCATGATCTTCGTCGAGTCTGTCGTTCTCCAGACTATCAATCTTGGTACGGTGAGCCGCCCGCTGCAAAACCTAGCCCGGGTTTGGTTTTTCTGTTTGATGACCAATTTATCTTGCTACAATCTCTCTACTGGCACATTCAAGTATAGTACTGTGCAGTAATGCAAAAGTGAAAAAAATCCAATCTGCTCAAGACTCACGCAGCTCGAATGGCGAGAAGTGGATAAACGGATCAGAACTCGACCGATACCACGGAGCTGTCCGATTGCTGATTGCTGCATATAGCTCTTGAAACAAAGCAAACTCCAACCTCTGAAGAACCTTGACATCCACTCCCACACGAGGAGGACTCCATGGATAAATGACGCCATTTGAGCTCGGGAATTTGAACCGCGTGCGGTTGGCCCCCAGGAGCTCGATGCGAAGGCGATCACAACACCAGCAGCATTTTCTTCCTACTGCAACGACATTTTCAGTGGTTGCCTGACGATCCGTGGTCAGTAATGCTCAGGTCAAGCAAACATTGATGATAATGCTTGCCGGTTCGAGTAGCTTGTCCAGAGCTGCTACATGATCATCTCGAAGGGGCATCTCAAAAGCCACACGACTCGAAGAAGATGAGAAGTACGTGAGGAGGCCCATTAATGTGGCCTCCGCATGAACGGTGCCAGAAAAGGTTTGTGAGAGATTGCGTTTCAGAATTGATTTGGTTAGATCTTTGAAAGCGATCGAGGACTTTGATAAAAAAAGTGCATTGAAAGGTGAGGCTTCGTAGATGTCATCCAAGTTGGCGATATCAAAACTGGCATGAGGGATCTCCAGCAAGCTGAGGGAAAGTTCACTACGAATGATTTTGGAATATGTCGGCGTCGTAAGCGATGCTATGGCTGCATGCCATGCAACAATGCCTTTCAAGTGACGTAAGACATGACTTCCGCTAGACTCGCGAGATTCGGCATTCAAGTCGTCAGACTCGTCTGAATCATACAAATCTACATCAAAAATAAGCAGTGCGGTACCACAATGTAGGGATAAACTTACCTTCATCCTCACCATGACCATCGGTGAATCCGTAGAATTTCGAGGCAAGCGTTGTCTTTGTCAGTAGGGTCTTCACGACGTCAGCGTCCCACGAGACAAAGCAATTCAACGCAGCGCAACAATTTGAGAGTTGAGTCATAGCCGTCTTGAATCCCAGTGTGTCCCCCTCATTCTCCATTTTCTGGGCCTGCGCCGCATACCTTTCTAGCATCAGGATGAGGTGACCGAGGAACGAAGCCCATAAGTGCACTGTGTTGCTAGAAAACTCCAGTTGGGTAACTTGATTATCCGGCGGACCTTGCTTGCGCTTCGGTACATCTTTGTCGGGCGGTAGGCCAATTAATGAAAACCAATGAGGAGCGTCAAGCCAGTGCGTTTCGGGGAGCTCATTGGCCTTGGGAGTCCAATCAACCAACGTTTGGGCCACATCCACGTGCCATGTCTTCTGGTAGAGGAAAATACGGGTGAACACTTTTCGACGACAGCGGTTGATGACAAATCTGCTGAGAGCGATGTGGTTGTCCGTGGAAGGCTCGAAGGATGCAAGGGCAGTCCAGATCTCTGAAATGTGTTCATTGAGGGAGACGTCGTCATTGCTAATGATGATCAGTACTCAGTAGTTGTAGGGTTCAGTGAATATTCGCACCTGTTCACGATTTCTTGAAATGATTTTGGAGATTTAGTTACTTGTTCCAACTTTGACTCGGTTAAGGAGGAACGGGGATATAAATTCTGGGTGACTACCAATGTCTGAAACCTCTCGTTAACGCCATCATGGATGATGGCGCCTGTCACCGCTATAGCTTTCTTTACTTCAGGACTGAAAACGTCACCGGGGGTGAGAAGATTAACAAAATGGCACAAAAGGGAAGGAATTTGTTGAAGATCAAACGACGGCTCCCCCCGACTCCTATGGCCCATATTTGCCAAAATTGTTGTGAGGGCTCGGATGCGCTTCTCGACAAGGGCAAAGTCCGAGGAATGATCCATGATGAGATGTGCTAGGGATTCGATGAATATTTGGGATGATCAATGTCAGTTGAATCAACGTTCACGTTCACGCTCGGCTCAGATGTGCTAGGGATGAATCGGATGATGATAAGCATCGTCACACATCGTCACGTTTAACGTATGCCATCGGGGTTTGCAATATTTGTAGAGAAAATGACATTTCCTGGCTAGAAACACATTTCTTCTACCAATATTTGCAATTGGAGTCCAATCGTTGCCCTCCTCCACTAATGTTTGCAGTCGGGGACGTGCATTTTTGTCCACGTCGAGACGTGCGTGCGTCTCGAGATATTGCCTGCGATAAGCATGAGAGCAAGGAGCGAATCAGTGACAGCTCATGCGAATGACTTTGTCGTGGTAAGGAACTTTTCATGAGAATAATATAGACGCTCATCAACCTTATGTAACTAGAGTAAGTGTTTCCTTTTGTTCCATTACTTACTACCCGAACCTACTTATTTTGAGATGAGGCCTTTGGCATACGTTGCCAGTTTTCTATCGCTCACAGGGCTAGTCAATGCTCAATACTTTTCGGCTGGATGGACCCCAGGACAGCCCGTCCCAAGCCAAACTCCCTCACCAGCAAATGTCCCACACTCCCCATCCACCCCTGCAACGCAACATGGGCCAGGGAAGATGTCGTTTCTAGACAGTCTTGTGACTGTAGGACCGTTGGCCGCTGTATCCTCTCTCATTGGTCTCAACCTTACCGGAGGTCCATCTGTGACTTGGGATCCGCGGATACCTATCATCACGGATGAGAACTATGCAGAAATTATTATAAACGAGACACTGACTGCGGAGGAGGAGGAAGAACGAGTTTGGTTTCTCATAATGTGAGTATATCGTATCTGATAGTCCATTAATTAACGCATCCTCACCAGAACCGTCACCGCGGGACAGCCAGAAGGTGTCTCGAAGTTCGTAGACGATGTTTTCGATGCCACGTATAACTATACACTGGAGAAAGGAGAGCTCCCTCACGTGCGCTTTGGTCGAATTGACTATCTCAATGTTACGAGTATCACCACTAAATGGGCTGTCTGGTCGTGAGTCCTCAATATTTTCGTAGCGTGTCCGTGTCCTTGATATTCTATCAGCGCACCTTACCTTGTTGTATTAAAAGACCGTGGGCAAACATTGCGGTTTTATAAGGCCGGTCAGATAAGGTTGACCGACGAAATCCTCCACCAATTTCTCAAGGAGAAGGCGTGGAGCATCAAAGAGCCATGGAAATCCATCTATGGCCCCGGTGGTGAACGGTAGGACGCGTCAGATCTAAGTGTCCCACCAGCGCTTACCGCCCTTTTGCAGCGAATATATTTTAGACTACTTGGCACAATTTCTGTCCAAAGTCTATGGCGCTCTTGTTCGTGTGCCGAAATGGCTCATGTACACGATGAGCGGAGGTCTTGCGACTTTTTTCATCAACTTTTTGCATAAGCCTTCGCCTCCTCAGGGAGCTGCTAAGCCTGCACCCAAGCCTGTGTCTGCACCCGCAGCCCCAGAACATGCAGTCGTGCCGAGTGCGACGAATACGCCGCAGAAGGGGTCTACTAAAAGGAAGGGAAAGAAATAGTTGGATGTCTTGGAGGGATATATATACTCATGCATTCTCGGAGAGCTTATGTATTGTCATAATGTATTTCCATCTCGTAAATTGTACAACGAATCCTTAACTGCTGTGCGCCAGTTTCCAGATGGACTAAGGAAGCACGACCGTCTGGCTTTCCAAAACACTTCGAGCTCGTCGCAGTCTGCATCTGGAATGGTGAATATTGTACCAGGAACCAATTCATTATAATCAGTGAACCGGTGAACAAACTTGTAGAGGAGAATATTTCCCATATGAGATCTGCCGTGGGGAGGCTAGTAGTGTGCGGTACAGTGCATTGGTATGCTCCAGTATTACAAGACAAATCTTGGAGTGAGCCTACGTTTACTATACAGGTGCATGATCACTCCACGAGCTTCCTCCGTCGATGGGCGGTCCCGAGGATCAGTAGACCAACATAGCTCCATAAATAGCCAATACTTTTCAGAGAGTTCTGGATAACGAGCTCGGGAGGGGTTTTCCGACTTAGCTATGCACAGGACGATTGCGGCGTCATTCGGGAGGTAATAATAAGGAATTTTGTTCGTAAGGACCTGAAGGCAGAGCTAATGATGTCATTGACAAGTTGAGAGTACTCCAGATACGTACCTGCAACATGATACCGCCGAACGAAAATATGTCGCTTTGCTCGCTCGGACGAGTCGGAGATCCATCCTCCTTCTCTGGTACAAGTAGCTCAGGAGCCATCCATCGCATGTTTCCTTTGAGCGTGGACGTCCAAGAAGCCTGAGAAGCGGTTATAACCTCGGAATACATCAAGGAAAGACCGAAGTCGGCAACACATGCAGTGCCATCACCATTGATGAGCACATTGAGCTGGAGTTCACGTCTCAATGAATTGGAACTATCGAGAAGATCGAACTTACCCCCATTAAAGTCACCATGGATGACACTATTGGTGTGAACTATGAGGAGTAGTTATGGCTCGGTCCGGAATGACAGTCATCATCACATACGATATTGTAGACCAGTTATGATATCTCTGAGCTGAGATTGCCATCAGTCTGTAGTCTACATCAAAGACAAGGGAGGACTAACAATCTCAAATCGTCTAAGGAGAGTAAGAGCGGCGTGCTCATGCTCCAAATAGGCCGTCAGGTTTCCATTCTCCGCCCAAGGACTGACTATCGCTATGAATGGGCCAAAGCCGGACGTATAACCATAAACAGGAAGAATATTTGGATGCTTGAGGTTGGCACATATTCTGAGTTCACGCTTTATCCTCTACGAAGGGGCGACCTCTGGAGTAAGCAATAGAATCAGATGCTTGTTGAGACGCTCACCTTCGTCTTTTTCGTCTTCGCTGCACCAAGTTGATCATCAGCGTACACCTGCAATGCTTTCACTGCGACCTGCCCAATTATCAAATTTGGACTGATGAACAAACAACACTGCAAACAAACTTTAAGCGATCTGGGATCGATGTGAAGGGTGCATTTCCAGATCTCTCCGAACCCGCCACGAGCAACAGGGTAGTCTCCATCCTTGGTGATATATTTTGAGAGGTCTTTGAGCGTTGCTTCAGGGAGAAGATGATAAGGCTCAATATTACGAGTGGAGACTGTATGCACATGGGAAGAGGAGGGAACGAGTTCGCGGGGGTCGGGGCGTAACTGGGGTAGCCTTGAACCTACTGTAGAAGAGGGTATCTGTGGTGGAGGGGGAAGAGTAGGCCACATGTCAGGAAGCGGTATCATGTTGGTAGGCCGTATGCGAGAGGTTCCGGCGTGCCCGTCAGTCCAGGATTCAGGTCCTGCGTGACGAGCAAAACTGAGAGGGGGAAGTGGTAAATAATTGGAAGGGAGGCTCTGTTGCGCATTCGGTTGGGCCTCACTAGTAGATTGATTCGCGTTGCGAGAGAGTGCGCTAGCCTGCAAAAATGGCATTAATGGAGTGGTGTAAACGGACAAAAGAAAGGAATGGGTACATCAGCGAGCGGTAGGTTTCTAGGAGCATTGGTCTGCAAGAAAATGTTAGCGCACGGACGATAGTAGTATTCGGGGTTGGCTGCGCACTCTAACTTGCAGTACAGGCTGAATGCTAGCGAGAATCTCAGGGGGAGTGTTGCATACGTAGATGTTGTTGCTGCCCAGGCCGGTGTAAACTAGCTGGCGCGAGTCGGGTGAGAGGAAGAGGAGGCGAGCATGCACAACATTAAATGAGGCGAGGAGCTGGCGGGACTCAAAGGCCCAGAGTTTGATGGTGTCAGAAGTAGGGACGACGCTAGTAGAAGCGCATATGAGGAGAGCACAATCAAGTGAAAGTGCTAGTCCGGTGATGTCGGTGTGGTGTCCGAAGGGGGCTCCGACAGTCTTCAAGGTAGATGCGTCGAATTCATAGATGGTCGCCCGTGTGGAGTCCTGGTATGCCTCGGTTACGATCGTGGTGTTTTTGGTAGTCCAAAACACTGGCAGGCGTTCGTATGTGTGCTTCACAGACCCCTCCATTTTAAGGCTAACATCCAATTTCTGTGTTTGGACATTCCACACTTCTTTCGAATTCCGTGATTTGAGTGCGAGCTTCTTGGAGTCATGCGAGAATCGAACCGCCTCTGCCCAGTTGGCACTTTTGAATGGACCAACCACAATTTTGCCTGTTTCCAAGCTCCATATCCACACTGTGGAATCTCCTGCTCCCGCCAGTAACGTGCTGTCCGCGGAGATATCAATGCAGGTGATCATCCTGCAGAATTCTTTGGAACTGTCTTTAAACGTTCTCACGATCCCCGTCTCAACCTCACAGACCCTGGGCCCGGCATATGACCAACCTGCAGAGACAACCCATCGGCCATCCCTTGATACCCCCAAAGTCTTTACGTGCCGCATACAACGACCACGTGCCTCCTCAATTTCCTCACCCGCTTCTAGGTCCCATTGACGAGTGGTCATGTCGGATGACCCGCTGATTATTCGCTTCCCGCCCGGAAAGTACGATATGGATGGAATAGTGTCTTCGTGACCCTCCAAGGTGAACACAGGTGTCAGAGTCAGTTGGTTTACTGCCGCAGTGGGCTGTTGCGATCTGGAATCCATGTCCCGTTTGTTCGCCAGCGAGGTTTAGCAGATGTGGACAATGTTTTATTTGAAAGTATTCGAAGGACCTTCAAGTTCGTGAGGCTGACTTGTATACTGTGGCCTGACGTTGACAGTAATTTCGAAGGATACCCAACTACTGGCAGCTGGTACACTTGCCTGCCGCTGCCGATGCCGATCATCAGTTTGTCAGCGCTGAAAGTTCAGACTGTTGATGTTACCTAGAGGCTCGCAACTTGGGGAATACGCAAGCAAATCAGTTGGTTATTGAATGTGCGTGCGTCTCGCAACCGTACTTTCTATACTTCCTAACACGTCCTTCAGCATGGCGCCTGTGCATTGCACAGCATTTATTTTTACCTGCTGCCTCATGTAGTAATGCTGGTAGACTGAACTCAGTTTGAACTGACTTCACTTCACTTCGAAAATGAGGCAGTTCGTTACAATCTGGTTCGTTACACTAAATGAGGCGATGCAGCAACCCGATTTGTCTAATCGCACGCCAAGATGAAGTAGAAGCGCTATACTTGCATGAGGCGCCGGCCTAGGCCTCTTGTCGTCATTTCTCATCTATTGACTATTACTTGACAATATCTGTAAATTTGAACCTATCATGATCGCACACCTATACACGACATCAGTTTCGGCGGATTCCCGCCCCCAAGCCAATGCAAGGCTATACAATACATTTGCTTGCCGCGCATCGAGATCAACGGGCATCAAACACGACCGAAGGACATCAACCAACGGCCGAAGAGCTTGCTGAACAAGAAGCGAAAGCAGTTGAGGAAGATTGCAAGGATGCTAGAAGGGAGTTAGAGCGTTACGAACGCGAGCCACCAACACTCAATGCCGGCGAGCGTGTCACTGATCTTGTGCGTTATTGGGAGGTAAGCACTCTGCAACACCGTGACTCTGAACCATGGTTTGTACAGCTAATCATTATCCTTCAGCGCATGGAGAAAATTTACCCGCTATTGTTCTGTGTTGCAATGGACATTCTTCCGGCACAGGCGTCTTCAGTGCCTTGCGAGCGTGTTTTTTTGTCCAGCAAAGAGACAAATTCGCTCGGCAGCAGCAGAATGTCGCCTGAACTGATGGAGGCCCTACAAATGCTCAAGTTTTCATTTCGGCAGGATAGACTATGCTTCACAAGGGACTTTATTGCAAAGGAGGAACACTATGCCGTTTCTGGACCTGTGACACAAAGGGCTATGGAGGAGCTGATATTAGGATCTCGTTCGAAACTCGATCACAGACGAGGACGAGGATAGCATCTTAGCGTAGATTTAAGCTTGGCGCACATAGCCACTTCATATCTCGAGACTCGAGTACATGCTGTGTTTATCACTCGGACACCTGATTGGCTGGTTTCATAGCCGACTTTCTTTTAGTTCAGTTCGTTTGACTTCGACAAACGAAGTGGGACCGAACTCGCACTTCGTTTCAGTTCAGTTCACTTCGTGGCAACACTAGCCTCATGTCCATTAAATCTGCTTGCTTTTCGGTTCCCTGCCACGCGGGCCATCTCCGTTGCTGCCGCCATCATCGAGCTCGTTGTGCAGTTGGCAGGAACCAGAAGTTCAAAGTCAGAATTTCCAGGTACAACACGCCTCCTTTGTTGTATCCATGAGCTATCTACGGGAAGGCACTTTCATGAAGTTTAGAGAAGCTGAGCTATATCAATGCGCTCTCTTGCAGCGGGGACCGTTGCGATATTATGATAACTTGAGTGTCCTGTCGAACGTCAGTATCTTTGTATGCATTTGTTTTCTGCTCGTGAAGTCTGTTAACGAGATGATGGAATAGAACATGCAACTTGAATATTAATGCAAGATTGATATTATTTCAGGAACACTGCGCGTTGCAACCCAATGAACACCTGCCAGGTACTCGGTTGCTCAACGAACTCGAATAAGTTGTCATGCATGCTAGTACTGGCGAGAATTCTTTTTGAGCAAATCCGCGTATGGATGAAAAAAGTGTGCAGTGTACAGTAGCACCTAGCACTCTCCTTTCAGCGACAGGTGGACGTATGGATATACCATTACCATGGACCTGTCGCTCTCTCGGTTGCCGGCGATGAATCATCGACGATTCTGAGCTCAGTAGACCGGTTTAAAGGCAAAGAGAAAATACCTTTCGTGAAGGTTGGCACAGTGATCTCTTGATACTAGACAATGCGACGGACGAAGGCTGCACTCATTCTATTTGTCTCGTATGTAAGCATCGTCATTAGCCTCGTTTCCCTCTAGTGATTAATCGTTTTTCAGCCATGTTTATGCGCTATCTCAGTAGATTACTACGTTTGCGATACATCCTCTCTAGGCATGCAACTAGTGCGAAGAAATTCCTTAGCTTTGCGGACTTCTAAGTGCTCGTCTGGATATGTACCAGTCTCATTATGTCAAGGAGAGTGGGACAGGCTAATAACAGCTCTTTCACAGGCCGCCAACGCTGCGTTGTTCGGGAATTATCAGTTACAAAAAGAGGGAGCTTCGACGACCGTGGATTGAGTGTAGTATCCATTCTCTTTAACAGCAAGTTAAGAAATGAATGGTCGAGCATTGCAATATATGTGCATGCTTCGGCTCCTTCTTTGCTTGTTAACTTATTGTCTCAGGCAACTGTGATTATAGCCGTAGATGTCAGCTTCGTAGCCGTGCCTTCCGTCAATCTCTGGGATCCACGTTCTTTCACGGTTATTAGTCAGTGTTTTGTGTTGTAGGATCTTTGGTGATTTCCTTACTGTTCCTCACAAACAGGTTCGGTATGGGCAAGGATTTGCCGATATGTCGTTTCTAGACAGCCTTGTGACTGTAGGACCTTTAGGCACTGTACCCTCTTTCCTTGGTCTCAACATTACCGGAACTCCATCTGTAACTTGGGATGAGCAAATACCTCACATCGCAGATGAGAACTATGCAGAAATGATTGTAAACGGGACACTGACTGCGGAGGAGGAGAAAGAACGAGTTTGGTTTCTCATGATGTGAGTATATCGTATTTGATAGTCCGTCAATTAACGCATCCTCACCAGAACCGTCACCGCGGGACAGCCAGAAGGCGTCTCGAAGTTCGTAGACGATGTTTTCGATGCCACAATAACTATACCCTGGAGAAAGGAGAGCTCCCTCATGTGCGCTTCGGACGAATTGACTATCTTAATGTTACGATCATCACCACTAAATGGGCTGTCTGGTCGTGAGTTTTTAACACTTTTACAGTCTTCTTCTATCAGCGCACCTTACCTTGTTGTATTGAAAGACCGAGGACAAACTTTGCGGTTCTATAAAGCCGGTCAGATAAGGTTGACCGACAAAATCCTCCACCAATTTCTCAAGGAGAAGGCATGGAGCATCAAAGAGCCATGGAAATCCATCTATGGCCCTGGTGGCGAACGGTAGGACGCGTCAGATTTAAGTGTCCTACCAGCGCTTACCGCCCTTTTGCAGCGAATACATTTTAGACTACTTGGCACATTTTTTGTCCAAAGTCTATGGTGCTCTTATTCGTGTGCCGAAATGGCTCATGTACACGATGAGCGGAGGTCTTGTGATTTTTTCATCAATTTTTTGCATAAGCCTTCGCCTCCTTAGAGCGCTGCTAAGCCTGCACCCAAGCCTGTGTCTGCACCCGCAGCTCCAGAACACGCAGTCGCGTCGAGTGCGACGAATACGCCGCAGAAGGGATCTACTAAAAGGATGGGAAAGAAATAGTTGGATGTCTTGGGGAGGGATATATATACCCATGCATTCTTGGAGAGCTTATGTATTTCATAACGTATTTCCATTTTGTGGGTTGTAAAACAAATCTTCAACTGCTGTGCACCAGTTTCCAGACGAGGTCACCAAGAGAGCACGGCTATCTGGCTTTCCAACACACTTGGTATTTCTTCTAGCTCGTCGCATTCTGCATCTGGAATGGTGAATGAATGTATTGTTTTCCGACAAAGAACTCATGTGATCCGGTTGTATTGTACCAGGAACTAATTCATCATAATCAGTGAACCGGTGAACAGACTTGCAGAGGATAATATTTCGCATATGAGATCTGCCGTGGTAGTGCGCGGTACAGTGCATTGGTGTGCTCCATATTACAAGAGAAGTCTTGCGGTGAGCCTGCGTTGATTATACAAGTGAAATTCATTCCTGATCGTGACATCAACTCCCTCCGTCGATGGGCGTTCCAGAGGCTTAGTAGACCAACATTGCTCCATAAGTGTCCAGTATTTTTCAGGGATCTCAGGATAACGAGCTCTGGAGGGCATTTCCAACCTAGCTATGCATAGGACGATTGCGGCATCATTTGGGAGGTAATAATAAGGGATTTTGTTGGTGAGGACCTAAAGGCAGAGCTAATGATATCATTGACAAGTCGAGAGTATTCCAGACGTACCTGCAACATGATACCGCCGAACGAAAAGATGTCGCTTTGCTTGCTCGGACGAGTTGGAGAACCATCCTCCTTCTCTGGTACAAGCAGCTCAGGAGCCATCCATCGCATGTTTCCTTTGAGCGTGGACGTCCAAGATGCCTGAGAGGCACTTATAACCTCGGAATACATCAAGGAGAGACCAAAGTCGGCAACACATGCAGTACCATCACCATGGATGAGCACATTAGGCTGGAGCTCATGTCTCAATGAAATTGACACTACCGAGAATATCGAACTCACCCCATTGAAGTCACCATGGATGACACTGTTGGTGTGGACTATGAGGAGTAGTTACGGCTCGGTCTGGCAACAGTAAAGTCTATCACATACGATATTGCAGACCAGCTATGATATCTCTTAGCTAAGTTTTTCATCAGTTTTGTGGTCTACCCAAATACATGAAAAGACTTACCAGCTGGAATCGTCTAACGAGAGTAAGAGCCGCACCCTCACGCTCCAAATAGACTGTCAAGTTACTATTCTCCGCCCAAGGACTGACTATCGCTAGGAATGGGCCGAACCCATACGTATAACCATAAATGGGTAGAATATTTGGATGCTTGAGGTTGGCGCATATTCTGAGTTCACGCTTTATTCTCTATGAAGTGGAACCCTGTTGTGTAAGTGATAGACTCGGTCCTTTGGTAAAACACTTACTTACCTTGATCTTTTTTGTCTTCGGCGTGCCGAATTGATCATCAGCGTATACTTGCAATGCTTTCACTGCGACCTGCAAAATAATCAATTGTAGACAAATGGGCAGGCAAAAGACGGTAAACGAACTTTGACCGAGCTACGATTGATGTGAAAGGTACATTTCCAGATCTCCCCGAACCCACCACGAGCAACAGGGTAGTCTCCATCCTTGGTGATATACTTTGAGAGGTCTTGGAGCGTTGCTTCAGGGGGGAGATCGTCAGGCTCAACAATATTAGCGGAGAAGGCTATATGCGTATGGGAAGAGGAGGGAAGGAATTCGCGGGGGTCGGGGCGTAACTGGGGTAGCTGTGAACCTACTGCAGAAGAGGGTATCTGTGGTGGAGGGAGAAGAGTAGGCAACTGGGCCTCACTAGTGGAATGATTTGCAGTGAGTGAGAGAGCGCCAAACTGCAAAAATGACATTAATGGAGTGATGTAAATGAACAAAAGAAAGGGATGGGTACATCAGGGGGGTCACTGGTCTGCAAGAAAATGTTAGCGCATAAACAATAGTATTATTCGGGGTTGGCTGCGTACTCTAACTTGTGGTATAGGCTGAATGCTAGCGAGGATCTCAGGGGGAGTGTTGCATAAGTAGATGCTGTGGTTATGCAGGGTGGTATAAACCAGTTGGCGCGAGTCGGGTGAGAGGATAAGGTGGTGAACATCCAAAACATCGAATGAGGCGAGGAGCTGGCGGGACTCGAATGCCCAGAGTTTGATGGTATTGTCGTCAGAAGCACTAGCGAGGAGAGCACAATCAAGTGAAAGTGCTAGATCAGTGATGATTTTGGTGTGTCCTTTGAAGGAGGCTCCGACAGTCTCCAGCGTAGATGCGTCAAATTCATAGATCGCCTTCGGGGAGCCATGATAGCTGAATGAGGTTACGATGGTTTTGTCGTTGGTAGTCCAAAACACTGGTGCAAATGTGTAGTTCAGGCCATCAAATGTCCCCACTTCAACATCCAATGATTGTGTTTGGATATCCCACACTTCAAGGTGATTCCCCCACCACGATTTGACTGCGAGCTTCTTCGAGTCGTGCGAGAATCGAATTGCGCCCACATCATCATATTCGACACTTTTGAATGGACCAGCCACGAGTTTGCCAGTTTCCAAGCTCCATATCCGGACTATGTAAGTTTCTGCCTCCGCCAGTAACGTGCTGTCCCCGGAGATATCGATGCCGGTGATCTTCCGTGAGTGACCTTCAGATGTTCTCACGGTCCTCATCCCAACCTCACAGACTCTGAGCTCCCCGGTGTAGACAAAGCCATTTCCACCTGCAGAGACAGTCCATCGACCATCCCTTGATATCGCCACGGCATGTACTTCCAGTTTACAAGCATCCCGCCCCTCCTTAATTTCTTTACCCGCTTCTAGGTCCCATTGACGAGTGGTCTTATCGTCTGACCCACTGATTATTCGCTTCCCGTCTGGAAAGTAGGATATCGATGGAATAGAACCTTTGTGACCCTCCAAGGTTAACACGTGTGTCAGAGTCAATTTCTTTGCCGCCGCAGTAGCCTGTCGCAATCCGGAATCCATGTCTTGTTTCTCCGCCAGAGAGGCTGACAAGTACGATAAGGCCGTTGTTTGGAAGTACTATTCCAAGGACCGTCGGTGAGGCTATCTAGTAATTTCGAAGGATATCCAACTACTGGCAGCTGGTACACTTTGCCTGCCGATGTTGATTGTCAGTTTGCTAGCACAGAAACTTCAGAATGTTTCGGTGTTACCTAGAAGCTAGCAACTTAGAAGAAGAGTGATTCAGCTGATTGGATGTGCGTGCATCTCGCAACCGCTTCCTGTACTTCCTAACACGTCCATTTAGATGGTGCCTGTGCATTGCACAGCGTTTATTTTTACCTGCTGTCTTATCTATTCAATCTGCTTGCTGTTCGGTTCCCTGCCATGGCCATCTCTGTTGCCACCGCCATCATCAAGCTCGTTGTGCAGTCGGCAAGGAACCAGAAGTTCAAAGTCAGAATTTGCAGGTACGACACGCCTCCTATTCTGGCTCCATGAGCTATCTACGGAAAGGCGCTTTTATGAAGTTCAGCGAAGCTGAGCTAGATCAGTACGCTCTCTTGCAGCGATGTCCGTTATTGTCCTGTCGAATGTCAGTATTGGCAAGCTGTTATTGTATGTATTCGTTTTCTGCTCGTGGAATTTTCCAACAAAGTGCTGAACAGAACGTACAGCATTAATACAAGATTGATCTCATTTCAGGCAACAGTATGAGTTGCACCCCGATGATCGACTGCTAAGTGCTCAGTTGCTGAATAAGTTGTCCTGCATGCTAGCGCTGACGAGAATTTGTTTGAGCGAGTCCATGTATGAATGAAGGAAGTGCGCGGTGTACACTGCATAGCACACTCCTTTCAGCGACACATGAGCGTGTTACTCCTCGGCTTCTTGCTCCTATGACCATGAATTATCGACGATTCTGAGCTTAATCAACCGGCTTCAAGGCAAGCAGAAAAGTCTTTTCATGGAGGTTGGTAGTGGTTCTCGAAACTTGACAAAATGTGAAGGACAAAAGCGGCGCCCATTCTATCTGTGTCACATGTAAATATCATCATTTCCCTCCAGGGGTTGTGTTTTTCAGCCATGTTCATGCGCTACTCATGCATCATTTGCAAGTTTGCAACCAGCGCAAAATAAATTCTTCAACTTTTATGCACATCCGGGTGTCCGTCTGGATGCGGACCAGTCTCATTATGTCAATGAGAAGGGGACAGGCTAATATGGCTCTTTCACAGGCCTTCAACATTGCATTGTTCGGAGACTACTACTGCCACGCTTACAAAAAGAGCGAGCTTCGACGAGTGTGGGTCGACTGTAGCATCGACTCTCTTCAACAGCAAACCAAGCCATGAATGACCAAACATCACAATGTATGTGCATGCTTTGGCTCCTTTGCGCGCTAACTTATCGTCTCGGGCAGCTGTGATCACTATAGCAGCAGACGTCAGTTTCGTGAGCGTGCCTTCCATTAATCTCTAGGATCCACGTTCTTTCGCGGTTATTAGTACATATCTTCCAGTGTTTTGTGCTGTCGGATTGTCGGTGATTTCCTCACGGACAGGTTCGGTATGAACAAGGATTTGCCCAGATATCGTTTCCAGACAGCCGTGTGACTGTAGGACCTTTAGGCGCTGTACCCTCTCTGATCGATCTCAACAATATCGGAACGCCATTTGTAACTCAGAATGAGCGGATACCTCTCATAACGGATGAGAAATGATTGTAAACGAGACACTGATTCCGGAGGAGAAAGAGCGAGTTTAGTTTCTCGTAATGTGAGTATATCGTATTTGATGATCCGTCGATTAACTTATCCTCACCAAAGCCGTCACTGCGGGACAGCCAGAAGGTGTCTTGACGTTCGTAGACCATGTTTTCGATGCCATGTATAATTATACCCTAGAGAAAGGAAAGCTTTCCCATGTGCGCTTTGTTCGAATTGACTGTCTCGATGTTACGGGGCTCGAGCATAACCACTAAACTTGAAGGGGCTGTCTGGTCGTGAGTTTTCAACATGTTTGTGGCGTATTCATGTCCTTGACATTCTATCAGCACGCCTTACTTTGTATTGAAAGACCGAGGGCAAACTTTGCAGTTCTACAGAGCCGGTCAGATAAGGTTGACTGGCGAAATCCTCCACCAATTTCCCAAGGAGAAAGCGTGGAGCATCAAGGAGCCATGAAAACCTATCTATGGCTCCGGTGGAGAACGGTAGGAGGCGTCACATTTAAGTGTTCTACCAGTGCTTACTGCCCAATTGCAGGGAATACATTTTAGACTACCTGGCACAATTTCTGTTCATAGTCTACGGTGCTCTTGTCCGTGTGCCGAAATGGCTCATGTACACAATGAGTGGAGGTCTTGCGACTTTTTTCATCAACTTTCTGCATAAGCCTTCGCCTCCTCAGAGCGCTGCTAAGCCTACACCCAAGCCTGTGTCTGCACCCGCAGCTCCAGAACACACAGTCGCATCGAGTGTGACGAATACGCCGCAGAAGGGATCCACTAAAAGGAAGGAAAGAAATAGTTGGATGTCTTGGAGGGATATATATACACATGATTCTCGGAGAGCTTGTCATAATGTATTTCCATCTCGTAGGTTGTACAACGAATCCTTAACTGCTGTGCGCCAGTTTCCAGGCAGACCAAGGGAGCCCGGCTATCTGGCTTTCCAAAACACTTGATATTTCTCTAGTCTGCATCTGGAACGGTGAATGAATGTATCGTTTTCTGGTAAGGAGCTCGTTGGAAAGGTGTCACAATAGGCACCTAACACTAACGGTCAAACAGCAGATAACGTGGATGAGCGTATGGGATTCGGTGACGGCAGTAAGAGCTAAGATACAAAGTAAAGGGGCGACGAACTTATATACTAGTCGATGCAAACATCGAACAAACAGCCGGCGGTGACCAATCAGATGCAGCTACGTCATGCATACGTCATGCATAGTAAGCCGCAGGCTTACACTCGTGTGATCCGGTTGTATTGTGCCAGGAACTAGTTCATAAGCAGTGAACCGGTGAACAGACTTGCAAAGAATAATATTCCGCGTGAGGTCTGCCATGGGGAGGCCAGTAGTATTAGTAGTACACGGTACAGTGCATTGTTGTGCTCCAATATTAAAAGAGAAATCTTGGGGTGAGCCTACGTTTACTATACAGGTGTACCTAGGTTTATCTGTCTGGCTGTACTGTAAACAAATTCGTGAATGCAAGACAATACAAGAATCAACGAGGTCTGGATAACGAGTAAAAATCATTCCTGATTGTCACATCAGCTCCCTCCGTCGATGGACGGTCCCGAGGATCAGTAGACCAACATTGCTCGATAAATTGCCAATATTGTTCAGGGAGCTCAGGATAACGAGAACGGGAGGGCGTTTGTGACTTGGCTATGCAAAGTACGATGGCGGCATCATTCGTGAGGTGATAATAGGGTACTTTGTTGGTGAGGACCTACAAGTGGAGCTCGTGATATCAATGAGAAGCCTAAATTAACCCAGGCGTACCTGCAGCATGATACCGCCGAATGAATATATGTCGCTCTGCTCGCTTGGCCGCACTTGAGATCCATCATCTTGCTCTACAAGCAGCTCAGGAGCCATCCATCGCATGTTTCCTTTGAGCGTGGAAGTCCATGAAGCCTGAGAGGCGCTTATAACCTCGGAATACATCAAGGAAAGGCCGAAGTCTGCAACACACGCGGTGCCATCACCATGGATGAGCACATTAGGCTGGAGCTCGCGTCTCAACAAATCAAAATCAACGAGAAGGGTCAAACTTACCCCATTGAAGTCACCATGGATGACACTGTTGGCGTGAACTATGAGGAGTAGTTACGGCTCGGTCCAGCAATCACAGTAACTATCACATACGATATTGCAGACCGGCTATGATATCCTTGAGCTGAGAATGCCATCAGTCTGTAGTCTGCATCAAAGACAAGGGAGGACTAACAATCTCAAATCGTCTAAGGAGTGTAAGAGTGGCGTGTTCACGCTCCAAATAGGCCGTCAGGTTTCCATTCTCCGCCCAAGGACTAACTATCGCTATAAATGGGCCAAAGCCAGACGTAAAACCATACACGGGAAGAATATTTGGATGCTTGAGGTTGGCGCATATTCTGATTTCACGCTTTATCCTCTACGAAGTGGCGACCTCTGGAATAAGCAATAGAATCAGACGCTTGTCGATAGGCTCACCCTAGTCTTTTTCGTCTTCGCTGCACCAAGTTGATCATCAGCGTATACCTGCAATGCTTTCACTGCGACCTACCCAATTATCAATTTTAGACTGATGGAAAAACAGCACTGCAAACGAACTTTAACCGGGCTACGATCGATGTGATAGGTGCATTTCCAGATCTCCCCGAACCCGCCACGAGCAACAGGGTAGTCTCCATCTTTGGTGATAAATTTTGAGAGGTCTTGGAGCGTTGCTTCAGGGGAGAGATCATCAGGCTCAACATTACGAGCGGAGAAGACTGTATGCGTATGGGAAGAGGAGGGAAGGAGCTCGTGGGGGTCGGGGGCCAACTGGCCGCTCTTCTCTAGCAACCCCACACCCAGCCCACCAGGCGACTCACATTCTTGCTCCCGCTTCTTCGCCATTTCTTCCCGTTGCCTCTTCTTGCGCAGAGCAAATTCCTTTAGGGACATCTTCACTCTTGGAGGAGGCAGCGGTGACTGTTCGCGTGCGGGTGGCGTGGGCTCATGTGTTGGTGGAGTGGATTCGTGTATAGGTAGCGCGGGTTCGCACGATGGAGGTGGTGAATAGGAATCACAGAGCGATGACGTTGACTCGCATAACGAAAACATAGGTGGTATTGGATTGCGCATGGCTGATGACATGGATGCATGTACATGTGCCTCAAGATAAGTTTCGTCATGTACAGGGCTCCTATCTGACTGCAAAAATGGGATTAATGAAGTGGTGTAATGAGCGAAATAAAGGGATGAGTACATCAACGATGGGTGGGTTTCTAGGAACACTAATCTGCAAGAAAAATGTTTAGCGCATGGACAATAGTAGTATTCAGAGTTGGATGCGTACCCCATCTTGTGGTAGAGGCTGAATGCTAGCGAAGATCTCAGGGGAAGTGTTGCATAAGTAGATATTGTTATCGTGCGGGGTGGTGTAGACTAGTTGGCGCGAGTCGGGTGAGAGCATAAGGTGGCAGACGGTACACAGAACATTGAATGAAGCTAGGAGCTGGCGGGACTCGAAGGCCCAGAGCTTGACGGTGTTGTCATAAGAAGAACTAGCGAGAAGAGTATAATCAAGTGAAAGTGCTAGACCGCTGATGGTTTGGGTGTGTCCTTCGAAGGAAGCTCCGACAGTAACCAGTGTAGATCCGTTCAATTCATAGATCCTCTTTGGGGAGTCGTAGTATATGGGGCTGAATGGGGTTACGATGGTTTTGTCTTTAGCAGTCCAAAACACTGGCGGGGATGTGTATCCAAAGCCATGAAATGTCCCCACTAAGTTGACAACCAATTTCTTTGTTTGGATATCCCACACTTCAAGGTAATTCCCCCACCACGATGTGACTGCGAGCTTCTTCAAGTCTTGCGAGAATCGAACTGCGCCCACCTCGTCGACACCGTTGAATGGACCAGCCACGAGTTTGCCAGTTTCCAAGTTCCATATCCGCGCTGTTTTATCGTCTGCCCCGCTCACCAGTAGCGTACTGTCCCCCGAGATATCGATGCAGTTAATCCTCTGTGAGTGACCTTTATATGTTCTCACGGTCCCTGTTTCAACCTCGCAGACTTTGAGCTCCCCACAGTTGGTATAGGGATTTCCACCTGCAGAGACAACCCATCGACCATCCTTTGATACACCCACAGCACATACTTCCTGCTCACAAACATCCCGCGCCTCCTCAATTTCCTTATCTGCTTCTAGGTCCCATGCACGAGTGGTCTTATCCCTTGACCCGCTGATCATTCTCTTGCCGTCCGGAAAGTAGGATATGGATGGAATAGAGCCTTCGTGACCCTCCAAAGTTAACACGTGTGTCAGAGTGGATTTATTTACTGTCGATCTGGAAACCATGACCCGTTTCTCTGCCAGCGAGGTTTAGTGATTTCGAAGAATACCTAACTCGTTTGAAGGTGCTAGTACACTTTGGCTGCTAGAGCCAATCGTCAGTTCGCTGACGCTGAAAGTCTAGATTAGTTTGATGTCACCTAGAGGCTAGCAACTTGAGGGAAGAGCGAGAAAATGATTGCATGTGCGTGCGTCTCGCAACCACCTCCTGTACTTCATATTACATAACACGCCCCTTCGGCATGGCGCCTGCGCATTGTACAGCTTTTTTACCCCCTGCATCATGTCCATTAAATCTGCTTGCTTAGGCACAAGTTATTCATGGACTTTCAACGCAATGAATGAACGAGTTCAACCAGTGTGGATCACCAACTCAACAATTTCGCAGGTCGACTTCCTCATGACTCTGAATATGATGGGACCTCCATCTGGTATGAAAGCGCTCGCGACTGCGTATGATTCTCCAGATGCGAAATCCTATGCGTACCCTTACTGTTCTGGAACATCCTTGACTCACGGAAAGTCTCTACAGCATGGTCCATTTTATACTTGCGTGGTCTGTTCAAGTCATCACTATCGCAACCACGAGTAGCGGAAGCAGCGTTGTGGCGCTTTTTAGCTATAGGCTTCGGCTCAGGATGTCCATCTTTTGACGTGGTTTCTGGCGCGGCTTAGGGCATGCACAGACAAATCATGGACACCGTATTGGACACGTTGGACACCGCGTAGACTAGTATTCTCATATCACATTGTAGGAGACGTATTGGGGTGAGCCTACGTTTACAATTTAGGTAACAGTATCGCATCGCTGTGCCTCGTTAGTTGTACTGTAAACAGTTAATATTGTTGAATGCAAATCAGTTTAAGAATTAGCGAGATCTCGACAGTAAGTAGAAGTCATTCCTGATTGTCACATCAGCTCCCTCTGTTGATGGACGGTCCCGAGGATCAGTAGACCAACATTGCTCGATAAACGTCCAGTATTTTTCAGGGAGCTCAGGATAACGAGCTCGGGAGGGTGTTTCCGACCTAGCTATGCATAGTACGATAGCGGCGTCATTCGGGAGGTAATAATAAGGAATCTTGTTAGTGAGGACCTAATTGCAGAGTTAATGATATCACCGACTAGTTGAGAGAGAGTACTGTAGACGTACCTGCAACATGATACCGCCGAACGAAAAGATGTCGCTCTGTTCGCTTGGACGAGTTGGAGATCCATCCTCCTGCTCTGGTACGAGTAGCTCAGGAGCCATCCACCGCATGTTTCCTTTGAGGGTGGACGTCCAGGAAGCCTGAGAGGCGCTTGTGGCCTCGGAATACATCAAGGACAGACCGAAGTCAGCAACACATGCAGTGCCATCACCATGGATGAGCACATTGGGCTAGAAGCCACCTCGCATCTCAATCAGATCGAAACTGTCGGGAATTATCGAACTTACCCCGTTGAAGTCACCGTGGATGACACTGTTGGCATGAACTATGAAAAGTAGTTGCGACTCGGTCCAGCACTGTGAATAATCAGCACGTACGATATTGCAGACCAGCTATGATATCCCTGAGCTAAGTTTGCCATCAGTTGGTAGTCTACACGGAATACAAGAGGGACTTGCCAGCCGGAATCGTCTAACGAGAGTAAGAGCCGTGCCCTTGAGCTCCAAATAGTCCGACAGGTTACCATTCTCCGCCCAAGGACTGACTATCGCTAGGAATGGGCCGAACCCATACGTATAGCCATAAATGGGTAGAATATTTGGATGCTTGAGGATGGCGCATATTCTGAGTTCACGCTTTATTCTCTATGAAATGGCAACCCGTAAGGAAAAGCCAAAGTTTTCGTCAAGAAACTCACTTTGATATTTTTCGTCTTCGCTGCACCAAATTGATCAGCAGCATAAACCTGCAATGCTTTCACCGCAACCTGCCCAATTATCAATTTTAGACTGATTAAAAAACAACACTGTAAACGAACTTTGGCCGATGTACGATCGATATGAAAGGTACATTTCCAGATCTCCCCGAACCCTCCACGAGCGACAGGATAGTCTCCGTCCTTTGTTATATATTTTGAGAGGTCTTGGAGTATCACGTCAGGGAGGAAATTGTCAAACCCATCATTATGAACATGGAGAACTGTGCCCGTATGGGAAGACGGTGTAAGGAGTTCGCTGGGGTGGTTGAGTAGCCGCGATCCTATTGTAGGGGAAGGTCTACGGGGTGGAGTGGGAAGAGCTATGAAAGACAGGTCCATCTTTGGGTTACGATGCACAGCAGCAGGACGAGCTATTACGTCAGGCTATAAAAATGGCATTAACGGAGTGGTATAGATGAGTACAAGAAAGGATCGCATACATTCAATAGATTAGCGAGCGGTGGATTTCCAGGTGCACTGATCTGTAAGAAAATGTTAGTGCGTGAATGATAGTAGTATTCGGGGTTGGCTGCGCACTCTAACTTGTCGTGCAGGCTGAATGCTAGCAAGGATGTCAAGTGGAGTGTTGCATAAGTAGATACTGGTGCTGTCCTTGGTCGTGTACGCCAGTTTGTGTGAGTTAGGTGAGAAGATGAGGCAGTAGGGATATCGAACGTGGAATGAGGCGAGAAGCTGGCGAGACTCAAAGGCCCAAAGGTTGATGGTGTCATCCACAGACGCACTAGCGAGGAGAGCACAATCGAACGAAAGCGCTAGACCTGTGACAAGCCGGGCATGACCTTCGAAGGGGGCTCCAACGGTGGCCAGCGTAGACGCATCGAACTCATAGATCGTGGTGGGGATGCCATAATAGCTGAATGCAGCTACGATGGTGTTGTCTTCGGTAGTCCAGAACACTGGCGCATATGTGCGACCCCAGCTACCTTTTTTCCCCACTTGAACATCCAATTTCTGTGTTTGGATATTCCACACCTCAAGACACTTCCCCGCTGACTGGACCGCGAGCCTTTTTGAGTCTTGTGAGAATCGAACTGCGCCCGCCTCGTCAATACTCTTGAATGGACCAGCCACGAGGTTGCCAGTGTCCAAGCTCCATATCCGCACTGTTAAATCGCATGAGCCACTTGCCAGTAGCGTGCTATCCGTCGATATATCGATGCAGTCGACCCTGTCTGAGTGGCCCTGGAATGTTCTCGCAATCCCTTTCTCAATCTCAAAGGCTCTGAGCTCCCCGAAATCACGGTTATCTACACCTCCCGTGACAACCCATCGACCATCTCTTGATACCCCCACCCCAAGTACTTCCGAGTCTGGCTGACAAACATCCCGCGCCTCCTCAATTTCCTTACCCGCTTCTAGGTCCCATCGACGAATGGACTCATCGTCTGACACGCTGATCATTCGCTTGCCGTCTGGGAAATAGGATATGGATGGAATAGACTTTTTGTGGCCCTCCAAGGTCAACACGGGCGTCAAACTCGATTTCTTTGCCGCTGCTGTAGGCTGTCTCAATCTGGCAGCCATGACCAGTGTCTTCCGAGTCGCTAGTGAGCAAGCAAAGTACTATTTGAGATTATTTGAAGGACCGTCGGTGAGGTCTTATGATCTGTTGTTGCCTGATGTTGATAGTGATTTGGAAGGATGCCAATTACTGGCAGCTGGTACACTTTACCTGCTCAGGATGATGTTCAGTTTGGCATCGCTGAAAGTTCAGACTGCTTTTTACCAAGAGACTAGTGACTTGAGGGAGGCGAGCGATTCACTTAATTGAATGTGCGCACGTCCGGCAACCTCTTCTTTCCCAGCACGCACATGACTCATTCTGTACTCGGCGTGCGTTGCACATTTATTCCGAAATTTCCGCGTGTCTGCTCGCTTTTGTCTGTAGACCTGTAGAATAGACCAATGAGCACCAGTCTGAGTAGTAGTCGTTTGCGGCGTCTTCTCGCGCATGTGTGATTGTGAACTCAGAGCCCTTTGTACGTAGTACTTAGGTGCAGGCTGTCGTGCAGCAAAGCGCTGAATCATGATTGAATTTGGAATGTGTCTAAAATAGCCACGTCACGTGCGACTCCTTCGCACTGCAAATGAAACGCAACGGCCTTCCTCAACCAGCGTTTTCATGTCTCAAGCAGTAGGCAACGTACGCGATTTTGTTTTGGAATACAAAGGCGGACATCTAACTCGAGGCTGATTATAGACCGCTCTTGCTTATGCGCGAGTATGGCATCATGTCAATGCCTCTGACCGCGTTCTCGGAAAACTCGCGGAACGAATAGCTCTCGTGCTCATGGGCAAGCATAAACCGATATACGACAAGAGCTGTACGTTCCCTGCATTTTTAAACACTATTCCGTCGCTCATTTGCATTTTAGTGGACTGTGGGGACTATGTCGTAGTTACAAACGCAAAACACATCAAGGTGACTGGTCGTAAAGACGAACAACTGGTATACCGCAAGCACACGATGTTCCCTGGTGGGTTGAAAGAGACCGAGTATAAGGATATGATGGAGAAGAAGCCTTATGAGGTTCGTTCCATGGTTCGATGCACAAGACCGTATGCTTACTCCGCCCTGCACGAATGTAGATCATACGACACGCAGTGTCAGGCATGTTACCCAAAAACAAGCTTCGAGAACGTCGATTAGAACGACTTAAAGTATTTGGAGGGTCGAACATGGGGATATATAGAGGGAATATCTTGAAGCGATGGGAGGATGGAACGTTGACTGAGGATTATATATTGAAGCTGGATCCAAAGAATAGGATGAAAGCCAAAGCGAAGTAGTGTTTCTTTTCATATCTTTTTGCTTATCTTTTATTATGCTGGGATATAATACTACTGCCTCTACGCGAACAGGTGATATCGATATCAGTCGGAATCGAGTGAAGGCGAGGAAGGGCCTCGTTTGATGGAGTAGGCCCGTCGTCGCACTCGTTGTGCATGAGTACCAGAAAAGCCGGTAATCATCGCATGCGCAATTTGCTCTTGGAGAATTATCCCTGGATACTGGTCAGCGGGGTAGTGAGGAGCAGTGATTTTGAATACCTATTGCGACCAAAGCTGAGCCGTCAAGAGCCTTGTACATGTCTTTATGTTCTTCACTGCGGGAAACGTTTTCGCCGTCATCTTCTTCATCTTCCCATTCATCTTCCTCATCTCCCGGCTCATCTTTCTCATCTTCCCATTGATCGTCATCGTCAGCATCGAGGGAAGAACCCCTCGTCCATGGTGCCGGTTTGTTTGTTGTCTGATCGTGAATGTTGGACACACTAATTTTCGAGCGCCGGGTTTTCCTCTCGTCTCGGTGACCCCTGCTTCTATTGGATAAAACACCTTTCTCCTGATAGTATCGGCTGGCGAAGTAGTGAATACATTTTAGCAGCTCCTACTGATTGTAAACGAACATCATTGAATGAAGATTGACTCTTACGGGTGATGGGTCCGGAAGCTTGATTTTGATCTCTTCCGATTCAGAATCAGAATCAGACGAGGACGAAAACGATGAGGAGTCGCCTTCGGAAGTTGATTCTGTTCGCGGAAAGACGCGACGTGGGGGTGAGGGTGCCAAGAACGACGAGTCCTCGGTGAAACTGCGTCGTTTGCTCGCCCTGAAGTTCCTGCCAGTACGGTCCTTGGTACTATCCTCCTCATCGCTCTCAATCGCCTTTTCTTTGCCTTTATTACTTGTCCCTACCATGAATTCCTCTTCACCCAACTCATCAGAAAGACGAATATCGATTAACTCTCCATCCTCGTCGTCTACCTTGGCCCTAGCGTTTTTAGTTTTCCTCACGGCAGCTTTGCCCCCTGCATCGCGAGCGATCCAGTTTCCTCTTGTATCCGGCACTGTTGATGGAGCTGTGCGTGTTCTTCTGTTGATAGATGATTGTTGAACGCGCGATCCGTCCGGGTGGAGGCGTAGAGTTGCCAGATCATGAGTAGTGCTTTTCCGTCTGATACTCATGGGAGTTGAAGCTCGGATCGGGATGAGGGACTCTAACGGACTACGTAAGGCGTTAGAGAGAACTCCTGAGCGGATTTCTGCGTGTCAAAGTTGTAGCCAGTGCAGGTAACCGCTCAAGGCAAATGCGACCTAAGAACAGTTAATATGATATTCAAGAAAAGTCTACAGTAAGTAGTCCCGGCCTAGTTACAACGATTAGTCTCATCTAGTCTCATATGCATATGTAGACCCGGCCCTAAACGCGTCGCGCCTACTATGACAAACAATCCCAAACATTCAAAACGCGTCAATTACTACAGCTTCCTCCAAACCTTGCGCGTTCCTTCGGTGTGATAAACATGCCTCGTCGAACAAGAGCCGAACCGGTAGAGGGCGATACCGACTCTCTCAAGGAGAATTCTGCTCTTCCGAATGGCTTCAAGGATGAGCCCATCAAAAAGGAGAAAATAAAGGACGAGAAAGGGAAAGGCAAGGTAAAGCGTGTCGAGCCTGAACCTACAGATGAAGAACCAGATGAGACTCAGGCTGGTGACAATGCCGATTTCGACGCCGATGCTGACGTAGATGCTGACGGTGATCCCGAGAACATGGACGGCACTCCAAGGAGCCGCAAGCGCGCTCGCGTCAACGCAGAGGGCGACTTTGTTCCCTCTACCCCGACCACCCCGAAAAGGGAGCAAGTAATGACTCTTCCCCGCGATGACGACGGGTGAGGCGCCGAGATATCCTTTGCAGTTATTTACGTTTCTCACTACTGTCTCTTAGCTTCATCCCTGGTTCAATCGTGCGCATTCAGTTGCACAACTTCCTTACGTACGACTGGGTGGAATTCCGGCCTGGTCCATACCTCAACATGATACTCGGCCCCAACGGCACTGGTAAAAGCAGTATTGCTTGCGCAATTTGTCTCGGACTCAATTGGCCCCCGAGCGTGAGTCTTTTTTGTTATTCCTGTGTTTGTGCTTCACATCCCCTTCCGCCAGATCCTTGGTCGCGCAAATGAGATTTCTAGCTTTGTGAAGCATGGCAAAGAGAGTGGCTACATCGAAATCGAACTTAAGGGTGCAAAAGGTCAAAAGAACCTTGTGATTCGACGCAACCTGAGCGCCAAGTCCAAAAGCTCGACCCTGACTCTCAACGGACAATCTTGTACTGGGAAAGAAATTACTAACCGTATGGCGAAACTCAATGTTCAGGTTGGAAACTTATGGTACCTTGCCCTTTCTGCGCTAAGCGCTGGTTCTGACTGCAGCGCGCTTTTCAGTTCGTTCTTGCCTCAGGACAAGGTCTCCGAATTTGCGCAAATGACTCCGCAGCAGTTGCTTAGAGAGACGCAACGTGCCGCGGGGGATGTTAATCTGACCAATTGGCATGACACACTCATTACCGCCGGCAAGGAGCTCAAGAATCTCCAAGATGTTTGTGAATTCTCTGCTTTAACATCGCGTCCGACTTACGAGTACTTTACAGAAATCCAATGATGAGCAGGAGCGGTTGAAGACGATGCAAGAGCGTAATTCCCAACTTGAGCGAGACGTTCAGCGCTATCAAGAGCGCAAGCGTATCGAGAAGGATGTGAGTCATGTGTTCCCTAATATTATGCGTTGTTAATAACTGTTATAGATCGCTATCTTAAAAGTGTTGATTCCTGTTAACGAATACCATGAAGCTAAGGAGCGCTACCAGAAGGCAAAAGACCGGCAACGGGAGCTGCACGCCCGGGTGCGGAAACTGAAGGATAGGAACGCGCCCGCGCATGCCAAGCTAGAGTATGCTCTTCCTCATTTTATCGCCAATTTGCTCACAAACTTCAAGGCAGCTCGCAGTTCAGCACAAGGAATACGAGAAGGCACGTGAGAAAAAGAAGACTGCATCTCGCCAGAAGTTCCAGCAGATGAAAAATAAATGGAGCGAGAATGACAAGCTTGTTCGTTTGATGGTTCATTTTCGTTTCTTTTCTCATCATTAGCCGCTCAGGAACGTGATGCCGAGGATGTTACGAACAAACTTGACGGTCTCAAACGGGCCGAGAAGGAGCGCGTGAAGAAGATCAAAGAAATCCAAGGGCACAATGAGAAATGGCAGAAAGAGCTTGACAACCCGCCCAAATTAGAAGATTTAGACGCCATCAATGCTGAGATGGTTCGTGAACAGTGTGAGTAGGTAGTGCAATCCGTGCTAACCGTCATTTTCTAGAGGAAAGTCAACAGGGAGCACAGTCAGACGACAACGCGCATGGAGGACTTGCAGGAGCGACAAAGGAAGAATGTCGATTCGTCCGCCGCCCAACAGGCGAACATCAGTGGTGCATTGGACCAGTGAGAAACACGATTTTATCTGACACTGGCCGTGCATAATGCGTTCGTCGCAGGCTGAGAAACCTGGAAGACGAACGCCATCGTAAGCTCGAGAAGTTGCGGGCCTGGGATAGAGATATGGCCGATGCAGTTGTGTGGCTTCGTAATCACCAGGATAAGTTCAAGATGGAGGTGTTTGAGCCCCCCATGATATGTTGCACCGTTCCGGATCGACGCTATACCGATGCCATAGAGGCATGCTTCAATCAGGATCAGCTCAAGGTTTGTACCATATCTTGCCCGTCGCTTTTAGATTAGGTGGTTGATTGACTTGCAGATCCTTGTCACGCAATGCGAGGAAGATTATGCTACCCTCAACAACTACTTGAATGACGGTGAACAAGCCGGGCTCCGAAAGGGCGCGCGTATCAACACCTGGTTCAGACCCAAGGTGGACCTGAGCCCTCCTCCCATGAATGAGGCAGAGGTATGTTCATGTTACCTCTTTTGAATGATCTAATGATCTGCTATAGTTGAAGGCACTTGGTTTCGATGATTATGCGATCAACAAGATTGAGTGCCCTGACGGCCTTCTATGGTTTCTCACGCGAGAAGTCAACTTACACCGTACCGTCAGTAAACCAATCTTATTTTAGAACTTATGCGCTAATTAGTCTTGTGGTGTCAGGCTATTGGATTGGACGCTTCTAGGGTCGATGTAAATGCTGCTATGGAAGCTGTTTCCCGAGATGGTAGCGGGGCAAAGTTCATTGCGGGAAGAGTGATGAACACGGTTTCACGATCTCGGTACGGAAAGCGAGCAGCTGCAAATATGACGAAGGACCTCCGTCCAGCCCGGAATCTTGTCAGCAGCACGAGTAAGTGGTTCGTAATTGCGACTTTTTGTGGAGTATATTTACAGCGACGCAGTCGACCCTGAGATCAAGAAGAAACTCGATCAGACTATCCAGGAGGCAAGGCAGGCTCTTGAAGTCATCAACGAAGATGCGAACAACCTTGCGGCAGAGGAGCGTGAGATCAGGGCTGAGGAAGCACTGTTCAAGAAGACATTTGTATGTCATTTGTGCCAGTCGGAAAGTGAATGCCACTTATCATGTCTGCAGGACGCACTCGAGGCACGAAAGAAGGTTGTTAATAACCAGAAGAAGCATTTGGCTACGCTCGCGGCTAAAATCGGTACATATTGATACCGTTCGGCCGTTTTCATATCTAACCGCACCACAGAGACCAACAAGAACAAGTTGAGGGACCTTGAGAATGCACCTTCCGTGGAGGATGAACGAGCGAAGCTCAAGAAGAGGTTGTTTGAGATATCCAAGAAGCGCGTTAGGATTGTAAAGGAATACACGGTTAGTTTTCTCTGTCCCGAATGCGTGAGTAAAATTGACAATCTACTCCATAGCAACTTATTCGCGCTGCAATAGCCGATCAAGTAGAAGCAACTCGCAGTGGACTTGAATTTCTCCAGGTGGGCGCAAATAAGAATGCGCTTGAAGCTCTCTGCCAAGAGAAGGATGACAAGTACCAACGCGCTCTTGCCGAGTTCGAAGAAGGTTCGTCATCAGACTCAGACTTTCCTGCAACGTCCGTGGATATGAAGTAACGATTAACACTAGCTGACCAAATATTCGTTGCGACAAAGGCTGACGCGAAGAAGAAACGCGACACCAGTCTAGATCTTGTTCGGAAGATGGACCAAGAATTCCAGCAACAATTTGCCAAGATGGAAATGGTAAGTAACCCTGACGTGATGGTTAATAGAAGGCAGAGATAGCTTACATCCATACAGGATGGTTCGGTTCACGACCGGAGCGTGAATGACCTGCGGACAGAACTCGATGTTCAGCAGGCCAATCTTGATATGATCTCCCTGACGAACCCAGGCGTTGTCGAGCAGTATGAGCGGCGAAAGAATGAGGTTTGCCTGCTCCACCTTCTGATATGAGGGTCTTCATTTACGCCGCTGATAAACAGATCGAAGCTCTGGCAAAAACTCTAGAAGACAGAGAAAAGTCTACCCGCAAAGTGGAACGAGAAATCAAGAATGCCAGAGTATGCGGTGTTCTTGTTTGCCACACATTTCATTTCTGATTTTCCTGTCAGGACCGATGGCAACCTGCTCTCGAACAGCTTGTCGCTAGCATTGGAAAGAAATTCTCTGCTGCGTTTGATCGTCAGTCGCTAAACCCCGCTGAGCGTCATGAATTTACGTTTATCAACTTTTACAGGCATTGGTTGTGCAGGTGAAATCCGGATCAGCCCTCATGATGATTATGACAAGTGGGCAATCGACATTCTCGTCAAATTCCGTGATAACGAGAAGTTGCAACTTCTTACGGGACAGAGGCAGTCAGGCGGCGTAAGCAAGGATTACATTGACTCCGTGCAAGACATTTACATTAGGTCCAGGAACGGTCACTCACCACTATTCTATACCTCATGAGTTTGACCGAAGAGGCGCGAACGCCGTTCTCTCTTGTTGACGAGATTAACCAGGTACTCCCTTTTTTGACCCTATTTATACGTCAAGTGCTAACAACATTTCCGAAGGGCATGGATCAACGCGCCGAGCGCGCGGTGCATAATTCTTTGGTTGAGGTCACATGCAAGCCTGACAGCGCCCAATACTTCTTGATCACCCCTAAACTACTTCCTGATCTCGATTATCACGAACGCATGAAAGTTCTTTGCGTCAACAATGGAGAATGGCTTCCCGAGACACCAGGACTGGGTAATATGAATCGCATGATTGAGAACTTTGTACAACTGAACCGCGACCGTGTTTCCCGCGACCGTTCCTCCCGGGCTGGTTGATCAAGATGTTTTGCTTACATTTTTGTTACAATACTGTATCAACGTCATCTTCGCACTAACCTGCAGGATACAAGTGTACCAGTTACCAGTGCTTTCGTCCATAATATACTCGCAGTAACATAAAGCTATTATTTGATCTTTCTACTATCATGCAAGACATCACCGCCGAATTTCTAGATCCGGCACGTTGTTCAGCGTGGGCGCACCCCGTTACTCCACCTTTACAACTCCTTTCAACACCGCGAGCTCCGCATTAATGATGCTGCTGGTAGCTGCTCCGATAGAGACGTTGTTCGCGAGGACAACAAACTTTATGTCAAGAACGGGACATTGGCGCACTCTTCCCACTGATACGCCTGCACCGTCTTGGTAATATCGGTCCAACCGAGGTTGAGGGCGATCCGGTTCTTCATGCACAAAAATGGCATGGACAGGAACAGAAGGACACCCAATGGATTGCGCCTCTGGAGTATAGGCCACCAACGCTTCGCGGACTTGCTGTGGGCTGGGAGGAGGTCTCTGCTGAAAACGTACAGAAACGCACATCATGTGCCCATCAATGACGGGAACTCGATTACACGATGCAGATACGCGTAGTGGATGGCGTGCGTGCATGTCAAAGGTCTTCATTCCATCATCGCCATCGGCGATCCCTCCCAGAATTTTCAGCGTCTCCCACTCTATTTTCTCTTCTTCACCACCAATGTAGGGCACGACGTTATCGATGATATCAAGACTAGGAACACCTGGGTATCCAGCACCGGAGATGGCTTGCATAGTAGTGACCAGACAAGACTCGATAGGTCCAAAGGCCTTCTCCAGAGCGCGAAGGGGTATAACGTAGCCCGTCGTAGAGCAATTGGCATTGGTAACGATGAAACCCTTCTTGAGCGGGGGATTTTGCAGTGCTTGCTGCTGAGGAATGATGGACAAATGTGAATCGTTTACGAGGGGGACGATCAGAGGTACGGAGGGGTCTCTGCGGTAATTTTTGGCGTTAGAGAAAATGGCGAGATCAGCGCTTCTGAATGCGGATTCTGATATTTATAAAGATAAGCCACGATAAAGAGGGGTTATAAGCTTAGGGACGTACCTATTTCTCCAGCCGCATCGGCGTCAAGACCAGAGAAGATGATAGCACACTCCGCAAAGTGCTCTGGATAGCACTCGTGCACTATCATATCGCGGACGACAGATGGTATCGGTGTCGTCTGCTTCCACATAACGGCCTGCGCATATGACTTCCCGGCTGATCTGGAAGATGCTCCAAGTACATGGATGGTGAACCATGGGTGTTTTGCGAGCAGAGTAACGAAACGCTGCCCTACAGTGCCCGTCGCACCAAGAATCCCGACTTTGATTTGTTTGCCATCTGGATTCTTGCACATGACAACTTCACCTTGAGTTCTCCTTAGAGATGGAAGTATCAGTTATTGATCAACTTTCTGTTGTTGATTCGACCTTGTAACAGCGCAATGTCACAATAGACCATCTCACTCAGTATCGGAAATGCACTTAGACCGTGGGAGATCTTTCCGGTGTCCGAGTCGTAATACTGGCAGCAAGTACTCTTATTCTGTGCACGCTCAAACTCGACATCGTCCTTAATGGCGACAACTACAGATAATGCAGCTCAGCTTATATTTGCGCCAAATGTCTTGCACAATCAAGCGTTGACATCTGTCAAATTCCTATCCTCTTGCTTTGCTGGTGCTGTTGCAGGAATCCTCGGACTAGAGAACTGGCTGGGATTCGCACTCTTTATAGCATCCATCGTTTCAACCTCATTTATTATTTACGCCATAAACTGCAGAGGGAAACCTGCGAAGTACCTGCCTGGCGGACTTGGGGAGCTGGTGAACCCTGGCCAAGATAACATCTTTACATTTATTCTTGTATGGACATTGTTTTATGGTGCGCACTTAAGGCTTTTTTTGCCGCTCTATACGTATTTACGCAAACCTGACTCACTAGGCATCATACATGGTAAGAAATGCTAGAATCCTCGGACAGACGGGATCGGTGGTGATAATTCTCATCTTATTACCAGTGTACGACTGAACGGACAATTCGCTTTTCCGTCTCGTTCAGACCTTTATCCACGTGTGTCATTCCTTATTATTTTGGGAATGAGCTTATCGATGCCAGTACGTAGAAGTGGAGCTCGCTAGTCACATCGGTGAACCTTGACCTGTTCACTGGTTTTCTTCTCAGGAGCACTATTGTAGTGTGCATACACCTGCAGACACACGAAGGTCGCATGATCAATATCCACATATTTCCTTGGCATAATTTAATATTTCACTCGATAACCTAGAATAAGAGCCATTTGCCCATCGCACTTGAAAAGTGTGGAAGACTGGCAGAGGCCCTGAGGCATGGGAATCAATGAAAAGACCGGTTCGGCTGCTAAAATGAAACAGGAGCCACGAGGAGCCACGTGGGCTTCTTTACGTGGGCTTCTTTATGGCCCGTGCCTAAAATCTCTTATTCCCAATCTAGCATGTTCTTGTGCGTTGAAAAGGTAAGTTACTTCTGAGCGACTGGAATGTGACGACCCAGAACCCCCCGTCTTTCTTCCACATTTCCCATCATGTCTACCTCATACGTCCTCCTCCAGTTCGGATCAGATCTCTTCAGCCATAGATTTGAGGATCTCGAGAGCAGACCAGCGTTCACGGTGTATGTACCTCTTTTAACGCTCTCGGCCTAAACTTAATCCGTGACGGGTAAAATATAGGATGACGGTAACAATGTCTGAGGCTCAGCGTCCAGCGTCCTCTAACATATCATTCCAAAGGTTGACCAACAAGCAAATTTAATTGTTCACATCGCTCGCGAAGCGGCTTGGAGCCAGCAGCACCCAGAAATCATGGGTCCCAGAAATTCTTACCTGTATTTCGGCCCATCCAAAGCACCAGGATACCTTGTGTACGGAAATGGGCCAGAGGTCGCCATGGTCAATCACCTACGCCAGAAAAAAGATGCTAGCACGTAGGTGTCGTAGATGTCACGTCGTTAAATCATAATGCAACAAAATCACAGATCGCGCTATTTTACGGCGCAGAATGGTAAGGAGCTGAAGTGGAAAGTTTCTCCTCAAAAGATGGAGGTGGGATGTTGCTAGCTTTCGTGCCTTTCGTTTTACTCATCCAATTTCAGTGCCTAGATGGACGCTCTACGGTCGCTACGTGGGAGCTCAGTCAGCCAGAAGATGTCTTCAGCGCTCGTCTGACAATCAAGCATTCCGGCCTTACTATGGTCACTGAAATTTTAACCACTTTGTCTCTGAACCGCATGGCCCTGGATTTAGACTGGAAACTGTAACAGTTTTTTTTTTCCTTCATGACTCGTCTTCTATGTAATATACCACGTTTAATCCTCGTTTCGCCTTGGACTCGCACCCACATGCTATGGTGTTTCAACAACTCACATCACACACTTCACAATACATGTATTCAACAGTCATATTCATTAGCATCTGCTTTCTCATGTCGATTTAATATCATTCTACTATTCCTACTCTTCAGTACGCAGCTCGGTTTGAAATTCCATCAGGCGTGACCATTCTGCCTCATCTTCAAAGTCTTTCGAGCGTCCCATAAACGTCCGAATGATACTGCGTCCCTGGTGTCTCCAATTGATGCCTTGTACCCGCGGCCCGAAATTTCTTAAAACATCCATCACGTCCTCGACTTCATTTACAGCTTCTCGCCACTTCTCAACATCAGTTTCTCCCTTCTCAAACGTTCCAGCCACGCCACAGCGATACCAATCCAGGTAGGCTTTCAGCGCATCTTCCCACCGTGATTGCCAAGTCAGAAGACGTGCATAGGCGCGGAAGATGCGAGGTGAGGATACACGGGGAAGAATGGTCCGGTCAAAAAGTTCCAGTACCCTCCCGAGCAGCCCGTGGCCCTCGTTTGGACTGTTTACAGCATCCCGCCTCCTATCATCATCTCCAGCTGACTGATCGAGGCCAACCGGCACCCTGGTAACGGCAGTTACCAGGCGCTCAAGAACTTCTTCATCGACACATTCTGCACCGGTTTTTGCACTCCGTTCTTCAACGATACGCGTCAGTGCACGGCATGCCTCTGATAACTCCCCAATATCCACGGCGACGATCATGTAATTTGTCCACATGCGCCAATTGTCGTAGCTGTATTTCAAGCCCTGTTTTAAAGCACGGAAAGCCAGTATTTTGTTTGAGAAAGATTTGGCCTTGCTAGGCTGGTCTTCCTAAACATAAATTGAGTTCGTGCAGGGTAACGAAGATTCATCCCCACTTACCCCATTCACATCCAATCCAGAGTTATTCTGGGAGGAGTCCAAACGGAGGTACATGCTAGCCAAATTGTTCCAACTCTCTCCGTCTTCATCGTCAATAGAAACACATCGACTAAATGAATCTCGGGCCCCCTCCCAATTTTCGAGACGAATATAGGCACACCCTAAGATAAACCAAGAACGGGATAATAATGGATTGATCTTCACCGCACGCTGCAGGCAGGGAATGGCCTTCTCGAATTCTCCACGTGCAAAGTAGTAGCCTCCAAGAGACCGCATTGCACGGCCGGAAGTCTCCTTTGACAGCGCCCATGCGCGCCCATAATGCTCCACTGCATTATCCGGTTCCAGATCTCCTAAAAGACACCACAACTTCGCTTGTCGCGCCAAATCTAGTTTGCCGCGCCGCGGGGAAGGTAAATCTTTACCCCGCGAAATCACATTCTCTGCTTCCTCTTTGCGTCCCTCAAGTAAATCACGGACAATAACAACCGCTTTGTCTGTCCTCTCCATAGACTGCCAGCATTTCACTACCTCCTCCCACATCTCAAGGCGTTCGAAGATTTCCAAGGCCGACTTTACCACCCCTAGAGTGAGGAAACGTAATGCCAGCTCGCGTTCCATCTCCCACTTGCTTGGAAGCGGTATTGAATGGAAATAAAGCAGCCGTTCCGGCAAGGGGGAATCAGCAGTTGGCATCTGATCCACGAGGGCCTGGAGCTGGAGCACTGAGCGCTCAACAGTCCGTGTACGTGTAGACTCAAGGCGGGACCGCAGAAGCAGAGCCATAGTGTGGACTGACCAGTTCTTTGGATGCGATATGACACGGGCGACGTAAGGGGACATCTGTTCGCTTGTGAGGCCGTGCGAAGGGGATGTATTCCGTACATTGAGGCAAAGCGACAGAAGTATACACTGATCGAGTGGGTGTAAAGGGGGTTGTGAAACAGGATCCAGATGACTCAGCTGATTGGTCGTGGATGAAGGGGCAGATGATGTGAATATGGTCTGCTCAAGAAGTGTGTCGTCATTCAATTCCAAGGTAACAGGAAGATTGGAATTTGTCATGATAGACGAGTTAACAGGCGTACGTGATCGATCGGCAAGATCATCGTGTACGGCTTCGGCGGGGGAGTTATCCCTTTTCCGACTCTCTGCGAGCAGCACCAATTGGCTAAGATCATTTTGTTGAAACTTTGTTCGTCTCCCAAGCGCTCCCGTGAGTTCATACTGTAATCCCGTAGCACGGGCCGCTTGAAGAAATCGATCGGAAGCGACTTTGTCGTGGCCAAAAATATGTTCGAGTCGACCCTGTTCTAACTGCAGGCGGCCAGTAAGATCGCGATCTCCCGTATCTCCTGCAAGGGTCTGCAACAAAGACCCCAATGAATCATGAGGGTCCATTGGAAGCGGCACTGCCTCGTCCAGTAACTGCTCGTGAATGATTGTTGTACGTAACTGCCACCAGCAAACGGATATGCAGTGATGATATGGCAAGGCGAAAATGAGTTGGGCGAGACGCAAAAAGGTCGTGTGTTGTGCGAGGTGGTAAGCAGGCTCGCCGCCGTAAGCAAGCTCGGTCACCGCCTTCATATCGAGGACCTCATCGGAAATCAAGGTTGGGTTCATCATATCAACAATCACTTCCGATGGTTTGACATTGAGGTCCGGACCAGTCCAGTTTGCCTGGATGAAAGCATGTAAGGATGCGACGGCTAGAGTGACCTGAATGAACTCTTTTTCTGCTTCATCTGTCACAGATGGTAATTTCCACGAGAAGGATTCTTCATAGCTCTTATCCTGCAGCCCAGATGCCCTAAAAAACTCTCGGGCCAAAGGTGAGGTTAGCACTTCCCGAAATTTACCATCGATGACATCCTTTGCGAGCATTGCAATTGCAGGACGCGACTCCAACTCTGTGTGGAGCTTGGAGTCCCATTGCCCGTCTAGCAGGGAACTTTCAAGAGCGTCCATGATATTTCAGTTGAACCAGCGTGCGATGAAGATCAGGAATCACGATGAGTAGTATTTGAAATTGATTACCATAAATTACTAAGTTCGGTGTTGCCCGTTGATCGAAACGTGGTGTGCCATGTGGCCTACAACCTTACCAACCCTACATATGCAGGCAGGAGTAATGTTCCAGCGCCACTATCGTCTCGAAGGATACAAGTCGTTGATCAGGCTCGAGGATCGCGGACGGCATCTTCAATTACTTTACCAAGCAGGGGAACAAATTAATGAAGATCCGAGTCCTCCCGTTGCAGAGTTTGAGCCATGAGGACTTCTACCGGGAGGGTATCTAATACATGGCTGGCCTTGAGGTGTTTGACCCGGTCATCTCTTGATCATAATTGGATCATCACCTCAGCTGGTCACACTTTCCCCACTGCCAAGCCAGCCCCGGTACACTCGTGCTCGTCTCATACATCCCACCCTCATGCTATTAATTCATGGATAGTAACCTGTGTAAGTACCCACAACCGCTGACCCAAGAACCAGTCGGTGAAGCCTATTGGAAATAAAGCTTGCTGCCCCTCGGAGTCTCGTTGGTCAACACATGCGTGAGTCTGGGACGAATCTGGGATGGGAAGCACGTGTGCTTCCCTGAGATGGATAAAAATGGCTAATCCAAGCGTACGGTATGCAAGATCCCATGCTAGATCTTACAAGTGTACGAGAAAACACGCGCCTACGCTATGGTTCCTTCGCTACTGGTGTGACATTACTAAAGAAGCTCTTTGGAACGGAGGACACGCCCCTCGCATAAATCTGGCTTGTGTAGACCTGCACCATAAACTTTAACCGTGAACAACGAGGGAAAATGACTACTCACAAGCTCGTCGTAGATGATAGCGGGTACTTTTTTGTCGCAGAGTGTGGAACCCGGATGAATTTTAATAACCTTGTGCACGTTCAGTATTCCGAATCTACAGAACGAGAGGCGAAACGCACAGAATGACCCATCGTTTGCTTGTATGTTCCATCCGGCTGTAAAAACGCCGACTGCTGGACGAGGCCAGTGACAAAACATCTCAGCACTGGTTCCTCGCTATCTGCCGTGGAAGCATGCCAGTCAATGCCAACTCGTTGGCACGTCTGCCTCAGCTGATCTCTAATTTTCGTCGCTTCCACGAACGTTCTTTCGTTCACGAAGTGCTGGCGACACCATTCTTTTCTCGCGCCCTTACTATCAGATGCAGCAACCTCTTGGTATGATCGGAGGGCATTGAGCATCGTCATATGGTCCCCACTCGCATGACGAAACTTGCACCGAACTTCTGCGATGGCATCGCGCTGGTCGGAGATATCGAGGAAGAGTGTAGAAGAGGATGAGAGAAGGGACACGATGTCTATTACCTCAGAGGTGCAGCCATGGCTTTTGGATGCGAGGATGATGCGTGCGAAGTACGGTTCCACGGGGAAGGACGCCATTTGACGCCCCAATGCGGTTAGAGTCTTGGAGTTGTCCAGCGCACTAAGAAGCCAGAGTGTCTTGAGTGCGGAAATGACTGAAAAAAAGTCAGGATTGGTTATGGAGGCATGTCAGGGGGTCGTACCTGACCCTATCTCGGGAGGATCCATGAAATCGACTGCTTCAAAGTCTTGACCAAGGCATTTTAATTGCAAGACGCTCTGGGTTAAGCTGCATCGGCGAATCTCCGGCTCTGCGGAAAGTGCCATTGCATTGAATGCATCTTCTGTGTACAAACGGAAACAAAAACCTGGACCCTATATCACGTCAGAGGCCCATCAAGAGAGACAAGGTTCAGAGCATACCTCGCGACCGGCGCGACCAGTCCGTTGCATAGCAGACGACTTTGTGATATCTCGAGTTAATAGGGTATCAAAACCTACCGAAACAGTCAGTTGTGAAACTCAAATGGACAGTCACCCCATTACCTCCACCAGTATCCTTCGACAAATATCTTTTTTCTTTACACTTGCCGGTATCGATTACGTATTTTATTCCAGGTATCGTGATGGACGTCTCGGCGATGTTGGTAGCAAGGATACATTTCCGGGTATTTTTAGGGGCGGACGAAAATATCCTAGCCTGCTGCACAGGCGGCAAGGCAGCATACATTGGGCATGTTAGGACCTAGATGAGGATCGCAGTGAGAACGAGAGTCATCAAAACGTAAGAATATCGTACTGTCATACGCTCCTCAGGAAGTCTGCGAGTATACATTTTTATCGATTTGTCAAGACTTTCGATATCCTCCTGGCCTACACGACATCAGAAGTTAGCATGGATAATGCCGGCAAATTAACACACTTACCTGGAAGAAATATAAGGACATCCCCTGGAGGTCTATCAGTATGGATTTGGAAGAACGTCCGTAGAGCAGCATCAACATAGTCCGTCTGGCTGACAGATGTATGGAATATCTGGACAGGGTGTTGCCGACCCTTGATGTAGAGTATTCGAGCACTGGAGTCGCTATAAGCATGTACATCGCGTGCACAGTAATGTACTAACTTGTTATAGAACTTGCTGAACTTCTCGGCATCGAGCGTCGCACTCATGATGATGAGCTTCAACGGGTTAAGGGCTGATGCAGGACCCTTTCCCTTCCCACTGATGTCACCCCCACTATTTCTGGCGGTCTGTATCGTTTTCAGGTTTGCTATTAGGAAATCCGTCCGAAGGGTTCGTTCGTGCGCTTCGTCCACAACTATAACACTGTATCTCGACAGCAACTGATCCGATAGCAGCTCTCGCACGAGCATACCGTCACTGACGTATTTTATCCGGGTGTCGGAGCTGGAAGCCTCGTCGAACCTCACGGAGTATCCAACAAGTCCACCGATAGTGACATTTTTCTCTGCAGCTACGCGAGCGGCGAGGGACGTTGCTGCTACTCGACGCGGTTGGGTGACAGCAATCATGCCCTTGCCTGCGATGCCCGATTCGAGGATGTATTGAGGGACTTCTGTACTTAAGAAAGAGTCATGAGGTGAAATAACAGTGGTATGATGGCTAGCAGACGCACGAGTGGTTTTTCCTGACCCCGTCTCTCCCAGTAAAATTGTAGTGTCATTTTCTCGTATTTCGCGGATGAGAGCTTCCCGTCCTGCCAAAGATGCTGAGCAGAGATTCGGATGATAGATGGATAGGCTAGTTACCGCGTGCTATAGGAAGTTGCTCGCGCTGTTTTTGTAGGGAATTCACTGGGCGTGTTTTCGCGGAGGTAACGTCGTCATCTAGATGGATTTTGGCTTTCTTTCTTGGAGTATGGATGGACATGAATTCGGAATAACTGCCAGACTTGCTCGCGTTGCTATTAGATAGTAACTTGTGTCCAGTGAAATGATTAGGAAGTAAAATGGGTTCTTCCTCGCGATGTCAGAACGTGGGTATGTGCACTAGGGGGACTGATGATGTGAAGCGCAATGTGCGCTCGGCTTGCTGCTTGACACTCGAAAAAGTTGTATCGGAAATCGGGAGTCGGGAATCCGATTCTTCACCGGATCAGAAACCTTATTATACGCCGTCACCCAGCCTCATAGATCACAGAAACTACACGACCATGAAATATTATATTAATATTACAGCACTTCGCAAGTCGTACCGTAGCATATGAGCAGGCGGATAGTACATCCCATTTACAAAATTTATGTTCAACGGGTCCGTTGGGATGGGATCGATACTGAACCAGAGTTGAATGCAATCGCGGAGCATGCGTCTACTGACACCGTGAGTGTCGCTGACTGACAGTTTTTAACACGCTGACCTGGACCTTAAACTGCGCTCATGAAGTGATACTTTGAGTAGAATGCAAATCATTTTACTGCAAGTCAGGGAATGGAAACCAAGAACTTCAGATGTATGTAAGATGTATCTGAATCTTATCGCACAGCCAACAATTGGATATTGAATTCTAGCTACCCTGCAAAGAAGCGGCTCTCTAGAAGTTGTTCTCAGTGGTCGCCAAATATACCCTGAGTTTATGCAGTGCGCGGTATCGGTGAGAAATGATATTCTTCTGTTCCTTGGTCATTTCGGCGTAGCTTTGTTCCGATTGCAGCATTGTAAGCAACCGAGCAAAAAAAAAAAAAGGGAGTCTCACGTTTGATCAAAACCTTTTGGTTGGAAGACAGGGTCCCACCCGAAATCGCCAGGTCCCCTGGCAGGGACGATGGTACCGTCTGTGCGGCCCTCAAAGAGGATCGGCTCAGTGCCCGGACCCGCACTGTATGCAAAAGTACAAAGCGCATATGCATCTTTCGTCGAAAATCCTGCGAGCATGTTATTCAGGCCTACTCAGACGCGTTCAGAAAGTCTCGTTTAGCAGGACGTCCCTGCGCCCACCGACCTTCGTGGCCGAGTGTCTTCATAAAGTGCTTGATATATGGGCCAGGTAGCCCATTATACGCTACGAAACATAATGCGGTATCCTCCGTTATGCATGGCTTCCCCAGCTGCCAGAAGGCATAAGCATTGTAAGGGTAGTGGGCAGGTGGATCCATAATCTCAGATTTAAAGGGTGACTGACCAGCTCAGCTGCGCGACGGCATTTTGCTATGGCGACTTCTTGGGTAGTGCCCTGCAGTTCGGGTACTGGAGTATTTGATCAGCGGGTGGATAAATATTGATCAGAAGAACTTGCTATCTAGGTCTTGCGAGTCTATTTCTATTGGCGTTCCTTGAGATAGAATATACTTGGTCTCCTTCAATTTATTGTGATTTCCAGTTACGAATGCTGATGGAGTATTATCAGGATACATTGAACATGGCTAAAATAGTCAAGACCTACTCAATCGCTTAGAGGCCATTGCGACAGCAGAATAAGTGGCTATGGCCCATGGGAGTCGAGAAACTGGTGTCATCTCAATCTGATAATCTAACCGATTTGCTGAGTCAGGTGAGCCGGTTCGGGTTGGTGCTCGTGAGTATAGTACACAGTTACACTTAGTAGTTGTTCTCGAGGTCACGGTTAACGTTGACGGGCTCGTGGAATTTCAACGAACAGGTCGCAGCATCGGGTCACTCGGAATAACTGACCACAATTCTCACATCCATACTACCACCTACTGATCTTTTCAATTAACTGGCGTCATACTTTCGCCGTCCCTGCTACGTGTCCTGCTGACCATAGACACGCATTACTTCAGGAGCCTTTTGACTATCATTTTCGACAGCAGATCGTTCGTCTGCGACGAAATACATCGGCACAATGCCCGACTACGTGTATGCACTTCACGACTTTCAACCGGAAAATGAGGACGAAGTCGACTTCCGTGCGGGTGAGCCTATCGAGGTCATAGAGAGGGATGATCAATACAGCGATGGCTGGTGGCAGGTGTGTACTGCCCGATTCTTTCACACTGCGCACGGTCTGCATGTAGGCATGCACAACTCTGCAGCGCAATTTCAGCCCACATAAACTCCACAGTGCCCTGCGTTCTGCCGAGTTTAATTGCATTTATTGTTTTGCTCCATGCTATTAACTCATACACGCACTATATTCCCAGGGACGCAATCTTGCAGGTAAAATCGGCCTGTTCCCCAAAAGCTATACTACACCGGCTGCCCCTGCACGTCCACGTGCCTCTTCACTAGAATCCTCCGCTGGTCCTTCCATGAATGGGCCTCCTGACATATTACAGCCAGTTGATGAAGAGGCAGGTTCATTCATTGGTAGCGACGCCGATTCCAACATTGGTGTCGCCCTTGGCGAACCGCCTTCAGGACATCAGGAGGAAGTCATGCAGGCTACTATGACAGACGTCCAGAAGGCCATCGAACAACTTGGCCAACATGATCGAGATGGAACTCGCAGCTTCAGCTTCGCTAGCACTCGGCACGGAGACACGGATCGCGAAACGGATACAGATGGAGATACCAGCTTACGGGACGACGGAGAGGACTGGCACCGTAGTGCCCGAGACAAGCTTGCAGAACAGGCGCGTAAAGTCGTGGAAGCGAAGGCCGCTACGGAAGTGGAGATTCGCTCGCTCGCTCCTCCGATAGACATCGAAATGAGTGATGAAAGTGAGGTAGAAGACGTGGACGACGCATTTCAGAATGTACATCGGTTCGCACGTGATCATCCCCATATTCCCGAGGAAGATGAGGAAGATAATGACAACAATGGCGCAGTAACTCTGAGTCACAGGAGGAGGAACTTAAGCATGACTTCACCTGTGACACTCCCCTTGCAAGATTTACCATCCCTTTCATCTAACGATGGTGAACAAACAGCTAAAGTTCATAAGACGTCATTTTCTGTTACATCAACCATTCGCACTATCTCCCCAGCGCCTACTGGTCATGAACACAATGGATCTCAATCCCGGTCCGCTCCCGTATCCCCTATGGTCAATATATTTGCCCCTGTCCCTGTTATTGCCGTCGAGCCATCCTCCATACAGTTACCTGCTTCCCCCGAACCCACCACCCACGCTACTCCCACGCCTGTGATCCGCGAGATTCGCCAAGTTTCCAGTGCTGTTTCCTCCCCCACCCCACGTGTAGTGAGCCCACCACCGACGTCCAAGCACAATAGTGTTGCATCCAGCGGTCAAGTCTCTACCACTTCCATGCCGCAGACGTCGTCTGAACCCACACAGGAAAGTAGCCTAATGAAGTCTGTTTCTCCATCAGAGTGGAGCGTCGAAGAGGTTGTTGACTGGCTAAGGTCCAAGAACTTTGGTCAGGACGTCTGCGATAAGTTCATAGGTAAATTCCTTCTTTTTGTTGTACAACTTGAACTAATTTTGTACCCCTTAGAACAAGAGATCACAGGTGATGTTCTACTAGAGCTTGACATCAACCTTCTGAAGGTTGAAATTGGCATCGTCGCATTTGGAAAGCGTATGCGCATTGCCAACGCTATCGCCGAACTACGCCGACCTCCATCAATCATCTTCCCAGACGCCCAGTCGCCCCAACATCCTCAGTCCTTGTCGCACTCCCATTCATACTCCTACACACATTCACGTTCTGGCTCGACTCAACAGTCTTTGAACAGCCCCATGTTCACGACTACCATGAGCTCAGCTATTACTGCGCCGAACTCAGCGACCTTTGGTTCGATGTGCAGCACCGAGAGTCCAGCTGCAGACACGAGCCAATTCGCAGAAAGAGTATCTAGTTTATCGAGTACTGGTCTTAATATCATTGGAGGTTCGCCGGAAAATCATGTCTCGACTGGTACGGTGGGGCTCGGCCTTGGGGCCCCGCCGAACGGCGACGATCATAAAGTTGGTATTTCATCTTCCACTGCTATTTTTATCGCTTACGCATTATTAGCGTACGGCGTCGGGTCAACTTGGACCTTCTCCTAGTGATGGTGCCTTGAATAAACGATCTCAAGAGGATGCACCCGAGCCTGAAGAGCTGCAAGACGACGATCGCGGCGCCTTGAGCGAGGTGATTTCATATCTTCTTTCTGTTGTAGGTGGCATCAGTTAAACCTTTTCGGCAGGGAGAAAATGTACCATCTGTCGCCAAGCAACGCCTGCACCTCTTTGGCCGCTCTACAGAGTCCACGTCTACCGCGAAGGAGAAGGGCGGCACTTCCTCCAACAATAATTCTACTACCGCACTCTCGACTTCAGTGCCCTTGGCGTCGGCGGTGGTAACACCCAGATCATCACGGAAACGAGAGCTGCTGGACGACTCCAGTATTGGCAGCAAGCATAGCCGGAATAAACGGGACGCTACGACGAAAGGAACAGAGCGGCATAGTTTGTTCGGAGGCGCTTTCACCACTTCCCTCGGGAAGTCCAGGAAGCCTCCGCCAAGGATCAGCCCGTATGCACTGAACTTCTATATAGTTTGCTCATTCACTCACTTTCAAATAGGTCATTGATTGACACCGAAAGCCCAATGGAAAAATCTTCGAGTCTCAATCTTTCCCGGCTGTACGGCAACAAGAAGCCCTCGGGTCGCCCGTCAACGTCAGACGGCTCGCCTTCTAGCACTCTTCGCAATCCCTCGCGCAGCGATTCTCTTGATGAGAAGAAGTTGAGGGAGAAGGAGAAGACGTCTGAGAAGCTGAGAGGCAAGGATGCAGATAGTCAAACACTGAAAAAGAAAGAGTCCCTGAAAAAACACGTTGATGGTCACGAGAGCCAGTCTCGAGGTCCTAATACGTTCAAGCCAGGACAGAGTATCATTGACCAGATCGGCACCCCTGATCACCAAGGATGGATGCGTAAGAAAGGCGACCATTACAATGCCTGGAAGGTGCGGTACTTCGTTATCAAGGGTCCACATCTGTACATCCTACGGAGCGACAACAAGACGGTGGGGGGTCAAGCCTATTTAATCATGAAGTCATACACTGATGCAGTTGTTCAGGAGGTGAAAATCAAGGGCTACATTAATATCATCGGATACAAGGTCATTGCGGACGAAAACGTCGATCCAGGACGTTATGGCTTCAGGATAGTGCACGAAACCGACAAGACGCATTTCTTCAGCTCTGATGAGCAAATCGTGGTACGTGAGTGGATGAAAGCAATCATGAAGGCCACCATTGGTAGAGACTATTCGAGTAAGCCTGAGCCATAATCTTCGGTCGCTTATCTAACATTCTGTTAAACAGAGCCTGTTGTTTCTTCCGTCAACATCCCTACTATCCCTCTAACAGTCGCCCAGGCGATGAACCCTGCCCCCCGACCGCCGTCTCCTACCGCTCGCGATGCGACACAAAAGGCTTTACGCCGCGAGAATCCAAATCAGCTATCTTCTCGTGATGCTCGCGTCCTGATGGGTTTACCATCATCGGATGGCAATGACGCACAAGATAGCGAACGGACACATCTTGATTCCTTCTTTACTGAGCAGTCCATTTCAAGCCAGCCTGAAGACGAGCCCAAGGTGGCGAACCAAGCTCCTCCCCGCCCGACTAGAGAGGCACGCCCTTCGCCAACTACCGCGGTTTGTCCACTCCCTTCTCCGTGCGATATAATGTGATACTGATTTTATAACCTTGTACAGCTGAATCCTTCTGACACGGATCTGGTTGAATGGGCTAATTCACACTTACCAGCCGCGTTAAAAAATTACGATCTCACTGGCCATCTTTTCAGTGGTCTTGCTCTTCTTCGTCTCTCGGAATCAGTTTTAGGGAAATCACCCTCACCCCCCGTGCCAGACTCGGCATTCCCGTCTGGCCCCGATGACGACAAGCTGGACGGGCTATTCCGCCTGTTTGACTTCCTCCTCGACAACGACGTAAAAATGGGTAGCGTAAGCATCAACGACGTCCGACGAGGGAAACACGATAAAATATTACAGCTTCTCAAAGCACTCAAGGCATGGGAGGACAGGCGGATGGACATATTGAGATCTATTGGTGCGGGGACAATTCAAGCTGGTCCTTTCGTGACTCCCGATATGAACACTTGGAAGAGATGAATCCATTTGGACTGCTTATCATTCGAGATTGCGGACTCGATCTTCAAACATTCATTTGCGCTACATATATCATGATGACCCTCGTTTACGTTTGGGCTATTTTCTCTGGATACCCGTCAAATATCACATCCTGCGGATAACTACATTATGTACATGGAAACTTTTCAAGCAATTAGGATTGTAGTGTGTGTAAGGAATCGACATGACAATTCATGCACGTAGGTCAGAGCTTGGATGACTCAGACGGAACCATGTTGGTGTATACAGCTGATGCGACTAATCGGCTTCGCGTTATATTCCACACCTGTTGAAGCCAAACGTAAGCTGATAGCGCAACGAGAGAGCTCGTCAGAATCTCACTTCACAACGACCTGAGCGTGCCCGGCTACCAAGGGTGAGTGTCGTGCATACGATGCGTAGCTTGTCGCCCCTGACACAATGGTTCAGTAGAAATTAATTAATGTGCCATTTGAACGTACAGCACTGCTGGTGAGTGGAACACAACATTCAAAGACTGTTGTACACCGAATACGCTATATATGCCCGTCGAAGCCCTAAGAACGTAAATGGGCATTGGCGAGCAGCTGCGCATCCATGTTAGCTCCAGATAAACATGAAGTAGAAGAAACATGCATATCAATTATCATGGCCAAACAACCACCGTGCATGGTTCCACCTTCATTAAACATGTCTGAGGGCGCCCCGTGATATGTCAATGAGCAAAGCATATATCAGAAATTCAGGCACCTTCATCCACGATCGCCTCGAGGACAGTCCGTCCTTCAAGTCTGTCCGGCTCCTCTGCCTTTGACAATACAGACGCCTCTGCTAGTTGCAACCGGGACACGAACTCGGCCTTGAAACCTCTGAAGGGCTTGCCAGTCGAACGCGAGACGTGCCTTGGCTGCACCAGATAGTTTAGCAATGCAAGTTTTACCTCTGGAGAAGCATTCCCTTGCACTTGGGAAGTGTTGATATTCTTTTCTGGCTGCATCTGGCGCTGTCAGAGGACTAGCGAAAAAGTCGTATTGTCTTATATACCCATTGCATGGTAATATATGCAGAACATGCCCGTTATTTTCATCACCAAAAGGCAATATAAAGACATATATTACGACGTAAAGGCCCTGTAATCAACGTAAAGCACCCTGAAGGACTCCAGAAAGAGCTAAGTCACAAACTGGGAGTGTGAATTTGCCTCTTGAAATCGACTCGAGCGCTGAGCATTGAGGTTATCCCATGATAGTGTATCAGGTAAATGTACTTGAGAAGAAGGGCCGAGCTGCGGCGCCAGCTGGCCTAACCTTGTTTACCAGTCTCAGTAATGATAATGGCATAAAAATGTCCGTTACAGAAGGACTCGAGAAAGGTTAACATCATGTCCGCCCTTATCTTGCATGACTTCCGATCAGAGTTCCGGAAAATATGAAACTCGTGAAGTACGTACTAGGGTACGAGTATACCACAATGCTAAAAGCTCAATGCACGAAAGACTGGTTGACCTGTGTTGAATGGCATACCTTAAATTTTCGGTTTTTTCTTTCTTGCTGGTTGCGCCATACTACGAGCTCCTAAAGTACTATGGCATTGGCTCTGATCGAAGACTGGGCCCTTTAATTTTCTGATCCGTGCGTAATTGTCAAATGAACTGCACCATGGAGGAGTGGTGAAACACGGCGCGTAGATATGATCTTGAAAGACAGTATATTCGGAGACAGACGTAACAGGATCAAAAAATAGCTATCAAGTTTCACGAGAAGGTATGTCAAATGGGCATACATTCAAGTCTGGGGGTTACGTTCCCGTCAAGCCAGACTCAGATTGCACGAATATTGCCGGACTTGGAGCGCCAACTTGGGCAGAGAACGGGCGGGGGGTGGCACAATCAGGGACAGACATGGTAAGGTAAAAAGTCTAGCTGCTTCCACGGTCATGCTCGCGGCGAATCCGTTGACATATAATGTATGCTCGGAATATTGGAGTGTTCGAGTACACATACTGTGGTACAAGTGATCAGAGAGCCGTTCTGTCGGAGTGTCAAAATCAAGTACTCCCGGCACACTTACAATTGCCCGAGCCGAATGAGTGGTAACCCAGCGGTAACCGATACTAGTACTCAAGTACACCGTGAGCTTGGCCAAAGCTTGGCTGCCGCGTTAAGCTTACGTTCAAATTTTACACTCGCCAATTTACATACAAAATACGTTACATCCAAATCAAGTTCTGTATGCACCAAGCCTCGTCGGGCAACAATACCAGCGTATGTATTCTGTTCGTCCCCCTTTGAGCTGATAGTCTTCCCGACTTGTGTAGGTTTTGTGACATCCCAATGCAGTCAGGACTCAGTATCGAGCACGAGGCTCCCAATTGGAGTGTAGCTCCGGCCTCATTGCAGGGTCAATATTGGGTGACTTCCCGCAGCATTTAGAATCCTGGATATCGTTATTCGTCGGAGATTCAGCTCACAGTATATCAACATTCAATATCTAGAAAGATGTTCCTTTTCAGGAGCCGAAGAATCGCGACCTGAATGCCTTGCACGCCGACAAGCAAGAAAAACATACCTTATTCGAGGTGACCTAGCCTCCTTCCTAAGCACTGCCAATACTCCCTGGCAAACTCTGTACTTGGCTCGCAATGACCGAGCTTGCATCACAACCATTGGGTTGCCAGTGTATATTGATGTGTCGGCATTGGATCACCTCCTCTCAGCCACAGGCTTAGGGTCTTTATAGTTGGGACAACGAGACTCGAAGCAGTGCCCTGGATTATATGGTTCATCGACGAAAATTTGTTCATAAACAACAGAAACTTACACGAGTGACTTTGGGCTGCCGCAGATATACTAGTAGCAGTCAACATACATTCCGCCCTGAAATGAGATGGTGACATAATTTTGGACGCACCTTCAATATTCAAAGATTCACTGCATGAACTTTCCGCGGCCTTCACAGCATTCAGGTGAACTATGCCATCATGAGGCCTTCTCACAGACATCAACTTTGTATCTACAAGGTATGGTATGATTAACGTTCGACCAGCTGACAAGGCCAGATTATCTTACCGATTTCTCTCAAAAGACTCAAACAGATCTTATCGTCTTGTACAATCCTTGCGAAAAAATCACCCTCAATCCTCACACTCGTTTATAAGCTCCCGCTATCTTCTTTAACGATGCAGTGCACTCAGACGGCAGGATCATGCGCGAGTATGGCAATCGAGACTTCAATATTCCGTGTTTCAACCAGCTGCTCTTGAATTTCGTCGAGGAACAGGGATGGGCTGGCCTGGCATCAAGAGCGGATGTGATAAATGAGAGGTCCTGTTGGTCGGCCTGCCACGACGACGAGCAAATGGATTTCCCGTGGGTCCGATTCAGTCCGAAATCTCGGTGGAATTTCAACATTTCGCTGACTGCACCCAGCAAGTTGAGTTATTTCAGCACCCGTCTTCAGTTGTTGAAAACGCCAGACAAACAGTCCCTTCCTGTAGCTGTTCCGCGAGGTGTACATACATCATAGAGTCCGGCAGGTGTTTTTGGTGGGCACAAATATATCGTAGCGGCGCTGGGAAACGCCAGTCCCCGACTTCAACTTCAAGAAATGACGACGGATTGGTAGTAAACAGTCTATCGATATAGCAATCAGGCGCTTCGCAGATCAGATGCAGCACTACTTGAAATTTGACAATAGTATTCGAGTGACTCGAGCCAGGCTAATCATCATCAGCCTCCAGCTCAATGTCAAAGATGTCATGGCTCTCCGTCAATAACTTCGAGTTCTTAGCAGGTGACTGACCTCCGAGCTCGTTAGTAGTCTTCCTTTTGCCTTTGGGATAATGGAGAGCTTTCTTCGTGTAGGCTGCACATGGCAGCAACTGCATACGCCGAAATGACTGCTTTTGAAACAGGCATCGGTCATTCCCGCTCTCGATCTGTACGAATATCTCTCACCTCTGCCAGCACATTCTATTTGCATTCTAGATGGACTAACATGTCCTTGACAGAGCGCGAGACAATTTCCTGTGACAAACGTCCAGTAACGAGCACGCCAAACTCATGAGCAAGAATTTGATAGAAAGCAGCCTTATCTGAGAGTAAATAACAGCTCAAGAACAGAAAATATGCGAGATAAACGTCACCCAAAACACTTGCTCCAGCATGAAATAGGTGTAGTGCGCGTTGCCGGGCATGATTAGCGAGTGCATCACACGTTTTTCGATAAGAGAGCTTGTTGTAGAGTGTGCGATAGCGTGGTGCTAATCGAGGAATACATGTCTAGATGTCAGTGCGTTTCAGCTTCTCTAAACGGCGAGGAATATCATCAACAGATGCTGAAATCCACTGTAAAGACATGGCTTAGAGACTTGCACAGCTGCTGGATCGAGAACAGGAGGTGCGCTGATGATAGGAGGAGTACCTACTAGAGTAGTTGCCAAATTGAGACCGTACAAGTTCTGAAACTCAGCAGCAAGTAAAGTGCCCCGTGATCTTGTGCAAGCAGGTGGGACTGATGCGGTCAAGAGACTCTTGAAGAGGATATCATCTGACATGCTTGCGAGCTCTGTGCGTCGAGAAGCGAAATGAGATACAATTGCATCGACACTGCGTTCTTTATTTCGCGCGTCGGATCTTTTAGTACCAATACGCCGTGCAACACCACGCAGGACAGGCGCGGACAAAGCAGACAAATTTTCTGCACAGCAAGCATCAGTGTAGGAAAACCATCGAGGATCATCTTTTAGTCTGGACATAATGCACGAGGCAGCAGTTGGGAGGGGAGAGCCTTGTTGAACAGGTTCTCGATAATTCTTGAAGCGTTTGAATACACTACAGCACACATATGCAGCAGACTCGAAATGCGCGCGACTGAAAGTCATCGAAATGTCATCCAGATGAACAGACAGACATACTCTATCAAAAACTACAGCCACTGTGACAGATCGATAGAGGGGACCACATTTGAGACATGTTAGAATGGGAGGCGAGCGATAACTGTAACCAACAACAAAAAAATTCGGCAGTTGCATATATAAGTTTATGATATTGTCGGTAGTATAAAGCATAGTAAAAAAGAGGATTTGATTGTATATCATGAAGGATGTTGTGAGGTGGGCAATCTTTAGCATCGAGTACTCGAGGCGCCGTACTGGGGTGTTTCGAGAGAAACACAGACATTCTGGAATCAATAAAACAAGCACACAGAAAGAAACCGAAAAGACATACACACAAGTTTGCGATAGACTTCGATCGATCAACTGTACAGTTTTTTTTCGAAAGGGTTCCCACGCATCGAGGTATAGGTGCCTGGGGATTTGGATCCGACAAAACCCTCCTCCCACTCCGTGGGAAGTCGGGGACACAAACATGTTACAGCAACACACTGTAATATTGTTAAAGACTGTAATACAAACAGGCCAGAGCTGAAGCGATGACAACTCTCGGATCAGCTATATAATAACATGATGCGGATTGCGGTATGCGTAAATCAACATAACACCTAAATTTGTGACCGCGCCCATGTAGGTCAGAGTTTGGCAGATTCAGATGCCTTTGGTTCAGATGGAACCATCTTGATGTGTACAGCTGATGCTACTAATCGGTGTCGCGTAACATTCCATATCTTTGAAGCCAGACATGAGCTCATGGAACAAGAGAGCGAGATTGCCAGAATCTCACTTCACAACGACTTGAGAGCGCCCGGCTACCAACAGCGAGTGTTGTGCTCACAATGCGTAGCTTGTCTCCCCTGATACGATGATTCAGCAGAAAGTGATTAGCGTGACATTTGAACATACGACAATGCTGGTGAATGATAGACAATGTTCAAAGACTGTGATACGCCAAATACGCCATAACCGCTTGTCGAGGCCCCAAGGACGTAAATGGGCATTGTCGAGCAGCTACGTATCTACATTAGCTCCAGGTAAACAGGATGAGAAGAAACATGCATGTCAATCATCATGGCCGAACATCCACCGTGCATGTTTTTAGCACTATTAAGCATTTCTGAGAAGTTGTCAATAAGCACAACGAATATGAGAAACAAAAGGTACCTTCGTCCACAGTCACCTGTATGACGACACGGCCTTCAAACTTCTCCGGTTCCTCTGCCTTTGACAATATAGATACCTCTGTTAGTTGCAACCGGGACGCAAACTCGGCTTCGAAACCTCTAAAGGGCTTGTCAGTCGACTGCGAGATGTGGCTCAGCCGCATGGATTGCAGAGCGCCGAGCAACGTGTGTTTTACTTCCGAGGAAGCATTCCCTTCGACTTGGGAGGGGTCCATATCGCTTCCTGGCTTCATCAGAGGTAAAGGCCAAGCCACGCTCACGGTTCGGGTACTTCGGGTGTATATTTTACCTGCCGGCAACCAACTTGAAACAAGAACCCAAAAGCGCCAAAGTGCGCATGACTGCTACTAGTAGTTAGTAGTATTTCAAGTTGATCCTGAGACAGACCATACAGGAAGATAGCCGTTCCTTCTTATAGCGATTCCCCACGAAGATCTCTCCTGGAGTCCCAGACTCCCAGTACACCATGTCCCAGCGGTCTTACGAGGTCAGCCGTTACGATCCGCGTCTCTTGAGATCATGTGAGGTCGAGAACTAAATAAGTCCAATGGCAGGTGGTCGAAGGATTTTTCGTGCAAGAAGGTGGCGCTCGTTACGGCCTGGGCGAGGTAGTGTTTTGACCATGAGGATTTCGCTTGGCTGACGCATAATCGCGTTCTTTCACATTGAAGGCTGTAAGTCTCTGTATTTTCGTCGAACATAAAGATTTGAACTCCAGCTTTTGGACTCCAGCTCCCTCCTCGATTCGGGCTAATAGATCGTTCCAATAGTCGATGGAAGACGTTCAGGCAAAAGATCGATCAACTTAATACGTCTTCTTCCGCCGGTACGCAGTACAAGGTGTTTTTCGTGGGCAGACACGGTGAAGGCTTTCGTAAGGATCTCATGTTGATGAAAAAATTATGGCCTTTAATTTTCCCTACAAGACAACGTAGCCGAGGCGAAGTACGGCACAGAGGTGCGATCCTACTTCGTAGTGCCATGCTATCCTAACATCCATCGGAAGGAATGGAATAAGTGCACTTCCACCGTTCTCTTCCTTCAATGAAGTTCCCTGACCTGATTGCATCCATCAAGCTATTGGTCAAAGGAATACGGTGACGGAGAATTGATCTGGGGACGTCAGTGATATCACCTGTTCACTGAATTGCGCTGCCTCACAACTCATCATAGCGGATCCTGAATTAACGACGCTTGGCAAGGATCAGGCGAAAGCGGCCCATAACGCATGGAAACAAGAACATAAATTTGACATTCCCATTCCAGGGAAGCTCTACTGCAGTCCTCTGACACGAGCTATCCATACAAACAAGATAACATTCGACTCCATTATACCTCAATCACAGCGAACCATGATCATCGAGGTATCAAAACACAAGACTTTATCGCTAGGTTTACTCACTCGCGCTATAGAACCTCAGAGAAACAACTGGCGTCCATACCTGTGATAAGCGAAGAACACGCACCTATATCGAACAAACTTTCCCTGACTTCGACATCGAAGAGGAGCTCATAGAAGAAGACACACTCTGGGATGCTGAAGTGAGGGAAACCCACGCAGAAATTGATGCCCGAATGAGGGGCGTACTGGACATGATTTTTGACAAGGACCAGGAACAATGTGAGCACCATACCCCACCTGTTCATTGATGCTAGACTGAGCATCCGATTAGTCATCTCGTTCACTGCCCATGGGGGCATCGTTAGCGCAGCGCTGCGGGTCATGAACCACAGACAATACATTTTACCCACTGGAGGTTCGTATTCAAGCCTGATTTGAGAGCGCGTGCTTATTCTGAGGCAGGGGTTATACCGATCGTTGTTAAGTCGTCTATCTCTTAGAATTACTTACTATCATTCTGCAACTTTTCAGCAAATTTTTGTAGCTCGTCAACCACTTCATATTATCTTCCACGAATTTAGAGTGTTGTAGAGTCGTACCGCCTCTATATAGATTTGATTTTTGCTCATTTTTAGGACGTGGTGTGGTGTCAGATGAAAGCCGAGGAAATTCTGGGTCTGGCTGCCAATCTGCAAAATATGGTTACGTCGAGTCACACCTCGGCATAGCACCGGCGCGGTCAACTTTGACTCTCCGCAGCTCTCGATCTGTTGGTGTTGAGTCGTCAAACTGGAAGCTTGCAAAAGCTTGAAGTTGTGCAAAGCTAATGAATACAGCAATACATTATTATCAAGTATCGCGATTGTGATTGCACTGGTGACATGGTCCTGAATAAGGTTGACCGCATGCAACATCATAGCATCTGTACCTCACCACCAACTCGAAAGTCCGCTCTACTACCAGCCGCCGGCGCAAAGTGAGGAATAGGTGGAGGTTGAAGCTGAAGCGCCGAATGGTGCATGGGATAACGTGGGGACGCATACCTGCCGGGTGGGGGAAGATCCACGCGCGACATCGAGGCTTGAGGGCTGCGGTTGATAGCCGCCAAATGGTGCGTGCATTCGACTCGGCGTGTCTTGCGGTACTGACTCAGTAGTGTTATTGTTGGTTTCAACATGCCGCCTGCGAGAACGGGGGGGATTAACCGAGTGTGCCGTAGAGGAGATTGAATTTGTTACACACTCTCCTATCCGCTGTCACGTGTTCATACATGTCGTCAATTCTTCCTCTATAGCATCTTAAAATGACAGGATGACCTTTATCGGAAATTGTGTTCTGTAATTCTGACGAGGTGATTGTTATGCTCCAGGTATAACTTCGTGAATATACCTACAGGATCTATGGGATCTGGATGATTTATGTTCCTGCATGGTTACAAATTACCACTATTTCATCTCTCGCAGCTGCAACACGCAAGAAATTATTATTCTACTTGGACAATACATCATATATAAATAGTCTAGTACATATGCCTGAATTTTTTTGAAGTGAGTCGAGCAGTGCGTTGAGGTGTTTTGAACATTTTGCATATTACATGCATGTTGCAGATTACCCGGAATGATAGTATGTAAGGAACTCTTTGTTCGATACCCTGAGGATAATGTCACGGGGTGGAAATCCTGACAATCGCCTTTGTCCTGCTGGATCTGAAACCCATTGTTCACGTGTCTATTTAAACTGTGCGAGCTTCCACGTGTGATAACATCTCCCTTCTCGCCATCGCCAGCACTGAGGCGTCTCTTACCCATGTACGCAGTAAACAATGCAGGTGCGCTTGCCAATTTTCAATGAAGTAGAGCAAAATGAATTCAGCAGAGCAGAGCATGTCGCTCGTGCAACTAGCCCAAGCTCAGAAAGCAGTGACTCTGAAGTCGATTCACTCTTTGATGAGCCTCCGATTGCCATGCGCAGTGCGCCACCGATCCCTGGGCTTTTCGTTCCACCTATCAGATTGCCTCTCGAATTGGCGAACGACATCGTTCAGCAGTGCATGAGTCTTTACTTCGATGGGCGAGACATAAATCAGATCATGCTCTTTGGGCGCACAACATCCGAGCACGGCGAGAATATGGGAAGTGGCTTACCAACATTTTTGATCACACTCCTGCATCGGCTAGCCGAATTGTTGCGTGATCATCTACCCGAGAAAGTGCACGAAATGTTATTTCCTCCCAAGGATGCACCGCCGCGTGCACGGCAGGCGATTCTGAACCTGTATCATCCTGGAGAAGGCATCTCACCTCATGTCGATCTACTGAAACGGTTCGATGATGGAATCATAGGAGTGAGCTTTGGAAGCGGATGTGTGATGAACTTTGAGCGGGTTAAGTGTGAAGAGGAGGAGCTGTTTGGAATGGCCGTGCCGCTGGATAGGAATCATTGGGACCTCTATCTGGAAGAACGCAGTGTCTTAGTCCTATCGGAGGATGCGCGCTATGATTGGACTCACGGGATCAATGGAAAACTTAGGGACTTTGTCGATGGAGGAGTAGACGGACAAGAAGAACCTGAGTGGATTGAGAGGGGAACGAGATTGAGCATCACATTCAGGTGGCTGTTGCCAGGCGCAGACATTGTTGGAGAACCCGGTGATCCATGATAGATACGTGGCACTACCTGTAAATTATCAGCTGCATATGTAGAACGAAGATATGTACCATGTCCGAGTAAGTCATGTTAGAGAACGGGCGATGGAAAACAAGCGATGCGACAGCAAGTGAAAATCAAATGATATCTAACAACGCACGAAATCATACACCTCATAATTAAACTCCTGTGTTAGAGCACATCTCTGATACACCTCTCCAAGGGTTCGATCTCAAAAGCCGCCCCGTAGAGCAAGAACAAGATGCAGAACTGATCCAGCGGTGATATTGAACTCCTTAGCGGTTTTATCATCCGGCCTTAATCAAACATAAGACGGTGAGTTTACGCAATCATGTACAAGCTAAGACAACGCACATTTGTCTCCCTCCGAAGATCAGTCTCTGTTGTTGTGGTGGCACACCAGACTGCTCTTCAACCTTCTCCTTAATTCGAGTGATCTGTTGGAATAGAGTTCGTGAGTTGTTAAATAGTGCCCTTAGTTTCAAATACCTTGTCTTCGAGATCTATGTCCAATTCGATCTGCGCATGAACCTTCGTTAGTCACTATCGGATAGTGAGGATTAGATTTAGCACCTCCTTGCCAGTGAGTGTCTAGCGGAGGTCATAAGGTTAGCGGAATGTTTCCTGGCAACGTGTTTTCTTGCCTTACCTTTACTTTGATGAGCATGGTCGAAGATCTAAAGGTAACAACCCCCCTTTAGGCTTTCGTCGCCAAAAGTCTAACCTCCGAGCTCTCCGAGTTCGCGTGACACATTTCCACGGTCTTTCCAACCACTCAATCTACCAGTAATTCACTGAAGTTCCAAATAGCTCAGGCCGGCCGCCGCACAATCTGAATCTTTCAACTTATTCATGCTGGATGGTCAAACCGAAAGATCCTAGCTAGCAAATCTTCCAAGGAATTGCACCTTTCGACCGCACTATGTCCTAGATGTGATAATATGATATGCGAAGATGTCTCGCATTGATAGTACTACTTACTACTTAGCGCTGGCAACGGATACTCGAGGAACGTGATTGAAAGACCACCTCCCCCCTCATACGATGCATTCCTGGCACATAAATAATGCCAGCGCTATTGGATGTTTATTCAAGAAATAGACATGCAAATCTCAGTCGAACCACGGTCACCATATTGGCGAAGTATACAGACGGGCTGTTCAGCATTCCAGGGCTCGTGAGGATTTCTCTCCGATTGTCTTTGTTGGACGGCGCCAGTAGGTCCACTGTTATTGCGAACGTGTTCTAACGCAGCCTCCAAGTTTCTTGTTTAACAATCAATGAGCCGTGACTTTGCTTTGTTTGGAGAGGGTGGGTACTCTCAGCTGGCATATCTATTACTAAGTTGTGATTCCTCTCTCCTCTAACGTGCCTTGCAGTTTCCTCGGCTTGATGAGTCTGGGTGCATAGTGGAGAGCAAACTACGACCTTCAATTCTTGCAAAGGAAGCGAATCTGAAAGCTGGACTCGGAGGGGTGGAACTTGATGGATTCCATCTGCGAGCTCAAGTGTCTCATCATACGTCGGGAGCCAGGACTAGTAGAGTATGAACCTGCGGCTTGTACGCCACGTCGCATCTATATATTGAATACAAAGGCCTTTGGGTCTTATGATTTCTGCTCATTTTGTCTTGTAGTTCGGAGCACCCGATAACTAGTCAAGTGAATATGTACCAGCACTACAACAAATTGACAACAACTTCAAAAAAAATTGTGGGGTACCTGACGAGTGTTGCTCACTTGGATAGTTTCCCGTGCTACACATCGTCACCAGTGGACACGTGTATACCCTCATGGAAAGCAATCGTAGTTATGTTAGTTCCTGTCTCAGAGTCGGCCACGAGCTTAGCGTGATATTCTCGAATGCTAAGGAGGAGGCGTGGTCCCAAAACAAACATCTGCACGAGCAGGAACATTTCAGCAACACCAAGGTAAACCTCAGTTCCCGTTGAAGAAGAATCCTATAGAAATGACGGGAGTGGTCAGAAGCATGTGTTAGTCACAGGTTGGCGTACCGATATCTGTGGAGAAATAAGGCTGACAGTGACCAAGCAAGAAACAGCAGCGTGTCTGATGAGGAAGATCAGCCATAAAAGACATTGCGTTGAAGTCTTGAACTCACGCTACAAAGTAAAACACGTGAGTTTTTATTAACAGTGAAACAGTCCCCCCCTGGAGATGGTCGTTGCAGTTCACGGAAGTGTTTTATAGCAATCCAGACTGCAAGACATAGTGTGAGGGCTTCCCATGCGATACCGAGTATCCAAGTCTCAAATAGTGAGTAGTCACTAGTTCCACTGAGATCACACTGATAGATGCCAGAGAGTATAAGCTCCTCTGGTATTCATGAGTAATACGCTTGCATATTCTAATGATAATTGAGGCTCACCCCCTGAAACATTACTGCTTGCTATTGCGAGGATCACTCCGCATACAATCGTGACAGCTAAAGAGATTATGGCGAGGTAGATTGAAATCTTTCTGGATCGCTGATACATCGCACGTAACCGAATAATTAAGATATCTGGTGTTATATTTCAGTCAAGTCAATCTTAATGAGGTACCGCAAAGTAACTTACAACCCAGCATGACATTTACGACGAAAATCATCCACCATTGTACGAGGCCAAGAATAGTGCCTGGAATATCCAAGTTACTGATGAGCCCAGAGGACTGGATGCTTCAAACGAACTCACAACTGTAGCAGTAATTACATTGAATTAACAAAGTGGCTGAGGATCTCACTCACCCCTACGTAGGAGGACAGTGAGTTGACATGGAATGACAAAAAATAGTGCAGAAACCTCACTACATCTGTCACCGAAACTGACGGAAGACCTACTACATGCCGCCGGTCAGAAGAAACAATCACAATGAAAGTGATGAAATATACACAGTATGCTGATTCTGATCGTGAGATGATGTCTTATTAGCACAGTACTAGCTAAATTAGCCTGGAAAACATACCCAAATGAAAGGATTCCGATGTAGCGCACCTGAAATAAGTCATAAGTTAGCACAATTTTTCAACTAGAGTTAAAACGTGGGCTAGGTACGCTGATGTATAGGATAGTCATACGGGACCAGCGTTGCCTCTGCCACTCAGAATGAGCTATATTATCCTGTTGTCCGGGGGATTCTACTCACCAAGACCAGTTCAAACTAAAGAACCGTGAGATGATAGCTGCTCTAGTAATGCCATCAACTTACCTCTTGTTCAAATGTCAGCGCTGAATATCATAGGACATTACTAAGTCTCTCGATAAGGATATGATCGTACATTGCTCACCCCAATCGTATACGACTGCTGTAGAGGATGCAACTGTAAAGTCACAGTGGTAAAAGGCAGATCTGAGTGAGCTATCATCAACGTCATTGATGAAGTTCCTATCCACGAACCTACGAAATAGCTGTAAATTCGATAAACATCGAGCAGCGGCCACCATTCAGGATCTTTCGAGACTAGAGTCATGTTAAAGGGATTCGAGTGTCAGTCTGAGAGTGGCAGAGAGTTGACGGATGCCAGTGTATTACGATGATGGCCGTGCTAGCTATATATACCACCATTGGATCGACGCTCATTAACATTTGCCGACAGAGTAATTGTCCCCGCCGAGAGGTTCTTATCACGGTCGCATCCAGTTCCGATATCAGTGAGATCACGCAGTTATCGATCTAGCATAGGTCTAGTGATGTGACCATCAAAACGGTCAGCCTCCTGAGCTCAGCCTTCAGACCGCTTTTAAGAGGGTAATGGTGCAGCAGAATACAACTTGAAGAGAGCTCAGAGCTCGAAATGCTTAAAGCTTGAAAGCTTGAAGCTTGAAGCTAAGTTGAAGCACTGACATTTCTTGAAAGAGACGCTACGAGAAAAGTTTCCATAATTACAACGCCGACTCGGAGTATTCCGAATCCCGATGGATAAGTGAAATGATACTGGCAAACTAAGCTAACTGCTATGATCCTTAGCATGCTTGAATCCCCGATTAAAGCTCAAATTTGATACGAAGGTAGAGCTCAGAAGCCTTCCTCATCTCTTCCACCGTCGAGGGAAGTGCGGGTTTCCCATCCAAGTCGTACACCTGCTCCGGGTAGTACTCGAATGCGGCAGGGGGTTGCGGGACGCAGTGAGCTGGTCGAACATTATAATCATTATAAGAAAACGGGTCTCCTGGCTTCTTTGGAGGCTGAAGCAGTATGGCATTGGTAGACTCGATCGAAACGTCGTAGTCGAAATAATTGAAAGGTGTCAGGAAGAAACTATATAACACAGCGAGTCAGCACGTGGTATCAATGCATGGCTAGGATTTAACCTTGAAGCGGCTGTATTAGTCCTGGTATTCGGAACATCCTCTGATGCAGGCTGTTAACAAGTAGGTTAGCTTTGCATCAAAATACTAGAGGGCGAACTTACTAGGTGGTGCATCCCGACGTTAATCCAGGTCACCAAGTCCTGCTGAGTGATATTTTCACCGTCAAAAAAGTTGTGGAAGTCAACAGGGGGAGCCCCTGGAAGGTTAAAGTTCCACATGCTACTGGAAGATGGCTCTGTATCCTTGCGACGAGACACCGCCAAGTTATAACGTGCCCAGTTGGCATTCTTGAGTAGACGCTTAGATCCTACGATGGTCTTGGAAGAGCGCCTGTCAAGATGATACAGGCACATTCAATGAGTTTTGCGTACATTATAAACCGGCGAGTATCCCGGATGGATTGCGTATCCTCTAGGAATTCCCCATTTATTGGTTTCGTCAGTGTTCACAATAGTATAACCTCCTTGGAAATTGGTGGGGAATCTCAGCAGGGCTTCATCTTCGTTATCGATGTATTCGCGGGTGATCTTTTGGTGGATCACTTCCTCGCCCCAGTCGTCGTCGAACCACGGTTGGGTGGTGACTTCCTGGCTAAGACTTGTTTTCAACAGCGAATTTTGTGTTCCTCCTACGTCAAGGTCGACCTGCAAAAAGAGCTTAGGCCATGAAGTATGTCATATGGTTCCTCAAAACCTTGAAGTTGATGGCATGATCGTGGAGGCTTCCAACTGGTTATTTACATCAGTAATATACGTTGAAAGTACCGGGAGACGGCATACGAGTGGTGTTCCAGATTTTGCTTCCGTAAGCTCCTTGCTCGTCATCCCAGAACCCTGATAAAAGGTATCCGGATGCCGAGACACGAACCTCGATAGTTCCATCGATGTGGAAAATATATTCAAACTTGAGAAAGGGTCTCGCATGTGAGTATATGATCCCTAACCGAGCGACAAGCACTTACCACTAAAAAAGGTTAACAATAATCGAATCTTGGAAGACCGAAGCTGATCATAACACTCACAGTAATCATAGCTAAATGCAATGTGCTGAGTGCATACATTCCAGAGAACCTTTATCATGATGTCACTTACTTTCCAACGGTGGCAACACTCCTGATGACTAGCTGGTAACCTTTGACCGCACCAAATTCACTTCGTTCAAAACCAAGATGTCTTGATATAGGACGTCCGCTATCCTGCTCAAAAATACATATCGCCCGCTTCCTGGTCATCATCCCTGTAGCCGAAAAAGTGGTAGCTGGGAGGTAAATCGCCTCATCCGGGCAATCATATCCTGGAAGCAGGTCGCGAACCGATTGCCCCATGCCAAAGTACGAATCTAGAAGTGCAGTGCTTGACTTATAGGGATCATTTCCGGCTGTATTACGCAGGTTAGGTATATTCCCTTCGATCCAGACTCGACAGCTCACTGTATTGCGCCAATGCTTCTTGAGGTTTGAGCTAGTTGAATATTAGTCAGATAGCTAAAGTATTGCAGTAGACAATGAACAATTACCTCGTAGATGATCCGCTCACCTCGGAAGCGTATATCCCACAAGTTTAGTCCCATGTCGCGATCGAAACCCAGGTAGAGTCCCCACCCCATCCAACTAACGTATTGCAGGTCATGGTCAATCCTAAACCGCAACCCAGCAAAAGATACGGAGCGAGGTCCTGGAAGGTTGTCGAGGTCGCGTAGGGCACCAATACGTTCTCGTGTACTCCAAGAAAGGTCTTCTTCTTGCTTTGTTACTGGAGGCACACGCTTGAGCGTACCATTACGGAATGCATCCATGAATGATTCTGCTGTGTCAAATACTTGATGATTGTACACGATCTAACGGATGTGGGTTAAGCGCGAGAACGTTCACTAAAACCGAAAGAGGGTTTACCTTCAGCTGGTCCCATTTCGAAGGATCAGTACCACTGACGTCGACATATTGCCAAAGATTAAGTGGATGCAACCAAAATCCGGGCGTGTCTCTTTGCCAATTTAACCAGAAGCGCCTAAACGATCCGTCGAAACCGAACGGCCCAGCGCCTCCAGCAACAATAGTATCATTAGGTAAACCACCTAGAAGCTCCTGAGAAAGTGTAAGGAAGACTAGATGAGCCAGATGATGAAATTGACTCGCCTTGTACGCATCCATCAGTGGAGCTGCTATCTTGGTGGTGATTTCTGGCAAATTCCAGTCAAGGTCATCATATCCCCGTGCGTTATAGGGAAGAGTTTCGGTATGATAAATCTCTGTCAAATGCGTCATCTCCGTAGCCGGTGTGACCGGGAGCGGCCCGACGAGGTAATCTCTAATCACAGGTTCTTCGGCCCCGCCATGGTGAATGGTTACCCGAGCAAACCTTGCAGGTGTGTCACGAGGATCCAAAGACGAGAAGTACTTGAGAACATCAGCCTTGGGGGGATAATACGCCTGTATCATATAGACGGAGTTATCGGATGGCTGAGCTGTATCTCCTCGCGTGAGGTTTAGATTCATCTGGGCGCTCACGAGCCAATTTTGAATCTCCACCATTTCATCGATGGTAAGAGAAGCCCATGGGTTAATCGGAGCTGGTGGGCGAGCGGGAGGTGGAATATTAGATGCACAGATCTCAATATCTTCATCGCCACCCGCAAGTGTCTTGGTACCCTCCGAGAACAATTTTGGAGCCAGAGGTAGAGGGTCTGACCTGGATGACGGTTAGCGAAGCTAGTACAAGGATGAGGATGAATGAAAGGCCAAGACGAAGAGAGGTGATCCTGTTCGGCGCTCGCGTCGACTCATGCTTGGGTTCATCCAAGGATGCAGCTTTCAGCTGCTCGTATCTTGTGGCCATGATGGCAGACAGATGAAGAGATACGTGTAAGACTGAACAGGACGCTAAACCATAAATACACAAGTTCCATGTGGACTATCACGCGCCTACCCGCTGCGGAGCTAGTTTAAGATGAAAGAAGGATCAGGAACTGAACCTCCTTCTGTTAATAGCCTCACGGATAGACTGATACATGTGTTGAAAAGAAGTCATATTGTTAGCTACCTGATCACTACACCATCTTCCTATCTGCGATAAGGCTTTACAACTCAAGTTTGATGCGATGATATAACTCTGAGGCCTTGCGCATGTCTTCGATTGACGAAGCAGGTGCAGGCCTTCCATCCAGGTCGAACATCTTCGCCGGATGGTACTCGAAGGGTGACGGGTGTTCCGGCAGGCAGTGAGCAGGCTGAACACCATAGTCGTCATATGTGAAGGGGTCGCCAGGCTTTTCTGGGTTCTTCAGGAGGACAGCATTGGTCGACTCAATAGATACATCGTGATCGAAGAAGTTGAGAGGTGTCAATAGGAAGCTAATAGACTGTTGATCAGCTCTTATTCCATATGGCAGAAGTCAGTGAAGCCAACCTTGACGTCGCTGTGTTCGTTCGTGTGTTAGGTGCGTCTTCTGATTGGGGCTATAAAAATGAAAATAAGGAGGCTGCACGATGCGCCTCATTAAGCAAGCCACTAACAAGATGATGCATGCCAAGGTTCACCCAGGCAACTAGATCTTCTTGTGTGATGTTCTCTCCATCAAAGAACTTGTGGAAGTCGACAGGAGGGCTACCAGGCAAATTGAAGTTCCACATGCTACTCGAGGACGGTTCTGTCTCTTTGCGACGGGAGACAGCCAAATTGTAGCGTGCCCAGTTCGCGTTCTTCAGGAGCCGCTTAGAACCAACGACCGTCTGCAAACCAGAATTCAGGCTTCGCCACGACATCCTCAATAACATACGTACGTTGTGAATAGGAGAATAGCCTGGATGAATGGCGTATCCTCTCGATGTTCCCCACTTGTTGCTCTCCTCTTGATTTACGATTGCATAGCCGCCCTGGAAGTTCGTCGGGAATTTCAACAAGGCGTCGTTCTCGTCGTCGATATACTCTCGTGTGACTACTTGCTGAATAACTTCATCTCCCCAGTCATTCTCAAACCAAGGCTGGGTGATTGCCTCTTGAGTCAAAGTAGTCTTCAACAACGAGTTTGCTGTACCCGCCACATCAAGATCAACCTTTAATGGATCGTCAACGTTATGAATTTAGCACAGGAGAAGCTGTTGACCTTGTAGTTGATGACGTGGTCGTGCAGGCTACCCACTGATAACGTGTTAGGTCATATAAGGGATGGGTAAAAATACAAACTGCTGGTTTCCCAGATTCGATTGCCATATTGCCCTTGTGTTTCATCGTAGAATCCAGCTTGCAGATAGCCGGAAGCGGAGAGGCGGACCTCGATGGTTCCGTCAAAATGGAAAATATAGTCAAACTACGCACAAATGATAGGGTCAATGGCGAAAATAGCACTCGGTTCATCACTCACCACTACAGGAAACAAACAACACGGAATTCAGTCAACATCACAAAGATGGCGAAACACTGCACGTACAGTAATCATAACTAGGGTTCGAGTTTCAGCATCATCCCGCAGAAAGACAAAATCACACACTTTCCGACCGTAGCAATACTTCTGATCACGAGCTCATAGCCTTTGACCGCCCCGAACTCGTTTTCTTCGTAACCAAGATGTCTCGTAAGAGGTCGTCCGCTATCATGCTCGAAGATACAAATTGCACGCTGTCGCGTGGTTAATCCATTCACTGAGTACGTGGTCGCTGGCAGATACACGGCTTCGTGTGGACAATCATAGCCTGGTAACATATCACGGACGGATTGCCCCATGCCGAAGTAGCGATCGAGCCAAGCAGTCGTCGCCTGGAATGGATCGTTGCCCGCTAGATAAACACTATCAGACGAACTGAAGTGCAGCAACCAGCATTAGACTACCCACCATATTGTGCAAGAGCTTCCTGAGGTTTGAGCTGTTACAGGGATCAGGATACTGCATAGATGGATAGTTACATGGATTACATCTTACCTCATAAACAATCCGCTCACCACGGAACCTGATGTCCCACAAACTCAAGCCCATGTCTCTGTCGAAGCCAAGGTACAAGCCCCAGCCCATCCAGCTGACGTACTGAAGATCACGATCCACTCTGAACCTCAGACCTGCAAACGACACCGAACGAGGTCCAGGAAGATGGTCGAGATCGCGTTGGGCTCCGATACGCTTACGAGTACTGTAAGACAAATTGGTGTCGGGGTCGATAACAGGGACGCGTTTGAGGCTGCCATTGTGAAACGCTTCCATGAAAGATTCTGGGGAGTTAAAGACTTGGTGATTGTACACGATCTAAGACCAATTTAAGCACATAAAGTCTTGGTGAGATTGTATTTGAGAACATACCTTTAACTGGTCCCATTGCGAAGGATCGGTACCGCTAAGATCAATGTACTGATATAAGTTGAGCGGGTGTAAGAAGAAGCCAGGCGTGTTGCGTCGCCAGCCAAGCCACATACGTCTGAATGAACCGTCAAAGCTGAACGGTCCACTGCCGGCCGTAGTAAGAGTATCCTGGGGCGTGCCGCCCAGAAGTTCCTGAAAACAACCTCCTTGTAAGTAGCAAGTACGGAAATAAGATGATCTGAATGACCTCGTATGCTTCCATTATGGGGGCCGCCATCTTCTCAAAAATCTCCGGAGCAGTCCAGTCACGGGTATCAAAGCCACGTGCATTGTGCGGAATAGCGTCGAGATGGTATATCTCCGTCAAATGCTCCATGCGAGTGGATGACCCAATAGGGAGCGGTCCAACAAGATAATCCTTTACGACAGGTTCCGGTGCAGAACCGTGGTGGATTGTGACCCGCGCATACTTTTCCGGGATGTTCGATGGGGACAGCGATGAGAAGTAACTTAGGACGCTGGCTTTAGACGGGTAGTACGCTTCTATCATGAATATGTGATTGTCCGATGGCTTTGATATAGCCCCGCGCGTCAGGTTAAGGGCCCGGGTAGGTTCCTCCAACCACTTATGGACCTGAACGACCTGCTCGATGGTGAGAGAGGCCCATGGATTGATCGGGGCTGGGGCACGGGCAGTAGGGGGTACGGGTGAAGCACAGGTCTTCACGGAGTCCTCGTCATGATTATCTTGTGCTCCCAGATCTACTGATAAGGGAGGGTGAACGTGCAGAAAAGAAAGCGTTACCAACGCCAGACACGCGATGAGCCCGATCGCGACACGACGTGTGATACGATACGACTTGGGTGACTGGACTTCGGTGTCATCTCCGCTCTTCAGGAGTTCATAATCACCAGCCATAGCGGTAATGGAAGGGTGTGAAAGACAAGGGTGTTCTGTCGCTCTCTTTAAATGCCGGGAGTCAGCCCTGTGATTGAATCACATGGACTTCCGAGTCAGTGGACGACTTCCTGAGCGTCTCTTTGTGAGCCGATTAGCAGTGACTCTACAATGCATATGCCATGAGTCCCGCAGATCCGGGCGGGAGGCTGATACATATGACAGAAACTTCTTTTCGTTATCTCAGTGACAGGAATTGCCACGAGATTATGCCCTGTTATACATATATATCTCCCTCCCACATGACGGTGGACTAGAGCGTTCTGAACTAATTAAAGTAGGTGCATGTTTCTGTAAACGGTTTGGGTCACAACGAAGTTGCTATGTATAGTCATTGTTGACCTTGTACTGACCTGCAACTTGAAAGATGTAGTAGATCAATCCTCGAATTCCGATTGGTAGCTAATGCGTCATCGCAGAACTTTGCTGGGCATCCGTGGCTCGGTATGTCGATGAGCCATAGTACGTGGCGGCGTGGTCTAGCTAAGTTTGGTCTTTACATAGTAGCTGTTATGTAAGCAAACAGCGTGCACGTCGAAACTCAAGTGCACCTAACAGGTCCATCTGCAACATCTCAATATAAAATGGCCGACATGGAGACTACGACCCCAGCGGGACAGCCTATTGTCTCAAGAGAAAAGGTGATTCTAAAATTTTCTTAGCTTATACAGTCAATCCTCAGTTGTTTTTTTTCTACTAGACGGCCCCATTCCTCATCCGAACTTTTGTAAAGGTTGGATCATTCCACAGACTGTCCTTGTTCGAGGAGAATACTCTACCAACCACGGATGAACAACAAATTTACACCTGGTAAGCATGCAGGTGTATTTGTTCTGACTCTCTTTTGACCCCATGGCTAGGAAAGATGCCACCTTGCGTGAAGTACTGACGACTCTCCGAAATGCTGCACCCCAAATACCAGAGTTTCGCCACCCTCTGGCCCGTTATTCCTTCCGCGCTATATATGCAGACGCAGCAAACAGAGGACGCTTTGCACAGAAAGAGCTTGGTATGGTTTATTCTCGCGATATTCTGGGCGAGCCGGGTACCGTTGACAGCCCCGCGGCACGCCTGCTCAACGACGTAGATGCCGAATCCAGAGAGCAGACAGAGCGGGAGAAAGAGGAGAGGACTCTCGATGAACTTCGATTCGTGCCAGGAGACTATCTTTGCGTCTCTATTATCCTTCCAAAAGCCGCCGCGGCTGCAGTAGCCGCAGTTACTCAGCCAGAGAGCACTGTCAAGGTTCCAGTTCAAAATGGCTGGAGATCCGCACCAGCAGTACGACAGAGTGATGCAGGCTGGGGAGCGGCAGCCCCTGCTGGCCGAGGTGGGGGTCATTGGCGAGGGGACTCTAACCCTACTCCTCCCAGTGGCCCACGAGGAAGAGGTGGTGGTGGAAGGGGTGGAGACTTTGCTGGGAGAGATCGCGACTTTGACCGCAACAGAGATTCGGAGAGACGTCCGCCCCCAAGGCGCGATTCACCACCTCACCGAGGAGGCGGCTGGGGTGGCAGAGGTGGCAAACGGTCGCCATCGGGTTCGCGATCAAGGAGCCCACCGCGACGCAGAGGGTCTCGCTATGACTGATATCGTTTATTTGTACATTCGTTGTAGCCCTAGCTACCGATTGCAAACTTATTGTAGTTCCTGCCAAAATTGTGTTATGCAGGGATATGTCCAAATCTTGACAATGACTTGATCGAACTTTTCAACCGTGTGTACGTACATGCTCAATTATACCTTGCAGATCGACCGAATACCACAACTGTCCAGCGTGTCGTCTCGCGCAAGTCTTCCACCAGTAATATTTCGACCTCGTATCTTCCTCATGCCCACGGTCCGATCCTGACATCTACAGCTTGCGTTGGTGCTTCTAGTTTACTTCTGATATTCCTTCGAACTCGTGTTCATACATAATCACATATTAGCGACATCGCCACCAATATGGGCGCTGGTCCCTCAAAAAGTAGTCCCTATCCTTTTCCAGTTCCAACCGTTAGCTCAAGCGGAATGCAAACAAGCTGGAGCTCAGTCAGGACGAAGAAGGGCAAGGAGAAAGCACACCCAGAGCTGTATCAGCAACATCAATATCCCAATGGATTTCCGACTGCAGCCTATGGGTTCCAGTATTGTGCGTGACAGTCTCGGGAGAGTAGCCGTTTCCTGACAGTGGCGGATGAAAAGACCCACAGGTACAATCTGCGTATCCACAAATTAGCGGGTATTACCCAGTGGCCGTGGTTCCTATGCAGCAGCCTCTGGTTATGCCGCAACCATATGTTCCGGTCGCTGATTTTCAAAACGCAACTTATCAGCCACCTGCACCAGTTGTTCCATCTGTTATTCCATCTTCAGTGCCGCAAGTACACATGCCAGAGCCATCTATACCTACGAACAATCAAGGCCCCGCAATGCCTGATGTGACTAGCCGACGAGATCCCGTTGTTCCTCCACCCCCTGTTATGACTAACGTACAACCCCAACGAGACACAGCTTTTCCTCCTCCTCCTATCATAAATGACACGCATTACTCATCTCAATCACAACCCACTGCGCGCATGCCCGAGCCACACGTAGACAATCGCCGGGCGACTCCAGGCCCCGTCAGACCCGATATGACCGGTCGACGAGGAGATCCGGTTGTTCCTCCTCCCCCCGTCGTAACTGACTCCCAGCGTGCGGCTAACTCGTCATCTCGCCCAAGATTCACCGACTTCTACCAACCAGCTGATCACCCTATTTCCATGCCTGAGCCTCCTCCCCCCGTCATAAATGACGCACAGCGTGCGGCTAACTCGTCATCTCGCCCAAGGTTCACTGACTTTTACCAACCAGCCGATCACCCTATTTCCATGCCCGAGCCTCCTCCCCCCGTCATAAATGACGCACAGCGTGCGGCTAACTCGTCATCTCGCCCAAGATTTACCGACTTCTACCAACCAGCTGATCACCCTATTTCCATGCCCGAACCTGCTGCCCCCGTTATACCTGACGCACAGCGTGCGGCTAACTCGTCATCTCGCCCAAGATTTACCGACTTCTACCAACCAGCTGATCACCCTATTTCCATGCCCGAACCTGCTGCCCCCGTTATACCTGACGCACAGCGTGCGGCTAACTCGTCATCTCGCCCAAGATTCACCGACTTCTACCAGCCAGCTGATCACCCTATTTCCATGCCCGAGCCTTATTTGAGTGATGTACCATTTAGACCACCAACTGTCCCTCCCATACGAATGGCAACGCGGAGAAATCCCCTTCCCTCTCCACCTAGAGACATATGGGACACTACCCCATATCGTCAAGTTCTACAGGAACTCCCAAAGGACATAACCCTCTCCTTGAACGTCGAACACATGGCAGAAATGGAAGACATGTTGGCTCAACCAGCAGGTCCGATGTCGCGTCTAGGAAACCTATTTGGCTCTAGTAGTAAGCGCAAGGGTAAATCGCGAAAGGGACTCTTTCGCGCTTTCAGCACATCGGGGAGCGATAGCGAACCTGGCGGTCGACATCATCGTTCCAATACCGTGACATCATTCGTTATACCACCAGCTGCAGCCGTGCCCTATGGGATAAACACATACACTGGAAGTGGAACCCCACTGCGAGCTATGCCAGTTCCCGATGGCGGACCACCCGTCAAGTTTGACCATACAGGTGAACTATCTGGATTTGTAAATCACTCAGAACACCGAGTGCTGTACAAAAACAAAATGTACCCAACTGCGATGCACCTCCTTGAGGCGATGAAGTTTACGGAACATCCCGACCTTCAGGAGCGTATCCGAAAGTGCACCGATGTCGGTGACATGTACCCGTTGTCAGCTAGTTTTCAGGATCACGTGCGACCAGATTGGGGTCAGGTATTCTTGAAGATTGTGAGATTGTTTTCATTGATAAATAATCTGTTGGATCAACTTTTCGTGTTTTCAGATGGAAGAGGTGTTGTATCTCAAATTCAAACAACATCCTAGCCTTCGGACCTTGCTTTTGCGCACGGGCCTTGCTGATTTGGTGTATGCCGATGCCAATGATGCGTACTGGGGTCATGGCCCTTTAGGTGACGGTGCTAACGAACTCGGAAAGGCCTTGATGCGCGTACGGGATAGACTTTATGCGGAAGAGAGAAGATAGTAGCCTCCCCTTAACCGACTCGTAAGAAGGAACGTGGTAGTTCCTTCCACGCAGATCATTACGATGCTTTACTGATTACTATGCAGATTCCCACTACGGCAGTAGTGGGTTTTGTAGGGCCATGGTCGTTTTAACCTCATATCATACGTACTAGTAATGTTACCACATGTGTTTGCGCTTGCTGCATGCTGTACTCGGGTCGTTATCTTCGCTCTTGGCTTTTTATCTTATGGTACTGATGGGAGACAACCTTGAGGGTTATAATACATGCATCAAACTCGAGCATCTCGCGAGGGTCACTGTAATAGCTTTCAAAGTTTCAGCTTCGACATGTTATGTAAGTGACATGTTCCTGCCAGTGGCAATAGAAGGGAAGTTGGTCATCATTTGTTCCTTCTACAAACAAGTTCTACAGATAGTTCTATCATTAGACATCTTCCTCTGGAACAACTGATTGACAGTGCCTTGAGTCAAATGCTAGGCAAGCTGTGGTCGCTGGTGGGTCCACAAGTCCCGGTAATTTCTCTATAAAAGAACTCGAGCAGCGTGTAAAATGCAACAATCACCACCCAGCTTCCGACGCGCCCAGAGTCTTATATACGACCGATCTTCGAGCGTTTTACTGACCAAGAATCATGGAGACTTTCTCGTCCTCCCGGTTTCATATCAATCCCGCTTCACCGCTGTCTCAGGCCACACAATCTACTCCATGTACATGGCTCGGTCCAGCATTCGGTATTCTAACCACCCTCATCAACCTGCTTGCTAAAGCAGAGTCCAACAAGTACCTATCATTTCGCCACACTGTTCATTCTACTGACTGCGATGACTATTATGACAGAAATGGCATGCGACAACTCGAGGAACGCTGCCTCAGTTTGTTGGCTATCATCCAGAGCGAAGGCGAAACCATGGCGCCGGATGACAAAACCAGGCTCTGCTCAGGCGCACAAAGGTTGGTAGCGCGCAGATGTTGTCTGAAAGGCAGCTGATAACCTAGTCAGCACCATCCAAGGCATCCTCGACAAAATGACTCCATGGTGCTTGATGTCTCGAATCAAGCTATTCGTCAAACAGGATGAACTCGCCGGAGTCATTCAACAATGTCATCTTGAGATATCTGATTGCTTAAACAAGCTACAGGTAAGTCGAGTGTTTATTCCTCAGCTATTATCTATAAGGTCATCTACTTATTTGACCAGATAACCTCGCACCTCGAGATCCACAGATGGCAGTCTGCCTTCGAAGACAACCAAAGGATCGACAACGAGTATATGGTCCAATATCTCGGGGACCTCAGAAACAAGCAAGAGATTCTCATGAATAACCAACTGCAACAAGCTGCCGCCGTAAATCAGATCTTGACAGTGATGCAAGAGGTTGGTACCACATTCTCCAATCTCTTGAACCATTCATCTAATTTTTATTGACAGAATCTTCCGGGCCACTTCTCTGCAACAGCTGAACGTGGTCTGGAAAGTAACTTATACAATCTTCTCCGGAGTTCCAGAAGTTTACTTCCGAACATGAACCTGAAACGCGGGGAAGTGAGGCGTACCAGTAATTATGCTGTGAATGGAACGAGTCGGACCGATGTCTGGGAAGGATGCTACCTTAATGAGGAGAAGGTTGCCATCAGAGTCCTGCGCGCAGCCCATGTTACACCCAAGACACTCAAGGTACACTATCCTAATGTTGTTGTTGTCGTTGTCGTGAATACTCGATTGATTGATTTGCAGAGGTTCAAGACGGAGGCGGAGATTTGGAGAAGAGTGTTCCAAGCAGACAAAGGAGAACACATCCTCGCGATATACGGTTTTTGTCAGAGCGACGGGGAATATCCGTGGGTCTTTCCTTCCTCAGGAACTCGTGTTCGTTCCTGACAATATACCAGTTACACTGTAAGCCCCTGGATGTCCAATGGGACCTTGAAAGACTATGTCAATAAACACCCCGAGGTTAACCACCGATATATCGTACGTACCTTACTTTTTATCGAGGAATGCAGCGTCTTGACCTGATTTCGTAGTTGAAAGGCATTGTCGAAGGCATCAAATTATTGCACAGCATGTCGGTTGTTCACGGTGACATCAAAGCGGTGAGTCATGACGACAATCACTAATAACTGGGATCCTTACTTCATCATAGTTCAATATCGCCATCAGCCCGGACGGCAGGCCACTGCTTTCCAACTTCGGTTTTACAAGGGTGACGTCTCTTTTCATGTCAATCACTGCACTCTGACTTATCCGAGAAATATAGCTCGAGGAGGAGATTATGGGCTACTTCGACGTCAGCAATGGCAGCACTCTTAACCAGGAGTCTCTAAGATGGTGTCCTGCTGAGCTGTGCAGGAGCGGAGGCAAACGTACAATGGCGTCCGACGTCTATGCCTTTAGTATGACCGTGCTCGAGGTATTTCCATCACGTTTGGTTAATCAACCAGATTTTCAACAGCCTTCACAGCTTATGACCCATGAAGAACCTTGGGTATCGGTTCGCCTCGCACCTCAAGTCATCCTTAAGGTCTGTGAGGGCAAAACTCCACCTCGATCCACGGACCCAGTCGTTGCAGAACGAGGCTTGGACGACGCGCTTTGGGCCCTGTTGGAGAAGTGTTGGTGCATGAACATGCATAAAAGACTCACTATGAAAGAGATTGCGAGTTGCTTGTAATGTCAAGTTTGTAATGTTTGTCTCTAGTAGCCTATAGACATACAGTCGTTTTAATACTTCGTATATGATAGCAAACTCATGTAATTTTGTACTTCCACAGCGTGGGCGCTTTTGCTTGCATAATGTTCTTCGACTCATAGACGTCCATCTTGACCAGTCTCAGCCAAGTGGTAAGCGTGACAGGACAGAAATCTATTCACTCATGGACGGGAGGTTCATCTCAACTCGGGAAGCGTCCTGGACAAAGTGGTTACCACAACAGAATCGAAATCTGTTTCACGTGGACTGCGCGGGTTTGAAACCCACCGACGACAAGGTTTTTTTCTATCAAGAACACACCTTGTCGCACATTCACTCATGGATGCTTTCGTCGCAAGTTCATCTTAACTGGTCTTAGCCAAGCGATCACTCCAACAGAATCAAAATCTGTTTCTCCTATAGACTACCGTCAGGTTCGAAACCTGTCGATAACAGGTTTTTTTCTTCTATCAGAACACGTCTTGAAGATTCGTTCATGAATGGCTTCCTCGGAGGTTTATCTCAACCCGGTCCTGCCCAAGTGGCAACTACAACAGAATCTAAATCTGTCTCGTGAGCTGTGCCACTAGTACAGGTTCGAAACCTGCCGATGACAAGTTTTTTTCTATCGGAACCCACTTTGGGGATTTTCTGCGCTTCTGGATGGTTTTCCTCGAAGGTCCATCTAACTGGTCTTAGCCAAGTGGTTACCACCGCAGAATCAAAATCTGTTTCTCTTGGAGTTGGTTCGAAACCTGATGACAACATTTTTGCAGCGTATGGATCCTCGGAGGTCCATTTCAACTAGGCCTAGTCATCCTCTTTTATGTGATAGTCTGTTCATGAAAAGGAATTCACCTTCACACCGAGACTCTCGGAAACATAGGATACATCCTCGAGGTGTGTACCAACTTAGATTCTCGACAGACTGACCAAAACTGTCGGGATTCAAAATTAAGAATGCACACAAGCTACATAAGAATAGAGTGAGTCTGACACTCAGGAAAATGATGTAACCTCCCCAGCCTCACTGAAACCTCATCGATGGACACTCCTCTTCTAATGGGACCGAGGATGACTTGAATTCGGCTGAAGGCGGAAGGATTGAAAGTTGCAAACCGAGCTGATGCTGTATAGTTTGTGTGTGCTGTTTTATGTCGATGCCGAGGCGGAACAAAAATTTGTTTACTTTCGATTGCCGTGGCAAGACCCAGGCACCGGACAGAGATGTCAACGTGAAACTGTAGAACGCCTCATAACGGAAATTTCGAGACACCATGCAGGAGTGGCCCACCGAGGCATGCATAACGGAAAAAGGGGCTCAGCGAGAACTGCATAACAGACACAAAGACAATCTAACAAACAAGGTGTCAAATGACTGCAACCGAAAAGGCCCGAACACGGGCTACGGTAGCTGGCAGAGGTTTTGGGAGATGGGAAACCGACCGTGTTGGACAACTAACGTCGGAAGTCGGGGAATGTTTCCAACATTGCAAAATTAGCCACGATTTCTCTTTTTCCGCGGCCTGCTTTCCTCGGATTGCCCACATGCAGTGTGTGCGGGAGCCGATGGTCGTTTGCCATTCAGAGCCTTGACTGCTTTTTCCACAGCCTGTCGTCTGACTTTCTCTGGAACTTTCTCCCAATAAACTTCCTCCTTTTTCCCTTCAATGATCTCCGTTGCAATGGTCTTTTGGGACGCTCCGGGAGTCTTGCCTGTGTCATCAAGGCCGTGAGACTGTACCACAGGCTGGCTAGCGAAGTGGTCGACTAAAATACGACCATGCTCAGGCGAGGCAAGCCGAAGATAGCACTGACAATGTTGTGAGGGTGGATACTCATGAGATATCTGGGACTTACAGAGTCCATTCCTTTGTTGAAATCGACGTAATCGATCCCGGCGGGGTCTACAGGGGACGACTTGAACGCGGTAGCGAACAGCGCTCGAAGAGTGGTCTTATTTGTTTCGAGATGCAGATTTCGGGCAAAGACGAGACAGCCGAAGGGGTACGGTGAGTGCATAGTTGTCACGTTCCTAGGCGGGGGAGGGGTGTCTTCCAAAACGTCATCAGCGACGTCCCGTACATCGGGGTTAGGTGAGATATGTAGGGGTTCGTTAGCATCCGCTAGCTCGTTAATCAATTTCTGGCGGTAAGCGAGATACTCCTCGTTCAATCTATCCCAGCAAGCTTTTGGTAGCGTGCGAAACCCGAACTTCGAGGCTTCTTCGGTCTCCGAGTTATCTTCAGCGAGACCAGAGACGTCCGATTCGGCAAGTTGGAATGGCCGCGTCCAAGGCCACGATTCAAGAAAAGTCTGACACAACTCTGCGTTACACAGAGTAACGAGTGCGAAGCCTTTACATTTTGGACGGTCCTCAGTTTTATCTAAGTGGTGCGGGGGAAGTGTGACATTTTGGATTGGAATCGAGGCCGATGATCCCGGACATTGAGACAGTAACCCTTGCGTAAATCGAACGATGCCAGGTATTGTGTGATATTGTGTAGGTATATTTTCCTACAATCATCAGATTATGGTCCTCTGTCGAAGGGACGTACCTACCATGTAAACAGTACGATCGTCCCATTGACCCCGAGTGAATTCACGAGTTGCGTTATCCAATAGGGTTGACCAATCCTTCCTTCGTACTTCATAACCACCGATCGAGCTCCTCTCCGGCTTCCAGGAAGGGTACCATGCAGATGTAGATGGAGCGGACACAAGCATTCTAACCTCCAGCACGTTGCTAGCGTAGGTCCGAATTGCCTTTACCGCGTTTGCTTCAGTCGGCATATATTCCTGACCCAAGTTCTCTCTACCAAAAGCGCGACGCATCAGGTAGCTGAGAGGCAAAACTGCGTGAATACATAAACCCTGCCTGATACGCGTACGAAAAAAGGAAACATACATCCAGCATCATGCTCCTCGCTCTGAAAAGACTCTTCAGTTTTCCTCCTCAGATCTGAGTCAAGCCAAAGAGCATAGTCCGAAAACGCGAGAACAACAAGAATGGATATATCTTTCTCGTTGTAGACTGGTTTCACCGACGGTTCAGATACTTTCCATTTTCCTTTGTCGCTCACGGACGGTCCTGGGCATGCTGATTCTCTTTCGATGGCAGGTGTCGATTCCGACTTATGTGACGAGGGTACGTGAGCGGAAGTGCCTTGTTGTTTCCCACCCTTGGAAATATTTCGGGGGATGAATGCAAAACTTGGAGATGCCATCTCTGCAGCTGGTTCGCTAAGCGATCGACAAATCGATAACGCGGTCGGCACGGTCGAGGCGGTAGCAGATCAGATGTTTCAAATCAAACTCACGCCGAGTCGTCGATGTTCGGAATTTGCCAGACGGATCAAATCTCCTGATGCCATAAGTCCCAAGGTTGCTGAGCGCAGTGTGAAACGTTGGTGAAACGTGCCTGGCCTGCAGGGCCCCATGGGGTGCGATGACTCGTGATACTAATAACGGGCTTGCGGTACTACGTAGAATCGATATTTAGGTAGTGCAACGTGTAAGGGCACTTCATGCCAAAAGGTTTATGCTAGGAGGAAATATCTTCTACTTCACAGTGCACACAAGCTACCGACTCGGATAGAAGGAATGTACAGTCGTTTCCTAGAATCTGTAAAGCAGGCAAGCGTAACTACGTGTACTGGAAATCAATAGCCATGCGATGCTTTCTGGCGCCTTTCATAGCTTTCTATAATCTCGCGCGCTTGGATTCAGGATCCTCGCTTCGGCATCTGTTCACCGCCGTGATAGATGCATCGTTTTCTTCAGACAAGGCCTTGAATCGATGAAACAGTACAATAATGGACTATTTGGACATTGAAAGGCGATTCGCATCAACATTAATTCTCCGCGCAGTTGTACTACTGCAGTACATGACATATTATAGACTCCCAAATACGTTTGCTGTTATTTCGCGAGCGCCCAAATATGTAGACCCGTAAGCTCCCATAGGACTGAGAGGAACCACGGTCAATTAAAGAGTTTCACAGGAACTGCGGCCGGTGTCGTATAAGATTGGAGAAAATCTAGTGGTGCTGTACAACCAAGGTGCAGCACCCAAATGTCCATCAATTCACCATTAGACAAGACGTCCTTCACCCTTGACACCGGAGGTGTCATGGGGTTCTTCGGCGGGGAAGAAGCCCTCTCCGCGATGTCCACTGTGCATCTTTACCAAGGCAGACGTTGGCTTGGGTGGTACAACTCTCCTGGAAGCTATATTGTTGCCAAGAAATTTGGGCAGTTGGCGAAATCTAGATTTTGGGATGGCGTCTTTCCTGGACCCAATCCAACGCCGGAAGAAATGTTTGGGCTGGATGGGAAGAATGGACCTCGCTTTATTGGAGTGTTTTCTGGCACAGATATGACTACAGGGCACCTCGCATACCTTACAGCCCAAAAGGCAAAGGAGACCAAGGAGAAGATCCGTCTCGGAGGAAGAATAACTGCACCAGGGTCGGTGAGCATCATAGATGTCGACGACGTGAAATTGAAGCAAGGCGGTAACGTACCGACGATGAAAGTTTATCATGCCCTGTGTGCTGCTATACCCATCACCAGCAGTCTGGCATCATGCCTCGTTTGCGCTTTTATTCGTGATTGGCTCGCATTTGCGCTGGTCATCCTGGGCATGGTATCGAATGGCCTGGCTTGCTTCGTCATCGGTTCAGGGAAGCTGCATTTCCAGCTTGTCGAACCTTCGCCCTACGCACCGCGCGGAGATGGGTTTCTTTTGATGCACAATGACATTGTCATCTTGAAGGGCGCAGAGAAAGAGGTCGCGTCGATAACCAAAGGCAAACTCGTGCTGGACATGGGTGACAATGAAAAGTTCAACGCCATCGGGATCTGCTCCCTCCTACTCCTGTTGCAGTTTCTTATTCAACTCCTCTTCGTTCCTCGAGTAACGCTGGTCGGCCAGATTATGTTCCTGTCGTCACTTGCGGTGTCTTGGGCGTACAATTCGTTTCTGTCGTCACTAGAGAACGAGAAGATTCAGACAGATCTGCTGTGGAAATCACTCGATAAACCACCAATCACAAAATTTGCGCTCCCCAACAGAGGGTCGCAAGCGGCATGCGCATGCTTCGTCTTACACGCAGGCGTCGACATATCAAAGAAGTCGTCTATAAACTTCAAGCCGAAGAAGATCTTGGAGTGCATGATCCCAAATAATACAAGAGTTTGGGATGCATGGAGGGAACATGTGGCGAAACAGGTGTTGAGTAAAGAGAAAAACAAATATTTTGGGTCATATAAAGAACTCGTGGAGGACTTGGAAGACGAGGAACAGCAGCTCCTGAAACAACTACTTGCAGACGCCGAGTACGGTTACAGATGTTACCAGGTGTCGTTAGAGACCTGTAGCTCACCCTAGCACAGAGAAAACGTAGTGCAAAAGGGGGTGCGTGGAAGCTGTCGACAGAAAGGGTGTAGAATCAGGTAGATGTCATTTGATAAATCAAGCCTAGAAAGAACAATGTAAATTGTCAGTAACTTAGTTAAAGTAGAGCTAAAGTAGCAAAAGCATAATACTACATAATATTGAGTGCTCCGATTGCAAATTACAACCGTCATTCAGCCTTTGTGAGGGTTACATGCTGGCGGTTAATGCTACTGAAGCAGAAACACAGCACAACTAGTAACCTCAAGCTGTTGGGAGTGCTTGGTTCGTCCTTGCGCAGAAACTATGGAACTAAGGAGTGCAAATACCAACACGCACCATGATGTGGCTTCCGTCTACAACGTACGCTGTCCGATCAATGCAGAGCGGATCCTCTCAGTACCAGTACTAATGCTGTAAGATCCGCGGCCCGCCAGCGTTCGAGTCGCTGCAAAGGGAATCCAAACGCCTTCAGCAGCGCTCGTGGTGGTCCAGAAACAAGTGATTTTGCACAGCCACCTGCAACCACCTCTATTCGAGCTTTATCGGAGCCCTCTTATTACCGAGTCTTTCCTAGTAGGGGAGACGATTTCAATTCGGATGTTCTCTAGTCTCTCCTAGCCAGACTAATCGAAGAAAGATAGGCATTCCCTGATATATAATTTCTCTTCCCGCAAAGGTGTTGGACGATAGGCTCTCAGGGAACAAAGCTCGATTCAGAAATGAGTGCTGGGATGCGGCTACCGACTTGGAGGCCCTTGTGACCATCAACCTTGTGATAAGCCCCCATATAAGGTACGTCTGACCATAATTCATCCGGCATGCACATGCACATGATATGTAGAGCACATTTGGCCTGTTCACGCCTGTCCTGATTAGAGATTTGAAAAGCCTCAGGTGTGGCAATACATAAGTTACTTATTGCCTCCTTGACTCAAGCGTGGATCCGAAATGACAACAATCTCGGGTGGGAGCCGCTCAAGCGCTCAAGAGTGGCCTGCTTTTCGAGGTGTTGAAATCCCCCCAAACGGATATAGTGCAAAATCACCTACCTTTCACCCTCACCCTACACCGTTTCGCCGGTATAACAGGTGAAATAGACAATTCACTTGCCCAGCCGTGATACTAACTTCCTTCCGGTTTCACAGTGCTTGTTCTCTGTTTGACCTGGTATATCGGGTCTGGTCATGTCCGCGTCATCTCCATCCCTCGTGCCCAGCGCGCTTCACACTGAGGTAAAACAGGTCGAGGACATCAAGTCAGACGAACCGTCTGACCAGGACGCGAACCAGATTGCTATTTCGTCCATCAGCAAGGATGAGCCGCTCGTGACCAGAAGGGAGTTGTGGAGTTATTACCGTGAGTTCCGGTACACATGCATAGTCCCTTGTCATTCTCCGACAAAATCAAACGTCAGTGTACTACAATGGTGACAATGTGAGTCTGTCGAATGTTATTGTTTCCGTTCTTATTTACGTTATACAACCAGGGTGTCGGTCCTTTGGGCTATACACAAACTCTGTTCCAAGGGCTTGCTACAGCAGCGGGATATGATCCCGTCGCAGGCCCTGGCTCGTCATGCCTTGCAACAACTGCTTCCGGCCAATGTGTGGTTCCCTGGGGTAGCGGCACAAAGTCGGTTTCTAGTGTGGTGTTGATCGCGAATGGCATCAGTTTCGCTCTGATGACAGCCATATTCACTACCATCGGTTCTGCTGCTGACTACGGCACATTCGGACGGTGGTTGCTGTTGGCTGTCACAGTGGTATGCTGGGCTGCACAGTATGCCTCTATGGCACTTACCAGTGGGTTTCCGGGTGCCACACGTTTTCTGAAGTCTGATCGTTTTGTGTACCAGCACCAAACCGATGGGTCCTTGCGATGGTTCTTTACATTATCGGTTTCGTATCATACGGTGCGACTCTTGTTTTCTATGCCGCTCTATTCCCTCGCCTCGCACGTAATACCCCACATGCACGCCAGTTGAGAGAGAAGTACGAAAGCGGCGAGATTCCTCCTGAAGTTTACGAGCAAGAGGAATCTCTGGAAAAGAATAGGATCAGTAATATCTCTACCGTGCGTTGTAGGGGTTGTGCCTTTTGTCATGGAAGGCTAACGATCTTTCAATACAGGTTCATAGTAATGTCGGATATATAATCACCTTATCGCTGAACTTAGCGCTTTTGCTGCCGATGACGAACGACCCCAAGGTAGACAATTATGTCCTCGTTCTGTAAGCTTCTCGTCAATCAAGTATTTGAGTTGTATTGATTGGCGTGTAGTGTCACCACGTACTGGGTGGTACTTGGTATCTGGTGGTGTGAGCATATTGTAGCTTATCTCTAGTATGCTTCCTGCTGAGAACCCTCGAGTTATCCTCCAGGAACCCAGGCCAGGCCCTAGTTTACCTGAAGGCGAACACTACATGACGATTGGATGGAAGCAGGTAAGTTTTGATAAAATATCCCTGAGAAATCGACTCACGAACATCAGATTTGGGCTACGCTGAAAACATACAAGCATCTTCCCTACACTTTCGTGTACCTGTTCTCTTTCTTCCTTCTTGCAGATGTACTATTTGGTTGCCTGTCTCTCGAGCCATGCCTGACATTTTCTTGGACAGGGGCTGAATACCACCGGAACCCTCGTTGCCATTTGCCAGAACAACAAGTTCAGTTTCTCGTTCCTGCAAAATACCTACTTGGGCTTGTCACAGGCGATCACCTCGACTATCAGTACCCTCGTCTTCTGGTATGTCCAGAAATATTGGAAGATTAGCACAAAGAAGATGGTGTGTAGCACTAGTTTTTCACGTACACATTTATCTGATTGTCAACGGTACAGTTCGTGGTGACTAATGTTGTCACGATTTTGATTCCGCTGTGGGGTATGATTGGAATATGGACAGAAAAACTTGGGTCGGTGCCATTTAACTTTTTTTTCCACCAATCGTTACTTATATACATCAGGTTCCATAATGTCTGGGAGTTCTGGTTCGTCAAGAAAACATTTTTCTACCATGTTTTTATATTCTTCTCAGGGCATACAACATTGTGTTCGGCCTTTTCCAGGCGCCTTACTACGCATTCTCCCAGACAATGATGGCCGAGCTTAGTCCACCCGGATTTGATAACATGGTGTGTATCTTGGATTCGTTGCACTTCCCATCTCATTGTGTTCGGCCAGTTCTTCGGTCTGTTTGGTCTATCCAACCGCGCTTCTTCTATGGTAGGACCCAATGTCATCCAGGTTATCATCAATAGGACGGGGAATGACTGGCAGGGGTTCCCATTCCTCTTTGCGTTGTGTACGGCTGCTTCAGTGGTGATTTGGTTTGGGGTTGATGTCACGAAGGGACGGAGGGATGCTGTGAGGTGGGCGGCTGAGCAGCGCAGGCACACACAATAGAACGATCGTTATATGTGCTCTTCGGAGCGACTTCGGGAATTTCTGAAATATCCATCATGCCTGGCAGGATACAACGTTCGACATTCATCTACCAGGGAAACAACATCGGCCAAGATGCAGATAGAACAGGCGGAATTATGTCATGCCTACCACAGTTCAAGTCACTTCAAAGGCCGCGATCGTCCTCCCATTTCTATAGTCTGGGACCCTGACTTGAAGCACAGCCACCTGCAACTTTTGTTCGGGTCCAGAATGAATTCGCTTTGTACCAAGACGTCTACTTAGACTTATACCGAGACCGGCCAGAATTCCGATCGGTTTGTACCTTTGCATATCCAATTTCTATATCTCTTCCTGAAAAGATGAGGAACGATAGGCTTGCCAGGAAATAGCTTAAATCAGAAGTGAGCATTGAATATTGATGATTATTACTCCTGGTCCTGCTAAGCCCCATAAGGTACGCGCAATGGAAAAGAGAGAACACAACATGGCCTCAATTACGCATCTTTGTTCGGTCTATCCGAGTCGAGCTCGTTCTCGACCGCCATGTCCACGTCACCTCCATCGGAAAATCTAGCTCCTGCCTTCCACACTGATGTAAAACAGGTTGTGGACATCAAGTCAGACGACTCACCTGACCTAAACGCGAACCAAGTTGCTATCTCGTCTATCAGCAAGGATGAACCGCTTGTGACTAGAAGGGAGTTGTGGAGCTATTACCGTGCGTTCCAATACATGTGCTTCCTCCCTACTATTTCTTGACTAAGCCAAACATCAGTGTACTCTAATGGTGGTAATGTCAGTCAATCAGGTATTCGTGTATCCCCCACTCTACTCATTCCACGTGTCATCCAACCAGGGTGTCGGTTTGGGCTATACACAGACCCTGTTCCAAGGGCTTGCCACGGCGGCGGGATATGATCCAGTCGCAGGCCCTGGCTCGTCATGTCTTGCGGACACTGCCTCTGGCCAATGCATAGTTCCCTGGGGTAGCGGAACAAAGTCAGTTTCCAGCGTGGTGCTGACTGCAGATGGTATTAGTTTCGCTATCATGACAGCTATACTAACTACTATCGGTTCTGCTGCTGACTATGGTACATTCGGACGGTGGTTGCTGTTCGCTATCACTGTAGTGTGCTGGGCTGCGCAGTATGCGTGTATGGCACTTACCAGTAAGTTTCCGGGTGCCACGCGTTTTCTGAAGTCTGATCGTTTTGTGTACCAGCACCAAACCGATGGGTCCTTGCGATGGTTCTGTACATCATCGGTTTCGTGTCATACAGTGTTACTCTGGTTTTCTATGCCGCTCTATTCCCTCGCCTCGCACGAAATACATCACGTGCACGCCAGTTTAGAGAGAAGTATGAAAATGGCGAGATTCCTCCTGAAGTTTACGAGCAAGAAGAGTCGCTGGAGAAGAATAGGATCACTGATGTCTTTACTGTGCGTCGTGTGTAAGGCGTCGTGTTGTCATCGGAAGCTGATCATCTTTTGTACAGGTTCATAGCAATGTTGGATTTGTGACCACACTATTGCTGAACTTGGCGCTTTTGCTGCCGATGGCGAACAACCCCAAGGTAGACAATTATGTGATCGTGGTGTGAGTTTTTATCGCTTGCCAATTCCATCTGTTGTATCGATTGATGTGTAGTGTCAACACATATTGGGTGGTATTAGGTATCTGGTGGTGTGAGCATGCATTGGCTGGTCTTTCTGGGCTTCCTGCTGAGAACCTTCGAGTTGTCTTCCAGGAACCTAGGCCAGGCCCCGAATTGCCTAAAGGTGAATATTACCTGACCATTGGATGGAAGCAGGTAATAATTTAGCTGGATACCGTGACCCTTGCTCACGCAAACGTTAGATCTGGGCTGCGCTGAAAACATACAAGCATCTTCCCTACACCTTTGTGTATCTGTTCTCCTACTTTCTTCTTGCAGACGTACTGTTCAATTGTCGGTATCTCAAGCCGCACCTGACATCTTTTTGGACAGGGTCTCAATACTACTGGAACCCTCGTTTCCGTATGTCAGAACGACAAGTTTAGTTTCTCGTTCCTGCAAAATACATACCTGGGCTTGTCCCAGGCTATTACTTCGACAATCAGCACTCTCGCCTTTTGGTACGTCCAGAGATATTGGAAGATTAGCACGAAGAAGATGGTGTGTATTGCTACTTTATCATGCTCTCTTTACTTGACTGCCAATGGCACAGTTTGTGGTCACGAATGTTGTCACGATTTTGATTCCGCTATGGGGTATGATCGGAATATGGACAGAAAAACTCGGGTCGGTGTCGTTTAACTTGTTTCATGACATCATCATATCTCTAAGGCGTGCATTAGGTTCCACAACGTATGGGAGTTCTGGTTTGTCAAGACTCCGCGTTTATATTGTTTTGTTTTTATATTATTATCAGGGCGTACAATGTGATGTTTGGCCTCTTCCAGGCGCCCTATTACGCGTACTCTCTGACAATGATGTCTGAGCTTAGTCCGCCGGGTTTTGAAAACATGGTGCGCATTTCGGCTTCCTCGTTCTTATCTCGTTCGCTTACATTAACTAGTTCTTCGGTCTCTTCGGTCTATCCAACCGCGCCTCTTCCATGGTGGGGCCCAATGTCATACAGGTCATCATCGACAAGACGGGGAATAACTGGCAGGGGTTCCCGTTCCTCTTTGCGATGTGTACGGCTGCCTCTGTGGTGATCTGGTTCGGGGTCGATATCACGAAGGGGCGAAGGGATGCTGTGAGGTGGGCGGCTGAGCAGCGCAGGCATATACAGTAGAGCGATCGTTGTATATTTTCGTTCTTTGAGGTGACCTGGGGCATTTCTAATGTATACTGTCCATGTTAGCAAGTTTCTGGAGTGGTCTTTAGATCTGACATAGAGACGACGACAACATTCTGTCGATTCTCGAATGCTATCGCAAAATAAGGAATCACGTGACCACTCCAGTTATTGCGGTCTTTGTGGACTCGGACTTTGACTTCATTCGCTGACTCGTCTACATCTTGAACTCACACTAAATCCTTTGGTCTGCACTCGGTCACGATGTCAAAACGAGGCGCCTCTCCACCGCCATTTACAGAAGGAACTCTCATCAAAAGAGCGCGCTCGAACTCCCCTGCTCGAAACCAAATTGCTATTTCATCTGGCAACGATGAGCGACAGAAAGGTCTTATACGAAGCGTCAAGCGCACAAGCAACCTAGAAGCACCTATAATTAGCTTGAGCGGATCTCACTCGGTGAGACTTGTAAACAATTTGTCCGCAGGATGGTGTATTAATGAGTTGGAAGGCGGAAATTCTGAGCTGTAGATTTGACCCTACTGGGCAGAACATTGCTGCTTGCTCAGCGGATCGAAGCGTCTGTACGTGACATCTCTAAGTGCTTTATGCGAACCGTTCACGAGTGAGCTATAGCTTTGTGGAGGACTTATCCACCAAATACCAACTACGGCCTCCTCTCAAGCCATCATAAGGCACCCATCCTTGACCTTCAATGGTCTCTCTTCTCACCGCTCCTTTATACCGTATCCGCAGACCAAATATTGTCCTTTACGGATGTAACCACTGGCCAGCGGACAAGAAAAATTCGTGCTCATCGCGGAATTATAAACGCGCTGGACCGGACTATGGCAGGTGGTGCTGGTATCGAGCTCATTGCCACCGCCTCGGACGATGGAACGGTGCGCGTGTGGGAGGGTGGAGAAGATGGTTCGAAGAACAGTGTTGCAGTGTTTGAACTCGGATGTCCAGCGACGAGTGTCGCGTGGAGCGCGGATGGGCAGAACCTCTATATTGGCGCGCTAGACAACGAGATTCATGTATATGACTTGCGAAAGGGCGAGCAGGTCTATTCCCTGACTGGTCATACGGACACGCCGACGTCGCTTGCATTATCACCCAATGGTGCCTACCTCCTCTCGCCTTCATTCTCATCTCATACTATCATTCACGATGTACGCCCGTTTGCGCCCACGCCAACGAGGATACACCGTGTGTTGCAAGGTGCTCCAGCCGGTTTTGAGAACACCCTTTTGAAAGGTGCATGGAGCAAGGACGATGGGGGACAGCGGGTTGCGGTTGGTGGTGCGGATCGAATGGTGTGTGTTTGGGACGTCGACAGTGGGCGTGTGTTGTACAAGGTTTGTGTTATCCCATCGGTGCTTCTTGCGTGTGGCTTACCATCTTTCTAGCTGCCGGGGCACAGGGGCACAGTCACTTGTGTTGACTTCCACCCAAAAGAACCCATCAGTAAGATTTCCCTTTTGTCTGGCTGATTTTTACTGACGTGTCTACAGTTCTTACTGGTAGCAAGGACGGCACTATGCTGTTGGGCGAATTGGACCCCAGTGTGTAAAATATGCGATGCGTCAAATAACGCGGAGCGCCGCTGTCACCTTTGATGGTTTGATATTTTATTTCAAACTCGCCAGAGATGTGTTGTCATTTTTATCATGCTGCAATGAATTAATATTAGTCGCGGCTTTAATTCCTCGGAAAGTGAGTTCGTGCAGTGGTAATTTCAAAGTATTTTTGAGTGTGAAGACTTCAAAGTCCAGCTTATGTTGCCATGTCAAACGACGTAACTTAAAGCTAGGTAGTCTCCACGAATCCCAGGAGTCGGACAATCGTCCCGGCTCGCTGCACGGCCCAAAGAAAACAGTTGTTTGGCCCACTTCACGATCCTGCAAAAATAATGACCACCGCAGGGGTCGAACCTGCAATCTCCTGATAACGTAGTCGTAGTCAGACGCGATGCCATTTCGCCAGGCGGCCTTGGTGAAAGCGTGGCATTTATGATGACTATGACAGGCAGCAGTCAACAATCATAACGCGGTCTCAACGTGAATTTGACGTGAATGGATGATTTTAGTTTAAGCCAAACTTCTGCTGTTTCATACAAGTCTCATATGCACGGGACACAAAACGCCACAAAACGTATCACCGAGTCTCCTTTTCTCTTTTCGCTTTCTCACTCGCGCTAAGCACCAGCTAACGTGCATTAGACCCGAATATTGACTGACATATCATCATCCTTCGCGCAGCTTTGTTCGACCGCTATCATATCTGTTGTCTCCTTCTACCTTTTGAGTTATCTCATATGCTGTCTGCGTCAGTAACGACCACTCCTCGGCCACGACCGCCAGGTCGGGCGCGGAGAATTTCTACCCACGTCAAATCTTCCCCGCCTCCTCCGTACGCTGCCTCATCACTGCTTGATGATCCACTGGATAACTCTTCGGATCTGAAACGAGAGTCCTTCAACGACGCATCTGCAATCGTCGCGTGGAACGACATCCCTAACCATCTTCAAGTTTGGAATGGGAGGTCCCGCGAGGAGCTTTCTGAGCTACTCCTGAAAGCTGATGAGCTCATTAAAGATCGAGAAAATGGTTTGTCCTTTGGTTCTTTATTCTAGAGAAACAAGCTCAAATCGTTGACCACGTGTAGAACTCAGTGTCACCACGGCCGCTTGTAAATCATTGTACGAAAATAATTTAGAGCTACAAAACAAGCACAAGGCACTTCTCGCCCGCTTGCCCACTTCTTCAGCGTCTGTCTCTCCATCCGGCTCCTCGGCATCCTCTCCAGCTACTCCCGGAACACCTCTTCCGCACTCTCCCCATTATTATACCAATATCTCTTCCTCCCACTCGAGCACCAGCGCATCTCGCTCCCGCCGGTCGCAGAGACGTGTCTCTGTCTCCCCTGCAGACCTTGCGCTACTTTCCGATCAGAACGCTGAGCTCCTTTCCAAGCTAGAAAAGCTCGAATTTGATTCTGCTCAGACTGATCAAGCGGGACGGCGAAAATTGCGCGGTTTGGAAAAAGAGATCCAAGGGCTGCGAGAGGAGCTCGATAAAACTCGTGCCAGGAGCGACGAGCTCGAGAAAAAGGCAAAACTTGTTAGTCTCAGCCTCGAGTCTGAGGAAGCGTCAAAGAGGCGACATGAGAGAGAGGAGCGAGTCCGTGCCATACGGGGTAGGAGTGATAGCGATACAAGTGGCGGAGAAGTACGGGACTTTGCGCCAGGAGGGGCTCTTGCATCTCAAGGGATCTCAAAAAGATCTACTGGGCTAAGCAGGTCAGAGAAACGCAAGTTTCCATCGCAGTGCCTACGCCGGCATGCTTCTGAAGCCGTCTTTCGTTCGGCCCCTACGGATCGCAAGCTTTCTGAGCGATCAAGAAAGATGTCTTTATACGACGGTTTCTCTCGATCATTCCCCCAGTTCCAGTTTCCTCTTCCTCCTCAGACGCCAGTCCCGGCAACGCCCGAATATGCACTCGTGTTCCAGCTCCTTCAAAAGATCCGCGAGCTTGAGCAAATTAATTCACAAATAACGTTGCAGCAAGCGAAAACGACGGCATCGCTGCAGTCTGTTCAAAGAGATGCTGCGAGCATCCAGCTCCTCTATGAGAGCCTTAGCGATGTTGATGCCATTACCTGGCTGGCTGAGGATGATAACATCGAAAATCCCGGTGTCCATGAGGAAAATGAACATATCGAGGAAGACGAAACGATTCGTTTTGCCAGTCTTCGCCAGTCTATGCTCGCGGATGCCTCGGTTGATTTTGATAGCGGCATCGAACCAGACAGACAGAGTAGTATGCGGCACGCAATACTTCCAGAACTCTTCCCTCAACCTGCACATCATCGTGCACGTCGATCTGTTGTTGGATTATTTGATCCTCCGATTGCATCTGATGTCAGTAATCCACCGTCTGTACAATCGCTGATTATTCCCGGTCTACCAGCCGTTCCTTTTGTCCCTCAGCCCAGCACGGAATCTGCGACCCCCGAAGAATTAGACTTGTCATTACCTCTGGTTGCGGCATTGCCTACCACAGAATTCACGGGCCGCCAGACTCTAGACAATGAGTTGGGGCTTGCATGGGACAACTGTCATGGGAATGACCACTTCCGCACACCGAGTTTAATCGATCTTACATCGCTTTCTCCTTCTTTATCCGCTGATAACGCCGCCGGCGTTCCGGATTCCGGCACTCCTTCCACAAAAGACATGCTGTCCTTTTCCCCGTCTTCTAGTTATATCTCAGCTCCTTCCGCATCTTCCACCTCGTTTGCGGAACAAGTTAGCTTGCAAGCAGGCACATGGCAAGGTGTTCATGATTCTGAACCTGTGACGTATAGTCCCCCCAACGCGCACGTGGATGCACTTGCCGACAAGAAGCGTCGCAAGTCGCACACCATTCGCATGCGCACAAATCACTGGACTGAAGGTCGTTTCGAAGCGACACTTCTTTCTGCCCCGCGGAGGGAGAGCTCTGTTGATCTTGCCCGTCCTTCCACTCCAGTTCCTCAAAGACTCGTAAACGAGTTTGTGGATAGCATAAGCCGCCATCGGACTTACACCCTTTCCCGCGGTCTCACAGACGATGAATCGAGGACAACATCTTCATCGTCAGTCTCCCCTCGCCAGGGAAAGAAGCCTCAGCAGCGACGGTTCGTGTCGTTCGTCTTGGAGCTGTGGTTGTGGCTTCAGTTTGCTATCGTCGTGGTCGTCTTTCTGTGGGCGATGGCGAAGCGCGGACCGAAGAGCGTGTTGGAGGAAGCTCAGAGAAGGAAGATTCAGTGACATTATTTTGGACGGACTATCTGATGTTGCATATTGCACTGTAGGATTAATGTTGAATATGCTTTTAATGGTGTATCAGGTTCTACGCTAGAGCTTTGGTTTGATGTGCTACCGGATTCCTCGACGATGGCACTCGTGCACACGATAGTTCACGCAACCTATTTACGCAGAATGTTCTGACTAGTCTTTGACGACTGGCATGTTCTCGCACTCGATGCTGATGCGGGTGCTGGTTCATTGAATCCTAGGTCCAGCATATGCTTCGAAGGACGATACTACCGGCTGGCACCAACGTGTGTCCAGCTGAGCGCGGGCGATTTTTCTTCCGAGTGGCGTTCTCTTTGTCCACCACGTTCATGCACTGCACACGCTTGCTTACTACTAAACCTGCCGACTCTTTTCTTTTTTTACGAGACATGCTAATGGGCCTAGTGTTGCAAATATTAATATACTGGTCCACGCAGTTTACTGGTCAGTCAGTAGAGCGCAGGTCAAGAATCCCCCGCATGCACACCCGCGCTCGAACCAACTCGGAGGCTCCGATTGAGCTCCTAGTACTGCGTGCACATCTCGGACCCCACACAAGCTTACATAAGTCTAAGCCGCGGGTCTAAGCCCAATTTTCTCATCCGGATCCCGCTTTCTCGCGTAGCTGTCCTGACTCCTGACATCAAGCTCAAAATGTAAGCTCCGAACCTTAGTTATGGTCCTCGAATACTTGATGATATTTTGAGTAGCTCCACAGATATACCAATGAGTCAATGAATGGTAGTATGATCACACAATGAGAAGTGCTTCGACCAAGGAAGCATTCCTGTGCAAGTGGGGCCTGTATTAACTAGTCACTAGTCTCTTCTAGACAGCCCTTTGTAAACGAAGGAAGATCTGACATCCGTTCCTTAGGCTTGTATCGCCATTTTTGACCTTATCTCCCCAGGATTTTGACATCTCCAATGGAACTTTGGCAGTCAATTGGCAGTGCGCTCCTGTACAGATCATGATGCGGTCTCATTGCCAGGATTCAACGTTCAACTCGTGCCTACAAGTCAGGGCCGATGCTTCCCAGCAGACGCCCGCTGGAATTGTCCGTTCACACGACGACTTCAAAGTGACAAATCCGTTGCCATTGACATGAGAATATAAAGTGATAGAAAGTACATTCTGGTCTGATGCCTTGTTGTATTGCACAAGCAACTTCCTCTCTTTTTGACGTGTCCGAAAAGTCTAACATACAGGAACCACTCGTGCAAGCCATCCCCCCCGCCGATACCACCAAGTCCCCGCTACCGGCAATTAGAGAGCCAGTGACTTCCCGAGTCGGCATATCCCGAAGCATCGATAACGTCCCCACCTCCTGCTGTGGACATGTCTTCACCTGCAATCAAGGAAGCACTAATACCGCTTCCAGTCAGCCCTACGTCAAGTTCTGTGACGCTTGAGGAATTCAAGTCCGGCATAACTGAGAGACAAGATAATGGCTTCCTTCGACGGTGGCAGCAATGGTTCACACTCTAGTCAAAGTAATCGGATGATCTTTATTGATTAATTTCAGGGATTGGCTTCATGATTGCTGGAAATCCTACGAATACATCGAACAGACTCCCCGTGTAGTCACCCAAGAACCTAATTGTTTCTACTTGAATGTTCGACGGAAGACAGATAAAGGTGCGCCCTCGGATATTACATAACTGCAATTGATGTACCAGTATGTAGAGAAACCAAAACTGGTTCTCAGTGATTTTAGTCCCATTTTACTCGCCTGCTTACGGTACGGCGTATTTAAGCAATCAGTTCGTCAGATGATGAATGATTATCTTCTGCAGCTCCATAGTGGGTGGTGAATGCTTGAGCAAATATCCACAAGTTCACATCGATGAGCTTCTTTTGGAGCTAGATTCGTTGGACAGTCGCACCAACGACGCACGTATGGCGTTGCTAGAAGAAAACAAAGAAGATGGCGTCGTACGAAGTGCGAAAGCACTCGGGCATGGTCTATATGGTATGTAGCTCGTACTCCTTGTGATAATTCGCTTCGTACCTTTTATGATGCAGATGGTGACGCGCGCACGTACCTTACGGCCGCAGTCCAGCAGCTTGACATTCTCCTACTTTTGCTTAAAGAAGAATTCGAACCAGTGTGCGATATGTCCCCTGTTCCCATCTCCCGGTATCTGATTTCCCATAGAGCTGAACGACTGAAACATGCAATAGTACACGGTCGCATACCGCGCGATCTGCTGGAGTTCTACTTCCGGAAGAATCAGCTGTACTACTACCTCGATGACAATAATGATTTTGTGAGAGAACCAACAACACTCTGCGATATACTCAGATAGATGAAGCATGCAGGATGCATTCCGCTTGATCTCCACTTATTACGATGACTTTGACCAGTAAGTTGCAAATTTCACTTGTGGTTATGGCATTTTATATTTTCTTCTGCAGAACATTCACTCTTAACGGCGAGGGTACATTCTGGAACGGAACCAAGTGGGCTACACTCGAGCGAGGTCGGATGGTTAAACTGGCCGAGGTCTGTTCCCGATACTATCCTGCTTTTTTGTCGTGCTCATTACGATCAGGGGTCGTTGATCTTGGCTGATTTTCGAACCAGCAAGATAACGCCTGAAATATATGGGCGACTTACGGGTAGGAGCACATGTCCCGCAAATGTCCCGCGTTAACCTTGGCTCTAGAGCGCGGTAGAAAGTACGTCTCACTAGCGGGAGTCCATCACAGACTTTGTGCGTCCTCTAATCGCTGTTGGTTTATTGAGTTAACCTGACCTCTCTTAGACAGAGGAGTGCGCCCGATCATGAAATAGGCGTACAGTTTCCCACTGACCTGTCGTCTCCAACAGCGACGGATCATGGTTGACCGCTTAGGCTGGAACACGTTCGGCTACAACCATGCGTAGGGAATTGTCTGCCAGTCATCCATTGTGTGATCTCATTGATGACCAGAGATGATACCCCATTCCCATTCCCCCTTCTTCAAGACAGAAGTAAGGCCAGAAACAACGATAACATCCCGCCCGTGCCCGAAGATAATATCGCTCTTCTCCCGCGATTCATGCCAGGTTTTGATCTGGAACGCAAGGTAATCATACAAAAGTAGACATTCGAGTACCTCTGATAGTGCTTCTACAAGTCGTGGGGCTTATTTGATGTTGATGAAGTCGAGCCAATAAAATTCAACGAAAACGCCTGGGAGCACATTGTGATCGACGAAAGCTCAATGGTGAGATCAATCAACTAAATTATATGTTAGGTTGCTCATTACGGCAGGATGTCATTGAAGGAGTTGTGGGTGCATTCGACTTCAGCAAGGAGGCCATGGCAGATGAAGAACAAACGGGCTTGGTAGGTCGAGTTATCTGTTCGTTCAAACATGTCACGGGGCACCCCTCGCTGGCAGGTTATACTCTTGCATGGACCATCAGGGACCGGCAAAACGGCGACCGTTGAAGCTATCGCGGAACATTTTAGACGGCCATTGTACTCCCTCGCAGCATGTTCCCTTCCGTTGGACATGACCTTACTTGTGGACACGTTGACATCCCGTCTGGATGTATGTCATCGACTACTGTCCGCCTTGATGCAAATTTATTATTCTCACAGGCAGCAAGATCATGGAATGCCATAGTTTTGATTGAAGCTGGGGATGTGCGGTCTTTTTCATATTCTATCTGTCATGAGTTGACTTGTATCCAGATTCTCATGCAGACTCAGAGGCACGAGCCAATAGTGCGTATTAGCTGTCTCCGTCTTATGCTACCCTGACCTGCGATCAGATGGAGGAACATATTCGCATTTCGACGATACTCGAATTCTTCGAGCAGCATCGGTGCATTGTATTTGTTACCGCGAGGACTACATGTACTGCATACATGTCGCATTTTGCTATGAGTACAGGTTTTATTTACCAATCTATCAATTCCATGCTCACCTGTCACTCTCACAGCTATCCAGTATCCTGAATTAGATGGTGATTCCCGTCAAATCATATGGTCCAATATGCTCTCAGGGGAAGCAAACAACATATCTCGCCGAGACATTGAGGAACTGTCCAGAATCGTAGTCAATGGTAAGTAGCATCGCCCTCTTGTAGACGGTTGCTGCAATATTTGGCAGGTCGGGCGATGAGGAACATTCACACGATGGCCAAAGCATTGGCGCGTTCTAGGTACTTGTCTTCATTTGCCATGAGATTTCTGATTGATCAAACATCATAGTAAACAACCTCTATCTCTATGCTATTTGAAGACTGCTGCGAAAACACAAGGACAGGTCGAAGGTGCAGGATATCATCTTTACTGGTGACCTAGTCCAGAGCCGTTTATTAAATATACCCTTTAACTGCAAGAATGTGGATGGACCATATATGTACTCTCAATACAGACGTATCGCAGGGCGATTTTGTGGATCTATTAACTATGAACGATGTAGCAAGTGATCAGTAAATCGCGATGCAAGCACAAACTTGAAAGTTGAAAGTAAAACAAAGCCCGACTTCATGGAATCACGTGAGCTTTGTTACGTGCATCGTCACATGATTCACTGATATCATGCATCCTTTCAAATTCAAAAGTCTACTTCCAAAATGTCATCTGCAGCGTCCTCATCGGACTCTTCTAGCCCACCACAGGTCAAGAGAAAGAGAGTTTCAGAAGAATGTGATGATGTAGCGCACGAAGCAGACACAGCAGATAACACACCAGTCCCAGATGACAGTGTCGTGTTGTCTCACGCCGAAAAAACGCAGACAGAAGAAAAAAGACCAGAAACCTCAAGATCAGCCATCGAAAAAGAGAAAGGTGACGGATGGTTCCGTAGCTGGCGTCTCCACGAAGGACTCGAAGCCTGCTGGCAATAGCAAGCCGAAACGTCAGAATTCGGTCTGGGTGGGCAATCTATGGTTCAAGACTACCCCAGATGCACTGCGAGATTTCTTTGATGGCGTCGGGGAGATCACGCGAATACACATGCCCACGAAAAAGGGAACCAAAGGAGAGAATATGGGGTGAGCAAGGTTGTTTCCCTGCTAAACGTGTAGTCGACTGAAGACAAGGTAGCTTTGCCTACGTCGACTTTGCTACGCCAGATGCTAAAGTCACAGCGATAACCCAGTCCGAACGAGATCTTCATGGTCGGAATTTACTGGTCAAAGACGGTATGTATGCTTGCGGTTTACCCTACCCACTTGATGTTTAAGTTTGCATTCGCACATATGTAGGAAATGATTTTGCGGGTCGTCCCATAACTACACCGGCGGCGGGAACACAAGAGGACGCCAAGGGTCCTTCTGCAGGCAAATCAGTGAGCGGGTTGACGAAGACTCAACAGAAGATTCTGCGTGTACAGAAGCAGCCTCCTGCACAAACATTATTCCTCGGAAATCTTGGTTTTGATACTACTGTGGAGTCGATTCGTGAACTCTTTGAGGCTCACAGATACCCGCAAAAAGCTGGAAAGGGCGTCAAAGCGAATGACGCCGAGCCTAGTGCCGGGGAGGAAAACAATGATACGAAAGATGTTTGGTTACGAAAGATCCGCATGGGAACCTTTGAAGACAGTGGTGCATGTAAAGGGTGAGTGATTTGTCGTACAAGGCGGATGTAATGCCAACGAAAGCATGCAGATTTGCCTTTCTTGACTTTACCAGCACCGAACATGCAACTACCGCCCTGATTAATCCTCGTAATCACCGTCTCAATGGTCGAGATCTAGTTGTGGAATATGCCTCTGCTGATGCAGTCCGTCGAGGCGGTGGTCCAAGATTACAAAGCGAACACAAAAGCGGTCCTGGAAAAAGACACGGTGGTCGGCAACCCGACGCTGAGTCGCGTCCACGATCTCAATCGCGCCCGGGAAGGCGTGGTGAAAATGAGAAAGAACACAGTACACAACAAGATGACGCAGAATCGATACGACGGAACCCAAAGGAGGGCCCACGACATATAAAAACTGACAGGGTTCGAGGACGCCCAAAACCTGGTGCCGCACTGGCCCAGGCGCCACGTGAATCTGCTGCTATCATACCCAGCCAGGGTCAGAAAATTGTGTTCTAGGATATCACGATAGCAAAGGATAGCGAGAGACGCAGCATTGTACACCCTAATGGTAGATAGCTTCCCAAAAATTTCGTTGTCTACATGGACATACCGAATGCACTTTTTCCAGTTCATGAATATTCCTCGTCATCCTGAACCATCCCGACGTTGAATTCTGCGCAGAGATCCCACCGAGAGCCAGGAGCAGCAGCTGAAACATACTTGACGAAGCGCATAACGCCCTCGTCCCGCAGAACGAGAAGGAGTGTGTTAAAGCTAGGCTGAACGGTTAGCAAAGTGCTCTCGTCCTCCTCATCCTCCTGCTCCCCGGTCCCTGGATCATTGTCATGGTCTTGTGAGCCAGAAGCATCGTTGACTTGGTGTTTTTTGCTTGACCCAGAACGATAGACTGCTGGATCATCTTCCTCGTCATGGGGTGCCATGTAACACTTGATAACGAACAAGTCAGCAAAACATTGATGAGGAAGATATTGGCCCAACCTCCCAACCTCCCCACTCCCCAGACTGCCAACCATGCAGCTCTTCAAGTTCGTCTTCTTCGTTCGCCTTTGACTTGCCATTTGATCGCGTCTCATTTTCTTCAACTTCTGCTTGTGGCGTCAATCCCAACACTACATCCAATCGCGACTCGTCCCCCTCACTCGTTGCAAGAGTGTAGTCCAAGCCCGGTCTAAACCTTCTCGCTTCCACAGTATAGCTCAGCGGCAACAACTTTGTCAGGATGCTTAGCCAAGCGCGAAACGCGTCACTTGGGAAAACTTCGTCTTGCAACTGACGAAGGATTGCGTCTGATTCACGTTGGGGCTCCGTTGTTTGTTGGAGCGTACAGTAACGCCATTTGTGTGGTGGACCCCGCGCAGACCATGCACCAGAGACGCCAGCAGTGTGTGGTGGTATCCTCCCCTGGCGAGTTTCACCATCAAGACCATCAGCTTGGTCTGCCCTACGCAGGTCAGGTTCAAGTTTCGATACGAGAGATGCGGAAAGGAAATGGTGGAGTTCAATATTCGACTCCACGACGAAACGTGCCATCAATGCCTTCATCGTGCGTGTTTGAAGGTAAACTGGGTTAAGGAACTTTGCGAGGTACGAGATATATTCTCTTCGGAGCGGTGCATCTGGATGGGGCGGCTCTAAGTCGGGGTATGCAATAAAGGTGGTAGAGCTAGATGTCTGTAGTAGTCCCGATGAGACCCATGCATAAGCGATACATCTTCCAGGACATACCAACTGTTCTCGTGAGCTTTTGAGGTCAGGAACTACCTGACCAGCTTGATATCCATCCTCGCCCTCCTGTGCTGCATGAAACCAGCCACTTATGCTAAGTCTTGCCTTGCCATCTCCTCCTACCACCACCTCTTCTACAGAATGGAAGCTTTTGCCTGGTTGCACTTCGAAGAAAATGAATTGATTCCAGCTTGGAGGGATGGCTTTGCATGGGGCAGCCTCAGGCTCGGGGATCCCGTCGACGCCGGGTTGAACAGGATACAACTCTAAAGCGCCTCCCCATTCTTTTTGCCATTCCTGGCCGTATGGTAGTGGCATATAGAGAATGTACGATGCGCGCCTGGTTCCAATCACATCGTCGTGGTTGAGCAAGTGACACCCCTTCGTATATGAGTTGACAGACATGTCTTGTTTCGTTCCGGAGAGTGGTCCACACCCAGTGATAGACTGGATGAACTTGCGGAACTCTGGAGAATAGAGTGCATCGCGGAGAGTAAGGAGGTTTGGAAAAAGTGCAAGTTGAGCCTCGGAGAGATACGAGAGTGATGCAAGGTCCCCGGTTTGATTGACCTAGCAAAAAGATGTTGGATAACAGATAGTCCGTTAGGATCGAGACTCACCTTATATATGTCTGTCTCCTTCTCAGTGAAGCTAAGTTCCTTGATACATTCGTCCTTTACATTCTTGAGAAGATCGTCCTGGAAAAGCTTTTCGATAATCGCATATTTGAACGGTTCACTGCTAGCGTAAGCCTGATGCAGCTGCTGCACATTTTCTGGCCCAAATAGACCAGGATGGAAGTGTAACTCGTGGTCCACGGTCGATGTCGACGAGGAATGGGTTGTTTTCAATCGCTTTAGAAGCGAATCGGAAGAAAGCTCAGGCGAAGGAGACCGCTCGCGAACATGGGCCATTATCTTTTGAAAGTTTGGTGAGGAGGCGACGCCTCGAGGGTTTCCAGTTGGTCAGTCGAATGACCTCGTGTAAATTTGAAATTTGGATCTACATCAGTCTACATCATGATAATCCTCGCTAAAATCATCGATATCATTATCGCATTTAATGTAATTAATCGCTAGGAACCACTATTCTCTACACTTCGAATGGTTCCCCCCTCGAATACAAACTCTGCGCTGCATGACCCTAGTAGATACCCAATCTAACCCTTTCCTGCTTCCTGATCATGTGCACATTTCGCAGATACGTTGCGGCTCTCGCCCACTTCGTGTGTCGTCTTTCCGTTTGATTGGGCACAAAGTCAGTGTCGAACGTGGACAGAATGTTCCGTTCAAGTTCGGTAAGACGGAGGAGAGGAAGGTAGCGACAGCCAACGGATTCTCGATTAACGATACCCCGACAGAGAGTGTGGTGATCTTAGTATTGATTACACCATCCCCTGGTACCATGGGTGTCACAACACCGTACGAGGTGGCGTCCATGCTGATGCCAAGAGTGCACAAGTGTGAGCAACGCATAAGCAGACTGGCATGAGAACGCGCTGGCGTTATCCACGTGCCCTCATCGTCCAGGCATAATTTTATGAGCTTGGGCCACGATTTCGCCGCGTCAATTTCACCTGTACATAGGCTATAGCTAAGGGGCTCTCACCTACTAAGTAATACGACGTCCTTACTAGTAACCGGTTCATGACGTCAGGAAGAAAGTAGTGGCGCCATGATAGTGTATTACTAGTTGAGTATTTTCAACAAGCCTTGCAACGCTAGCCTTGGTCGTGGATATATATATGGCCATTCCTTCAGATCTGAGAGGTATTAGCAAATGAAAATATGTGGATGCAGCACTGGCAGGTGGCAGGGTAAATGTAATGATCATCGGGCACAGCCGGAGCTTGGCGCCGTGGCGCTGCAAGGCATTGCGCCTCGGGTCTCTTTTCTTCTGCACGCATCTTCGCCTCAGCATCAAGATCCTGCGTCTCCCATTTTGAGAATGCACGGAACCCCGGACTAGGTGGACCCTCGACCACACCAGGAATTAATGGTGGCCCAGCCAGTCTAGAGATGATTTTCGTCCACCAGACTGCGAGAACAGCGGACAAGTGCTGCGGAATAAATCTCTATAAAGGGGTTTGACCAAATACCATCTGAGCGCTGATCACTCCCGCTTTTCATACAAGTTCAGCCTGACGATTGTGATAGCTTTCGTTGTGCCCATACACACGCATGTATTTCATCATGTATAAGTAACTTACCCGCACCTATGAATCAAGCTTGTTGCATGATGAACGATGCTAAAGTTTCTAGCACTTGCACGACCTACCGTGACACGTTCCTACAAAGCTCAATTATAACTTGGACGTGGGTGAATGATTAGCGCTGTCTTGTCAAGGGTATTTGAGTGCTTGTCAAATGGTTATACCGCCTATTCTCCCTTCCCTCTAATTCTTGCATCCATTTCCCTCAGGCTGATCCCAATCTTTGACTGTTCGCAATGAACGACGATCACAGGCTGAAACCTGCTCCAGAGCCATCTGGATCCAGAGAAGCAACTGCTGGCGAGATCTCGGTACGTGCACTCATGGGATCACTATCGACGAGCGCTAATAACATCGTCGCTGCTCTGACGCATCCTTCATCCAGAGCCAGCCCCATAGCGGATTCTGTCGAGCCCTGCGGAAATTTAAGAAGAATGTGACTAAAAAAGTTTCTGTACGTCGACCTGAATGCTGGGGGAGCAGGAATATAGCTGATATTGTGCAGAAGCGCTTCAAGCGCTCCCGGCACCAAACCCCTGCTGTCCAGAACGCCGATCATGAAGGTGCTTCATCCAATCAGAACATTGGGGTAAGTAGTCATTATTTTCATCCTGAACTTGCCTGAGGCACAGCCAGGATGCGTCGCCTCTGCATCCTTCCGATGGTGACGAGCCTGTCACACCTGAGAATCCCAGTGGCTGTGCGAACCAAGGAGCGCCCGGAGATTCTGCTTTGAAGGTATTTACACCAAAAGATTTATTTTCGTCTCTGACTTCTGGTGGGCGCACAGGATCAGGCTGCTTCGGCTGGCTTGGAGGAAGGTCCTGATCCCCAATTAGTCGACGCTAAACTTCGAAGTGCCCGTAAGGGTGCGGAAAGTATGAGAGTACTCGGAGGACATGTCACTTCTGTGGCATCCGTAGCCGAGAAAGGCCCAGCAGGTCTCGCTGATGTAGACAATTTCCAGGCCACCTATCTTCAACCACTAAAAATTTTCAACATTGTCATTAAGAATCTTGCGAATGTATGGGCCACTCTTCTTGGTAGGAAGCGAGCTAATCAAATTGCATAGGTACATCCTTATGCGAAGATGGCGCTGGGTGCACTGTCTGCTGCATCCGAAGTGCGTATAATTTTCCCTTCCTGTTCAACAGTTCTTGATCCTATGCAGATTATTCTCGCTCAAACCGAACGCGACCAATCAGTACAATCCCTTCTCGAGAAATTAGAAGAAGTCTACGACTTCATGTCGCAAAAGGACACTCTCAGCCAGATCTCATCCCAGCGCAGTATCGCTGGACGGATCGCCCAGCAGACTCTAGAGTGCGCGGGTTTCATCAGAGACTACTCGAAGAAAAAGAGTTTTTGTAAGTCATCAAACTATTGCACTCCGCATATTGTGAATCTTATATCATCATCACAGGGGAGAGACTCGGGAAACATGTTGTCTCGGAGACGAATGATCTGATTACACGATACAACGACGCTTTGGAAAAACTTATGCAACAATTTCGGGACCAAGCTATTCGGGACATAGCTAATCTTGTCCAGTGCACGAGTAAGGATTTGGACGCGTTCCTGACTTTACACCCACTCATATCGCTTCAGGTGACGAACTGGGTGTCAAACTGGAGCTTAGCAATATGCCTTACGCAGGAGGTGCAGGATTAGATATCATGAAACAATGCCTACCAGGGACGCGCACCGCCATTCTCACCCAGACCACTGAATGGATCCATGACAGTGAAGGTGCTGCTCAACGTGTGCTGTGGCTATCTGGCCCTGCAGGTACGGGCAAATCAGCCATCGCTCACACAATCGCCAATTGGTCCAAGGACTTTGGATGGCTTGGTTCATGTTTCTGCTTCGACCTTAAAGACGACAAGCGTCATGAAAAAGTCTTCTCCACTATCGCTCGCGACCTCGCTGACCGTGATCCGGAGATGAGACGAACATTGGCGAATGCAGTTGATGCAAATGTGCTGAAGAACACGACAGATATCACCCAGCAGTGGCACAAGCTGTTTATGGAACCGCTAAAGAAGTCTTCTGGGTCGAGTGTGGAACCCGTCTTAATTGTGATCGAAGCGCTGGATGAGAGCGGCGGAGTCGACACACGGCGTAACCTTCTCCGCATACTTGCCGGTACACTGGAGCGTGAAGGTCTTCCCCAAATCACCGAACTCCCATCCAACTTTCGGATTCTCGTTACGTCTCGCCCGCTTCACGATGTCAATTTTGAATTTCAGGATGCTCCACATATCCGACGGTTATCCATGGAGGACATTCCAGAAGAAGTCTCAAAGAAAGACATCCACGCTTTTGTGTCTCACGAGCTGAAAAAGGTGTCTGGTCTTGGGAAGAAAGAGTTTGGAGACCTCGCTGAGAAAGCTGGTGGACTATTCGAGTGGGCGCGTCTTGCATGCAGATACATCCAACCACCCCCTCCTGGGATATCCCCAATTGAGCGCTTCGAGGTCATCGTGTCCCACGATCATGGAAAGCAGGAAAACTTGTTGTATGGCATGTATAACTTCATTTTAGGAGACAATATGGGGAAGGACAGATACACAAAAGCCGAGGATTATCAGCAAGCGCTAGCGAGGTTTCATTCCGTGATGGGACAAATACTTGGCTCAGCCGAACCCCTCGCTTTAGATGCCTTGAATGCCATGCGGCGCCGTTTTCCAGACAAAAGCGAGCACTACGACGTGGAACTCGTGGTAGCACATATGGGATCGCTGCTAAGCGGCACCACCAACTCATCTAGCCCCATCCGACCCCTTCACGCATCCTTTCGCGAATTCCTGAGAGAGAAATCATCCAGCGGAGACTTTTTCGTGGAGATACCGAACACGCAACGCAATCTCGCTTTTGCGTCACTTCGTGTGATGGAAGACAACCTTCGCTTCAACATATGTGATTTAAAGTCTTCATACCTCCCCAATAGCAAAGACATCGGACTGCCGGAGCGAGTCGCAATATGCATCCCCTCACAACTGTCCTATTCCTGTCGATTTTGGGCTACGCACGTACGGGAAACGGGCTTCGACACGGAGCTCGCGAAGGAAATAGGATCATTCTTCGACAACGAGCGGCTACTCTTCTGGATTGAAGCACTCGGCCTTCTCAATGAACTCAGCGTTACAGTTGCTGTGCTTCCACTCATGTCCCAGTGGCTGAAGGTGAGAACAGAGTCCCCTCGTGGTGTGAGGCAAAGTGCTTACGCGCGATTACAGGGCCGAATTGGCTATCAAAATGTCTTGTCCACTGCAATGGATGTGCAGAGATTCGTCCAGGTGTTTGGTGGGATGATTTTGCACAGCACGCCCCATTTGTATGTCTCAGCACTGCCATTTTCCCCCACCAAGTCCACGATAGCTACAAAGTTTACTACAAGATTTCCGAACACTCTTCGTCTGATACATGGACGTCTTGTGAACTGGACGGCTATCCAGACCGTGATCAGTGGGCACACTGGTTCGGTTTGGTCAGTCTCGTTCTCCCCCGATGGCACTCGCATCGTGTCTGGTTCTTTGGATTGCACTGTCCGGCTGTGGAATGCAGCGACGGGGGAGCCATTGGGCGAGCCCTTCCGAGGGCACACTGGTCCGGTTTTGTCAGTCTCGTTCTCCCCCGATGGCACTCGCATCGCGTCTGGTTCTTGGGATTCCACTGTCCGGCTGTGGAATGCAGCGACGGGGGAGCCATTGGGCGAGCCCTTCCAAGGGCACACTAATCCGGTTTGGTCAGTCTCGTTCTCTCCCGATGGCACTCGCATCGTGTCTGGTTCTTTGGATTGCACTGTCCGGCTGTGGAATGCAGCGACGGGGGAGCCATTGGGCGACCCCTTCCAAGGGCACACTCATCCGGTTTCGTCAGTCCCGTTCTCCCCCGATGGCACTCGCATCGTGTCTGGTTCTTGGGATTCCACTGTCCGGCTGTGGAATGCAGCGACGGGGGAGCCATTGGGCGAGCCCTTCCAAGGGCACACTGATTCGGTTAGGTCAGTCTCGTTCTCCCCCGATGGCACTCGCATCGTGTCTGGTTCAGACGATTCCACTGTCCGACTGTGGAATGCAGCGACGGGGGAGCCATTGGGCGAGCCCTTCCAAGGGCACACTGATCCGGTTTTGTCAGTCTCGTTCTCCCCCGATGGCACTCGCATCGTGTCTGGTTCTTCGGATTGCACTGTCCGGCTGTGGAATGCAGCGACGGGGGAGCCATTGGGCGAGCCCTTCCAAGGGCACACTAATTCGGTTTCGTCAGTCTCGTTCTCCCCTGATGGCACTCGCATCGTGTCTGGTTCTTGGGATTCCACTGTCCGGCTGTGGAATGCAACGACAGGGGAGCCATTGGGTGAACCCTTCCAAGGGCACACTGGTTCGGTTGAGTCAGTCTCGTTCTCTCCTGATAGCACTCGCATCGTATCTGGTTCTTCGGATTCCACTATCCGGCTGTGGAACACAGCAATAATGCAACAATTCCAGGAGCACACTGAGATCCACTCTTCCGCATTCTCTTTGGATAGATGTTCCGCCACACCTTGCAAACAGGATACTACCATGCCAACCAATACTTGGAACAATCGCGTCATTTGCTTCGCATCAAGCTTGGAGCATGCATTGCACAACCCTGCCGAGCTGCTCGAGGGCACCTCTCATCATGATCTTAATTCAACCCCTATCTTGCTCAAAGATGATGTCTCGCTGAAAGATGACGGATGGATGGTAGGACCCGATCGTCGGCTACTTTTCTGGGTCCCGCCCGCTTCCCGACAACAACCATTTTATTCTCCTGGGATTGCATTTGTGATACCCGGTGGGCTAGAGATTGATTTGAGTCGCATGGCTCATGGAGAACAATGGTCGAACTGCCGAGATGCGTGAGTTCTCAGCCTCGATCGTCCCTTGTAGTTGCTAAGTCAATACTTCTAGCCCTACTTGCCGATGATTCAATTGTAGTAATACCGAGTGTACAGTTTCATTCTACGTCAATCCTACGTCTGGCACCGAGCTTGAATTTGACGTTGTTCAAGTAAGATGAGCTGCTGGAAACCAAACAGGGTATGACTCCAAATACTACTGGTAGTTCGTCTGAGCGCATACTGAGGACTATGAATCAAGTGATTCCATCAGAAATGAAGTTGCGCCCTAGTCGCCTTTATAAACATGTAGTCCCAGTCGATGATCAAAACCCCCTGAGCCTGTGTAATCATCGGCGCAGAGATGATCGATGATCTTCGATTCGAATCTTATGGTAGCCTAGCCTCCTTTCCTGTGCAGCATCATCCTCCAATGACTCTCGGTGATTCAGTACCCCAAATACGGGTACTGATTGATTCGTAGTACTCACTTAAGTCTGACCAGAGTCTGATAAGATTATTACTGACAGCAGGGGTCGTGAACGTCACGGTGCAACAAGAACCTGTATAGATCGAGTCGCCAGCAAGTCTCCGCCAGGGTTCAAGCAAAGAACGTGCACGGCTATGCATCCCCACTATTATTGCGGCTGGAGAGCGAACGCTTCAGCAAGAACATGGCACAAAATCTAGTGCGCGCCACAAGCTTACCAGGTGCCGTAGAGTAACGACGGCGCGATGAGGCGAGATGGCGATGGTATGCTGCGCTAGCACTCTTGGAGCCTTGTTCCTCAGGATGCTTCAAAATTCGTCCTCCACGACGTTTTTCATTGAACACAATCAACAAGATTCTTTAATTGATACGACGTCGATTCCTAGTGTTATTGTTCCGATACCAATTAGCTCAAATCAAGTTCGACGGGTATTGGAGGCCCACGAAGTTCTCTTTCATGCTTCTCGCCAAAACGAACTGGTAGAAGATGCTAATACTCCCAGCTTGGTGATGGGTACCCTCCCCTGACGAGCCTCATATTTGTGCAATGCTCCGGCCGGCCAGGATCCCTTTGAACAATACCGGAGGGATTCCATAATTAGGTATATGTATTCTTGATGTGTTCTTGAATTTACCCGACATCGAGTCGCACTTAGGATGTTGCAAGACATATCGGCCCAAGTAACACAGCTGTACAACCGTGGTCTCGCATACACATCTGTTACGCAAGCTATCGCCGGATGCTCTAGCGAAATCGACCGTTATCTGGCGGATTATTCGGTTGTTTTCTACTCTCTCAAAATTGTTTGCATGCACTCATTATTCCGCTTTGTTAGTGGTCATCTCAGATGCAAAGTCAATATAACATCCACGAAGTGTTGGAAATTCTACGGAGGCAGCAGGATTCTGTAGGACCGACTGTAACGAAGTTAACCGCGGCTGTCACATTTGGCTGTGTGACACTGGTAGACGCAACAGGCCACCTACCATGAACTTGAAGGTGATCGCTCGATCTCTGCAGATATACCTACTAGTGAATTTCCCGTTTCTTCATCTACTCTCCATTCGAATTTATCACTACTAGTGCACCCTGGTTCTCTGGCGAGGGAGCCAGATATCAAAGTCTCCATCGACATTTCCTCCACCACATCCTCCCGTGGCGATTCCTCTGCCCGCAAAGCTTCTGACATGGCTCAGACATTTTTGCCTTTCGTCCAGGGCGTTGCAAGTGCCATTCCAGTTGCCGGTCCTCCGATGCAAGCTACTATTAGTGGATTATTGTCAATCCTTCAAGCCATAGATGTGAGAGCTTATTCTATTACCAGGATGTTTCTTTGACTCGAAGGCCGTCACAGAGACGTAGTCAGAATAGGGCGGACCTAGACCGCCTGGCGTCACGACTCCATCGACTAAGTTCGCCATCAAGACCATCAACTTGGTCTGCCCCACGCAGGTCAGGTTCAAGTTTCGATACGAGAGACGCGGAAAGGAAATGGTGAAGTTCAATATTCGACTCCGCGACGAAACGTGCCATCAATGCCTTCATCGTGCGTGTTTGAAGGTAAACTAGGTTAAGGAACTTTGTGAGGTAGGAGATATATTCTCTTCGGGGCGGTCCATCTGAACGGGGTGGCTCTAAGTCGGGGTATGCAATAAAAGTGGTAGAACTAGATGTCTGTAGTAGTCCCGATGAGACCCATGCACAAACAATACATCTTCCAAGACATACCAACTGTTCTTGTGAGCTTTTGAGCTCAGTAACTGCCTTCTTCTACGGAATGGAAGCCTTTGCCTGATTGCACTTCGAATAAAATGAATTGATTCCAGTTTGGAGGGATGGCTTTGCGTGGTGCAGCCTCAGGCTCAGGGATCCCGTCGACGCCGGGTTGAACAGGATACAACTCTAAAGCACCTCCCCATTCTTTTTTCTATTCCTGGCCGTATGGCAGTGGCATATAGAGGGTGTACGACACGCGCCTGGTTCCAATCACATCGTCGTGGTTAAGCAGATGACACCCCTTCGTGTACGAGTTGGAACTTGACAGACATGTCCTGTTTCGTTCCGGAGAGTGGTCCACACCCAGTCACAGACTGAATGAACTTGCGGAACTCTGAAGAATAGAGTGCATCGCGGAGAGTAAGGAGGTTTGGAAAAAGTGCAAGTTGAGCTTCAGAGAGGTACGAGAGTGATGCGAGGTCCCCGGTTTGATTGACCTAGGAAAAAGATGTTGAATAATAGATAGTCAAGTTGGATCGAGGAGGCTCACCTTGTATATGTCTGTCTCCTTCTCAGTGAAGCTCAGTTCCTTGATACATTCGTCCTTCACATTCTTGAGAAGATCGTCCTGGAAAAGCTTTCGATAATCGCATATTTGAACGGTTCACTGCTAGCGTAAGCCTGATGCAGCTGCTGTACATTTTCTGGCCCAAATAGACCAGGATGGAAGCGTAACTCGTGGTCCAGCGTGGTCCACGGTCGATGTCGACGAGGAATGTGTCGTTTTTAATCGCTTTAGAAGTGAATCCGAAGAAAGCTCAGTCGAAGGAGACCGCTCGCGAACATGGGCCATTATCTTCTCTTGAAAGTTTGGTGAGGAGGCGACACCTCGAGGTTTCCTCGGTCGAATGACCTTGTGTAAATTTGAAATTTGGATCTGCAATGCGCATCAGTCTACATCATGATAATCGCGCTAAAACCATCGATATCATTATCGCATTTAATGTAACACTGCAGAGAAACGCGCCATCGCTAGGAACCACTATTCTGACTTCGAATGGTTCCCTCCTGAAATACAAACTCTGCGCTACATGACCCTAGTACGGATCCCCAATCTGGCCCGCTCCTGCTTCCTGATCATGTGTACATCTCGCAGATACGTTGCAGTCCTCGCCCACTTCGCGTGACGTCTTTCCGTTTGACTTGGCATGAAGTCGGTGTCGACCTTGGACAGAATGTTGTTCAAGTTTGGTAAGACGGAGGAGAGGAAGGCGGCGACAGCCAACGGATTCTCGATTAGCGATGCCCCGACAGAGAGTGTGGTGATCTTAGTATTGATTACACCACCCCCTGGTACCTGGGGCGTCACAACATTATATGAGGTGGCGTCCATGCTGATGCCAAGAGTGCACAAGTGTGGGCAATGCAAGAGCAGACTAGCAAACCCGTGCAGGGTGATTTGAGGACGCACTGGTGATGTCCACCTGCCCTCATCGCCCAGACGTAATTTTGTGAGCTTGGACCACGATTTCGCAGCTCTGATGAGGTCTTGGTCGTTTATAGTGAGGTTGCTAGAGGTTGATGGAAGCGTTAGTTCTTCCAACGCGCAAAATGAGAACAGGGGCATGATTTCGGTGATTGTAAGCAGCCAATCACAAGTCAAATCGAGTGAGAGAGCTTGCACTTGTTGTGCTGTTACACGAGAGGCAAGGAGTAAAAGAAAGGTTTCGTTGCTGTAAGATCGCGGGATGTTCCCGAGAGAAATGTAAACACTTCTCGCAGGTATCCACGTTGCTTCAAGGAAGGGTACGCATAGCTCGGGACTCCGAGCGCGGATTGTGAGATGGCGAAGATGGTTTGAAAATGTGGTCGGACTGTATTTGAAGAAGCCCCTATTCTGTGATAGAAATGAGAGTTGCAAGTGCTCGAGGGATGGAAGAGTGGAGAGGCGGAATAAGGCAGGTCCATCAACCGCTTCTGTGCTAAGGGTCTTGAGCTGGTGCCAACCACATACAACTGCTGTTGAAACTGGGACGGATGAAGCTGGATCTAAGCCAGTGGTGGAAAAGGATTTCATGAGGGGACATGTAACTCCCAGGTTTGGTAAAATCGAACGCATAAACAAGTTATCCATCGCGTGTAGATGAAGCTCAGTCAGGGTGGGGCTGAGAAGGTCGGAAAGGAGGCGAGTGTATTCATAGCTACTGTCCGACCAGAACAGTTTTTCAAGGCGAGGGAGTAGGAAAGGCCAGGGATGACCGCAGAGGGTATGTACGAGTTCTAGAGAGAAGTCATCCATACGCATGACACTCCGCCCCACGCCAAGAGCTCGAACTCTCGTAAGGTACTTTTCGATAGCCCGCCAATGAGACTCTTGAACGCGACCATTTAGCCTCTACATATTGTTTGAGATAGAGTGTAATCGTGGAGCACCGGAAACTTACCAGACCATGACGACGTCGTGACCATACGTGCCTGAGGAGACATGCTACTACTGGGCTGAGAGTGTCTATGTGAGCCCAAAGTACATCCAAAGCAGGATCCGAGAATGTGCGACAAGTCCTAGCGAGACGTGCAAGAGTCTGGCGTCGAATATCTACGTCGTTGACTCTGGATGGTTGCTGGATGTCAAGCGTGATGTCTTCATAATTGTTTAGGGCCGAAAAAATGTTCCGCAGAATTTCATAAATATGGAGGCAGGAGTGCATGAGTAGTGCGAGTACATAGGCTAAGGGGCGTTCACCTACTAATGCGACGTCCTTATCCGGGTTATGACGTCAGGAAGAAAGCGTTCTCTGCGGCACGGTAGTGTATTATTAGTTGAGTATCTTCAACAAGCCTTGCATAATATTGCGGCTAGCCTTGATCATGGCCTCGGATAGCAGGAGACAACACGATGCTGAGGCTTAGTGCTTGGTTGTAGTCAGTTATTGGTCAGTTAGCAGTATTATGCGGCACTGGCAGAGACTTGCAACCTGACACCAGCCAGGGATAAGACATGGTGACTTATGATAGAAATAGACCAAAGCACCGCATCCTCGAACACACCACTGTCGGACCACGTCTGGGAAATTTGGCAAATCGTGAAATAGAAGATGCCGGCATACCAATCTGTACGAATATGTGCATGTCATTGCCAATCAAGTCGGACTGTACAGCCATTCTGAATTCAGGCTTCTTCAAACATACCATCCTCGAACGTCTCGACCATTGGATATTATAAGGGAAATAACCTCTAGTCTCTCCCAATTTATTACTAATATTTGCCACTCCCTCGAGCTCCTCCCTTCGCACCGCGATCGTGGTCTCTCGTCCGTTGTCCTCTTTATTTGGGTTGCGTCCGTCGCCCTCTTCCTGTTCTGACGCCCGTTTCATTGGCACGCATCCTTCGTCCTGTCGTGTTTGGATTTCGTGTCCTCCGAGTCCTCACGGTTCACTCTCGGACCATTGGTTTGGACTGATGTAATGATTTCTCTCATAGCATACGCTGCGTGTACCCCGTAGTCTGTCCGCACCCAAAATACACAGGAGCGACTTGCGCATTTTCTCTCGTATGCAGGATCTCTTCTCCCTCTATTCCAGAGCCTCGTTAGCGCGAGATATTACTGGCCTCCGGGTTGACTTCCGAAGACGAATGTGCTGCTTGCAGTCCCTACCGAAGCCAACTGCACTAGGCATAGGTACCGACGGTGTTCTGAAGACCGATTGCTGTTGCATTGGGCCATTTGAAGTATCCGTCGAAGGTTGACTGAACACAGAAGACCCGAATGCAAACACGGGCGTCGATGATTCAGATGCAGTAGAAGCACTGGTGCCGGACGGAGAAGGCACTGTAGTGTCTTCCTTCCTCCCAAATGAAAGGATAGAACAAGTGGTATTGCTTGATGGAGGAGCATTAATGGTGACGGCTTCGTGCTATCTGCAAGCTTGGTTGACCATCGCCAAACGCGAAAGCACCTGGTTGAGCACTGCCAAATACAGCAGGAGTTATAGAAAACGCATTGCTCGACGTGACATTGTTAAATACACTCTTGGGAGTCGATGTAGACGTGCTTGCATCACCACTCAGCTGTGGAGCACTGGACTTCTCAAAGATATTGCTCGAGACGCCACTTGTATTTGCACCAAAATCACCGAAGACTGCAGGTGCAGAAGCACCAGCCCTGCTTCCATCTTTCTTGGCAGCATCTGCGGCGCCAAAGATCGATAATGGCGCGTCCGCTTTCTTCGCATCACCACCCGATGATATAGCTGTGGCAAAGGCTGATGTCCCCGGTAGCTCAGCGTTTGGCTTGGGTGCCATGAAGCATCTGTAAAGCCAGATGCTGAACCACCGGAGAGCGGTCCAAACAAAAAGTCTAGGCCTCTCAGTCTCTGCTCCTTTGGGCTTGGGCGCTTCCAAAGTCCACCAGAACCAGATACTGATGCGGATGTGGGCTAATTGAACGGGAACTTCTGTGGTGAACTCGCTCGCAAGGGACTGGATCGGGGAGTAGCCGCCGAGAACATGAATAAAGGATTAGTTTGTTTTGCAGCGTCGGCAGCAGTTGCGGTAGGGAGAGATGTAGTAGCAGGCTTCTTCACAAAGTCAAACTTCAGCGGGATATGTGCGGATGGAGCAAAAGCCGGGTTAGCGTTGCTTGAACGTGCCCCAAATATCGACGGTGGGTTGGCTTGTGTCGATGTAGATGTTGGCACCAAGGAAGGTAGTACACTTCCTTTTGCGATGGGGAACGGTGCCGGTTTGTTGGTTTACGTGCTTGATGCCGCAGGTGCAGAGAAGGATTGGTAGATGCGGAAGCAGGTACAGTGAGCAGCAGTGTGCAGGCGTAGGGCCAGAAGACAATGAAGGAACTGCAGACTGTGCAGTTGCTGCAGGTGCAGGTGTCGAACGTACATAGGTGCGGTGGTCGTGGTGGTAGGAGGTTGTGGGAGGAGTTGTATCGTGGGTAGGTCAAATGAAGACACCGGTGCTGCAGGGGCCATTTGTGGAGTAGACGAGGTAGGGAATGAGCTGGGTTTATTGGCAGCTGGAGCTGAGGCCGCTGGCATAACACTTGCCGATGTGGGAGACTCAGCAGGAGTAGTGAACTTTGAGGCGACCATGTTTGTTGAGGAATTACCAAATGAAAGTGATGATGATGAGTCGGCTTTGTCTCAGTACGTGGATGCAGGCTGCAGCAGAGGTGGCGGGGTAAAATGAATGATCATCGATCATCGGGCACAGCCGGAGCTAGGCATCGTGACGCTGTTCAAATTCAAAAGGGCCTTTGATTGCGCCACGGGTCTCTCTTTTCTTCTGCCCGAGCATCCGTGCACGTATCTTTGCCTTTACCTCAGCCTCAAGATCCCGCTTCTCCCATTTTGAGAATGCACAGAACCCCGGACGGCCACACCAGGAATTAATGGTGGAGCCAGTCTACCAGAGATGGGGTTCGTCCCAAGTTCGTCCCCCAGACTGCGAGAACAGCGGACAAGTGCTGCAGAATAAATCTATATGAATAGGTTTGACCAAACACATACCATCTGAGCGCTGATCAGAGGCTCCCGCTTTCCATACAAGTTCAGCCTGATGATTGTGATAGCTTTCGTTGTGCCCATACACACGCATGTATTTCATCATGTATAAGTAACTTACCCGCACCTATGAATCAAGCTTGTTGCATGATGAACGATGCTAAAGTTTCTAGCACTTGCACGACCCACCGTGACACGTTCCTACAAAGCCCAATTATAACTTGGACGTGGGTGAATGATTAGCGCTGTCTTGTCAAGGGTATTTGAGTGCTTGTCAAATGGTTCTACTGCCTATTCTCCCTTCCCTCTAATTCTTGCATCCATTTCCCTCAGGCTGATCCCAATCTTTGACTGTTCACAATGAGCGATGACCACAAGCTGAAACCTGCTTCAGAGGCTGGGTCCAGAGAAGCAACTGCTGGCGAGATCTCGGTACGTGCACTCATGGGATCACTATCGACGAGCGCTAATAACATCGTCGCTGCTCTGACGCATGTTTCATCCAGAGCCAGCCTCGTAGCGGATTCTGTCGAGCCCTGCGGAAATTTAAGAAGAATGTGACTAAAAAAGTTTCTGTACGTCGACCTGAATGCTGAGGGAGCTAGAATATAGCTGGTATTGTGCAGAAGCGCTTCAAGCGTTCCCGCCACCAAACCCCTGCTGTCCCGAACGCCGATCATGAAGGTACTTCATCCAATCAGAACATTGGGGTAAGTAGTTATTATTTTCATCCTGAACTTCTCTGAGGCACACCCAGAATACGTCACCTCTGCACCCTTCCGACGGTGACAAGCCTGTCACATCTGAGAATCCCAGTGGCTGTGTGAACCAAGGAGCGCCCGGAGAACCTGCTTTGAAGGTATTCACGCCAAACGATTTATTTTTTGTCTCTGACTTCTGGTGGGCGCACAGGATCAGGCTGCTTCGTCTGGCGTAGAGGAAGCTCCCGATCCCCAATCAGTTCATGCTGGACTTCGGGGTGCCCGTGAGGGGGCGGAAAATATGAGACAACTCGGGAAACATATCACTTCAGTGGCATCTGCAGCCAAGGATGGCCCAGCAGGTCTCGCTGATGTAGATAATTTCCAGACCACATATCTCCAACCACTCAGAATTTTTAATACTGTCATTAAGAATCTTGCGAATGTATGGGCCACTCTTCTTGGTTGGAAGCGAGCTAATCAAGTTGTATAGGTACACCCGTATGCAAAGGTGGCGCTGGGTGCGCTGTCTGCTGCATCCGAAGTGCGTGTAGTTTCGCCCTTCTGTTTAGCAGTTGTTGACTCTATGTAGATTATTCTCGCTCAAACGGAACGCGACGAATCGGTCCAATCTCTTCTCGACAAATTAGAAGAAGTCTACCGCTTCATGTCACAAGATGACACTCTTGGCCAGATTTCATCCAAACACAATACCGCTGGACGGATCGCCCAGCAGACTCTAGAGTGCGCGCGTTTCATCAGGGACTACTCGAAGACAAAGAGCTTTTGTAAGTCATGAGCCATTGCTTTCTACATATTATGAATCTTGTACCATTATCACAGGGAAGAGACTCGGGAAAAATGTTATCTCGAATACGAATGATCTAATTGCACAGTACAACAAGGCTTTGGATGACCTTATGCAACAATTTCGGGACCGAGCTGTTCGTGACGTAACCGATCTTGTCCGGTTCACAAGTGAGGATTTGGGCGTGCTTCTGACTTTGCATCTACTCATACCCTTTCAGGTGACGAACTGGGTGAGAAAATGGATCTCAGCGATATGCCTTACGCAAAGGGCGCGGGACTAAATACTACCAAACAATGCCTACCAGAGACGCGCACGGCCATTCTCTCCCAGATCACTGAATGGATCAACGATAGTGGAGGTGCTACCCAGCGTGTGCTGTGGCTATCTGGCCCTGCAGGCACGGGCAAATCAGCCATCGCTCACACAATCACTAAGTGGTTCAAAGACTCGGGAGGGCTTGGTTCGTGTTTTTGTTTCGACCGGGACCTTAAGGACGACAAGCGTCATGAAAAAGTCTTCTCCACTATCGCTCACGACCTCGCTGACCGTGATCCGGAGATGAGACGAACATTGGCGAATGCAGTCAAAAATGAAACCGCGCTCAAGAACACGAAAGATATCATCCAGCAGTGGCGCGAGTTGTTTGTGGAACCGCTAAAGAAGTTTTCTGGGTCGAGCGTGGGGCCTGTCTTGATTGTGATCGAAGCGCTGGATGAGAGCGGCGGAGTCGAGACACGGCATCACCTTCTCCGCATACTTGCCGGTAAACTTCAGGACAAAGGTCTTCCCCAAATCACCGAACTCCCTCCCAACTTTCGGATTCTCGTCACCTCTCGCCCACTTCGTGATATCAACGATGCGTTTCGCGGTGCTCAGCATATTCTACCTTTATCCATGGACGACATTCCAGAAGCAGTTGCAAAGAGCGACATCCGTACTTTTGTGTCTGAAGAGCTGAAAGAACTGCCAGATATTGGGCACAAAGAGTTTGCAGTCCTGGCTGACAAAGCTGATGGACTATTTGAGTGGGCGCGTCTTGCATGCGAACACATCCAAAAATCGTCTGGTTACTCACGCGCAATTGAACGCTTCAATGCTGTCGTGTCCCACGATCATGGAGAGCGGAAAAAGCTGTTGTATGGCATGTATAGGTTCATTTTAGGAGAAAACATGGGGAAAGACAGCACAGCAACCGAGTATCAGCGAGCGCTAGCAAGGTTTCATTCCGTGATGGGACAAATACTCGGCTCAGCCGAACCTCTCCCTTTAGATGCCCTGAATGCCATGCGGCGCCGTTTTCCAGACCAGAGCGAGCGGTACGAGGTGGAACTCGTGGTAGCAGATATGGGATCCCTGCTGAGCGGTACCACCAATTCATCTATCCCCATTCGACCCCTTCACGCATCCTTCCGCGAATTCCTGACAGACAAAACATCCAGTGGAGACTTTTTCGTGGAGATATCGAACGCGCAAAGCAATCTTGCTTTTGCGTCACTTCGGGTGATGGAACACGACCTTCGCTTCAACATATGCGATTTAAAGTCTTCATACCTCCCCAATAGCAAAGACACCGAGCTGCCGCATCGAGTCGCAACATGCATTCCCTCACATCTGTCCTATTCCTGTCGATTTTGGGCTACGCACGTACGAAAAGTGGACTTCGACACGGAGCTCGCAAAGGAAATAGAATCATTCTTCGACAACGAGCGGCTACTCTTCTGGATTGAAACACTCGGCCTTCTCGATGAGCTAGACGTTGCAGTTGCTGTGCTTCCACTCATTTCCCAGTGGCTGAAGGTGAGAACAGAGTCCCCTGGTGGTGTCAGGCGAAGTGCTTACGCGTGAATACAGGGCCGAATTAGCTATCAACATGTCTTGTCCACTGCAATGGATGTGCAGAGATTCGTTCAAGTCTTTGGTGGGATGATTTTGCACAGCACCCCCCATTTGTATGTCTCAGCGCTGCCGTTTTCCCCTATCAAGTCCACGATAGCTACAAAGTTTACTACAAGATTTCCGAACACTCTTCGTCTGATACATGGGCGTCTTGTGAACTGGACGGCTATTCAGACCGTGATCAGAGGGCACACTGGTTTGGTTTTGTCAGTCTCGTTCTCCCCCGATGGCACTCGCATCGTGTCTGGTTCTTCGGATTGCACTGTCCGGCTGTGGAATGCAGCGACAGGGGAGCCATTGGGCGACCCCTTCCGAGGGCACACTAATTCTGTTTGGTCAGTCTCGTTCTCCCCCGATGGCACTCGCATCGTGTCTGGTTCAGAGGATTGCACTGTCCGGCTGTGGAATGCAGCGACGGGGGAGCCATTGTGTGAGCCCTTCCGAGGGCACACTCGTTCTGTTTTCTCAGTTTCGTTCTCCCCCGATGGCACTCGCATCGTGTCTGGTTCAAGGGATTCCACTGTCCGGTTGTGGAATGCAGTGACGGGGGAGCTATTGGGCGAGCCCTTCCGAGGGCACACTCGTTCTGTTTCCTCAGTCTCGTTCTCCCCCGATGGCACTCGCATCGTGTCTGGTTCAGAGGATTCCACTGTCCGGCTGTGGAATGCAGCGACGGGGGAGCCATTACGCGAGCCCTTCCGATGGCACACTGATTTGGTTTGGTCAGTCTCGTTCTCCCCCGATGGCACTCGCATCGTGTCTGGTTCTTTGGATTGCACTGTCCGGCTGTGGAATGCAGCGATGGGGGAGCCATTGGGCGAGCCCTTCCAAGGGCATACTGATTCAGTTTGGTCAGTTTCGTTCTCCCCCGATGGCACTCGCATCGTGTCTGGTTCTTCGGATTGCACTGTCCGGCTGTGGAATGCAGCGACGGGGGAGCCGTTGGGCGAGCCCTTCCGAGGGCACACTCATTCGGTTGAGTCAGTCTCGTTCTCCCCTGATGGCACTCGCATCGTGTCTGGTTCTTCGGATTGCACTGTCCGGCTGTGGAATGCAGCGACGGGGGGAGCCATTGGGCGAGCCCTTCCGAGGGCACACTCTTTCGGTTTTGTCAGTGTCGTTCTCCCCCGATGGCACTCGCATCGTGTCCGGTTCTTGGGATTGCACTGTCCGGCTGTGGAATGCAGCGACGGGGCTGCCATTGGGTGAGCCCTTCCGAGGGCACACTGATCCGGTTTTGTCAGTCTCGTTCTCCCCTGATGGCACTCGCATCGTGTCTGGTTCAAGGGATTCCACTGTCCGGCTGTGGAATGCAGTGACGGGGGAGTCATTGGGCAAGCCCTTCCGAGGGCACACTGATTCAGTTTTATCAGTCTCGTTCTCCCCCGATGGCACTCGCATCGTGTCTGGTTCTTCGGATTGCACTGTCCGGCTGTGGAATACAGCGATAGTGCATCAATTCCAGGAGGACACTGAGATCCACTCTTTGGATAGACGTCCCGCCACACCTTGCAAACAGGACACTCCCATACCAACCAATACTTGGGACAATCGCGTCATTTGCTTCGCATCAAGCTTGGAGCATGCATTGCACAACCCTGCTGATGGATGGATGGTAGGAGCCGATCCTCGGCTGCTTTTCTGGGTACCACCCGCTTACCGAGGAGAACCATTTTATTCTCTTGGGACTGTATTAGTGATACCCAGTGGGCTAGAGATTGATTTGAGTCGCATGGCTCATGGAGACCACTGGTTCAATTGCCGAGATGTGTGAGTTCCTAGCCTTGATCATCCCTCATAGTTGCTAAATCAATACTTCTAGCCCTACTTGCAGATAATCTAATTGTAGTAATACCGTGTGTGCAGTTTTGTTCTATGTCAATCCTACTATCTGGCATCGAGCTTCAATTTGAGGTCGTTCAAGTGAGAATCTGTGAGATGACCCGCCGAAAACCAGACTAGGTATGACTCCTAATACTACTGCTATTTTGTCAGAGCGCATACTGCGGACTATGAATCAACTTGAAGTGATTCCATCAGAAACGTAGTCACAGTTGTGCGCTGGTCGCCCTTACAAACCGGTCGTGTCAGTCGATGATCAAAATCCCTAGAACTTGAATGACCATCGGCACCGAGATCTCATGACCATCGATCTTTGATAATCTTATGGCAGCCCTAGCCTTCTTTCGTGTGAAGCTTCATCTTCCAATGACTCCTAGTGGATCAGTCTCGCACGTATGGGTTCTCCTGCTAATACGACGTCCCTATCCGGGTCATGGCGCCAGGAAGAAAGTGGGCCCTAGTGCCTCGGTCGTGGCGCAATGACAGTGTTTTACTAGTTAAATTTATGAGTATTTCCAACAAGCCTTGGTCGTGGCCTCGACTACACGATGATGCTGAGGCTTAGTACTTGGTAGGAGTTAGTTAGTTAGTAGTATTAGGTAGCAGAGACTTACAACCCGGCACCAGCCGGGGAGACGCTCACCCTGACTTATGATAACAACAGTGCTTGTGCCAAAGCACCACATCCCTGAACACAGAAGAGACACTCAGTCACTGATCAGACAGTTTGGCGAATCGCATGCCGGCATCACCATATGTAGCAAAATATGTACCTTCCTCCTTCTTCAAACATCCATCCTCGAATGTCTCAACCAATATAAGGGAAACAGCATGCAGACAGTCACCAACTTACAAGCCAATTTCATCCCGGCCTCGGATATCATTGGTGCGCTGCAAAATATTGTAAGTACCAAGTCACGGTTAGTTGTGTCAATTAGGAGTAATAAACAATTGCTTCAGCTTGCTCATTCACAACCACTCGTGTGTATAGCAGCTGATCGCTTGTCTGATGCAATAGTGACCATTAGCAGATGCCAGACCTTGAAACTCCATCATGATACTCCAAAGCCTGTTTCCCAAACACCAACCACCCTGTTGAGCTTAGCAAAGGCGAGAGCATCAGCGCCATCGTCAACGAACGCGACCAGCAGCTGGATGCAGTGTTGCGCGATTTCTCAGCTCTGGAAACGGTCACTGTCGGCATCAAAGATCTTCATCAGTCACTCGCCGAACAGCAGTACGAGATCATCCAGTCCAGGCATCTGCACAAGGGATTTATATCGGCTCTCTGGCGCTTGCCAACTGAAACCTCATGCCATATCTTTCACTACTGTCTCCCTAAACGTAAACATTTGTCGCCCGCAGCAAAGCTGGCCCCCGTGCTACTGACCAGAATATGCCGACGGTGGAGGGAGGTTGCTGTAGGTATGCCTGGTTTGTGGTGTAGGTTGTCTGTGGAAGTCGACTACGGAAACTGGCAGTCGGCAGCATTTTTCTATGACTCGTGGCTCGAGAGATCACAAGGACGTCCGCTCTCATTAGCACTCGGGCACTACCCATCGACCAACCAATTACGAAGCCTTCTTCAGCCTTACATCAATCAAATCAGGTCTCTCCTCCTACTTTCCATCAGAGAAAGCCAACTTGAAAGTTTGTTGGAAGACCTACCAGCACTTCAGGAGCTGGTAATAGCAGGGATGAGTCCTTACAGAGCAGCTTTTGTACGATCTATCTCGAAACTTCTGTCCACTATGCGCAGTCTCAAGATCCTTGACGTGAGTCCACCCTTCGACCTCGAGCATATAAATTCTTGCAGTCCCGTGTGGGCCCATCTGACAAATGTCGAAATCACCGTATATTTCGCGAATGGAGTCCTGCTCCTACTCCAATTATGTCTCAATCTCTCCTCGATCACGATCGACGTAACACGTGAACCAAAAAAACCCTTAGAGCCACTTACGCACACCGGAATCCAGACCTTTTGCATCGCCGATACTTATTCTACCACACACCAAGACTTTTTGTCAGACCTCTTCAATGCTCTATCACTGCCCAATTTGCGCGTTCTCAAAGCTCTCAGCGGTGCCAATGCAGTGCCTCATCAGTTGTTGGTGGCATTTTTGGCGCGGTCAAAGTGCCCCCTGGAGAGCCTGATTTTCAGCGGTCGGGTGAGGATGACAGACGTAGAGCGAGCGGAATACGTTGCCCTTATTCCTTCCATTGACATTGTGGAGGATCCTAGTTGCTGATCTTTTACAAGAGACTCGGTCGTTTCAGGTTTCTAGAAATGATGTATTGGCCTGCGCAGTCAATCGTTGCGTATGTTTGTGCCTCTTTCTAGCATCGATGGAGCCATATTACGCATCACGCGCTGGCACTTTATATATGCCACGGGCGCGAGTGGGTCCCTGATCAAACAGTTTTACAAACAAGGTAGCACCTGGCGACGGTCCAGCCTTCGAAGTGGCTACTGAAGAGAACCTTTAGATGACAACAAGTGAATTTAGAATTCATGCCCTGCTCAATCAATATCTTGTCAGCTTTTACGCTGCGTGAATCGCACATAAATGTGGCTGAGTCGTGTATTTGTGTTCCTTCTGTGGAGCATGGCGCGGGTTCCGTCCGAGAAGGTAGATCCCGAAATCAAGATTCTTAGAAGAAAGAACTTCTGTTTGATTCAGAATCAGATAAATTTAAACGAGATATATGTGGTCGTTGATAGTGTTTTCCGTGATCTCAAGTGGTTCAAGCATCGGGATTCTCGAGTGGATTTGCCTGTGTTAGTAAGATGTGCCCCCAAGTTGCGGACGCGGGCGACTGTAGGTGACGAGGCATGTGGCGAGAAGAAGTTGAATCACTTTTAAAATTCAACACGTTGCCCGGGAAGATTGGAAATTGATGGTGCAGTGCTCGGCATGTCGTAGTATCTGTCGAACTTCGACAGTTCGGAACTGCGGAACCAGGGGAAAGCATGCCGAAGAAAACTAAATGACGACTACCAAGACTGGCTTGATCAGGTAGTGCGCTAATGTTAAGTTTAACCATGAATTTAGTTAGTTTGGCGTAGTAGTACCAACGTGTTCAGTCACTTCAGTGCAAGAGTCTATTTGAATTGCAATAGAAGTTTAAAGGCTTACGAGTTTAGCAAATGGTAAAATAGAAGGAACTGCGGCGGGCACTGCAGCGCTGACCGCTAATGAATCAATATTAACGACAAGGCATTAGTTCTACTAGTTTCCAAGGGCTAGCCCAGGAATGACAGTTGATATTTTTAGGTTCAGCATAGTAGGGAATTGGTAAGGGTACTAGCTAGATCCGTAGCGGGAGCCGTCGTGAGAGGTGCAACAGCTTTATCCGCATACGTCATAGATTAATGAGACAGGAACAGAAAGTAAACCTTAATTAGTAAGTCATGTACGTACCATCGTGTCATTCTTGTGATTCTACGTGAATTGTTTGGAGTTTCCTAGCCTATGACGCGGATGCCCGGCTTGCGATGCAACGCCGAGCAAACAATAACTCGATTAAGGACCTGTGACAGCTAGACACAGCAGTACTAGTGGTAATGATCTGATCCCGAGGAAGAGGCGGCAGGTCCGGCCATCGATACATCAGATGGCAAGGATTACTAGGTCAGGAGCTTGGGACAATGCAGGCATTCGGGAAAGATCCCGAACAAAGTCTGGATATAGACAAGTCTTGAATTCAGATCAGTACTAGGCTGAGAGCTTCCACGCCGAGCATCACGCCAAAAAATATGACACTCTTCTGTTTCCGAATAACTGAGAGAACTACAGTACAAATATGCTAAAACCGACAGCTCATCAACGCAATAATACAACTAAGAGCATAGTATGGCCAGATACACTACCGTAACATGTCAGAAGTTTATACCGTCGTTATCATCCCAATCATCAAATTATGCCTTTTCAGTGTTTTCATTCTCCAACGAAATCAGATCACCAGTCTGACCTGCTCCCGAACCGAGCTCCGCAGATTGACAGCGGGCCGGCGAGAGGCTGTGCGGTCGCACATGTTGGGTTGAGTGTGATCGAGAAACCCATGCTTCAGTTGCATTCGCAAGCAGCTCCTCCGCCACTTCCTGAGAAACATGCGTCAGCGGGACTGGGGCGTAAACCGGAGCATCTACAAATTGTAGATCGAGGTCGGATGTGCAAGACGCTTTACTTGCTGGGAGGATATATATCCGCTCTAACTCCCCTTCCCCAGCGGTAGCACCCGAATAGCGAGGTGTATGCAATGGTAGATGGAAGCTTTGATGGCGGACAAGAATGGAATAGTAACTCGATAATGCCAACACGAAATGAAGCTGCAACAATCAAGCACTCAGCCTTGGGCCTTGCAGCCACCATTAAGGTGAAATTTACTCACGCGAATGACGGTGATGATAATCAGAATGACCATGAAAGCGACCATTCCCCGTTCAAGCCATGGTTCACAGTTCTCCAAATTCAGCCCCAAGTCGATAAAGTCCCGAAGTATGTCTGGTTGGCGTGACAACAGCTCGCAAACATTAGAGCGGATTGTCGGTCGAAAGGCAACGTAAGAGCCTAAGGCTGCAAATAACGTGCCAACCACGAATTCTCCAACAATGTAGTCACGATATATGCGCACGAATGATGGTTTGCCCTGACGAAGAACGCTTAATATTTTGGCAAGAACAGAAGACAAAACTCAACGCACTCGGACAATGCCTGCCACGCCAATGAAACAGATGGTCGATGCCGCAGCAAAGTATGCGCACAGCAACGCCCATACGAGGCGCACTCCATCTCTACTTATAGAATACTCCGAGCTCTCCCACTCGCTTTCTGGATCCCATTTGAATAGCCGCCAAGCTCCCAGTAACCGCACTGCAACAGCAAAGTTGAATACTGCGCCAAAGAACGAAATAGCTAGAGATGTGCTCCTATGAGAATTAAAAAACATGTCAGTCGTTGGTCAAGAAAGGCGGGAAAATGCAGTCATCAATTGTCGTGTTCGAGCCGGACTTTTATAAGCACACGGCGTGGTGGAGAGGGGCTGCGCGAGATCAAGCGATGTCAGCACGAACCTTGTGACAAACAAGCGGGCCATCTATCCAAAAATTCTTGCTGGTCGAGCCTCTGCAGGCAAAAAGGAATATGTTGAGGCCGGTGGTTCAAGTGCAAGCGCAAGTTTCGCATTGTAGTCCGAGAAAGAGCGTTAGCTCGTGTATGACTAAGCCTGGAATGGTAATCAGATCGGGAATTGTCATTCGGCTCATACAGAATTATTCTTTTCTATCCGTCGCTGCCGCAAATAATCTTTTTTTAACGAGGATGTAGGCGTATGTGAGTCACGCTGTCAGACAGTCTTGCACTTGGGTGGGACTCGGGAGACAAAGCTCTAGAAAGTCACGGTAGGTTGTTTGTTAACCGCTGCGGCAAATAGTCTTTTTTAACGGGAGGATGTAGGCGTGCCGTGTGTGTGAGAGAGTCTTGCTGATGGGACTCGGGAGAGGCAAAGCTCTAGAAAGTCACGGTAGGTTGTCTGTTAACCGCTGCGGCAAATAATATTTTTAATGGGAGGATGTAGGCGTGCTGCATGTGTGAGAAGGATTTGCATCTGGGTGGGACTCGGGAAAGACAAAGCTCTAGAAAGTAGGTTGTCTGTTAGTGGTCAGTCTAAAGCGATCCTCAACTGAAATACATATCGCCACAAAGATTTTGTGGCAGTGTCGACTTGAACGTTATATCGTTCTCATTTCAGAATCTGTTTCATTGGGCTGATTCGCTTTCCGTTCGAATCATTCCTTCGTGTGTAGTCTGCCTAGCCAGAATGGATATATAATCCAAGCAAGCGTGCGTTTCCCCTCGCTTGCCAGAGGCGGCCGAGATAAAGAATAACTTTGGTATTTGTTTGATGCATTTTGACACGTAGGACCAAGGAGTATCTACACGACTCACTCCACGAGGTATCCATGAGTAAATGCACAGCCAGGAACTCGATGGCAAACGCGATCGAAATTTCGATGAACTCTGGAACACGCTTGCCGTACTGTGTGAGCTCAGTACTTGTTATCTGATTACAATTACTTGCTTTGTCAACCTCGCCGGTCTCCTTGCAAGAATAGTTGAAGATCATTGGTGGGTACAATAATTGATTGTAATGCACGGTACTGATTGTGGTGCCGGTGCCGATGATTTCCCTTGCTGGTATCTGATACAGCTCTTGCGCGATGCATCGATGGCGATGTCGTTTCTTCCACGCTTAAGCGCCGCATGCGTTGTCTTGTACATATACTATACATCCGAGTCACTAGGCATCATCTCTCTTCCATTGGTGTATAGCCGTAACAGAATGACTCACCTTGACTATGTAAGGTGAGATGATTGTGTTCGAACGCGGACTTACATCGTCTCTAGAACTTGCCCATTTGCCCCTATCTTTGTTGACTCGAATTTGCTCGCAGTCATTTGAATGCCTTGCAAATTCGAAAGGCTCGGGCACAATGTGACTCACAAGATCCTAATCTACCACCCCAATTCTAGCGAATAAGTGTGTATTGCGTACCAGAAATTTAGTATTGTTATGTTATCTCACTCGAGTCCCCCATTCCCGAGTGGCGAATCAAGGTTCGAAGCGGAGCGTGCATAACGCGTGCGCCGATCTGGTAGGATCCCCAGATCGATGAGTGGCCTTGCTGGAATGGGTTTTAAACATCGTCTATCGCTCTTTCCTCTCTCAAACTTACCAGCCCACATTTCATCCACATTCTTCCTCCGTTGCAGACTCTGAGGTCATGTCCGACAGTGACACAGTTCCATTGCAGGACACTCAAAATGCCATTCCATCTGAAGGCGTGAATATAGCAAGGCACGCCACTGGAACCAAGGTCGGTAACGCATGTTCACTATAGAGTGCATTGGGATACTAAGTCTTCCTGATCGAGCGAATCAAACAGCTTCAGAAGATAAAGCCAGTAAAACGCAGAAAGCTGAGGACCGTTACTTGCAGCGTTTTCAGGTTCGGTCTGTACTGAGTTGCTTGACCCCTCTGACTGTTCGCTTACATGCAAACGCAGGGATAATGCCGCAGGCGTCTGGAGACCATATGATCCATCGTTCATCAAGCCTGTTCCTCGGCGTGAGGATTTGGCCAACTACTTCTATCTCGACATCCGATATCAAAATGAACGATGTGTGTATTATGTTCAACGACTATTACTGTAGGCCTGTGTTGACGACTTCGTCTAGCACACCCTGACCTTGTTGTGACCAACTTCAGCAGAGTATTGATCGATTTCCTTCGGTAAGATTATGATATCAGCTCTTACCTGATCAATCTTAGCATCCCCTTGGAAGCCACACCTTCGGGGGCGTTTTTTTCAAGACAGACCCAGAGTATTTTCTTCTGGATTTTTTTGCGAGAATACATGACCTTCGGGCTGGTCTTGCGGCCGTCCGTGATGCTCTTGCTTCAAATTTGGCTGGTGAAGATCTCAAGCTGAAAGCGAAGGATATGGGCTGCACAGATGCATTGGGCTGTATGTCCAGTCATCATAATATGATATCCCCTTTGACGATCTCATCCCTCGATACAGTGCATAAAACCGAAGAAGACGCCCGGCGGTACTTCGAGGACGTGGCGGAACATCTTGGCGTCCTATTAGGTATGATAGAGAAGGAATTCGAACCAACGTGAGCACATTTATATACTGTTCCGGCATTTAGGTTAACTGCGAGGTTACAGAGCTCAAGAACTCGAGCTTCAACTCTCTTATGGACATATTGCTTTCGACTTGCTCAAATACTACTTTGAGCGGGGTGTCAAGTACTATATTCTGCAGAAGGATGACTTGGTGAGTAATAATATATGATAGTAACTGTCTATTCAATCATGCTGTAGGCCGGATTTACGCTCAGTAGCACATGGTATAACCAAGACTCAACGTAAGTTGCGTTGTATACGAAGGATCGGGGTTTCATCACTCGCCTACAGTTTTCTTGCCCTGGAGGGCGAGACAACGAGGTGGGACGGACACAAATACATCAATGAGAAAATGACTTTCTCAATTCCAAAATACGATGTCTGTATTTATTGCGCTTGCAATTCATGAGAGCTCACGATAGTTCAGGGAACAGTAGAACTGTCAAAGCTGTCTTGCAAAATCATGACAGACGACGTACGCGCCAAGCTAATTGGTACAAGGCCTTACGATTGTTGTCAGATGTACAGAAGTTCTGAACATCATTTTAGCCCGAGGGAATCTGTATAGTTCATTTTCTGGTGGTTTCCATTACAAGTCTTGTATGTTTGACCCATTCTACGTTACCGTCAGACTGATAACTGTGCTTAGATAAAGGGGTAATCTTCTTTCCCTCTCTTTTCTAGAATGGCAACGAGCTTATCGATTTGACCCCATAGAGTCGAATCGTCATCGATGAGCGTGCATTCAATGAGAGCCAGGGCCATATACGTGACCCGTATGAGATCATTACTTTCGCTTCTAGAACATGTGTTAACATCGCCCCAGAGACGAGAAGATCTCTGACGTTCCCGAGGGGAAACATGATCAACTTCCAGCTTTTGTGAATGGTTTCGAGCTCAAGAGCAAAGTAAGCTGAACCCCTTTAGCGTGGCTCGGCTGACTCACGACGTGCCACAGGAATGGAAATCATTCCACGTTGAAAACATTGATGACGTCAGGTTTGACGAGAAAGCCTGGGACCACTTGGTTGTAGACGATGACGTTAAAGTAAGTAATAGTTCTCTGTACATTGTTCGGCTGCTGCTGATGGTCAAGCAGAGCCTGATCAGGGGACTTGTCGATGTTACTAGGAATGTCAACACATCGCAGCATCTTATATCGGACGTCATCACAGGAAAAGGTGGAGGTTTGGTAGGTTTTCCTGTGCAACTCAATGCTGTCAACCTGATGTTATTCTGCGTAAGATTGCGTTCCTTCATGGGCCTCCTGGAACTGGAAAGACGCTTACAGCTGAAGCTGTCGCTGAACACCTCAGAGGCCTTTGTACATCGTCAGCTCTCCGGAATTGTCAACAGAGCCTTCAAAGCTGGAATCTAACCTGTCGGAGATATTGAAGGTACGTGCCATAATATGTACAATTGCCACTGATCTCATAAGAATGCTCTACCAGTTGGCTACCGCATGGGACGCCGTAGTTCTTATCGACGAAGCTGACGTGTTCTTGGAACAGAGGAGTCTCCATGACGTACGGTTTTGCAACCCATCATTAATTTCACCACGCGTTGCTCATTTTAATGTAGCTGGAACGCAACGCACTGGTTTCTGTTGCTTTAAAGGTCTTTGAGTACCACCGCGGTGTGCTCTTCTTGACAACAAATCGCATTAAAACGTTTGATGATGCCTTTCTTTCGAGGTTCTCCATCGGTCCGTCCTCTATTTATATCACATCAGTTTGAAATAAATTCAACCTAAATAGCGATCAAATATCCTGAGTTAGATGCCTCGGCCCGGCTTACGATCTGGCAAAAGTTCTTCGAGCTTGCTGGGTGTCCTTTGTGGGGCTCAGAGTCTGAAGAGTTCGTCGACATCGATGGCAAAGAGCCACGCTGCTATGTTTCCCTCTCAGATTTGGAGGTATTGGCGCAAAAACCATTCAATGGTCAGCATACTCTTGTCATCCTGCCTATCAGAATTAAATATAGTTCCCAGGACGCACCATCAAGAACCTTGTCCGGACCGCCCAGGCGTTAGCACTCTCTGCGTAAGCATTATTGGTCATGTGTTTGCTTGCCTGTTACTCATGAGAATACACAGAAAGGAACCGCTTTCCCTCGACCATATCAAGGTGGTTGTCCGCGCGCAAGAGAAATTTTTGACGGAGTTTGCGCAAATCCGCTCTTAGTTAGCATCTTAGCGCCCTTATCGATCGCATCAGTCCAAGTATAACCATGTCAATATTGTAACACCACCAAATGTATCCCGCAAGTTTTTTTGGGCAGACAACTTCTGGTATGAGAGAGGAGCATCGAGAGCATTAGCCAAGCCCCCATATGCCTGCTTTCCTCACACCATCGACAAGAGCATCCACATTCCCCAGCATGCTCCCTAGTATTTCTTTCTTCTCATCAATGGTCCGCACACCATCATGCCTGTTTGTGCGATCCTCTGCATCCTCGCCACGGACTGATGGGAAGGTCTTGCTGCTAATCGTCTCTCGAAAACGTGACACAGAAGGCGTGGTAAGGATGGATGTATCAGCGATTCCGAGACCTGGTCGGAACCCTCTGGGTTTTTTGGGGCTCAGCGGTTCATAATCCACTTCCTTCCGTAGCATAAGCATCGAGCGCGACTGTAGTGGCGCCGGTATCTCTCTAGCGCCGGATGTTATCAAAGGTGGTGAGCTAGGAGGAGTGCGTGGGTCCGACGAAGCGAAAGTGGAGGTGGAATATGACTTCTTGATAGGCGAAGGTGTATGAATGCTCTCGAAGCTAGTGGTTGTAGTTGTCGATGAACCTGATGACATGGAGAAGAAAGAAGACGAGGAGGTTGATGAGTTCGATGACGATCTGGTAGAGGTACACGCAAAGGAGATGTTCGAGGCGCCAAATATCTTGTTTTCAGGAAGTGAAAGAGGTGAGTTAGGTCGGGTGGCAACGGGGGATGATGGTAGTGAATGTGTTTCATCAGGCCACATGTGGGTGGGAGTCTCATCCATCAAATAGAAGTAGAGAAACTCCAGGCATTTCATTCTGGATCTACATCAGTGATTGCATGGCAAATGGAACGGGTAACCTACCTGACTTCGCGTGGTGTTCCTGCTCGTTTGAGTATCTTTACCACTGCTTGAACCCCATTCACTTCCTCAAAAGCGCGTAGTGCTGGAGAAGAATCAACCAGAACGCACAGCAAAGTATCCAAGACAGCAGATGTCAAATGCATGAAGGGTGCAGGCTTTTCTGGTGGTTTAGAACTATCTCCCCCGGAAGAGGCATCGATGATTGGCGTGTGTCGAGAAGCAAGCAATAACTCGATCAAAATCTGTGATAGATGATGAGGTTTAGGCATCTCAATGGCTTCACTAAACACAACCAACCTCAAGGGAAAACCGACGACCCAGAAAAGACTTGCTTGATTTGTGGTGAAGAGATACTCCTTGGATTATTGACAAACCTTGGCATAGCTGGGAGCACGAGATATTCATTTCAGTGTCACGCTCTTCTGTGATTCAGTCAGCCATGATGTTGAGGAAGAAGGGCTGCGCACTTACTGGTGGAGCTCTTGCTTGCGCACAGTTCTAGCTGAGGTGTCGTACATTGTATCCAAGCCAGTATCCGCGATGGAACTACATATCCGAATTAGACAGGTGCGAGGTTGGGTGGTTATCCCCCACCATTGGATTCGAAAGCGTCTTGAAGGTTCAAATACGTTTCTAATGTATCATCGTCGGAAAACTGCACACATGCAAGCGCAAGCTGCTGCTCAAGAACAGCTAGAGCTCGATTTCGCCTTCCAAACGACGAACGTGTTGAGGCTACCTGTAGTAGTAAACAGTCACAACTAGCCGAACCCATCCCGAAGAACACCCTTGTTACTCACATCATCCAAAGCATCCTGCAGTGTCGTCTTCATCGAGCTCACTGTTGACGACATCGATAAAGAGATATGATTCCGTTGTTCTAAATAGAACTTCCCTCGTTGATGAGCAATTGATGAGTTGTTGGGTCTATGGTTGCCAAATTTAAACCGCGTCGCTGCCACGTGACTGGAGCGTGACGCGGAAATTCGGAGGAGCGCATTAACGACCGCGTGAAGCCTCCCACTGCTGTGGGGTACAAGTAACGAGTTCTACGCTTAGGTGCGTATTCCCAGACCTTCATAATCTTGTTGTTGACTGCCATGGCACCCATCCCAACAGTATGTGCAACATATATCTGTTCAGGTGGATCTATATGCTCACGTAGAGGCATTGCGACTGCAGCAATGGACGCGGCTCATTCGCTTTGTCGCCGCGGAGACTGCACAAATTCATGTCGGACAACCGGTCGACCCCAGACTTGATGGTAAATCGTAGACTCATTCTGTACTTCTTGACTGCATGTTTATCTTGACGTACAGTTGGCCTTGCTGCATGGAACAAACAGACCATCAGAGCTTATGAGATCTCTGGGTCCGCCCTTGATCCTGCCGCTCGCGTTACGAGCAACGTCTTGACAGTTGACAAGCTTCTCTCTCCTCTCTCTCGCGAAGAGATGAAGATCGTTCGGTGCTTGGGTCTCAACTACTCTGACCACGCAGTAAGTCCTGTCAAAATCGAGTCATGTAGTATAATCTTGATGAAACCACAAACAGGCAGAGACAAAGATGGCTAAGCCTGCGTAAGTTGACGTTATCCAATGTTTCCTGGATTTTCTCAAAATTAAATTGTTGTAACTTATATAGTGCCCCCATCTTGTTTTACAAGCCCCTGGCGTCGATGATCGGTCCCAATGCACCAATCTTCATTCCAAAGGTTGCGCAACCTGTCGAAGAGCACCTCTCCGACTACGAGGTAGAACTCACCATCGTTATCGGAAAGGCGGCCAAGGACGTCTCTGAGGCGGATGCTCTTGACTACGTCCTCGGGTACACTGGTGCCAATGATGTAATGACCTACACTATAGTTTTGAGGCTGCCTGATCTCATATCTACGACAATAGGTGTCGTTCCGCAAGCACCAACTGACAACTTCGCAGTGGGGATTCTCCAAGGGGTTCGGTAAGTTACTTATCTTGGACAATGAGATATGGCTTCATACGATGAACTTAAACAGATAACACAACTCCCCTTGGTCCTGTCATTGTATCAAACAACGCTATTTCCAACCCCCAGGACATCCCGCTAACTTGCACACTCAATGGAAAAGTTCTGCAGGACGGTAGCACCAGGTAATACTTGTCCATGCTCTAGAGAGAGCATACACTGAAGTGATGATTGTTGTTAGCGACCAAATCTTCAATGTTCGGAAAACAGTATCTTTCCTCTCGCAGGGAACCACCCTTGAGCCCGGGTCGATTATCTTGACTGGAACACCTAAAGGTGTTGGTTTCGCAAGGAAGCCCGCCGTTGTACTCAAGAACGGCGATGATTGCAGGGTATGGTTGGGTAATGGCATTGGCACACTCGTCAACTCTGTCATTGAAGAGGGCCGTTACCAAGCGAAGTTGTAAATTTGTAGCCGCATATATCGTATTTCTTATTCATGTGCATCCTTTATTCTCATGAATTGACGACAGCAGGTAATGGATATGATACATAGTTCTTGTGTACAAAAGTCTGTCATCTCAGATCCCACCAAAGGCAACGAGCTTCTGATTCAAGTACTCCTCGATACCGTGGCCTCCCTCCCGACCTAGAATTCAACAGGTTCAGTATTGGCCAAACGGGAAAACCAAAACTTACCAATGCCACTCTCTTTCACGCCACCGAAAGGAATAGTAGCATGACTGATCAATCCGGTGTTAGTGCCAACCATACCAACCTCAAGTGCCTCTGCAACTCTCCATACACGCCCAACATCTCGACTGAAGAAATATCCAGCAAGACCCACATCAGCATCATTTGCTAGGGCGATAACCTCCTCTTCTGTCTCGAACTTCGTCAGAGCTGCAACGGGCCCGAAAGTTTCTTCAACATTGAAAAGTGCCCCAGCGGGAACCTCAGAAAGGACAGTAGGCGTGAAGAATGTTCCAGCGCCATCGACACGTTTACCACCAACCAATACTTGGGCACCACGAGAAATAGCATCTTCCACATGTCGTGTAACCTTCGAGATTGCTTTTTCATGAATGACAGGGCCATGCGTCCTGGAAATGAGTGAGTAAACGACCGAGATTATCTGGCGCATTCTACCAACGTTGTTTCATCCAGGCCATTTCCGACTTTAAACGCAGCTACTTTCTCGGCGAGTTTAGAAGCAAAATCCGCGTAGACTGAAGACTGAACATAGATACGGTTTGCGCAGACACAGGTCTGCCCTGAAGCACGGAATTTACATGCAATTGCCCCTTAAAGAGATAGATCAGCTTGGAAAGGGTTCAGAAAACCTTCCTGCGCCGACCTTCAACAGCCTTGTCGATATCAGCGTCATCAAATACAATGAAAGGTGCATTCCCGCCAGCTTCAATGGAAATTCTAAAGAGAATATTTATAAGCACGAAAGGATATTTGTGTGGTGCTTACTTCTTAAGTGTGGAGGCAGCCATGCCATACAAGCTCTTAGCGACGGGTGTTGATCCGGTGAACGATACCTTCCTGACTGTTTTGCTTTCGCACATCTCGCGACCGACCTCAACAACGTTCTTTTGAGTTGTAACAATGTTGATGACACCGTCTGGGATACCTGCGCGACGAGAGAGCTTTCGAATAGCAACGACAGTGAGAATTCAAAGGTTGCAAGAATTATAAGAAAAGTCTTACCTCAGCTAGTGCAAGAGCTGAAAACGGTGTTTCAGGTGGAGGCTTTATGACTGCTGTGCAGCCTGCTGCGAGTGCGGCACCCAATTTTCGCGTGATCATAGCAGACGGGAAGTTCCACGGAGTGAAAATCGAGCTGATGCACTTGCTTAGATAGAGCATTGGAGGGGCGCATGAAAGATCTCACACAACACCGACAGGTTGCTTAATCACAACGTTCCGAATGTTGGTGAACGGCGAAGGTATGTGTTCTGGTAAAAAAAAGATCAATGTATGAACTCTTTGAAACGAAGAAGACGTACCTCCGTAGATTCGAACAGCCTCCTCAGCTGATATAATGAAAGTGAATGGAAGTTTGAGCCATCCGAGTTTGACGGAGAAACCTACCATACCACTGCGAATGACATGCAGTCACATGAGTCGACTGAACCGAAATTGACTTACCTCCATGAAGGATGCACTGTAGGCATTCTCGCCCTTGTGTTCAAGGAATTAGCTTAATACCGGGGGATGTCTAGTAATGTTACCTTTGCCTCCATCAAAGTCTTGCCATTCTCTAATGTCTGTCAAAGAGTGAGCAAAACAACGATTTGTTAAAGTGAGATACGCACAATGATCCTGGCCAAGTCATCATTGTGTTCTTGCATTAGACTATAGAACTTCATCAAAATGTCATGACGGTGCTGTTATGCAGAGTGCTCGTCAGTGTTATGCCAGCAGAAAATATGATAAGATACCAACCTTGGCCGTAGTTTTGCCCCACGATGCAAAGGCTTTCCCGGCAGCTGCAATAGCAGACTTGGCCTCCTCAACGCCCATCTCTGGAACAGTACCGAGCTCTTCATCTGTCGCAGGGTCTGTAATATGTCACTGAGTGAATTGGTCATATCCCATTTATAAGAGGATAACATACTGGTAACAAGAATGGTTCCACCCTCCTTTGCGCTCACCCACTTCCCATCGATATACGATTGATACTTTATCAACGATGGGTCCTGCAGACCCCACTAAAAGAGGCTCAGCAACTCCAAACAGTGCACTCGAGGACATGCCTACTTACAATATCGGCGTTTGTGCTGGCCATTCTGTACCACAATCTGAGACCCGACCGACTGGACTGTTTGGCTACGATCGGAGCTTTCACTAGCACTCTTAGTGCATGAGAAAATGGCAGGGGTTGCGGAAACATCCTCCCTGTGGAACAAGCCGTTCGCGGGTGCAGGAAAGCCGTCCGCGTTCAAGTTGAAGTCAGGTGATCGAATGACCTCATGAATTCCGCAAACAGTGAGAATTTCTCGGACAACGACTTGGAGGCGTGGCACGCTAGTGAGCTGAGTATAGCAACGAAGCACGGGCTCCAGAACTCAAACCCTCAGAGCAGTAAAATAATTGGTCTGTACAATATTGGAATCGAGCGTCTGAATTTATACTAACTTGCAACAGCTAGAACTAAACTAGAAATACTACCCGACATATCACGATGGCAGACGAGCAATACATATCCAAAAAGACTGTTGCTGCATCCTATCGACCACGCAGTTCTGTACGTCGCGTTTGCAAGTACCTCCAAAAACGAAAGCACGTTTGACATATAACATCCACAGCTTATGTCCCCCGGCCTCCAGCGCGCACGCGCACCTTTCCGCCTCCGAAACGCCCTCACCGGCCTCATACTCGCAGGCTTCGGCGTCGGCGTCTGGGCATACTCTATTAGCGCAGTGAAACAAGATGACTTCTCGGACGTTGATGAGGAGGCGCGTGCACTGATGCGTGCTGGGCCAACAATTGTGGAGGAGGTCAAAGCTTCCGTGATGGCCGAGGCAAAAGCCGTGGTGACACAGACTCCGAGCAGCGTGCCTGTGGAGGTTAAGGCAGCTACTGTGCCATCAATACACCGAGGTTTACTTGTGCCTGTTCTTGAGAGGCATTTCCCCCACTTGTTGGACCCATCACGGAAGACGCTCATTTGGGGGGCGCCTCCGGTAGATAATCTTGGGAGGCTCCGTGATTCGGTATAGAAGCCTTGCAGGTCCTTGGACTTCTATTCCCTCTACAGATAATGTCTCAGGTAAGTCATAAAGTTATCAAAATTCGAAAGCAGCGATAACATTGATGAAACATTCTACAACAAGGTACAAGACGATAATCTAATAGTAGACTATTTAGCACATGCATGTATGAACACTCGTTCGATCCAGCTCCTTTCATAAAACTGGATAGTACGAAGAGCCAAATCAAGAAGTCAAGACAATGGATTAGCGAATCACGTTCATGTTGACGTATTGACGCAACATCTCATACACAACCTCTACACACTAGCGCAGGCCGACGATGCCACCAATAGAAGAGTAGATCTCCAGCCAGCGCAAGTCTGGAGAAACGGTGCTGAAAGCCTATTGCAAAGACCGATCAAATTGAGCACTCGACCAAACAATCCATCACTCACCCGCCTCAGCCACTGTTAGACTTCGATGCCCATTTTCTTCAGGCCTTCCTTGGCAGCCTCATTTCGGGCAGCTTTCTTGGTCCCACCTTGTCCGCGACCGTAAACTTCCCCATCTACTTCGCATCTGACGATCCAAATTGGAGTCGTTTTCGTGCCTTCACCAGTCCCGTCTGAGTAGATCCACTCGACTATCCTGTTGGCCTTCTGAAGCTGCTGATTGAACAGCGCAAGGTGGCCTATGGTCGTGGGGGTGGCGCCGGGGCGGGGATGAGGGGGCGAGGGCGGGGGCGAGGACAGAACTGACTCAGGCGCGACAAGCTCGATCATCGGAAGGGGTGGGAGACGATGTTGCTCCCGCACACGTCTGTAAGCCTCAGTCGCGTAAGGTGCAAACAGGGCTTTCAACCAGGGCTGGACGCCCGGCAGATCCTGCTCGAGATAGAGCCCGCCCACGTAGGACTTGTTGGTAGAATGGTGTCAGCATTCATTTATTTGGGTATAGGGTAACGTACTTCGAAGACGTCGGCTGGGAAGAGTTCTTTTGATAAATTGGCTTATAATGGGAAGCCGGAACGTACCTTGAATGTTGACGGAAGCGCGTAGGGTAATCGCCTGAGCAGGATGCAGACGCAGTCTTGCTGGTAGGTCGTACATACGCGAGATGTCAGCAAGGGTTGAGTTGCCTACGACCAAGGCTCGGATTTTCTGAGGAGGATGTAGTGGGCGAGCATGCTTAGTGCTCATCGAGAAATGAAGCATACTGTAGATGGCCCAACGCGCAAGTTGGGGTACATCTCCAAGAGGAGATTGGTCACGACCAGACCTAACACGGTGTCCCCGAGATGCTCGTACCTGTAGAATGGATCAGCACCAGCACAATCGGTTGGGTGTGGTGTTTTGGACAGCAACACAGCCTGACAGCCTGAGTCAACAGAAGAGAAACTTTGCTCACTTTTCATTGTCTGGACTCGGGTCCTGTGGATGGTCCTCGAATACATGATTCGGGCGTCCATAATACGAGCGATGCGTAAACACCTGCGTCCGAATGTTCTCCTTGTTGATATCAGGGAGCGGGGGAAACGGCTGAGCCGCATTGAACACCGGGTGGAGTATGGATGGTGGACTGTCAGACAGTAACATACGAATCTCATTAGGAACGCGAGAGAGCATATTCAGCCAGTAGCAACTGGAACCCACATACTTGATAGACATCGCTGGTGGCCTTAGGAAGGAGGATTCGGAGAAGAGAGTGACGCCAACCTTCGAGCCAGCGCCTTCTGCCTATATAATTATACCCTGGCTAGTGGATCGCGGCGTTTATCAGCGAGATCTATCAGTACGTGGCCCGGAACCAATACTGTGGGATATGAATACGGCGAAGCTGGCCACCGCATGATAGGTTTAGGCGTACTACTGTTATTAGCTTAATGCTTCTAGTAATCTATTGCTTAGTGCTGTCATTAGTGGGCACCTTCACCGTGGCGTAAAAGCATAGGGCACTAACATGAAATTCATGACAGCGAAGATCAGGACTCGACATTTGTGGGATTCCCCTTCAACCTCGAAGGAAAGCAACGTTAAGAACGTACCTTCTAAAATTATAGCTGAGAGATAGAAGCCAGTGTACTGTAATTCCAAGACTATCGAAGCCTTTATTTTGCCTGGATTCGTCAAATACCCTGAACTTCAAAGAGAAACAGATCTACACACCGCTCTGATAACGAAAGTTGCACAGCCAAGAGAGATTCTCAAACCTTATTAGACCAGCGCTTGAACGGAGAAACGGACAGTCATACATATTCTCAGCGTGGTTGCACCATTAAATTAATCTACGCAGAAGGAGTGACTACCTCTGAAGCAGTTGATACTTCTTCTCCTGGTATGCGTTGCTCCTCGAGCTAATATTATTATATCAGTAAAACATCCCATATCACCCGCGGATCAACGAACCTTTGCCCTCAACTTCATCTCAGAAAAGTTCTTATGGAGACCACATTCAGTCTTCCCCTCCTTATCTGCCCATCTCCCAGCGCGCTCGCCAGTATCGCCATCACGACTGGGTTGCGTGCTATGCCAGTCACCGACACTACGATACCCCTGATTGAGCAGTTGATTCCTCGGAACATTGTTCTCGCGGATGTACGCATCAACCTGCGCGAAAGACCATGCAAAGAGTGGATTCAGCTTGAGGAGTCCTGTTTCATCAACTTCAAGTGGCTGGAGGGAAGCACGATCGCCGCCCTGAGATCTACGTCGGCCCGTGATGACGCTGCGCACGCCAAGCTCCTGGTACGCGCGCTGGGCGGGCTCAACCTACATGCAATCCAGCTCAGCTGTCTATTGAAAGGTCGGGATGAACAACACACCTTGACCGCAAAATCGTATATGTCCTCATCTTTCTCCCACAATTCTTCGCCGTGTTTCTTTTCAAAGTCTTGAATTGTTTTGCATCCCTCGGGCTTGTACACCTTTATATCGACAGCATAACGTTCCCGCACCTGCTGCACGAGCTCATATGTTTCCGCAAAGTGGTACAGCGTATCCAGAAAAATAAGTTTCGGGATCGGATGTCCGGACTTGGAGAGCATATCGAGGGCGACGAGCCCAGTGAGCCCGAATGCTGTGGTTTGGTAGAGCGCGGGTAGGTGGGTGAGTGCCCATGTGAGTATGTCTTGTGGAGAAAGCTGCGAGAGGTGGGCGTTGATAGCCTCGAGCGTTTCTTCGCTCAGTGGCAGCTCAAGCGGAGTGCTGAATTGGTCGGTCATTGCGTTTGCAATAATAAAAAGTTAAGACGTTACAATAATGTATGAACAAGGAATAAAAATGTGGTCAGATGGACCATGGCCAGCAGACATGGTATATATTTGAGACGGTCCACATGGATGATGGCGTAGTAATTGCAACACCGACTTGCGGATTAGCAAGACTAATACCAAGTTTCCAACTACGGACAAAGCTTATCAACCATTAGGAAATCGATCATTGGTTGCTTCATTTACCTGCTCACCTCTCACTATGGCGCCAACACAAACGGCAGCACCAGTCGCGGCGCCTGTTCCAGCACCAATAGTGGCCACGAAGAAACCTTCAGATGGCACCAGTCGTGACTACAAGTACACGCAGGAGATATCTCAGATGGTACGTCATTGCTATTATGTACATGCCACACTTAGCATGAACGACGGAATGCTTGTAGATGTTCGTCTTTGGCGAAATCCAAGACCCAAATCCAGAGACTGTCAACCTCGTCGAAGATATCGTGCGTAGTCAGCTTATCGAACTCGTGAGTGACCTATACTTTAACGATGAGATTTACCTGTGATGTTATGCTACTCTAGATCCTGCAAGCCCGCCTCCATGCGAATCGGCGTGGTGTGCGCTACATTACCGCAGAGGACCTAATCTTCCTCATTCGTCACGACCGCGGTAAGGTCAACCGTCTCCGGACATATCTCTCGTGGAAGGACGTTCGTAAGCATGCCAAAGACTCGGGTGGTGATGGAGGTGGTGGCGTTGAGGTTGAGACTCTCGAGGATGGCGCTGACGGTCCGTATTTCTCCAACATTTGTCTACTGGTCAACTGACATCCGCGTAGACAAACTAACGACCAAAGCGCAAAAGATTACTATTAAGCTTCCTTGGGAGATTTCGACGATCTACAGCGAGGTGCTCCGTCAATCTGGACACCAATCTGACGACGAAGAGGACGAGGACGATATTGAGGCCCATGAAGCAAGTATACAGCGCCTCAAAGAAGCCGATGATGCTACACGACAAATGACCAGGGAAGAGTACCAACATTATTCAGATTGTAGACAAGCGTCATTTACGTATCGAAAAGGTGAAGTCGTTTCATGAGTTAGACAGAATCTCACTGACGCGACGAACAACTAGCCAAACGCTTCCGCGACTTTCTTAACCTTCCTCCACACCTAGACCTCAAAGCTAACGATGATACCGTCGACATCGTTGGCTTTCTCGCATTTGAAATGGTGCGCTCCCTTACACTCGCAGGCCTCGACGTCAAAAAGTCCCTCGAAGAATCATATTTACGAGACGACTACCTTGGCATCTCGCCCATCGTTGGCAAACGCAAGTTGCACCACTCACACAGGCGAGGGGAACAACGGGAGAAACGTGCGAGGAGAGAGGAGGAGGAAGAGGAAGAAGCACCGCTACCTACGAGTTCACTGTTTTTACCCCCGCCAGAAGCAAGGACGGCTCTACGGCCTGAGCACATCCAGGATGCATTTGCGCGGATGCAGGGGGACTGGTCGCACCACCGCAGTGCAGGGATGCGAAATTGGCGTGGTGGGCTGGTGCGTACGAGAGTCAGTCTTATTTAGACTCGCTCGTGTGGTTTGTGTTGTTTGGTTTGAGAGGATGACTGGGCACCCTTTATATTTGTATCTTTGCGGACTACTAATACTCACCATTGTATCAGATACCCCATGAACACGAATTGTACTAGTATGACCTCCGCGTAGATGGTCCAGGACAACACTTGTCTCGACAAGCATTTTCTTCTAAACGAAGATCTGAAGTTGGCCTTGTGGCCAGAAATGATTGAAGGAAATGAATCTTTGTGAAGATGCACGACTGCTTTGGTGAAAACGACAGCGCAGATAAGGGGGGTGCTGAACGGCCGAACATGCGAATGGATCTCTGGGCATCTGCAACATCGTCCAAGATATCTTTGCATTCTGCGGGGTGGGGCTGGATCGCGTCAGAACAACTGTAGAAAATAAGGGCTCTGGCACGAAGCTTGACTCACTCGATCACAGATGACAGCGAGCCAACCGCCATGTTGACGGTCTTGAGCAGACTCGGCACTTCCAACCAGAATAGTGACCGTTCGTAATAAAAAGATGCTCAAACCGCCTCAGCAAAGTGCAAGTTAAAAACCCGCTTTTCACAGATGGTCAGTCCAGAATCGAGAGGAATAGGACAGCCCGGGGGTGATGTACTGTTTGACTCGTTCATGCAGGTTGGAATTAGAGAGGTAAGAGTTGTGTATGTTGAATGGTAGGTCGTGCTCTATGACTGCAAGGGACACCTTGTGAACGCGATATGTGTTGACGCCACTTTGCTTGCTATCTGTGAGAAAATCGGGAAAGGATACATGAGGACAGACGACGGAAGAACTTCGATCGGTGGTGGTCAGAAGTGCACCCATGTGGGCTGATTGAACGAAAATGTTTCGCAATTCGGAAAAGTCCAGGAAGAAGAAGGAACGGGGTTGCACGTGGCGCTCGTGCCTGTGACACGCCGTAGCCAAAGTCGATCTCCATACAAGTTCATCTGACTGTGCCCATACACCATGATATGTATCCTGTCAATAATTGAATAAGTTGTTCCATGATAATTAAACGATTCTAAAGTTTGCCTATAGCACTTGCATCACCCACGTTCCTGCAGTGTCCCATACATCAACTTGAATGATTAGCGCTGCCTTGAGGCTTGTGGACGTCAAGGCTATTCGGTTGCTTGTTATTTAAATTTTGGTTCTACCGTCCCCTCCATCTAATTCAACTCGCATCCATTTTCCTCAGCCTGATACCAATCTTTGACCCGTCGCAATGACCGAAGACCACAGACCGGAACCTCCTTCCGAGGCCTCCCCTCGATCCAGAGAAGCAACTCCTGGTGATAGCTCGGTACGTGCTCTCGTGAGATCACTGTCGACGAGCGCTAACAACATCATCATTGCCTCTGACGCATCCTTCATCCAGAACCAACCCCGTGGCAGATTCTGTCAGGCCATTCGGAAATTTAGAAAGAATGTGATCAAAAAAGTCTCTGTACGTCGACCTGAATGCTTGGAGAGCTGGAATGTTGCTCATATTGTGCAGAAACCCTTCAAGCGTTCCCGCCACCAAACCCCTGCTGTCCAGAACGCAGATCTTGAAGGTGTTTCATCGAATCAGAATACTGAGGTACGTAGTCATTAGTTTGATCTTGAACTTGTCTGAGGTCCCCCAAGGATGCGTCGCTTCCCCATCCTTCCGATGGTAATAAGCCCACCACACCTGGGAATCCCAGTGACTCTGTGAACCAAGGAGCGTCTGAAGAACCTGCTTCGAAGGTATTTATGCCAAATGATTTGGTTTTCATCTTTATAATCTGGTGGTCGTGCAGGTTCCCGACGCCCCTCCTGGCGTGGAAAGGATTCCTGATCCCCAAGTAGTTGATGCTGAATTTCAGGGTGCCAGTGAGGGTATGGAAAACATTAGACTATTCGGGGAGCGTGACACTTCTGTGGTATCCAAAGTCAAGAACGGCCCAGCGGATCTCGATGCCGTAGACAATTTCCAGACCACATATCTTCAACCATTCAAAATTTTCGACACTGTCCTTGCGGAACTTGCGGATGTATGTGCCACTCTCTTATGTTGGAAGCGAGCTAATTAAGTTCCATAGGTACATCCTTACGCAAAGATGGTGCTGGGTCTGCTGTCTGCTGCATCCAAAGTACGCGTAGTTTCGCCCTCCTGTGCAGCAGTTGTTGACTCTATCCAGATTATTCTCGCTCAAGCAGAACGCGACCAATCGGTACAATCTCTTCTCGAGAAATTAGGAGAAGTTTACCGCTTCATGTCGCAAAAGGACACTCTTAGCCAGATCCCATCCCAGCGCAATATCGCTGGACGGATTGCCCAGCAGACTCTAGAGTGCGCGCGTTTCATCAGGGACTACTCGCAGAAGAAGGGCTTTTGTAAGTCGTCGAGCTGTTGCACTCTGCATACTGTGAATCTCATACGATTATCGAAGGGGGGAGACTTGGGAAAAATGCTTTCTCGAAGGCGGATGATTTGATTACACGGTATAACGACGCTTTGGATAAGCTTATGCAACAATTTCAGAATCAAGCTCTTCGGGACATAGCCGATCTTGTCCGGTGTACGAGTAAGGATTCGGACGAGCTTCTGACTTTCCATCCACTCATGCCCCTTCAGGTGACGAATTGAGTGACAAACTAGATCTCAGCGATATGCCTTACGCAAAAGGCGCGGGACTAGATACCGCGAAACAATGCTTATCGGGGACGCGCACGGATATACTCTCCCAGATCACTGAATGGATCAACGACAGTGGAGATACTGCTCAGCGTGTGCTGTGGCTATCTGGCCCTGCGGGCACGGGCAAATCAGCCATCGCTCACACAATCGCTAACTGGTTCAACGACTCGGGAGGGCTTGGTTCGTGCTTCTGCTTCGACCGGGATCTTAAAACGGACGAGCGTCATAAAAAAGTCTTCTCCACCATCGCTCGTGACCTCGCGGACCGTGATCCGGAGATCAAACGAGCATTGGCGAATGCAGTCGAAAATGCAAATGCGCTCAAGAACACGGCGGATATCATCCAGCAGTGGCAGAAGCTGTTTATGGAACCGCTAAAGAAATTTTCTGGGTCGAGTGTGGGGCCTGTCTTGATTGTGATCGAAGCGTTGGATGAGAGCGGTGGAGTCGAGACACGGCGCAACCTTCTCCGCATACTTGCCGGTACACTGGAGGGCGAAGGTCTTCCCCAAATCACCGAACTCCCATCCAACTTCCGGATTCTCGTCACGTCTCGCCCGCTTCAGGATATCAATTCTGAATTTCGGGATGCTCCACATATTCAACCGTTATCCATGGACAACATTGCAGAGGAAGTCTCGAAGAGAGACATCCATACTTTTGTGTCTCACGAGCTGAAAAAGGTGTCTGATCTTGGGCACAAAGAGTTTGGAGACCTCGCTGACAAAGCTGGTGGACTATTCGAGTGGGCGCGTCTTGCATGCAAATACATCCGACTACCCCCTACTGGCAAATCCCCAATTAATTGCTTCAATGCTGTCATGTCGCACAACCATGGAAAGCGGAAGAACTTGTTGTATGGCATGTATAGCTTCATTCTAGGAGAAAACTTGGGGAAGGACACAGAAGACGACGATTATCAGGAAGCGCTAACGAGCTTTCGTTCCGTGATGGGACAAATACTCGGCTCAGCCGAACCGCTCTCTTTAGGTGCCCTGAATGCCATGCGGAGCCATTTTCCAGACAAAAGGGAGCATTACAAAGTGGAAGACGTGGTAGAACATATGGGGTCGCTGCTAAGCGGCACCACCAATTCATATAGCCCGATCCGACCCCTTCATGCATCCTTCCGCGAATTCCTGACAGACAAATCATCCAGCAAAGACTTTTTCGTGGAGGTGTCGAACTCGCATTGCAATCTTGCTTTTGCGTCACTTGGAGTGATGGCAGATGACCTTCGCTTCAACATGTGTAATTTAAAGTCTTCATACCTTCCCAATAGCGAAGACACCGAACTGCCAGATCGAGTCGCAACATGTATTTCCCTCGCATCTATCCTATTCCTGTCGATTTTGGGCTAGGCACGCACGAGAATCGGACTTCGACACGGAGCTCGGAAAGGAAATAAGAACATTCTTCAACAACGAGCGGCTACTCTTCTGGATTGAAGCACTCGGCCTTCTCAACGAACTCGGCGTTGCAGTTGCCGTGCTTCCAATCATTTCCAAGTGGCTGAAGGTGAGAACACAGTCATCTGGTGGTGTCAGGGGAAATCCTTACGCGCGAACACAGGGCCAAACCGGATACGAAGACGTGTTGTCCACTGCAACGGATGTGCAGAGATTCGTCCAAGTTTTTGGTGGGATGATTTCGCACAGCACCCCGCATCTGTATGTATCAGCGCTGCCATTTTCGCCCATCAAGTCCACCATAGCTCCATGGTTTACTGAAAGATTTCCCAACACTCTCCGTCTGATGCATGGACGTCTTGCGAACTGGCCTGTCATTCAGACCGTGATCAGTGGGCACACTGGTTTCGTTTGGTCAGCCTCGTTCTCCCCCGATGGCACTCGCATCGTGTCTGGTTCTTCAGATTCCACTGTCCGGCTGTGGGATGCAGCGACGGGGCTGCCATTGGGTGAGCCCTTCCGAGGGCACACTGAAGAGGTTTTGTCAGTCTCGTTCTCCCCCGATGGCACTCGCATCGTGTCTGGTTCAAGAGATTCCACTGTCCGGCTGTGGGATGCAGCGACGGGGCTGCCATTGGGTGAGCCCTTCCGAGGGCACACTGAAGAGGTTTACTCAGTCTCGTTCTCCCCCGATGGCACTCGCATTGTGTCTGGTTCAGAAGATTCCACTGTCCGGCTGTGGGATGCAGCGACGGGGCTGCCATTGGGTGAGCCCTTCCGAGGGCACACTGATTGGGTTTGGTCAGTCTCGTTCTCCCCCGATGGCACTCGCATCGTGTCTGGTTCAAGAGATTCCACTGTCCGGCTGTGGGATGCAGCGACGGGGCTGCCATTGGGTGAGCCCTTCCGAGGGCACACTCATTCGGTTCACTCAGTCTCGTTCTCCCCCGATGGCACTCGCATCGTGTCTGGTTCAAGAGATTCCACTGTCCGGCTGTGGGATGCAGCGACGGGGCTGCCATTGGGTGAGCCCTTCCGAGGGCACACTGATTGGGTTTGGTCAGTCTCGTTCTCCCCCGATGGCACTCGCATCGTGTCTGGTTCTTCAGATTCCACTGTCCGGCTGTGGGATGCAGCGACGGGGCTGCCATTGGGTGAGCCCTTCCGAGGGCACACTCATTCGGTTTGGTCAGTCTCGTTCTCCCCCGATGGCACTCGCATCGTGTCTGGTTCTTGGGATTCCACTGTCCGGCTGTGGGATGCAGCGACGGGGCTGCCATTGGGTGAGCCCTTCCGAGGGCACACTCATTCGGTTTACTCAGTCTCGTTCTCCCCCGATGGCACTCGCATCGTGTCTGGTTCAAGAGATTCCACTGTCCGGCTGTGGGATGCAGCGACGGGGCTGCCATTGGGTGAGCCCTTCCGAGGGCACACTTCTTCGGTTTCGTCAGTCTCGTTCTCCCCCGATGGCACTCGCATCGTGTCTGGTTCAAGAGATTCCACTGTCCGGCTGTGGGATGCAGCGACGGGGCTGCCATTGGGTGAGCCCTTCCGAGGGCACACTCATTCGGTTTACTCAGTCTCGTTCTCCCCCGATGGCACTCGCATCGTGTCTGGTTCAGAAGATTCCACTGTCCGGCTGTGGGATGCAGCGACGGGGCTGCCATTGGGTGAGCCCTTCCGAGGGCACACTCATTCGGTTTACTCAGTCTCGTTCTCCCCCGATGGCACTCGCATCGTGTCTGGTTCAGAAGATTCCACTGTCCGGCTGTGGGATGCAGCGACGGGGCTGCCATTGGGTGAGCCCTTCCGAGGGCACACTCGTTCGGTTTGGTCAGTCTCGTTCTCCCCCGATGGCACTCGCATCGTGTCTGGTTCAGAAGATTCCACTGTCCGGCTGTGGGATGCAGCGACGGGGCTGCCATTGGGTGAGCCCTTCCGAGGGCACACTCGTTCGGTTTGGTCAGTCTCGTTCTCCCCCGATGGCACTCGCATCGTGTCTGGTTCAGAAGATTCCACTGTCCGGCTGTGGGATGCAGCGACGGGGCTGCCATTGGGTGAGCCCTTCCGAGGGCACACTCGTTCGGTTTGGTCAGTCTCGTTCTCCCCCGATGGCACTCGCATCGTGTCTGGTTCAGAAGATTCCATTGTCCGGCTGTTGAATGCAGCGACAGGGCAGCAATTCCAGGAGCACGCTGAGATCCACTCCCCTGCAATCTCTTCGCATAGACGTCCCACCACACCTTGCAATCGCGCCATTTGCTTCTCATCAAACTTGGACCATGCACTGCAGGACCCTGCTGAGCTGCTCAAGGGCACCTCTCATCATGATCTTAATTCAACCCCTGTCGTGCTGAAAGATGATGGATGGATGGTAGGAGCCGATCGTCGGCTGCTTTTCTGGGTACCACTTGCTTCCCGACGAGAACCATTTTATTATCCTGAAACCGTATGGGCTACCAGTGGGCTAGAATTTGATTTGAGTCGCATGGCTCATGGAGAACACTGGTCGAATTGTCGAAATGCGTGAGTTCTTAGCCTTGACCGTCCCTCATGATTACTAAATCAATATTTTTAGCGCTACTTGCACATGATTCAGTTGTTGTAACACCGCGTATACAGTTTTGTTCTATATCAATCATATATCTGCCATTGAGCTTGCATTTGAAGTTATCAAGTGACGCTGAGATGATCCGTCGAAAACCAGACTAGGTATGAGTCCAAGTGCTATCGCTAGTTTGTGCGAGCGCGTAATACTCAGGACTATGAATCAAGTGATTATATTACCTGAGAGACGTTACGCCCTTGAATACCTGTCGTGCAGTCGATGATAAAAGCCCTTCAAAGCCTGGGTGACCATCGACGCCGAGATGACCTTCGAGTCTTCCTTGTTCTTCAGGATCTTTAAAATCCCTCCTCTCACCGTTTTCCATCGACTCGGAACACAAGCAACAAGTTAACATGATGCTTTGATTGAGACAACGTCCATTCCTTGTGTTGTTATTCCGGTACCAATTATCTCAAATCAAGTTCGACGGGTATCGGAAGTTTTCCAGGCCCACGAAGTTCTCTTTAAGATGCTTCTCGCGGAAACGAACCGGTAGATATGATCCATCACATCGTACATTTTGCAATCCCAAAGATCCAAGATATTAACGTCTCCTCATTATTGCAAGAATTCCCGCCCGCCCTAGGACTTAGAACAACAAACTTGCAGCGGCATCCACATTCCCACCCGCCGCATCTAACATGCTGATCGCCACCTCCCGTGATACGCCAAGTCCCATGATCAGCTCGACAGCAGAATCTGGGTGTCGTGACTGGGCAGCGGCGGGACGTGTCGGTGCACGTGGCGTAGGCGCCGAACCCAGCGTGTTTCCTCCACCTGGGAACGACGGACTGCTAGTCCCAGCATTTCTATGGCATGTATTAGTTAGGGCTGGATGATAGATAACAAGCGACTCACCTCTGCCTCTAGCAAAGCCATCACGTTCTCAAGCTCCATGTCAGGGTCGATGACAACAGCATGAGACTGTCCTAGAACCGTCACGAACATCAACTGCACCATTGCCACGTTCGCTGTCTATCAGTATTGTTTTGGCTCGAAACCAGAGAGTAAGCGGAAGCTAGAGTCTCAAGGGATCGGAACAAGTTTGAATTGTGGGTGCTGTACTAACTGGGAGTAATGCAGATATGATCAAGAGAGAAAGTGAACGTGATTCCTATGATCGGCTTTCAGGCGAATTTGTATTCCGACAATCCTGTGCTGATCGATACTAGTATGAATGATCATCGTGGACGAGAACACGCTCGAATGATGTGGGAACATGGGACGCATCTCAGATTCAGAATTGACAGTAGTGAAAGTTTACCCCAAGATAATTACGGCATTTTCTCCAGCTGCCAGTGCCAGCGCTATTTGTTCTTGTGAATCCGAGTCCCAAGATCTCCTGAAGGCCCGGTCACGCCAGGCCTCAACTTGTGCTTATGGCACGTCAGTCACTATATGCTTCTATTGATGTATGGCACCCCCCTTCATGCATGTGTGCCCACTTATGCCGACGCCATCTTCTAGGGACATGGACATTTGGACGAGTTCGAGTCCTCGCCACCAATCCCCCTTCTCTCCCAAATTTTGTCCCACTCCCTCTTTCGTGGTCTCTCGTCGACTCCCTGATGCTTCCACCTCTCCTGGATCAAGGTCACCAGGTGGCACATCTTTCTGGGCCGCCGGCTGGGTTCCTCAGATCCCATCGCCTCTCTCTTTTGCAGCAAGCCGCTCTGCAGTTCTCGAGGCCTCACCTCTACTCACCTTTTTTCTTATGACACTTGCAGTGGTGGGCTCATTTCTCTCACCAAGCACAAGTTCCTTCTGGTCTGCAACTCTGTCTTGGCGGTGCATAGCCTACCTCGCATCTCACACCATTGTTTCTGCATTGGCGGGACAACTACACTTCTTCTCCGCAATATGTCTCCGCACGTTGTCAAAGCCATAGGCCGCTGGTCCTCAGATTCCTTCGCGTTTATTGGAACACATTGCACCTCTCCATGCAGAGCTCCTTGGACCCAATTTCTTACTTGCTCTTCATGCAGCAACATTCAGGATTTATAGTTCTCTGTCTTTTCAGTCTCGTCCATCATCCTCTTCGTTTTGGTTGTGTCCGTCGCCCTCTTCCCGTTCTGATGCCTGTTTCATTGGCTCTCGACGTGTCCTGTGGCCTCCTCACGGTCCACCCCCCTCAGACCTTTGGTTTTTAGACTGATATGCTTATTTTCCTCATAGCACACGCTGCATTTACTCTAGTCCTGTAGTCTGTCCGCACCCAAAACACGCAGGCGCGACTTGCGCATTTTCTCTCGTATGCTGGATCTCTTCCCTTCTCGTTAGCACAGACTGGCGCAGCACAACCCGGATTCGACCTCCAGAGATTGGTAAGCATACCCATTCGCCTACGCCACGACTCAGCGTCCTTTCAACATTTTCCAACTCGGTCCTCTCCCTGTGGCGCTAATACCGTCTATTCAATTGTCTAGCATCCCATTCAGCAGATTCGCCGTTGATCATACATCCAAATCTCCTTGCCGTCGGCCTCCAGCAGCGCGTGTCATCCTTGGATTGACAGTAGTTCACTCCTCGACGCCAACTTGAAGACAACATCAAAGCGCACAACAACATTAGGAAGGGATGTGGCAAAAACGGAGCAACTAGTATTCTTGCATGAGTTGCAAGTGTGCTCTGCTCCATATCCTCGATTCATATCATGAGTGACCTTCCTGGGTGCAGTAACGCGTCAATACCTATGCCACGATACCCAACACCTGTACTTTCCTTTGGTAGACAACAACTCTGTGCATCATCATTTTATCGGAGTCTGCGAGTAATGATCCAACATATAAGACTAGCATGTTAGATAAATTACCGTCTCTACGAGAAGTTACAGTTCAAAGGTGCTCGCAAGTGTGGCAATAACTAAGGTGCTTTACAACGAAGCTTGTACTCATTCCTAAGCATGTCGAACATGAATGCGCCCTCCATAACAAGACTCCCACGATAATCGGTGGGCCATATGGCTGAGATCGAGTGGAGGGTTGAGTGCTGGGACAACCCACCGCATCCCCAGAGGGTACCGCAGGGTATTGTAGTTTGACGAGACCCAAAAGAGAAGCCTGTCCTCCGGTCCAATACAACCCATATTGCCGAATCCTCCAATGTATCTTGTGTTGGAGCAGTGATTTCGTCGAGAAGCGCAGCAATATCAACAAGAGCATGCCCCGGGTGCAGGGGAAAACGTATGGGGTGTTCTAGGTCATGGCTTGTGCATTGTGTGGATGGATCGAGATCCAGACACGATGTCGATCTCACCTGACGGAACTGCAACAGAACTGACAACCGTCGACGTCTCGCCAGTCTCAACATCCCACAGCCGCATGGTGTGGTCATATGACAGCGACACGATGCGCTAGCCATCCGGTGAAAATGTAACAGAGGTGACATATGACTGGTGTCCCTGGAGAGGTGGCCGCAGCAGCCCCACCAGAAGAAGCCAGAGACGCTCGCCGACCTCAGCATCCCAAACCTGGATGATACCTCAATATAACCCCGCAACGATGCGCTTGCCATCGCAGGGCATGGGACACTGGAATTTGCACGCATCACCTGCTGAATCATTGGTCATCACAAATTGTGGCCAAAATTGATTGAAGGAAATGGATTTACGAACTTTGTGGAGATGCACGAGTCACGACTCCAACGGCAGCGCAGATAAGGGGTGCTGAAGGAAATAGAACGGATGGATCTCTGGGGATCTGCAGCGTGGTCCGAGATATCTTTGCATTCTGCAGGGTGGAGCTGGTTCACATCTGAACAACTGAGGGCTCTGGCACGAGGCTTGACTCACTCGATCACATATGACAGTGAGCCAACCGCCGTGTTAATGGCCTTGAGCAGACTCGGCACGTCCAACCAGAATAGTGAGCGTTCGTAATTGAAGGATGCTCAAACCACCTCAGCGAAGTGCAAGTGAAAAACTGCTTTTCACAGATGGTCAGTAGCTCGATGGTGATTTGATGTTTGCCTCGTTCATGCAGGTTGGAAATTTTGGTAAGGGCTGGGTAGTTTGTGTATGTTGAATGTGCTCTACGACTGCAAGAGACCTTGTGAACGCGATACGTGTTGACGCCACTCTGCTTGCTATCTGTGAGAAAATCGGGAAAGGATACATGAAATGGACAGGATCGATCGGTGGTGCCAGTCAGAAGTGCATTAACGAAGTCCGAGTTCAAGTTGTCCTCGGGAAAGCAAGTGGCCGGGTGATGTACTTCTATCGATCGGCTTCGAAACGTTCATAGTGCAAACAAGGTGATTTTGAAGAAGTACAGGGCAAAGGGCGACTCGGCTAGCGCTCAGTGTGGCGTTGTACACAGACACCACTAGTAGTTTAGCCCTATAGCCTCCATACAAGTTCATCCTGACGATTGTGATGGCTTTCGTTGTGCCATTTATCTATTTCACAAGTAACTTACCCGCACCAGCCCGCACCCTTGTTCCATGATAAACGATCCTGAAGTTTCCTTAGCGTTTGCACCACCCAGTGCCCACGCTCCTGCAATGCCCAATTAATATAATATAGATCAACTTGAATGATTAGCGCTGCCTTGAGGCTTGTGGACGTCAAAGCTGTGCGGCTGCTTGTTATTTAAATTCTGGTTCTACCGTCCCCTCCATATAATTCAACTCGTATCCATTTCCCTCAGCCTGATAACAATCTTTCACCCTTCGCAATGACTGAAGACCACAGACCGGAACCTCCTCCAGAGGCCTCCCCTCCATCCAGAGAAGCAACTCCTGCTGATAGCTCGGTACGTGCTCTCGTGAGATCACTGTCGACGAGCGCTAACAACATTATCATTGCGGCCTCTGACGCATCCTTCATCCAGAACCAGCCCCGTGGCAGATTCTGTCGGGCCCTCCGGAAATTTAAGAAGAATGTGATTAAAAAAGTCTCTGTACGTCGACCTGAATCCTTGGGGAGCTAGAATATTGCTCATATTGTGCAGAAACCCTTCAAGCGTTCCCGCCACCAAATCCCTGCTGTCCAGGACGCAGATCATGAAGGTGTTTCATCGAATCAGAATACTGAGGTAAGTAGTCATTGTTTTCATCTTGAACTTGTCTGAGGTCCACCAAGGATGCGTCTCGTCTGCATCCTTCCGATGGTGATAAGCCCACCACACCTGGGAATCCCGGTGACTCTGTGAACCAAGGAGCGTCTGGAGAACCTGCCTCGAAGGTACTTAGGCCAACCAATATGGTTTTCATCTCTAATTATTCTGGTGGTCGTCTAGGTTGTTGACGGCTCTTCTGGTGTGGAAGAAATTCCTGATCCCCAATCAGTTGATGCCGCACTTCAAGCTGCCGGTGAGGGTATAGAAGGTATGGGACTACTCGGGAAACCTGTAAAATCTGTGGCATCCGCAGCCAAGGATGGCCCAGCAGGTCTCGATGCCGTAGACGATTTCCAGACCGCATATCTTCAATCACTCAAAATCTTCGACACTGTCATTGCGGAACTTGCGGATGTATGTGCCACTCTCTTATGTTGGAAGCGAGCTAATTAAGTTGCATAGGTACATCCTTATGCAAAGATGGTGCTGGGTCTGCTGTCTGCTGCATCCAAAGTACGTGTAGTCTTGCCCTCCTTGTTCAGCAGTTGTTGACTCTATGCAGATTATTATCGCTCAAGCAGAACGCGACCAATCGGTACAATCTCTTCTCGAGAAATTAGGAGAAGTTTACCTCTTCATGTCGCAAAAGGATACTCTTAGCCAGATCCCATCCCAGCGCAATATCGCTGGACGGATCGCCCAGCAGACTCTAGAGTGTGCGCGTTTCATCAGGGACTACTCGAAGAAAAAGAACTTTTGTAAGTTATCGAGCTATTGCACTCCGCATATTGTGAATCTTATACCACTACCACAGTGAAGAGACTCGTGGAAAATGCTGTCTCGGGGACGGATGATCTGATTGCACAGTACAACAACGCTTTGGAAAAGCTTATGCAACAATTTCGGGATCAAGCTATTCGGGACATAGCCGATCTTGTCCGGTATACGAGTAAGAATTTGGACGTACTTCTGACTATGCATCCACTCATACCCCTTCAGGTGACGAACTGGGTGAGAAACTGGATCTCAGCGGTATGCCTTACGCAGCGGGCGCGGGACTAAATACCACGAAACAATGCCTGCCAGGGACACGCACGGGCATTCTCTCCCAGATCACTGAATGGATCAACGACAGTAGAGATACTGCTCAGCGTGTGCTGTGGCTATCTGGCCCTGCAGGCACGGGCAAATCAGCCATCGCTCACACAATAGCTAACTGGTTCAACAACTCGGGAGGACTTGGCTCGTGTTTCTGCTTCGACCGGGATCTTAAAACCGACGAGCGTCATAAAAAAGTGTTCTCCACCATCGCTCGTGACCTCGCGGACCGTGATCCGGAGATCAAACGAGCATTGGCGAATGCAGTCGAAAATGCAAATGCGCTCAAGAACACGGCGGATATCATCCAGCAGTGGCAGAAGCTTTTTATGGAACCGCTAAAGAAGTTTTCAGGGTCGACTGTGGGGCCTGTCTTGATTGTGATCGAAGCGTTGGATGAGAGCGGTGGAGTCGAGACACGGCGCAACCTTCTCCGCATACTTGCCGGTACACTGGAGGGCGAAGGTGTTCCCAAAATCACCGAACTCCCATCCAACTTCCGGATTCTCGTCACGTCTCGCCCGCTTCAGGATATCAATTCTGAATTTCGGGATGCTCCACATATTCAACCGTTATCCATGGACAAAATTCCAGAGGAAGTCTCGAAGAGAGACATCTGTTCTTTTGTATCTCACGAGCTGAAAAAGTTGTCTGGTCTTGGGGACAAAGAGTTCGCAGTCCTCGCTGACAAAGCAGATGGACTATTCGAGTGGGCACGTCTTGCATGCGAATACATCCAAAAGCCCTCTGGTTACTCACGCACAATTGAACGCTTTAACGCTGTCGTGTCCCACGATCATGGAGAGCGGAAAAAGTTGTTGTATGGCATGTATAGGTTTATTTTAGGAGAAAACATGGGGGAAGACAGCACATCAATCGAGTATCAGCGAGCGCTGGCAAGGTTTCATTCCGTGATGGGACAAATACTTGGCTCAGCCGAACCCCTCCCATTAGATGCCCTGAATGCCATGCGGAGCCATTTCCCAGACGAAAGCGAGCGTTACGAGGTGGAACTCGTGGTGGCAGATATGGGATCCCTGCTGAGCGGTACCACCAACTCATCTAGCCCCATCCGACCCCTTCACGCATCCTTCCGCGAATTCCTGACAGATAAATCCAGCAAAGACTTTTTCGTGGAGATGGCGAACTCGCAACGCAATCTTGCTTTTGCGTCACTTCGTGTGATGGAAGACAACCTTCGCTTCAACATGTGTAATTTAAAGTCTTCGTACCTTCCCAATAGCGAAGACACCGAACTGCCAGATCGAGTCGCAACATGTATTCCCTCGCATCTATCCTATTCCTGTCGATTTTGGGCTAGGCACGCACGAGAATCGGACTTCGACACGGAGCTCGGAAAGGAAATAAGAACATTCTTCAACAACGAGCGGCTACTCTTCTGGATTGAAGCACTCGGCCTTCTCAACGAACTCGGCGTTGCAGTTGCCGTGCTTCCAATCATTTCCAAGTGGCTGAAGGTGAGAACACAGTCATCTGGTGGTGTCAGGGGAAATACTTACGCGCGAACACAGGGCCAAACCGGATACGAAGACGTGTTGTCCACTGCAACGGATGTGCAGAGATTCGTCCAAGTTTTTGGTGGGATGATTTCGCACAGCACCCCGCATCTGTATGTATCAGCGCTGCCATTTTCGCCCATCAAGTCCACCATAGCTCCATGGTTTACTGAAAGATTTCCCAACACTCTCCGTCTGATGCATGGACGTCTTGCGAACTGGCCTGTCATTCAGACCGTGATCAGTGGGCACACTCGTTCGGTTTTGTCAGCCTCGTTCTCCCCCGATGGCACTCGCATCGTGTCTGGTTCTTCAGATTCCACTGTCCGGCTGTGGGATGCAGCGACGGGGCTGCCATTGGGTGAGCCCTTCCGAGGGCACACTGATTCGGTTAGGTCAGTCTCGTTCTCCCCCGATGGCACTCGCATCGTGTCTGGTTCAGATGATTCCACTGTCCGGCTGTGGGATGCAGCGACGGGGCTGCCATTGGGTGAGCCCTTCCGAGGGCACACTGATTCGGTTTACTCAGTCTCGTTCTCCCCCGATGGCACTCGCATCGTGTCTGGTTCAAGAGATTCCACTGTCCGGCTGTGGGATGCAGCGACGGGGCTGCCATTGGGTGAGCCCTTCCGAGGGCACACTCATTCGGTTTACTCAGTCTCGTTCTCCCCCGATGGCACTCGCATCGTGTCTGGTTCTTCAGATTCCACTGTCCGGCTGTGGGATGCAGCGACGGGGCTGCCATTGGGTGAGCCCTTCCGAGGGCACACTAATTCGGTTAGGTCAGTCTCGTTCTCCCCCGATGGCACTCGCATCGTGTCTGGTTCTTCAGATTCCACTGTCCGGCTGTGGGATGCAGCGACGGGGCTGCCATTGGGTGAGCCCTTCCGAGGGCACACTGAAGAGGTTTGGTCAGTCTCGTTCTCCCCCGATGGCACTCGCATCGTGTCTGGTTCTTTGGATTCCACTGTCCGGCTGTGGGATGCAGCGACGGGGCTGCCATTGGGTGAGCCCTTCCGAGGGCACACTGAAGAGGTTTTGTCAGTCTCGTTCTCCCCCGATGGCACTCGCATCGTGTCTGGTTCTTCGGATTCCACTGTCCGGCTGTGGGATGCAGCGACGGGGCTGCCATTGGGTGAGCCCTTCCGAGGGCACACTGATTCGGTTTACTCAGTCTCGTTCTCCCCCGATGGCACTCGCATCGTGTCTGGTTCAAGAGATTCCACTGTCCGGCTGTGGGATGCAGCGACGGGGCTGCCATTGGGTGAGCCCTTCCGAGGGCACACTGATTCGGTTTACTCAGTCTCGTTCTCCCCCGATGGCACTCGCATCGTGTCTGGTTCAGAAGATTCCACTGTCCGGCTGTGGGATGCAGCGACGGGGCTGCCATTGGGTGAGCCCTTCCGAGGGCACACTCATTCGGTTCAGTCAGTCTCGTTCTCCCCCGATGGCACTCGCATCGTGTCTGGTTCTTCAGATTCCACTGTCCGGCTGTGGGATGCAGCGACGGGGCTGCCATTGGGTGAGCCCTTCCGAGGGCACACTGATCCGGTTTCGTCAGTCTCGTTCTCCCCCGATGGCACTCGCATCGTGTCTGGTTCTTGGGATTCCACTATCCGGCTGTGGGATGCAGCGACGGGGCTGCCATTGGGTGAGCCCTTCCGAGGGCACACTGATCGGGTTTGGTCAGTCTCGTTCTCCCCCGATGGCACTCGCATCGTGTCTGGTTCTTCGGATTCCACTGTCCGGCTGTGGGATGCAGCGACGGGGCTGCCATTGGGTGAGCCCTTCCGAGGGCACACTCATTCGGTTCAGTCAGTCTCGTTCTCCCCCGATGGCACTCGCATCGTGTCTGGTTCTTGGGATTCCACTGTCCGGCTGTGGGATGCAGCGACGGGGCTGCCATTGGGTGAGCCCTTCCGAGGGCACACTTCTTCGGTTTGGTCAGTCTCGTTCTCCCCCGATGGCACTCGCATCGTGTCTGGTTCAGAAGATTCCACTGTCCGGCTGTTGAATGCAGCGACAGGGCAGCAATTCCAGGAGCACGCTGAGATCCACTCCCCCGCATTCTCTTCAGATAGACGTCCTACCACACCTTGCAATCGCGCCATTTGCTTCGCATCAAGCTTGCACCATGCATTGCAGGACCCTGCTGAGCTGCTCAAGGGCACCTCTCATCATGATCTTAATTCCACCTCTGTTTGGCTGGAAAATGACGCCTCTTCGGAAGAAGATTCCTCGGAAGATTACGTCTCGCAGGAAGTTGATGCCTCGCAGGCAGTTCATGTCTCGCTGGAAACTGATGGATGGATGGTAGGAGCCAATCGTCGGCTGCTTTTCTGGGTACCACCTGCATCCCGAGAACGACCATTTTATTCTCCTGGGACTGCATTTGTGATACCCAGTGGGCAAGAGATTGATTTGAGTCGCATGGCACATGGAGAACAATGGTGGAAATGCCGAGATGTGTGAGTTCTTAGCTTTGACCATCCCTCATAGTTACTAAATCAATATTTCCAGCGCTACTTGCACATGATCCAGTTGTTGTAACACCGCGTATACAGTTTTGTTCTATATCAATCATATATCTGTTATCGAGCTTGCATTTGAAGTTGTTCAAGTGACACTGAGATGATCCGCCGAAAACCAGACTGGGTATGAGTCGAAATGCTGCCGCTAGTTTGTGCGAGCGCGTACCGAGGACTATGAATCGAGTGATTATATCACCTGAGATACGTTGCGCCCTTGAATCCCTGTGGTGCAGTTGATGATCAAAACCAACCTTCGAGTCTTCCTTGTTCTTCAGGATGCTTTAAAATCCCTCCTCTCAACGTTGTTCATCGACTAGGACAAGCAACAAGTTAACACGATGCTTTGATTGATACAACGTCGATTCCTAGCGTTGTTATTCCGATTCCAATTATCTTAAATCAAGTTCGACGGGCATTGGAAGTTCTCCCGGGCCACGAAGTTCTCTTTGATGCTTCTCGCCGAAACGAACCGGTAGATATGATCCATCACATCATACATTTTTCCAACATTCAAGAATATTAATGTCTCCTCATCATTGCAAGAATTCCCGCCCACCCTAGGACTTAGAACAACAAACTTGCAGCGGCATCCACATTCCCACCCGCCGCATCTAACATGCTGATCGCCACCTCCCGTGATACGCCAAGTCCCATGATCAGCTCGATAGCAGAATCTGGGTGTCGTGACTGGGCAGCGGCGGGACGTGTCGGTGCACGTGGCGTAGGCGCCGAACCCAGCGTGTTTCCTCCACCTGGGAACGACGAACTGCTAGTCCTAGCATTCCTACCACCACTCGGTTGTGCAGGTTGTGGAGCGCTACCGGAAGAGCCCGCGGTAGACGCACCGGGATCGTCCACTCCAGACTCGATCATCCGTGCTTTCTCGGGGAGCTCGTGTTCAGAGAGGAAGCTTACTTCGCGCCCTTGGATACGCAGCACAGATTTTTCAAGGTCAATGCATGCTTGGTGTGCCTTCAGCATGTCGAGCCCGAGGAGAAGATCTACATCACGACCCTCGAGTTTGCATGAGCCTCATGATCGGGGAAGATATACCGGAAAAGAAGGAAGACCGACCTCCATTATCGTGAACGAACACGGAAGATGCAAGTCCGCAAGTCGCATCTGTGCACTATGCACACGTCCCAGAATTTTCGCAGTCCCCACTCCACGTGCGATGCCTGCAAATCGCCCGTCAATGAGACGCATTATCCTGTCATACGTCAGTTTCGTCTAATGCAGGGGGAAAATGCGTACCCGCATGCTTCTGCGCATTCGGGGCTCACTACACAAGTTGGGTTAAGTCAGACAGACACGAAAAGGGTGGGACAAGACGTACTGATTGTCTGTTGCGCTCCGCTATCCACAAACGCCTTCACAGGATGTGAGTTCACCTCCACCGGTACGCTACCGTCTATCAGAACCTTTACACGCTGAAGTCGGACAGATACTCACTAAAGCATCGTCACCCGCCCAAACGCCTCCGGGGAGTATTCAAGTGCATGCTCCATATTTTCCATGACCGCCTGTTGACGGATAGCTTCTTCGATACGACGCTGCGCCTCGACATCGAACGGGTCAGCATTAAGAGCTGAGATCTCGCGCTGCCGACCAAGTTCAGCTTGTTGTGCGCGGTCACGTTGCTGTCGCAGGAGCTCTGCAAAACGTGTGGGGTCGGACTGGGCAAGCCGCAGCTATTTCCGGTAGTGTCTGAGCGAGGAAGACTCAGTGAGAAACTAGAGAAAGCGAGAAACAATAATCACGCACTTCTTGTAATTGTCTCATAAGTTGCGGATCTCCAAGAATTTGTAGTCTCATCATCTCTGCATCTTGTTCTATGGGTCTGTAAAGAATCATCAATGCATGCGTGCAATGAAGGCCGAGAACAGGATTAGATGCTCACCTGCCTTCGGGCCCGGGAACGTTGACACGCCTGCGTAAGAGGAGGATAGCGTGTTCGCCCACACCAAGCGCCCGGATGGTAGCCTTTGGATCTGTAAGTTCACGCCCGTTGTGCGAGATGCTTTGTTCGCTGGGGGGTATACTCGACTGCATGATCCAGAGTCGTAGACAGTACCGTGCAGGTCATCGTATGAGCAGAGGAACGGGGAGGAAGCAAAGACAAGGGAATTGGCATGTATTAGTTGGGGCTGGATAATAGATAACAAGAGACTCACCTCTGCCTCTAGCAAAGCCATCACGTTCTCAAGCTCCATATCAGGGTCGATATCAACGGCATACGACTGGCCTAGATCCGTCACGAACGTCAACTGCATCGTTGCCGCGTTCGCTGTCTGGCAGTATTGTTTTGGCTCGAAACCGGTGTATATGAAAGTGTAAGCAGAAGCTAGAGTTTCAAGGAAACGGAGCAAGTTTGGATTGTGGGTGCTGTACTAACTGGGAATAATGCAGGTATGATCAAGAGAGAAAGTGAACGTGATTCCTAAGGCGCTTTATAACATCGGCTGTCAAGCGCCTTTGTATTCTGACAATCCTGTGCTGATCGACACATGCATTTAAGTAGTATGATCGTCTGATGATCATCGTGGACGAGAACACGCTCGAATGATGTAGAAGCAAAATAAGAACACGGGACACATCTGACGTGTCAAACCTAGGTTAGGTTGATAAGATTAGGAAACGGCTTATGATAAGAATGGTAGTAGTACAGATTCCTTGGAGGAAAGCTCATCAATAGAAAAGAATAATAAACCAGTCAGATGACTGTCTAAGGGGGTATGCTACAATCGCACACCACGTACAAACCTGCTCCTTGCAATTGCAGACCTGTAAGAGACAATTCTCGGTGAGTGCTTTACCATAATTGTTTCACAGAATACTTACAGACGAGACCCCGCTCCTGCAGGGACATTTGACATAAGCGCGCTCTCCAACGCTGACGCCGAAAAGCTTGCTTCTACAACAACATTGACATGAGGGAGACTGAAGATAAAAAGAATCACGTACCGCTTATGTCGCTAAAGCTCGAGGCAGAGCTCCCATGACTGCTCTCCTGCTCGCTAAGCCCTGCAAGTGGTCCATAACGCATGTGCGGCTGCCCCCGTGCGTTCCGCGTCGACACTGTTGGCGGGCTGCTCGACTTGCTCGTAGAGAGATGCCGGGCCATCGGAGATTGAGACTCTGGCGGGGGGGACGGGATCGAAGGGATCGAACCCTGCGGAGAAGATGCACTTGACACAGACGCGCTATGATCGCGGTTCCGTTCTTCATTTTTGAAGCTCTCATCGTTGCGTCTGAAACCTATAGTATCCTCACCCTCGCGTCCAGGGCGAAAGATAGGCACTGGCGCACGCCCGCGGATCACATCTCGTGCTTTGCCTTTCTCAGGGGATAGTGGTGAACTAACAAGGCCGAGGGCCTCGCTCGTCATCATGCGCTTCAGGCTTGCAAGTTTGCGTGACAAGGCTTCCTCTTCCTCTGCCGCACGGTCCGCTTCTTCTTCCTTGGCGGCTTGCTCATCCTCGGAATCACTCTCGTCAGATGAGAACGGAGAGGGAAGGCGTAGGGGTCTCTTGACTTGAGTTCCCTGAAGAGTTGACGTTGACGAGGATGCTGTTTTCTTGCACTTGGCAGGTGATTGGACAGAGTTGTGTTGGGTGAGGGAGTTGAGCCGTGCACGGACGCCAAGAGGCGTTGCCAGCCTAGAGGTGGACAGCCTACGGGCGCTATTGATAGAGTTGAAGCGCGCAGCAGGAATCTTAATGGAGAGGGGGCGATCTGGGAGGACAGGTGTTACCTCTGTAGACTTGGTGGCGGGCTGGTTCCCAGCGTGGAAGCCTTGCAGTCCTCGGAGATCATCTTCGTATCGGGCCTGTGCACGATAAAGTAGATACGGAAGTGGCACTTCCAGATGCGCTGCGAGGCCTTTCCCTGTTGGTGATTCGGTATAAGCTCGATATGACGCTGTCTATATCAACTGGTAGATTACTCACAATCCGTGCCACCATTATCGCTCGTCCGAGAGAGTGCGATAACCTCCCATAGAATATTAGCCTTCTCCGCGTTCCATTCAATCTGTACAGACCAAGCTCGTTCAGCCAAGAACCCAGAGAACTACAACTGCCAATACGCACATGGGGAGGATCGGGAAGTGGGTTATCAGGACGGTTGTAAGGGAGCTGCACAACGACACGAATGCGTGGCTGCTGGGGCATAGCGGAGCTATTTGAAAGATACTGATTAGTCCTACTAATAGGAGACCGTCGCTGAGAACAATGCCCTCTTATACGCGCTCGCTGATGGACGCGACCGTGAAGTCACGAAGGCTTTTAATTGATTACCAAATTCGGTCGACCTCCTTTTATATTCATTCGTCCAACTCAACACAGCATCAAACTCTTTTATCTATACAAAATGTCGCATTCTGGATCCAAGCTCGAAGTTGAAGACGAGGAGAACAGGCAGCAGAGGATAGGTGAGCAAGTCTATTTGACACACGACCGCTGGCTCATTGACAGTCATATCTAGGTAACCTCCTCGAGCAATTGAACAGCTCTTCACCATCTAGGAATACATCCGATGGTGCTCCACCAACTTTCGACTTTGGTGAGCGAAAAACATACGCAGTAGACCCTCCAAGCGAACGTGCGTCGTCTTTTCTCATATTCTATGGGTATGAATTTTAAATATTTCGATGGACAGTGCTCGCACGCATCCAAGACTTCCTCCCCCGCCTCAAGGAAGAGAACGACTCGCTTGCCCAGCGTATCCGGGACAACCCATCGAGCGTAGATATCGAAAATATCGAAGAGGACGCAGAGCAGTACATCGAAATGGCACGTCCTAATCCCAACCATTCCAAAACACAAAAAACTCATGATCTTTTTCATAGAATCTCGGATTGGGTGTGTTGGAGACGCGGCCCAAGGATTCAGACTCTTATTCAGACGATGAAGATTCCGAAAGCGAAGATTCGTCATCGTCATCGTCATCGTTCTCGTCTTCTCCCTCACCCGACTCATCCTCCTCAGCATCAGACTCAGAATCAGACGGGTCAGACTCAGACAGCATTCCAGACTCAGACTCTTCATCGATTGGCATAACAGCTATATCTTCCCGCCCACTCAAGCCCCTCCCTCGGCGTACTGCACAGTTTGATATCGACATGCTTCCTGATCCACCTTCCGCCGGCTAGACACGGGGATAATCACTTTCGATCCGGCTCCCTTCACATCAACGATCCCCGAATCCAACTTTGGCGACTCATGAAAGCTCATTTGGACCTTCGACAAGCCTATCTATATAGCCTATCTTTCATGTCGGGAACTTAAAAAAGCTTCTCCAAATACCTTGTAAAAATATACAAGGAGATCGAGAAGTGCTTTGATAATAAGTCCAGTCCCGGAGGAAGGTGGTATAGTAAGCTGATACATGACAATGTAGAAGAGCTAACATGCTACATGCTACCTGGTATATATAAAAAGTACCTGCGTCGTAACGTAGTCAGAATAGTAACAGAAACAATGACACTAAAGTAAATACACCGTCCCAATCTATCTACCCTTCCCATCGCTCAAGTTCGACATAAATGACGACCAGAAATCGTTGTCAAGGATAATGTCCGAATTCATAAAGTAATTCGGGTCGTTGACTGGGAACGACGGGAATGACTGCTGCGTATGCGAGTATAGCTGCTCTGTGGGGTACCCAGAGTGCGCAGTAGGTGCTGATACGCGCTCTCGAAAGTTGCGTGCAGCCGTATCGAAATGCTCAAGTAACGGCCGGCTGAGCTGGGAATCTGCCTCCGACTTCTCCGATGAGCGCTTCCGGAAACTCAACACACCAGCCTCGATGACTCGAGCGCACTTCGCGGGAACATGGTCCGGAGCTGCGCTCACCTGTTGCATGCGATCGATCGTCCGCGCAAGAATGCTGTCACTTGACCCTGGCAGCTGCTCGCAGGCGTTTTCCATCACGGACCATTTACTGAGGATGACGAAAAATGTCGCGAGGGTGAGCATTGAGAAGAAATTATCAGGTGCAGCGCTGAGGAGCACGAGCTCAGGTCGTGATAACGCAGTGATGAGGATGCCTTCGGATAGCACAAGCGCTTGGTGGCCCCAACTTCGTCCGAGGTTGATTCCGTTATGCTCTGCAACGAGGAACCATGGGTTTTGCTGGTCACACTTGGAAATTACAGTCTTCGTTTCTATCAGGGCATGTACCAGGACCAACAGCCTGCAGGACTGATAGTATACCTGCAACATCGTGAAGAAGAAGACCTCGTGCTCTGCTAGGACTGGCGTCAGGGTTCAGAGTTAAGCTCTCAAAAGTGAAGGATTCGGGCCGCATACCTGGAAGGGGATAGATGAGACGTTCGATCACGTCCATGCGCATCAGGAAGTCGAGCACTTCTTTGTAGAAGACCCCAATTTCTTCCGCGGAACGGAGGCGTATGGAGAGCCCGTATTGCGTGGCGGCGAACATTTGGGAGATCAAAGTGAGTCGCATGTCACGACCAGCTCCAATCGTTGCCATCGATGTTGTATCGATGGCGTCATGTATAAGACTGTCGCAGTCCGATATTGGATTGCGCCCGGTACCCACACAAAGCCTGCAACAAAGTTCATCAGCTGGGGGCACAAAGTGAATTATACTGCTGTACAGACATCGACTCAACATTATTCAATGCGAACCACTACAGCCACAAGTTCAGGTTAATTATTTGAGAGCCTGTCAAAGACGTACAAGGCGTGCTTTGTCAATGGCTTCCATTAGCTCCGCGCTAGGAAGCTCGTTCGGTTTTTTTCTGCTTCCGGAGAGTTTTAGAATATACCATGGCCTCGCTTAGGCGAAGGTTCATGGCCATGCTGACCGCGGTCGAAGCAATTAGCCGACCATCGCGTGACTCTGTTGTTGTTGGATCTTCTATGGGTTGCCATAATGAAAGCACGAGCATTGCATGTATTGCATCTGTAGATGGCAAAGGGTGATAGGCCTGTTTGAAGATGGACTCATCTGCCAGGCGGTATAGCTGAGGAGAGACTACCGAGCGCGTTGATGATCCGAGATGTCGTGATGCAACACAGCACTGTGCGAGTTTTAGAAGTGATCCTTCTGGTTGCTGAGAAGGTTGCAAATTAAGCCAGGGAGCGTAACGTTCCTCGAAACTATGCCAAAATGAGAGCCTCGCAGGAAACAAAATGTAAAGGCTTACATGTCGGTCAGATAATCTATCTGCTCGCTCCCAAGAATATGGAGTAATGACTGGTCCACCTTATTCCGTGAGGAGTCATCAACCGAACCTGCACGGGTAAGCGCCTGCATAGCCAGCATAGGCACCATGGTGCCATCAAACCCTCCAGGAAGTTTTAAAAATCCCCACGGCTTGTGGCGCTCGGGTAGCAACCGTTTGGGATCTAGAAGATCGACTTCCTCCTCTTGGGGGTGAGATCTTGGAAACGGTGGCAGGGTATTCGAGCTAGAGTCCCAATTCCTTGAATAATTGGAACCTACATGAGCGCGAGAGTCGTCCATTGGTATATCATGGGATTTTTGGGGAACAGGAAGGGAAGCACGCCGGTCCTCGCGTTCTCGCATGGAACGGATGTCTGGTGTGTGCACAGGGCGGGAGGAAGGCCCAGCGCGATCTGTCGACGGAGCGCCATTTTCTTCGAATGAGCAGGGGAGGGAGAGGACTTTGCAACGGTGACATTGGGAGCCGGAGTTGTCACCATCAAGCATTTCACAACGTGTTTTGTGCTTCCTGCATGATAAACAGGCCTGGGCTGCCTTGGCGCGCTTTGCAGGTGCAGTCCTGGGGCTATGAGCCCTTTTGCTGCCTGCAGAGACTGCCGGGTCTCCTGGATCAGAAACACCCATTTTAACGAGGGGTTGGTTTTCTTGGTGGCTGATCACAGGTTGGTGGACCTGGTACTAGTACTGAAGATGAAGGATTAAGGCAAGTTTATGTGTTTCGTATGACTATGGTGTGTGCGTGTTATGTCATATTGCCGCTGACTTGCAGCTGCGCGGCTCGAAGCCGAAATTGGTATGCCGAAAGCATTAAGCGCTGAATCTACCGTGACTATCATACTACGTGGTACGTACGGCTGCTCGCCAGCCCACTCAATTTACAATATTCAGGATCTAACGATAAGTCTAAGATCAGACTGGCATTTGGCTGCGATGAATAAAAGTTTCATGGTACCATGACTCGATATAAACCATCATTTTGATCGGTCAGGTATACTTCACATGCTTCCGAGTCAGAATTCTGATTCAAAGTGAGTCCTTGCGCCTCGTTCCTTGACTGATGGGACTACTCTAAATCAAGCACTTGACTTCACATGAGTTTCCAGACTTTCAGCGACCACGAAATGAGATACCAATCATCAAACTATCTGTACAGGTGGCCAGGTGTCTTCGAGCTCTACCTTATAATTTCAACGTCAATAGTAGCCCAGTTTTACGGATCATCAGGTATGGGGGTATTTTTATCTATCGTATTTTTGCCTATGAGAAGCGGCCAGGTGTCCCCGTGTCCTTCGTGGATTTTGAGTCGAGGATTCACATAGTTTCGTTTCTTTCAATAGTGTCCGAACTTCGGTGAGCAGGTTTAACTCACGCTTTCAACTTGCCAATCACTCTAAAATTTAGCTGACAAGATCCAGCCTTGTTCAAAATATTATGCGATATAGCTTGTTTATAAAGTAAGCGCATGCATGCCACCAGCACTTGTTTCGCAGAATCTGACGCGACTCACATTTGCAGTCAACTTCCAATTGGAATGTGAATCGTACTCAGCACAATGCCAAGGTGACATCCATATGCCGGCGCCGGCGGTGTACGCTGGGGGCAGGGTCATCCTCTCATGGGAGAGGCAGATATGAACCAGATAAGCATCGTGGTCCGCATTTGTCTCAATGACCACGCGGTACACGGATAGTCAACTTACTTTTGACACGTCGCGTATTTTTTCCCAACTTTTGGTAAACCTGAATCAGCGTCCCTAGCTTAGGGAATAGTACGATTCTTTGTAGATGACTCATCCGCATTCAGATTATGACTCCTAGGTCCGGCTATAGCTCGATCATGGCTGTGCACCAGTTGAATATCCCAAGTGCTAGCGGACATACGTTGACCTTGCCTGTTACCCGTGTACGGTTTACCCACCATCCCGAAGTTTCACTCGTTGCAGGATTCCTTGTCTCCCCAAGACTGGTAGTGTCAATTGAATATTTTGAGTCGAACATGGGCGTAAGACTCAAGCAACTAGTAACCCTGATATACATGCGACGATGAGGTTGAACTCAAAGTACTTTCCTAAGTACGAAGAGGCTCTCTCAATGGAAGTAAAGCAAATGCCACGGACCTCCGCGGACTTCCAATTTCTGACCATGTTGCTGGCTTCCGCAGATACATTTCCTTCGCAAGACTTCCAGAATCTCGTTCAAGCTGTCTTAGAACCTTGAAGCTTAAACCAGTGGCTACTGCTATGGACACCGAAGTCCCAACAGATTCGGACCCTGCGACGGAGCTAAGGGACTTTGTTGCAAAGTTGATGCAAAGTTCCGACCTCGAATCCGTCGCTTCTGAGATTGACGGTAAGATCAGATCGTTCACAGATTACAACCCTTTCGACGGATCCTGATCATTACAGTTCTTCAGTCCATATACGGAGACCATGCTATTCACCTATACCGTTCATCGCCCGGAAGCCCTAGAAGCGGTATTCCCAATCACTCGTCTAGTGCTTTAGGTGCCATCCGTTACGAAGTTTCGCTCAAGTGAGTGTATCATCGCGCTTCCCGAGTTTCGTTCCGACGCCTACCCCGGAAGTCTGCCATCTCATGAAGATATCTCAATACGTATATTGGTCTCAATTCCCCCAACATACCCTGCCTCAAGCCCCCCTCAATTACAGCTCCTCTCCCGTTATATCGGCGCTTTTGGTGTCGACTCCTCGCTTTTTGGATCTATACTCCGCACGTTCATATCTATCTCAGGAGTGGAATGGACGCCTGAAAGTGTCTGCGTTTTTGACGGACTACAAAACGTGCTGGAGCGGTGCGAAGCGTGGTATGAAGATAAACTAAACAGGGAGACGGCTGGAGAATTACTCAGAGAGGATGCACATACCCGCAACCACGCCTTGGTCGAACCCGACGAGCCTTTTGCATCATCACCAATCGTTGCTGATGAAAAAGATCGAGTCCCTCTCGACACTGCTTTACCGGATAATATTAAAATCGTCGAAGCCGAAGCTATTGTTGACAGAAAGAGTGTATTTGTTGGCCGTGCGTGCCGAATATCTGATCCCTCGCAGGTATTGTACACAGTTGAAGACAGACAGATGTTTTACTGACCGACTGTGCGCAAGGTACCACTCGTTTTGAATCACCTCATGTCGGAACGCCAGATATCCCGCGCTGCTCACCCTATCATCAATGCCTGGCGTTGCCAGGTGGGTAGTGTGCTTCATCAGGGTATGCAGTACAATTCCTTGTTTCAACGATGTGAGATTGACACTCCTTAGACAATGATGACGATGGGGAAACTGCAGCAGGTAGTCGACTGGCCCACTTACTTTCCATCTTGGTGCGTACGCTGATGTCAACTCCGAGGTCATAACCCCTAATTTATGATACAGGAAATCAATAATGTCCTCGTTGTTGTGACGCGATGGTTTGGTGGAATCCATCTAGGTCCTGATCGTTTCAAACATATCAATCATGCTGCCCGCAACGCACTAGAACTTGGCGGCTTCTTAGATCAAACGGACGAATCAAGGGGTGGTGGGCGAAACGCGGGAAAGGGACGAAAACGATAACACAACTGTACTTATTCCGCATACCGCACCTTTATCACATTCTAACACTCAAATCAAGTACTTGGCGAGGAATTCGTTTGACGGGTTCTGTCCCAATTTTACCATGGTGATTAGAGCCGTCGGATAGCCCTTTCAATCACACACGAATAGTATCATCTTGGTTAGTGACATTTAGCTAACTAATACAGATCATGTTCTCGGCACATGCAAAGGCAGTATGTGGTACTATACGCGCAATGGAGAAAGAGCGGCGTCTAGAGACGTCGTAAGTCAGATGCTGTGGTACGACATTGCTTGGCCCTCAGCCAATCTCTACGAGAGGTATCGCAGATCTGGCAGGTCATGGACTCAATCCCTGACCGAGGATATTGCTGTAGGTTCAGAGGGACGCCCGAGCACACTTTTTTTGAGGACCGTCGTTTTTTCGCGTGCTCACTGCTCACAGATATCCTACCTAGAGACACTAAAGCACAGATTAGGATGCGAGAGTCTGCGTGAGGGCGAGACAGTTGCTAATGCTCACCCAATGTCCGGCAAGATCACTCCTTCGACGCAAGTAACTTCTGAAGTCTTTCAAGCTCCTTTTCTCTTTCTATCAAGATGCTTCGCCACTTCTCCTGCTCTTTGATAATCTTGCCTTTCGCTTCTTCCAACCTGTCAGCCTCGTCTTTCTCCATGGCACTAGTGAACTCCGGCACGCCACCCTTTAGACTCGCCTCCAATGACGCAGGGTTAGACGAATGAAAAGGAATAGGCTTCTTGTTTACACTCGTTTTCGGCAGCGGCATTGGTGGATGCGAAGTTAGAAGAGTAAGGAAATTTTGGAATGGGTCCGTAAAGACGATCTCGTCATATTGCCAGCTATGCACAGGCCCGAGCTTTGCAGCGTTCTCGGGAGATGGAATTTCAGGCTCTGGAGGAACTGCGGATGCATTGGGGAGAGGGAAGGTAGTTGACCAAGGATGTAACTTCAGGTGGTGGTATAGCGTGGTGGCTTTCTCGCCAGACTCTGCTACATACGTGATGCGGATTTGAATCTCGAACTCTCCCCAACTGAGAAATTTGTCAACTTTCGTGTTTGATGCGCTTGAACAATACGTACCCAGTCTCTGACACCTCAAATGGGGGTTTATCGATGTCTATAGACGCGTTCAGCCACTGTAGAGGATATCAAGATGAGACTTCACTTCTGGTCGGATTCGGATATGTATCATGTAATTTGAACGTGACTCTTTTTATAAAGTACCCCAAGTCATCTGCCCCACCGACACTATCAGAGTCCGGGGCGCTCGGGGCACTTCGAACTGCGACTGTCCACCGATGAGTGTGGTCTTGATAGTGAGAAGTCTCCCGTTCAGCAGGAGTAAGGACCGTCGCAATGTTCCCATATATTATCGGTCTGTGTATTGTAACACCCTAGACACCACACAGAACAGTGAGCAAGCCGAAATCTATGAAACGAAAGCATGGCAAAACATACTCGGACGCGGACGCGATCAGCCATGATCAGAGGACAGGTTCGGGAGAGTTCGGCAAATACCGTTCGGACTCCGCCATATTTCCTCCCGAATATCACTTCAACGTCGACCAACTGCAGTGACAAAATATAATCCTCCACATAACTACCATGATTGACGCTGTGGTTCAACGTGAGTACCTCGGTCATATATTCTCAAGTTTCTTTCTCATTCTTGTCTAAAATTTCCAGGCCAAAACTACGTTCCTGAGAGGCAGCGGGCTTACCAGGTAATAGTTAACTACCTGGCATTGCGTATGTGATTGACCATCATTTTCAGGCTTCACACTCGCCTATTTACTACCGTCCACCCCGTTCAAGACTTTATCTTGGTAGGTGATATGGCAGCGCAATTCGGTGTATATGTCATTCATTCGGGGGTACCGTCTAGGTACCTACTTCACTCTCTTTGGTGTGGGCATGTGTGGAACTGTGTACGGTATATACCAGCTTACCATGGTAAGACTTGAGCTATTATTAGCCGTTATCGTGAATGATATTGTTTTCAGGGCAAGCCTGTCAGGCAGTAATCTCGCGGACGCAACATGCTTATTACCTAGATTCATCATATACTCTGCACAAAGTATCGCCGTTGTGATCGCAAGACATGAGTCAGTGTGAAGAGTCGTACTACACGGTGAAATACAATGCAGGTCGTATCATCCAACAATATAATACGGGCTCTTCGTCAAGAGTGAGGGTATAATTCCTAGTGCCATGCAGCCCATCCAGGATACATCTTACCCTAAAGACGAGTCAGTACTCAATGAGCTGACACAGTACAACAACTCACCAGGTTTGCGGGGTCGATTGCCTCTTGTATGAGCATCTGGACGAGATTGCTTGTCGAGATTTCCCGTTCATCCCCTCCTCCTCTTGTGATTCCTCCATAAGTCCGCTCCTTCACATTTGTCGGGGAGTATAGTCCTTTCAATTTCCGTTCTATCGGCCGCAGCGCAGATTTGGCCCATAATCTCAAATCGGCAGCCTTGATGGCGGCTGAACTCGATTTGTCTTTGTCCTTGTCCTTGGCATTGCGGCGTTGCTTGAAACATAAAAGTTTGAGTCAGCAAAAAACACGCGGAAGGCATTGACGTACTCTCTTTCTCGTCTCATCCTCCCATTCGACCAGCGGATCATGAATAAATGCATCGAGAACACTCATGAGGGGGTCCTTGTTGTCGCGGAGGAGTTGCATTGTAATTTCGCAGGCGATACGGAAGACTCCTTCTATGCCAGTTACCCCAAGGCCGTCAACAAGGTTTTGAGTGAGTCTGAAAGGCACCCGTTCGGGTGTGTCAAGCGTTTTGCCCTAAGCACACGTGAGTGAAAAAAGATTGAGAGGAGGTTTGGACCAAGTACCTTCTCGAAGAGACAACTGAAATCAACATGGACCAAGTCTCCGTTGTTGGTGTCCAGAAGGATATTTTCGCAATGCCTATCTCCCAACCTTCCAAAAATCAGTTAGGTGTTGACTACCCTTAGGTGGCCATCGGCTCACCCTAAGATGAATCCGACCATTGACATCACTGCCATGGTACGCCCGTAATTCAGGCGACTAGCTAGCCATACTGACGGCTCCGGGAATGTCTCTACGAACCATTCATGAAAGACCGGAGGAAACCTGTACTACTTAAATCACAAAGCAGCTTATACACAACAACCACTTACTCAGGAAGAATTTTGGTCACAAAAAGTTCAGCGGCATCTTTATCGGAACCGTCTTTGATGCGCCTCGTGACATCATTCAGCTCCTTGGACTGCTTCTGTCAATATGCGTGTCCTTGGAAAACTGGGAAAACGTACCCAAGCTGGAATATTCTTCGTCTCGTAATATTTCAACAGCACGGGTCGCACAGGTATAGTGTTTGGCACCCATTGAATAACACCGCATTCCTCGTTCAGCGCCACCACGCCGTACGTCCGAATGTCTTAAAAGAAGTTAGCCCAATGCCACCTTGTTTCGTTCAAACGTACGAAGTTGCCTTCTCCGAGATTCTGAATTAGTCTTGAGGAGTTTGTTGATGATCCCATTGAAATCCATAAGGCGCGCATCCTTCCGCAGATCGTCCTTCGGTTTGGCAAGGAACATGTATTTAATGCCATCGGAACCGTTAACGGTGATTTTTCGTGGCTTGGCTAACGAGTGCATGATTTCAATTTCGTCGTAGAAGACTGTATCGAGTTAGTCAAGGTCGTCGCTTTCAGTAAACATAATTTACCAGTAAATGTGGGCGACAAAGGATCGAAAAGATTATGACGTCTATCACGGTGACTCGTAGACGAGACAGGCGGAAGGTTGACCGTCAATGATGATTGCAAAGGAATGAGGATATTATTATCTTTCATCCCAAGTAACTTGGGAAAGTCTCGGCGCATGCTGAGCGTCTTGCGGTCGCCGATGGGGTAATTACAAAGTCGAAGGAGCTCGTCAATCATGGCGTGAAGACTTGTGATGAGGTTCGGAAAGTCAGAGTCTGTATTCGCTGGGCTGTTCTATGGCATCGTCTTGGGTCAAATACTTCAATAACAGTGGATATGCATGCTCACTTTCAGCTGGTCCAATATTGCTCTTCCGCGCTGCTGGCGAGTAGGTTTCGTCGAGTTAACGACTGATGCGAAGAACCAAAGGGCTTGATTGGGGTATTCTCGTATGACCGATGAAATAAGTTTCGATAAGACCAAGTACACAACACGATTGGGGTGCCCGATTCGAGACACGATTTGAGGGAATGCAGTATACCACTGAACGCAAGAATCAGTATGGCATTTCGTTGGGTCGTGGAAACTTCACACCTTGTATACTGGGATGCTATCAATGGAGCTGGCGACGACGCTGTTGATCTTATCAAACAACGAATTTTCTGCTGACACCTTGCGTTCGCCCATGTCTAGCCATAAGGTGAGCAAGCGAGGAATAGTCTGGTATACAAATTTGTTTCCATAAGCAGCGGCTTCCGTGAAACACTTGATGGTTTGGAAGTTCATTTTGATTCCACTGTAACCATCTATCAGCAAGACGTCGAGGCACCCGCGAATGACCCTAGAGACTTACCGGCTTGACTTGTCGTCTGCTGATAGATTCCTATAACACTGGTCCTGGAAGTGACCAAGGTGGTAGAAGGCACTCTCCCATCCTGGAGCTGAGTCAGCGGCGTTCTGAAACTGCTTGAGCACGTAAGAAGCCTCGTATCGATCAGATTCGTTCATCCAACGTGCAAGAAGAATTTGCGCCTGATTGCGAGATTGTGAGCTACGTCCATTCGGTAAATGTGTCCGCACCTTTGCTTTCATCCGTTTAGACTGTTCATCTTCTCTTGTCAAGTCGATAGTATCGTTGTCCACGAGACCTAGGATGCGCATGGATTTTTCAAGTTCTTGTAGCGCGTGCAATGGCTCTCCCCGTGCTCTGACCAACTTCCCACTTTCCATGAAACTGAATCGGGCGTTGGTGTATTGCGCTTGGAGCATTGCACTGTATGCAGTCTGCCACTGTCCGGCTTTTCGAGCAATTTTAGCACTTGCCAACCACGATTGACCAATTTGACTTGTGATTGATGGTCGAGAGACCGTGCTGTACATGGTCGGCGTAAGAGGAATGTCAAGTTGAGCAGTAGGGCGAAGTGATTTACCTGAGTGAAAATGCTGTTCGCCGCATGCTAAGCAGGGATTCGTGTACGCGGAAAGTAGGCAATGTACGGTCCAAACGTGCACTAAGAATTTGGCTAAGAGTCACGATGGCGGATTTACGGCCTTGTGAACTTGGCGGCAAATTAGACACAGCCTGATGGATCAATTCGAGTTCGTGAATCATGTGCAGGTCGACCAGAGCGTCATAAGCACGACGATGCCCACTTAGCCCAGAAGCAGCAATTGGAGCACCAAGGACAAGACGTGCTTTCCTAAGGCTTTCTTCGATCTGCGGAAGTTCACCAGACCGCATAGCAAGAAGAACTCGGGCTTTAACCACGGAAGGCCCTTCGTGTTCCATATTCGCTGTGATATTGTGAACGTCGTCCCATGCTCCTATCATCCACGCGCTTTCGACCTGAAAATCTGCCAAAACCGACTGCCACCCTGGGTTTCTGACAAGAACACCCTGGACATGTGTGCGGAGCGTGTCTATAAATGTTGAGCTCTGCAGCCGAAAAAAGCAAGTAAAACATTACCATAGTGTCCAAGGTTGCGCAAACATCGAAGGAGTCCGAGATGGAAGTCTAAATTGTCAGGCTGTTGCTGGAGGCGGACTTCCCAACAACTCTGAGCAGCAGTCCAGCGTCCAGTACTTTCGTGTTGACGAATTTGATGTTCTAATGAAGGAGACAAGATCAACGTCGATATACCTTCCATTCCATCCGGCTGGTCAAGGTGTGCGTAGATCTCGTGAAGGCGTTCATAATAGGGTGTGAAATCCGTTCCAGGAGGAGGAGGCTGACGCTCTCTCATTGAGACTATCTGCCTCTCAAAGTTCATAAGTGAGCGAGCATGAGCTCGACACTGTAGCGCAGCTTTAGCCATGAGTTCATGGTCGATGCTCGAGAGTACTGAATCAACCCGGATGAGCTGCTGCTGACGTATCGCAAATTCAGAATTTCCTCGTGATCTTCTGCCCTCAGCTTTCTTCGGTAAATCCTGTCGCTGGACTCGCACATATGCGCTGAGATGGTCCAACAACGTGAAAACAGCCTGAGGCATATGTTCAGCGATAATGATGAAAATGGTCGAGTTTGAAGATACCTGTGCACTGAGGAACTTCTTGTCTGGAGTGGACAGACTATCAGAAGCCACCTGATCTTTCAAAACAGCTGTTAATTCCTGGATAATGCCGCTGGTATTTTCCTCGTTCTCGGAGGCAAGTATATTCAATACGAGGTGAGGCAGTATGTGGTGAGCGACACCAACATCCTTGTTGCGCACTGCCGAGCGAAAGACCCCAAAGATGTTCTGCGCCATACCATGGGACGCTTTGGTTATGAGATGAGCTGTCCATAGCTGTACCCACTCTCGATAGGTCTTTTGATGAGGGTAAATGGGCGAAGGGAGATGGGGCAATTCCTTATGCGAAGCTTTGAATTTTGCCCCCAAGAGTGGAGTAACTGTTTCAAGCACATGTTTTGGGAACCCGTTCCACCTGTTGCGGACCCACGCCGAGACGGATGTCGTGTTTTCTGATGACACGAGGGCAGTAGAGAAATTGCATAATTGCAGGAGTTCTTGTATCGTGTATGCGAGGTGTCCTTGATACTTTATGTCACTAGTGGACCGGAAAGCGTCCACGAGAACATCCTGGATGACGTGCAGAGCAAACGACTTTGCTTCTGTGTCATCTTCAAAGTTATTCCGTACAATCATTTTTGTGTCTGTCGAACTAAGGTCGCAACGATCTGGATCAACCGCCCCAAGAATTCCCATGCACTCAAACGCCAGTTGTCGCAGAGTGTCAGAGCCTTCTCCATCACGAGTGACAACCTGAAATAAGGTCAATTGTATGCTTCCAATTAATGGATCAAATGCGTCGCCCGCTGCAAGGTTCTGTATAAGCGAGGCTTGATTGTTCTTCATGAAGTTTTGGAGTTCAGAGAGAGCCACCTGAGCCACCGTGATATTGTTACTGGAGCACCGATCTAGAATCTTCTGGAGTTGCGCGCGTGGATCCCAGATGCGAACACTCTGAAGCTGGGTATATATTTCAGAAAGTTCTGGGATATGACCGAGGTCCACGACCTCGTCTAGATTTGCCTTTCCGTCATTTCGAACGGTGCTTCCAACATCAAAGACAATATGACGCAAACATTTCTTGGCGGATTCCCGTGTGGAAGGAGACAAAACAGACCATGCAGAAACGATGGCTGCGCTGGTAGTGCCGATATGCGGAATAACATCCTCGACATTCAACGTGGACAGAAATGTGTACCACGTAGATAGGGTGACTTCAGCAAGTTCGGGGACCAGAAACATGGTTTGCAGGGTGGCCATGATCTGCGAAAGTTATATATCGTCGCGAAAACATTACAAAAGCACGTGCCTGAGGGGAAACTTCATTTACATGAGGTCCGATTTGGACGATCAGTACCTCTAGACCGCGTAGAATCTGCTTCTTTGCTGGAAATGATTTCTTGCCGTGGACATCTTGCAACATCTCATTCAAGTTGGATACAATGCCAAGCATGTAGGTCTTGAGGAACGGAGACAATTCGAGCTCGGTTTCACTCGCTATTGACCGCTGGACTTTTCGCAAAGCATCCACTGCCTGAAAACATGTTCAGGTGTCATGAACAATCGAACAAAGAGTAAAAGCCAGACCAACGCAGCTCGTTCTTCATTCTCATGTCCTAGGACCACAACTAGATCTGCGAGTAATGCCACCACACAGCTCTGGACCATGCCTCGAACGGTGAAATCAGCAGGCTTGGGCTCGGCACCCCTAGAAATTATGTTCATGATGAACGTCAAAGACCCGGTCGTTTGTGCTGGTCCGTGTTGTTGATACACATGAGCAAGGATTTGGTGAGAGTGATTCATGAACAACGACAAAATCGTTTCACCCAGATCCTCCGAAATCTCCTCTATGACCTTCGCTTCGGAGTTAGCAAAGAGATACGGAAGAGTTTTGGATAGCGTGACAGAGATAAAATCCGTTGGATGCACAGATAGAAATCGACACGTCTCTAATATCAGCATTGGGTTCGTACATTTCCGGGAGACGACGAATGTTGCGACCTGAGAGAGGTATGGCGAGACAAGATTGTAAGGCGACTTCATTTGTGCTTTCGCTATCTCCAAAAGCTGTTGGGGGTGCATCAGAGTCTGACACGTATTTCATAGATTGACATACTTGTGTGTATGCTAAGCCTTTCAACACATGATTATCTTGGCCCAGTTGGGATATCAAACAGTGGACAACTAATCCAAGAAGCTCAAACTGAGCATCGCTGCCACAGGGGAAAGTTGCATTGGTCAACGATTTCAGGGACGCGTGGAAAAGCTTACCGCCCGATAGAACCAATAGTAACCAGCAGTGTTTCTTTCACCGCATCCTTCACGCTTGATTCAAGCAAGCTGCCGATCTTCATGAAAGTTGTTTCGTTGAATTTGCACCCTCTATCAGTTGCACGGGCGTGGAGGTGGACCAAATCCGAAAGTGCGCGACTATACATGGTAGTGCAATGTGAGTAATTTAACCTCTAAGTAAAATATTTCGTACCCAGCATCGACTCTGACAGAACGGTCCTTGTCATTGAATCCGCGTTGCAAGAAATCAAAGACAGGCGGCGGCTCATCAGACTGGATATCCGCTGAATGTTCTCTGATAACGGTTCGGAAAGCACTAAACGCTTGTCGCCGTACATGAACGTCGACTTCAGTTGATGAGCCTTCAACAATTCTGTTCAGAGGTAATAGAAGAGCAGCGGCAACGCGGAACTGAGATGACTGTTGTCGAGAGAACGGCTTGAGGTGCGAGGCAAGGGAGGCAACGTTTTCAGCCAGTGTCATACGTGCAGAAGACGAAGAATGATGCAGTCCCCTACGGTAGCGTTCAGAGAAGATCATCAACGAGTAATGCAGACTCACCTAGCCCACCTGGACTGGATCTTATCTAATATTCGTTGCATGCAGGATGCAGTATCTTTGCGCCAAATACTCTTCCACTGCAGTTCATCAGGCACAATGAGCACACCAACGAGCCTCTGCAATGTCGTGCGCCAATGCGAAGAGTCTATGCTGTCTGCAGTCTGGCTCATTGGACTATCAACAGAATTACCGGCAGTGATAACTAGTGGTTCTAAATCAGGGTAGGAGGGATTTCCTTGAAGGAATAACTGCACTTCCTGCAAACTCGCTGCGTCTAAGCGACTCACACAACCACGTATATATGCGACCGCAAGAGCCTACACCGTTTCAGCTTGCGAAGTTTTAAAAAAAAAACTACAGCGGCTCACCCGAAGCTCACTCCCAGGTAACTCCCATGTTTCAGAGCGCAAGAGTTCCAGAGTATCATTCACATAATCGACTGACAGATTTGTGTTGGAAGTAAGAATCTCCCGTAACTTGCGGTCAACTGATCGTTGGGCAGGATTTGGACCACATTGGAGTCGTTGAATTAAAAGGCGGCAAGGCAGTCTCGAGAGTCCCCCGATAAGAGATGGGTCACTACTCATAAGGATGTGAGCAGCAGCTGCTACTCGAAGCAGGCACCTGGATCTTGTTGCAGGCGAGGTAGGACATTCAGAGCAAAAATCGTATACACGACGAGTCAGTTCAGAGACGTGACGGAGCATAGCAGCCGTGATGAAGTAAGAAAGCTTTGCAGTTGAAAACAATTTGCCGAATAATTCGATGATGATGCTTGTCAGGACGGAAAAGTGAGAAGGTGATGGGAGCCTGATCACGTTTAGGGTGTCTATAGGGCACTAGATGATGCTTAAGCATGAAGATAATCTGACGTGTAATGACAATACCGGAATGGAACAGTCCTCGGTCGTGGTCTTCAAACATGGTGGGGTAGAGAACCAGTGCACGTCAAGAGGACACGATTCGTGTCGAGCAGATATCATTGCTACAGATTATCAGCAAGTAGAAGTGTCACAATAAGGTCAATTAGACTCACTAGTGCACAAGTTTGTCGCTTCATACAAAATGTCCTGCAGGACTCCCCTTTGTAGATCACTAGAGTCTCCTCCTGGAACACTTGAAAATGACAAAAGTTGTAAGAAATCAACGAGAGTTCCGCAAGCCTTGGAATAGAGCGTGTTAGATGCACCGCCTGAATCGCCTGAATCGGTGACTTCCATCCATGATTCTGTTGAAGTGCAAAGGCCCAAAAGGTGCACAAATACTTTTTTGGATAGATGTTCCTCATCGGAATAAAGCCAGTCAAGCGAGTCAGCCCTTTTTCCAACACGTGAAAAGACATCGAGCGTGACGTCTGTGAGCTCGATGCGCTCGTTGGTGGTGCCTAGCATTGTTGGCTTGAAATAAGGAAAGCAACCAAAGACTTGCTCGAGGAGGCTTGCAATCAGGCGTAGCCAAAGTGATTTGTCTAGTACTAATGGTGGATTGTCATCATTTAAAGATTTGAGAAAGTCCCGAAGATCTTTGGGTGATGCATTATTCGATCCATTTGGTGTTTGGAAGGTTGTGGGAGGAATAGGAGGAGCGCTTGAAGGCGGCACGCTCATAGTTGATCTAGAAGTCAAATGATATAGTAGGTCAGGTAGAAAAGTAGCATCTACCAGTAGTAAGACGAGCTGAAGGTACAGCAGTACCGCAGATCTGACGCGTTTGCTAACGCGTGCCACCAGAATTTCATAATATCACGTGAGTATCATGTCTCTTAGTTTGAAGTTGTGAGTCTTGTGACTAAAACTTCACCATATGTTGCTGGTTAGGCTTTAGCTCGAGTCTCGCCGTCCAGTTACTGACCTGACAGGAATGACTGTAAATATCTCATTTGCAAAAAGCTACTCCATGATCAGACTGTACAAAGCTTTTAATTTCCGAAAGCTTATTCTACGTCTCAAGCCTTGCTATCATTCGAGTCAGTCCCGACTGCCAGTTACTAATGATGGAAGTAATACCTGATTGTAGCGCTGCTGCAGTGGCGTCCTAGGACCTATGTTTGATGAGTGCGGTCGCCTATGCATGCGCTTACCTAGCCGGCACTCATTTATCTACAGGAGGCTGGGTGGGCTCACTCCAACGCAGGAACGACATGACTGAGCCGAAAAGGGAGAATGTTTGCGTACATATACAACTGCGGTAAAGAAGGGTTGTTATGAAATACAAAAAGAGGTGGCCTTGGGCCTATCAAGCAGGCGATCACTTCTTCATTCATCATGAAGCTTGAGGTAACATGAACACCTATCTGAACATCCAGTGCTTATGAACTGATGATTGACTTCAGCAGGCAAAGTGTTGTATTTTTTTGAAGATCGCTTAACCTCAGGTACAGCCTACGACCTCACTACCGATGTCAACCTCGCTATGAATTCTGGCTCGACATAGCCCGCAGCAGCAGCAAACAATTCAGTTTTGATGCTGGCTACTACCTTGGAGGACCATAAACCCTGTATTATAGATGGCGAATACATGCTTGAACGTGTTTTATGTCACTTTCTGGACGGCACCACGCAATAAGGCCGCTCGGTGACGGGGTGTGCAATCGAGCCAAGTGGTTGAGGATGCGTGGGATATTTGTGAGCAGGTAGTCAATGCGGTATCAAGGGTCGGTCGATGGGTTGTCACTGCTGGTGGGGATGCGGAGATTGGGGAAATCGAAGCCTGTGAGTTCAAGACAGGTATATATCCGGAAACATTTTGATGACCAAAAATTCAAGGGAGACTACCTGCATTGATATCTCCTCGGACAGTACGAGCGGATCATTCGTAGTGCGGGTATGGAGCATGGTACTCGCAAACTCATTGGTAGTCCACTCCAAAGTGATGACGGGGTGAACACATTTCGATTCTCGCAATAATCGAGTCAGTTGTGGAGAAGGGACATGACCCGCATACGTCACGTAAAAGTTTTTGCGACCTTAACACGATCTATGAGTTCGACGCATTGACGCTGGAGATCGTCGAAGCTCCCTTCGAAGGGCACACTGATCTCATTACTGATCTCATTACCGGTCTGGCACTTTCATTCGATTGTGCTCTTCTCGCCAGCGCTTCTTGGCACACCATCAAGCCTTGGGCTTTCGAGTCCCGCCAACTCCTCGCCTCATTTGACCAACATATCGACCTCTTGATCTTCTCACCCAAGTCACACCAACTGGCTTACACCAACTGGGGTGAGACCAACATATACATATACCATATACGACCCTCCACCCGACATCCTTTCCAGCATCCGGCCTGCACAAGAGGCACAACCTACAGTATGCATCCCCCTGCGTGTATCTATCTGTTGGTGCGCTAACTCATTCTCTCGCAGACCACTAAAAATCCTGATCTGCTCGACGTATGCGATCCCTCACTTTTTTTCGTCTACACCATCACATCAAGTATCACAGTCCGACGCGACGCCTCGTGCCACGCGCCGTAAGCGAGCGATAGTGCCTGTTAAATCTCATGTACCCCGCCCGCAAACGCCCGCGCCTACAATACACCCACGCCATCCCACTTTCCTTCGCTACCTTCGCGAACTCCTTCCTCGTTCCGGCACGAGCACAGTTCCTCCTGTTCGGAATGATCAACCTCATGATCCTTGGGATGTATGTCTCTTGTACACGTTTCCTTCGTACTTGACCCTACATATCTCCTTGCAGTTCCCTACTACATCACCCCTATCTCCAAACTGCTCTCCCTCCGCACAGGCCACGACTCAGACGCGTTCGCACATAAATTCCCGCGAGAACGTGAGCATACATTCCACTAATCCTAATCACTGTCATTCAACTCACTTCTTGTCAGACTCGACTCACACCAGCACCGCCTACTTCCTTATCCCCTGCCACCGCATCTAAGGCCCGCCTAAGCCGCCTGTTCATATGGTGGCCCATTCGTGCAGGTCATGTATCACCGCCTATTGTGCACGTTCCTCTTGCCCCAGCTAAATTGGTATGTTGCATTGAGTTTTCTCATTGTATTCGAGGTCTCAAGTCGATTTCCAGCGCTACGCCACAGCAGGTGCTCCCACCAATATCGATGATGATTTAATACGTGATGAGGACTTTCATTCTCCTCCGCCGCCGCCGAACCCCAATTCACGACCACTCGCAGCGGGGCAGATCAACACTGAACAGCATGGAAAGGGCCTGTTGTGTGGCTGCTTCTAAATAGTGGCAATTTGCTGGTATTCGAGTTCCGAGTGTTGCCCCTCATATCGTCATTGAATTTCAATAGATGTTCGTGATATTTGGCCTCTACATTGTATTACTTCTCTTTGTATCGCGCTACAAACAGTGTTGCCAAAACTCGATTTCGTTCATGATAGTGAAGACCGACACCCCAGCCATCCACCGTCCTACGAGTCGCCGTCAGACTAACGGCGAAACTACTCCCCCATCGTTTGCAGTATTACATCGTTGATTTCCTGACGTGTTGATAGCACCCCATATTTGCGTTATCCTTGAATTGGTGCACAGATTGCTGTTGTACCTCAATAAGATTTACTGAGGGAGTTTATAGTGATTGATTTAGTCGTCAGATTATTAGTAGCAGGCACGAACATGTTAGAGAAATGCGGGCACCAGCAGCACCCTCAAGTGTCTTAGCCTTCCAACGCAACCCGAACCATTTGCATACTTACGAATCTCATGTACCTGCAGCGTCCGTAGATGCTTGACCTTGCCACGGTCGTCGCGAGTGATGGGGACGAGGGTAGTTCCACTGGTACTGTGCACACCAGTGCGACACATCCCACAGCGAATCTTAGGAAGGCAGACGACACATGCATTAACAATGGCATACCATCTCGGATATCTGATGCCAGTCATGGCATAGAGTCAGACCAAACGGTTCACTCTCCGGTCAGAGAGCACGTTGTCTGGAAACGATTGCCAAATTTGAGTTCGAGATGAAATATTTGCCTGGAATCGAGAGTATGGTATTGAATCAAAATTACCGAGTAGCTGTAAGCACGAGCCCTTTCACATTGGCCTATGGCTAGAAGATGCCGTGTGCGGCGCCCGGGCTCCGAGTTGGCGCTCACTCTACAGCAAGTATTGAAGGCTGTGGGTTGGAGCCGCTCCAATATGGGAATGAGCCGGATAAGGAGAGGTTTGTCTGAGAACGGGTGGTTAAAAAAGTACATACTATGCTGTGTACAGGAAAGAGCTTCCTATTATTAAGAGGTGGTAGATGCACCTATACGCCCATCATCATCAGACGATTACAGCCAGCCTCTTGGTAACATATTCCCCCGTTCAACCTCCAGCGAAGATGAACTGACAATTGGCGTTCGCAGGGAAAGTGCTGCAGCACTGGAAGGGTTGAACATGTCCAAAATCATGATCAACGTCCGCCCTATGGAAGACCAGAAGATCTCACCGACAGACCTTCAAAGTTCGAACTCGGCCTCGCTAGTGAAGACATCAGCTATGGCATCCAGCTCCACGCAGCCCACTGGAACAACGAGGAAATTGACTCTGAAACCGATCATGACATTGGAGGGTCACGAACCGCTGGTCATAAACGAGTATACCAAGCGACGCAGACAAGTTTCGTTCATTTCCTACTTTCCAGACGGTAAGGGAATGGTCAGCGCATCATCAGGCAAGACCACTCGACAATGGGACCTGCGGACTGGTAAGGAGATTGAGGAGGCGCGGGATGATCATGAGCAGGAAATACGGACGACGGCAGTGTCCAAGGATGGTCGATGGGTTGTCGCTTCAAGTCCTCGGGCTATTCCAAACAGTTTCGGGAAGCTTGAAGCCCGTGATGTTGAAACGAGGATCGTGAAAACATTTGAAGGTCACTTTAATTGGATCCACTGCATCGATGTCTCTGCGGACAGGACACTGCTGGTGGGCGGGTCATGGAATAGTGTACGGATATGGAATATGGAAACCGGTAAACTCGTGGTTGGTCCATTCCGAATCGAAGCCAGAGGCGATCCACATGTCGGGGTGGTTCGATTTTCGCAAGACTCGAAGAAGTTCGCAATCTTGTCAGAAACAGGGAGGTGCCTTGAGGTGTGGGATGTCCAGACACATAAATTGGATGTCAAAGTAGAGGAAAGCCGTTGGGGGACATGCACAGATACGCCAATATTCTGGACAACCAAAGACAAATCCATTGTGGCCGTATTTGACTTCAAGGACAAGCGATATTCGGAACGACCGGATCATCAGCTACCTCAATTTCGCGATCTCAACACAGTCTATGAATTCGACGCATTGACGCTGAAGATTGTCGGAGCTCCCTTCGAAGGGCACACTGATACCATCTATGGCCTAGCACTTTCATTCGATTGTGCTCTTCTCGCTAGTGCTTCCAGGCACACCGTCAAGCTTTGGGCTTTCGAGTCCCGCCAGCTCCTCGCCTCATTCAATGACCAACGTGTCAACCTCTTGATCTTCTCACCCAAGTCTCACCAACTGGCTTACACCAACTGGAATGAGACCAACATTTACATATACGACCCTCCACCCGACATCCTTTCCAATATCCCACAACCTACGGTACATATGCATTCCCCTGCGTGTATCTATCTGTTGGTGCGCTAACTCATTCTCTTGCAGACCACTAAAAATCCTGATCTACTCAACGTATGTTCATTTACCCATCTACACTACTAGCCGTTCATACCATTCAATATTGCAGTCCGATGCAACACGTCATGCCTCGCGCCGTAATCCAGCGATAGTTCCCGTCCCCCGCACTCTCCGTCCTCCGCCTACAATACGCCCCAAGCAACGCCTCATTCGCTACCTCCGCAAAATCCTTTCAACTTCTGTTCGCAATGATGAGTCCCGTGATCCTCTAGATGTATGTCCCTTCTACCCCGTTCCCTTGCAATTGTCTTGACGGTCCCGTGCAGTTCCCTGCTACATCGCCCCTACCTCGCTCCCTTTCCGCGCAAGCCATAACTCAGGGACGTTCAAACACAGATTCCCGTGAGAACGTGAGTTGTTCACTATCGACTGTCTGTATCACACCCCCAACTTACATTTTTTCAGTCTCGATCCATACCACCACCGCCTACTATCCAATCCTCTCCTACCACAACCTTCAAAGCCCGACTACATCACCTATCAACCCGGTGGCCTGTTCGTGCAGGTCATTCATCATCGCCTATTGTCTATACTCCCCTCGCACAGGCTAAAGAGGTATGGTTGGTTGATTTTCTTGCCGTAATCCACGCCTCATGCATCCATATGTAGCGCAACGCTGCAGCGGGTGCTCCCAAAAAGGATAAAAACTGGATACCCTACGAAGATCATGTTTCTTCTCGTCCTCCCTCACCCAATCCCGATTCACAGCAGCCACCTGCAGCAGCGCCGATTACTACCGGAGAGCATGGAAGCGGTAGATTGTGTGGGTGTTTCTGAGCCCCGTGCGTGGAGCGGAGATGCAGTGGCACAATGGCGATGTATCTGCCAAAGAGGCGGATCCCCGTAGGAATTGGCTATCGGTGTGAGATACTCCCTTATGATATGTTCCCGAATCTTGATTGATTTTGCGTGAATGCAAACGCCTCTGCATGACACCATCAAGGGAGCTGTCATGTGTAAGAGAAGACACCGCATGCGGCGCCCGAGTTGGCACTTGATGGTCTACAGCAAGTACCGGCAGGCTGGGTGGGTTGTGGCGCTCTAACATAGGAATGACATGACAGTGGGCCGGAAAGAGAGGCTAGTTTGCCAAGGAAGGAGTAAAAAAGGAACATGCTGTGCACAGCTATTATGAGGAAAGGTTAAGAGGCGACAGATACGACCGTGACTATATGCCCGTCATCATTAGGTGATTGGGGCCAACCTCTTGGTAACTCATGCACCTTCAACACAGACGAATTGACAATTGGTTTTCGCAAGGAATAGCGCTCGAATGTGTTAGGCTTGAAAACCTGTCAGCGTCAGGCCTATGCCGAGGACTCACCGCCAGACCCTCGAATACACGCCAATAACCGACATACTCGCCAATCTCTCGGTGAATGCAAACGACATGGTTTCTAGCTCGTATGATACGGCCTGGCGCTGCATGCAGCGCCACACGAATCGATTCTGATATCGGTCCCCATTTATAATGATACATTCTGGTTCATGATGATCATGAACTAGATACTATCATTATAAATGGCGAGGAAAACATTGTCATCCGAGTCTGTCTCACCTATTTCCTACCTTCCCGAACAGGCAAATGAACATTTCTTGGAGCAAGCAGCGATGGCCACCATTCGGCCAACAGCAGCAAATCTTGAACAGCTCACCGGATATGTTGCATCTTTGTTATGAACGGGGACAACCTGAAAGTGGAAAACCCTATGATTTCGATAGTAGAACTGGGTGGATATATATACGTTAATACCGCATGTTGGGTAGTCACCCATACCAGACAGTCGCTAACTCCCTTCTCTATTATGCTCAGTGCCCCAGATTCATTTCACCCACGAACCCGAATGGTCAGATTCATCCTTGTAGTCTACCATCACCGAGCGCTCGACGCGTACGTGTACATCGAGTTCCATGTCGTTGGGATTAAGAGGCGATGTAGGCCTGAACTCTGCACCACCAGCGCTTTTGGAGCTTTTAGAGCCTTTGGAGTGGCTCTTGGACTCGAACTGTGAGCGCAGACCGGACATCACTCTTTTCTGCGCAGTGAGTGGGGGACGCGCGACGATCACATTTTCCAATCGCTGGGCTTCTGGTCTTGTATTTTCTTTGTAGGTGTGGATGAGCGGAAAGAAGGTAACGAAAGGAATGAACATTGTGAGCGTCAGCGGAATAGCACTCAAGCTCTGGAGTGGCGCGCACCTCGTACGTGGATGAGGATCCGTTGGGTCATGATCCACGTTACAGCATAGCCTATTGATGCCCTAATGGTGCATTCTGAGTGGTCTTGTCTCCTTGACGCTAGTCAATGCGGAACTTACGCTGCTGTCTAATAATAGCAGAGAGACAAGCTGAGTTTGCGTGGCGTATCTGTAATGTAGCTTACGTACCTGAGTCTGGATATTGGTTGTATGATAAAAGACGAGGTTCAATACGTTTGATGCTGATGGAGTGTTAGGAGGGTGTTTATCATACGTAGAGCGTACTTGCCAGACAACACGATGAAATACCCAATGCCGTCATAGATCAGGCTAAGTATGATGAGCGATGCCCATCGACTCTGCTAGTGGTTAGGGACTTACACCCGTACCAGCCGTTCTACTCTGTTAGCAATGGTTTAGCGACCATAAATACGGAAAGGAAAAGGCGCACCTGTTACTGATAGGATTATAACGTAGAAGGTGCATGGTAGATACCGTCACAATTACGACGTCATACAATATCACAGCGAGATAGTAGAACCAAGTTGACAACACTTTGCCAGCATTTGCTGAGGTGCAGCTATGGTTCATGAAGATCTGAACAGTCCATACTGGAGGTCAAGAAACCGCTTACTTTCCCTAAAACAGGGACGTTATTTTTATGAGGTCTCGTTGTAAGGAACACTAACGCACATAAACAACACTAGCTGTTGGTTCTAAAGGTCAGTGCGAACCCAAGACTAAATTTTAAGCCTGAGCTTACGGGTCTCGTGAAATAGATCGGTGAACCACTCCGCCTAGAACGAATAAGAGAAAGGATGTTATGGCTGTGTAGTAAGAGCCCACCGAAGTTGACAGGAGGTATAGCAACGATAGCATAATTCCTATCCGCCTATCTCTTCTTACAATATTGAATGTCCTACACGGTGTTTTAAGTCGGCAGCTGCAACCCACAAAAAATTCGACAGGACGTACCTGACACCCAAGATGACCTGTGATATCATAGTTTGTATGGCTATAGCGTGATCAATAGAATCCTGGTGGATGATTACCGATAGGACAGACCTTTGAAGATAGGCGCCACAATATAGTATTGTTGACAGGTTTGTTGGGTATAGGTAGTGGAGAAGTATCCATAATTACTGACTACCATAGCCGTGATACTAACATAGCTGCATTAAATGTGAGCGAAGAAAAATGACGGACTGAGGACAAAACGCACCGCATGAGAATGAATAAGGCACAGGCAAGACTGATGGAAATCGGGATTGTCAACGGTAGTACGTGAATGCAGGTGAATGCCCGCACATACATACCTTATATGAAAGATCGACGATTGGCTTCGATAAAAGCGCCATTCTGCGGGGAGTGTTAAGATATAACTGAACATAATCAGCCGAGTCAGAATATCCACGGGGCCAAAGAAAGGACTTACTCGTAAGTTGCAACGGATATGGATGCTATTCGCAAATACTTCACCGAGGTGACACTGTCTGTAACTAAGCGCTGCTCCATTTATTAGATGAAAGGCGCGTTGATTAGCTCTATGTCAGTCCTTGATATAGATAGATTGAGGCGAGGGATGAGGTAAAAAAAAAGGAATGTAGGATATCAACCAAGGAGGATGATGTGATGAAGATGAAGGTTTCTGCAAATAGGGACGCTATGACGGACGCTCCGCTTTCGACAGAAAGGAAGCAATGCAACTCTTTAAAGAGGAATGGAGGCAAGGCTCATCGTTTTTCTACCACGACCAACCCTACTCAATAACGCCATTTTTTTTGAGTGTGCAGACGAAATAAACTGCGATAAACTGTCAAGTAAGGTTTGCGGTGCTGTTCCTGTCGCGGACGCGCGCGAGATGTCAACTCAGACAACAAAGGCACGTTAATTATTGAGTGGGCACCATTTTATTTCGCACTTGGCATACTGTCGGAGTTTTCTATGCGAGAGAGCTGCCGAAATGCCGATTGGATGAGATCAACTTGAACGCGAACTGTTTGACCGTACCGCGAACGCTGATACTGACATGGACCGGCAAGAAACTCACCGGAACCAAGTCTTGACATCCTCGCTGAAGAGATGTGGAGGAGGTGCCGAAGAATTGTTCTGCCTTCTGTTGGCCATGTGGCCCGCGTGGTCCAGTCTTTGCTGCAAAGAGTTAGTTATCCGATGTCTCAGCATCATGATGGTAAGCGCTTCGAGAGACGTTATAGCATGCGGGAAATCTGCCACGGTAGTGTGAACGTGTTTCAACGATATCTGCGCTGACGTCCACAGTTGAAAAACTGTACTCCTGCGTGGTGACATTCAGCCCTCGTCAAGCTCCGCTATGTGTAGTTTAGTTGCATTTTATCTTGGAAGCTTTTTCAAGAACTTTCATGAAATAAAATGACGAAATAAAATCGTTATTGATCAGAGCTACGGTGTGCGAGGGAGGGACTAGGAGGGAGTATACCCATGGTGTTGCCACACGTGACAACTCAGTGCATCGACGACGACGAATCAACGCCAACGGAGTAGCAAGAGAGTCTGCCACGAACCCTTGGAAACTCCTGGAACTTCAAACAGCAAATAAACTGGCGAAGTAAACTGCTGAGTGGAATTATTAATTAGACATGCTCGAGTAGGCGATAGAAAAAAATACCTGTGCAAGCCAAGCCTGTCTAAGCCAATTAGTGCGAGCCAGCGATGCTTGAGCCAAGGCACGTTAATTGAGGTCCGACGTTCAACAGGTCGAACCCCAGTCGATCGGTTACGGTCATTTCGTGAGTCACACTTTTGGGACGGAAAACGTGATTAGTTCCATCCCTGCGAGGCTGCGAGCAGCGTGACACGAAATGACCGTCCATCAATGCATCACACATAGACCAGACCGTAACCAATAGTAACCGATAGTACTCAGACATTGGTACTGAAGGCGTAACTGATGGTCACAAGGTCCTGGTCCAGATGTCTCGAATCAGGGGGGCTCCGGTTGTTCTGATTTCAATTACTCGCTGTTCTGGCCAAGATCTAGACTCGGATTGGTCACGACTCACGAGTCTAGCCAAGATCAGGCCGAAGGGAGTTTGGTCCAAAGTCGGAAGACTTCCGAACCATTTGATGTCGAAGCATATCATTCGTATCGAAGATGCTGACAGGCTCATCCTCGTCAGGAATTTCTTCGATGGTTGTTTTCTGGAGACGAAAGGGAGGACTGCGCTCCAAGTAGCCGCGCAGCTCCACAGCCTCTACATTAACTGGGGTTCATGCTATGTATGGAGAACTAAATATAAATGTCGTAGTAAGGCTACGAGAGACACCAACGTATCTTCGCAATAAACTTACATAGCACGTACATCCCAAATCACAACGGAGTGCTTGGACGGTAACCCAAACCATGGCCGTGCTGTGTTTAAGAGTCGGGTGGTGATGTAAACGAGGTGAGGTTTGACACTGTGTCGTATACAAGTAGCAGCACATGGATCTGCCGAAGAGGTAGATAGCCATAAGACTTGAACGTTGGTAAGCGCGAACGCCTACGCATGTCATGTCATGAGAGGATAAAACATTGCATACAGCGCTCGAAATGGCACTTCGTGGCGCACAGCAATAACTGCAGGCTGACTGGGCTACGGAGCTCGAACACAGGAATGGCATGGTAATTGACTGGAAAGCGAAGCTGGATTGAGAAGGGAGAGGTGTTTAAAAGCGCATGCTGTATTATGTCTAGCTATCGTGAGGAAAAGGCTTGTTAAGAGGTAGCAGACGCGCCCATTCAAGTGCTCACCATTATCTGGCAGACCTCTTGGTAACATGAAAATCCCACCTGAGCATGCCCCATGGAAGAACTGATTAATCACGATTGGCTTCAATAGAAAAATTGCAAGGGTTCTTCATCGTACAAGTTGGCCTTAAGGGTCCCTCAACGTCAGACCTGTATACGAGAAGGACTCGCCACCAATCTTTCGAATAAATCCTAACCATTGGCACACTTGTCAACCAACTCTCGGGCGAGTGCACCGCATGGTTTTCAGCTCGACAACAAATCGATTCCGACACCGGTCATGACACTGGAGGGACATGAACCGATCCTTCTTAACATTCCGAATGTCGGGCAATATTATAACCATTATGTTGCGTCCATTTCCTACTTTCCAGACGGCGAGCAGATGATTAGCGGATCTGCCGATAAGACCGCTCGGTGATGGGACCTGCGGACTGGTATAGAGATTGAGGATGCGCGAGATGTTTGTGAGCAAGAAGTATGCTCGGAGGCGGTGGTATCAATATTAATGGCGGGTGGTGCCACACCAACCACCGGGAGCGGGGATCGTGAGAATTCTTCAAGCCACCCACAATCCATCAGCTTCTGCATCGATATCTCCGCGGACAGCACGCTTCGAAGGCTGCTGGCAAGTACGAATTGAAAACAGAGCTTGGACACTGGAAAACTCTTGTTTAGTCTATTCCAAATTGGTGACTGGCCGGGCGCGATTCGATTCTCGTACTAAGACTCAAAAGTTCAAAGAGCTCGCAGTCAGGGCAATGGTTGAGGCGAGTTCCTTGAAGTGTGGGATGTTCAAGCACAGACATTGGATGTCCGAGTAGGTGATTATTGTGCTGGCGGGCAAATGACACATGTGCCAGTGTTTTAGACAATGGCAGACTTGAAACCATAGTAGCTCCGTGAATGACTCGGACCAGGCTGCTAGGACTTGTACAATCTATGAGCTTGGCTCATGCATTAACGCCGGTGGCTGTAGGAGCTCCTTTCGAAGGGCACACCTACACCATCTCTGTTCTTGCACTCTCATTCGATTGCGCTCTTCCGAGTCACGCTAGCGCTTTCAAGGACAATTTGAACACCATCAAGCTCTGGGCCTTTGAGTCTTGCCAGCTCGTGCCCAAACTGGCTTACACAAGCTCGGAAGACAAGAAGATCTACATATGTAGCACTCCACCTGATTTTTTTGCTAGCATCTGACCTGCGCAACCTACTGTATTCATTCGCGTTCACCCATAGCTGTGCGCTAATATTTCCCTGTGGACCAGTGTAACTCCTAATCGACGCCTCGCTGAACTACTCAACGTACGTGACTCATACTCATCTACTCCACTCTGTTAATGCCAATATTACAGTCCGACCCACCACGTCGTACCGTGCGCCGTAACCTAGTGATATTGCCTCCCACCTCCCGCCCACTAAGGGATTCCCCTACGGCACACCCACGGCAACGTGCTTTCCATCATTACCTCCGCAAACTCGTTTCTTCTCGCATGGATTCAGTTCCTCCTGTCTGGAAAGATCAACGTCATCCTCTGGATGTAGGTCCCTTTTACCTGTCTCCTTCGCAGCTGACTTGATGCCCATCCGGCAATTCCCAGTTACATCGCCGCTACCTCACTTTCTTTCTGCGCAGGCCATGACTCAGGGGTGTTCAGTCCAATCTCGATCCGCACCACCACCTAATTCTCTATCATTGTTCCCATGACCTTGAAAGCACACCTGCAGTCTATCATCCTGGGGGCCCGTTGGTGCAGGTCATGCACCGCCGCCTATTGTTAATGTTCCTCTTGTGCAGGGTAAAAAGGTGTACTGGATTTATTTTCTCACTGCACTACATGATTCATCCATCCATCCTTTTGTAGCGCAACACTGCAGTGGGTGCTCCCAGAAAGAATATTGGACTTGATACCCGACGAAGACTATGTTCCTTCTCGTCCTTCACCGAACTCAGATTCACAGCATCCACCTGATACGGCGCAGATTGCCTCAGGGAGCATGGAGGTGGCCGATTGTGCGTCTGCTTCTAAACAGTTTTGGTGGTTTTCCTTATGAGCATTGTCGCTCCTTGCATGCGTTGTTCACTATTTGTTACCCGTGTTCACCTTTCGTTCTCTGTTCCGAAACAGTCTGTTATGTCTAGTTACTTGGAACGGTTTCCCCTCAGTACCATCTGACTACGGTGAGAGCATCTATCGAACTATGTACGTACTTCAACTCTTCTGACTACATGCCTAAATATTCTTTCTTCCAGTTGCTAGGTATGCTATCCTAGCATAAACCTATCAATTGAAAACTGCCCGTCTCTAGTCTCTCGTCCGAGCCTCTCTCCCAGTGGCCCCTGAGACAGTTTCATGAGCATTATTCAGACGGCGAGCTGATGGGTAAGATGAAACAATTCTGATAAGTCTTCATCAGTATTGTCGCTGATGCTTGCAAAGAAATTGACTTCTAGTGGCACACGACAGAACTCAACCCTAATTAATCCTGCTCGCAATTGCCTTGCGTGTCCTTAACACAAGGACGAGAAATGATCCAAGGACACAGTGACTAAATGTTCTGTGCAAGTGTGGATAGTACAACGCGTGCGCGGCGACAATTAAAAACCAAATACTACCCGGAAAATGTGCTCGAAACCAGTCTACAAGTAGAAACACTTGAAACGGCTACTTCCATACCTTTCCATCTCACCGGTCTTAATCATAGTATGCCGCTGCGGATCGTCACGGTTGTGGTGAATTGGGATTTGGGACATACTCTGTCTGTCAACAGTGGTAACGCTAGTACTTAAGCTATAAGATCTAATATGAATTCATATGAGACTAATGTCCGAGTCAGCCATTTTTGCCAATTATTTGAGGCTATGCTAGTCGCAATCGCTGAGTGGTTGATTATAATTATGGTGTGGGTGTTGCTAAACGCCAGCTGTGCAATCTCGGTACCACCATCGGATCTAATTGTATGCTCCAGATACACGTTTTTGCGAGCTGACTCGGAGGAAAAACCATGGGACCAAGTTCAGATCGTCTACTACGGTGGTGCGGTATTGCGCAATTGAGGAACGTGTACAAGTTGACATCGGGTAGAATGGTGATGGGCTGGGGTCTGTCGGTCGACCATTCTGCAACCTACGTAAAATCAACGATGTTACACACGAACGGACGGCTTTGGACGTCCGCCGCTACAAGAGCCTGTGTTCGACGAACGGAGATGAAATCCGTGTTGGTGGCGTGGTAAATGGTGGGAAGTCTGTGCACTTGGGCCTGGAGTCTGGCAGCACTTCCCGTGCTCGTCGTACTCAACGATGTCCACAATCTTTTCTTCGTCGTGTTGCTCGGTCTCGAGGGCTTTCATTTTCCTGTCATTTTCCGCGTCTCTCCCTTCGGCATTCGCACAGCCCGCAACACTTCCATTTTATGACTGTTTCTCAGGAAGTGCATCACAGAAACTTTCGGTTGACACAGTGTACTCGCAAATAATCAATGGACAGACGCTGAATATCACGATTTTAGGCAATGCCTCCCAGCAGATCGTTGCGTCTTCTGCCAACAGCACCAGCCTCTGTACGCATGCTTACTCGTGTGCTTTAACTGCATGTCTCATGTTCTTCCCTCCAAGCTACCCTTTTCACGGATGCCACGACACTTACCATGAATACCTTCAGTAATAACTCTGCTCTGTGCGATTCATTACGCCCACCTTCTCCTCTGCCACCTCTCGGCACAAATACCACATATTGCCCCATCCCTGCGGGGCAATTTGCACTCTCTGCATCCATACCATTCAATACCAAAAATTCCTTGACAACTATGGACACAGAACTCAGAGCTGTCGACCCATCTGGAAATGAGATATTATGCCTTAGCGTCACAACCACACCACTTCATCCTGGACCGCTTAATTCGCCATATGGCAATGCCCACATCATATTCTGGGCAACAGTCGGTCTTGCAGCAACTTATTGGCTCATTATTGGTTTTGCTCGGATCGTATCTGCTTGGAGTCGGGGCTTTAGTAGACCTGGTCCAGGCATCTGGCACCGATTCGAGAGTACTGGGTTCATTCTTGCTAGTGCTATCAGCGGTGAGCGCTTTTCAACATCACCTGCCCTGATGAGATTTTGTAAGTAATTTCACATGTTCTGTTCGTTCTTGCGGTGCTCATGGTCCATCAGGCTCCCCATCGTTGCGTGATATCATCTTCCACACACAGTGGTGCGCAGCCCTAGCTATGGTTGCTGTGCAGTGGCCGCCTTTCATTTGTGAGTAGCAATTTAGAATTTGATTTACACTGCATGTCATGAATTACAGATCCCCTACTTTCACAAACTGCTTGGGCATCGCTGACGTACAGTAAGTTTAGGTTTTGAATAGTGCTATGCGAATTTCTAATGGTTTGTAGACATCACACTGAACGCACATTCCATGCACTGGAATCCGCTGAATGTCCAGCCGTATAACCCACCATCAGACTTCGCCGATCAGTTGGCCGATCCGTCTTCTGTTATCTACGTTGACCAGTCGATTCCGAACACGATTTTCCTACTTCCATCAAACACTACAACTGGGATGCAATCCTTTGCATGGAGTGTTGGAGTGCAACCTCAAAATCTCTTTGCAATCTGCTTAACCCTGTTCTTGGCCATCATAGCTGGGACAATCTTGCTGAGTCTGTTCCTGTGGATGGTAGATTGGGTATTTTCACAGCGGCCGTCAGGCAATTTACCAACTTCTGCCGCACTCACAGTTGCAACAAGCAAGGGTCAAATTCGGCGGCTTTCGGCGGGAAGTAAGGACCTGCTCGACACAAGCGGAGATGAGAGCAGATCATCAACCGGATTTGGCCACAACTACACCTTGCTTAGGAGACGTTTGTTTCGACCGGAAGTCAGCTCTTTTCACTCTAGCGTGCTCATAGGAAACCTTGTGCGCGTTCTCGTCCTTTTTCATTTACCCGTCACCATATTCTCGTGCTACGAATTTTCAACAGGAGGTTCAGCGTCTTCATTAGCACTTGGGGCTCTCTCATTCGCTCTCTTCTCTGTGATTGCTCCTTCTCTTCTACTCCTGCGGCTAGGCCGGACGCCAACAACCAAATTATACGACGAAACACGCACTCTTCTTGCGTTAGGTCCACTCTACAATCACTACCGCCAGAACTCGCAGCTTTTCTCGAGCTTACTTTTCCTGTCCAATCTCGTTCTCGGGGTGACTATAGGATGCGGACAACACAGTGGGACAGCTCAAGCAATTATAATTTTGGTGGCGGAAGTTGTCAGTGCTTTGGTCACGAGCGTTTGGTTACCATGGGGTGCAGGAGCAGGCATGGGCCTCATCAGCTTCTTATTTTGCGTTGCACGTATTGTGGTTGCTGTGTTGCTAGTGATTTTGACGCCAACAGTAAGCCTACCTGTCTCTGTACAGTCTAATGCTAAGAGTTTGCTGTCCAGATTTCGATTGGCGCAGGCGCAGGCGGTTGGGTAGCCTATGGCATACTGATCGTCCTTTGCCTTGTTTATCTTGCGTTGTTCTTGATTCTTGTTATCAAGGTCATTGAAGCTGTCGTGCGCATTTTTGGTCAGGTCGGCTTTGATCACTCCAGACGGCCAGTCGATAGCGGATTGATCGGTGTGCTTTCTCTTCTCGGATGTTGCGGGCCACGGAGAGGTGTTCGCGAACGAAGACACTACAAAGCCACGGAGGTACGACATTCACCCGTCGCTCGAGACTCTTTCGCTGCACATGATTCATCTTCCCATGCGCCACCCAACGCATCTTTCGCACAGAAAGACAAAGGTTCCAGCTCCTCTCATCATTCTGGGCCCCCACCGTCAGTATTGCGACCCGAGCATGCTCTGCAGCCTTACAGAGAAGACAGCGATGACGATGCAGAAAGTGGTTATATCATGGGCGCGTGGCAGCCATTCCCAGGACCAGGTCCCCGCAGCTCATACGACCGCACATCCACTAGCACACCTCCCCAACACTCCAATTCAGGGTTTTCCCGCATCGGTGGCGGTCGCGCCCACTACGACTCGCCGTACGCGATTGCCAGCGAGACTGGGGGGAGCTCAACTTTCACGTTCCCTAGCATGGAACGCAAGGGCAGTGGGCCTGTTGGGTCACCAACGAAGACGATCCATGACGATGAAGAACTGCCTACTCCAACTGCTTCCATAGCGAACGTTGCGCGCCTTCCTACATTTACGAACTCTGGACAATCTGCTGGAGCAATGCTGCCACACGTACGCACAAAGAGTCAAACGGCAGTTATTATCGGAGATATGGCTGCATTGAGTATGACGCCTGTAAATGCTCCCCCACAGGAGGAGCATCCTTCGATGGCGACCAAGACGAATAGTGGGGAATCGAGCAGTGATCCTGACCAGCCGAAGAAGAGACATTGGTACAACATTCGAAGGAATCGCAGACATAGCGAGGGGGATCGACTGGACAGTGGGGTGTGCGAGGTGGAGCCTGAAGGTAGTTCACCTCCCAAGGATTCTGGAAAGTCGTTTGTCGTAATTCGGGCACGCAAACCTCAATCATCGCAACCCGACACTCATCCACAAATTCACAAGGTTAGATACTCAATGGACGAAACTGGAGGAGGACCTTCGCAAGCTAAATCTCGGAAGTCATGAATTGATATTATAATGTGCATAGACACCCTTTTACACTTTACTCTTACCTTGTTCTGCTTGACATCTATGACGTACCACCCCAGGATTCTTATAGTACGATATCTCTTGCATGTGTAATTTTTACTGCACTCGTGTATCTCAACTTTTGCTCCACACTCTATTTTGCGTTACTGGTACGTACGGTTACAGTACTTTGGAGATTTTATACATGCATACCTTGACATGATATAAATTAAGCTGTTGTGATTAGACCGAATTAAGATGTCCACGGAAGTACCAAGTCAGTGAGAGGTTGTCATGTATGTGCAGTTATCCACCGGACTGTTGTTGTTGGTGTCACCTCCCAACCAGAAGATTCGCCAGTCCTGCCACTCCTTTCGCCACCACCCATACAAACCTTCCTCGGCCTTCATGCGTGATAAGAGTTCTTCTGTTCCAGTGCTCACAAACGAGCTAGTGGACATGGCGGTATTCATTCTCTCCAACTGTGGCGCGCCGATGTAACGGCGCCAATGTCCTCCAACCGTGAGGAAACCAGCCTCGCCAAGTGGATTCTGCGCAAAGGGAGGCTCAGGAAGTGCCTTGCCTTTACCCTTGTAAGTCCCGGAAAGATATGATAGAGGCACTTCGTGCGCCTCAACGCCTTCATCGCCCATCCCAATCAGTTGTAAGAAAGGCTCAGGAAGCTCTTGTGAACTACCTGGCACTGGCAAATGCATTCGTGCAGTCACGCTCGAAAGCGGGAAGTCCCAGGTTACGATGTACAAAGGAGGCGTGGAGTGAATAGATGCGGGAAGGGGAGCAGCAACGATGTGTGTGATTTTGCCGCGCGTGAGGACACAAATGCTGCTGTAGGAGGCGCCAAGGTGAGGAATATGTATAGTTGGAATGTCAACCTTTGAGGGTAGAACCCAAGCGCCTTTGTGTTCTTTTCCAGCCGCAAAATCCATCGAACCACGAGACTGACGACTTCGGAGAGATCCTCCAGCGTTCAGTGTCACGCTGGATCCACTTCCAGATACAAGGGAAAGGTTGTTAACGCTCCCTCCATTCTCGAACATGTCCACTTCCGTAACTGCTGAATCAGCTACTCGTATTATTCCAGCCCTTTTGTCGAATATCGCAAAAATTGCTGTTTGGGCTTCATATGTGATGTTCACAGGTGCAACTACGGGTGTACGCGAGTTGTTCAAGGCGTCTGTGGAAGCTACACGGCTATGACCATGCCCAACAGTCGTTCGAGGAGATCCAACATCACACGGTGATCGAAAAGTGTCTTGTACGCATTGCTGAACGAAGGTAAGAGAGCGTGGCTGGGATGGCGTGTAAAATTCCTGCAAAGAGTCCTGTAGTCAAATTAAACACCAGAAGATCGATACACACCTTCACGAAATGAAAAGCCCTCTCCCCTCTCGGAGTCTCGTATAAATATATGTTGGTCTTGGTCGCCACGGCAAGCAGTGCACGGCGAGTGGAGCTCGTGCTACCTTCGTGCCAGAGGGCATAGGAAACCACACTCGTATTCGACATTCTAGACCCAGTCGATGAGAGTGACGTAAAATCAGTAGCCCAGCGCAAGGGTAAGTCGTCGACGACATCCCAAGATGAATCTTTATTTGCTGGTGTCGACGGGCGCTTTGTATTTGATGTTGGAAGGAAACTGGGCCGTCGGGGCTCAGTGATGAGATTTCGTAAGCCTCTCGTAATACTACTTGCTGGTCTATGCTTCTTTACTGGTGTCTCTTGGGGATGCCAGTCTGACAACCTGTGCAAATCAACAGGCTGTGCGTCCTGACCCGGCGAAGTGAATACTCAGGATGACGTGAGGGAAGACTAAATAACTGTCTCACTTGATGCGCGATGGCCCACCTTGCCAGGTTGGTCAGACTGGCGAGTTTATACATTCTGAGAGAACGCGGGGATTCTTGATGCGCGCCAGAAGATGGAGAATCCTCAAGTTCAGGACCTACCAAAGCAAGTACGACCCCCTGCGGGGCACTTTCGCCGGCGTCTTCATACTCCAAAAGCGACAGCTGGTAAACACTACAATATACCGGGCGTTAATAGCTAGCAAGGGGAATACGAATGATCGTTTACTTACGCCTCTCCTGTCCACATTACTCTGGCCTGTGCATCAGCGGGTCCTTGCTGAATGAGACCGGTCACCCCATCAGGACTTGTCTCATCAGCCCACTTTGCAGGGAACATGTTAAGGACTGAGAGCCCAACATCGGTGCCCACGAGCAGGAGACGATCATGCTGGAGAGGAAGAATACATCTGATAGGCACAGTTGAGTGTGGTAAAAAACGAGATCCAAAATGATAGATTGAGAGATGAGTCGGGAACAGATGTTCCTCTGGTATGTGCAGAGAAGGCTCCAGGGATGGCTCCAGCGTTGGTTCAGGAGTTTGTAATTCATCGGGAAGTGCCTGTGGAGGAGAAGGGGCAGGAAGATTTGCATTTATTCTCAAGCGCGGTGGCCCACTAAGTGTTGGGCTGCGAGGCTCCGGGATAGAGTCGTCTTGATATTCCTCCTGTACAATACCAGATGAGTAAACCATAGCATCATGAAGCAGAATGCACACATACAGCAACCTGCGAAGACTCATCCTCACTCCACCCTCTAGCTCGCCTGCGCTCAAATTCCTCGACAGTGACGTCTGCATAACGCTCCGCGGCTCTGCATTCCGATCAAAAACAAGCATACCAATCAAGCCTCAGGCCTAGCTCGCTCACCTCTTTTCTATCCAGCCTCTCCAGCGACCAAAGCTAGTAGGATCAGTAAATACGTGAGATTGTGTTGATCAACGCTTTCTCCTGTTTGCGCACCGTGAATTTGGACCGCTTTGGGCGGCAACATCGTTATAAGTTGGAAGGTCCCCAGTACCCTGTTCATCTCGTTCGGCTCCCTGGGTGTACGTCTCAAAACTCTCAACAGTGCCTCCTGGCGACGAGGTCATTTCTGTTATGAAATATACAGTGTTAGCGCTCAGGAGATACAAAGCTTGCTGTGTTTGTTTGGTACAGCTCAAATATGGCTAACCCAATGCAGGACAGGATACCGCAAGCCAAAACCAATAAGACATGCTGCTAGCATACAGATATACGTACGAGTACTTTATCATTGAACCGATTATCAGTATATTGGACAAGGAAAGTCACTTCAAGAAAACGCCAGTCCCGTGAATGTCGCCACAGCGCCAACTAGTGCACCGCCAGCGGCAACACCAAAATTTCCCTTTGCTTTCCGTCCTTTCTCTTCTTCCTCCGTGAGACGTTGTTCAAGGAATTCTGCTGCATCCCCCTCCTTAGCCAATATAACCCATCGGTGCTCTCGCGAGCTTCCATTTGGCAAAACTCGAACGCTGAAACCTAGTTTCTCTGCGTCATATTGTACGGCCTTAAGATCGATTAATGGGACAGAGAATAACATGGCAGGTGCAACCCCTGATGATTGCGTGAGATTATCGAGGAATAATGATCTCTCGTCTGCGCTCATCGTTCGCGCCAGAAGATTCGGCTTCCTTTCGGAATCTGGATCAAGGAAGATAGTTCTGTTCATATCGACAGAGTCACTGGTGGGGTGGCTAGAAAGTGGTTCTGTGGACACTAGGCTCGGAGTCGGGGTCCGCAGCGTGCACGGCATGCGACGTGACAGACCGGTACCCGAACTAGGGTGACTGGTTGTGTATGGCTCGTTTCGCGACCTGGAACTGAGTTCTGGAGTATCTTCCGGAGGTGACTCTGGACTAGTTAAAGTCCGTTTCCATTGCATTATTGCTCTCTGACCATCGCCATCACCATCATCATCATCAGCATCATCATCGGACACGTTACTCATCATTCCTGGCTGGAGAAGTCTCTCTACGATTTCCGAAGATGTGGTAGAGAGTGAAGCGAGACTTCCTGCCGGAAGAAGGGCGAAACGGACAGAGAGTCGGCGTTTGCGGTGCTTGGATTGGGTGGGTGTTTCAGTAGAAAGGGAAGAACGCTCGTCACTGGAATTCACAATGCGCAAGGATGATAGTTCGTCCACAATATCTTCTGTGGCACCACTAGTCTGATCTGACATCGTGGGCTCGATATAAGGACAACCGGAGCGGGGATGTCCCTGCCTCGGTCGGTGGCATGTCTTGCAGTGAGGAGTGCGGCGCGGAGACGTGCCTGGAGTTGAAAGATCTGTTGTCGTTCCAACACTAGAACGAGGTTTGGCTTTGGATGACGTCGATAGTGAAATTGGGTTGGCTGAGCGTGTGACAGGCATCATTTCGACGAGTCCGTCAGCCAGATAAAATTGTGTAACACGCTAGAGACTCAATAAACGTGGACGACTTGAGAGCTTCTGTTGTGAATCAAGAGCAAGGTATTTAACCCTCTTTGATGACTTTCTCCTCTGTAAAAAGCACCTTCGGAGTTGAATAATACAATAAATGAAAGTGGCTGTAAAGACAATAGACGTTGTTTAGTCCAAGAAGCGTTCCAAGCAAATCTTTGAATGTCCTCACTGGTGTCCAAGACGACTGTATATCAGACGTGATCTGCTCAAAAAGGCGTCGCGACTGATTTGCAAGTTCTCCTGAACATGTGCATGAACAGTCAAACTTGAAGTTTCTGAGGTAATCAATATGATGAGCTGTACATGTCAAAGTCACGTGTGCCATCATCATTGAAAAATACATCGTTATCGATAAGATGCTGATCTAGCTTGTGCCACGGCACTGGAGAGTCGAGACCGTGACCTGGCAGTTAGTTTAGCGTCCAGACACGCTTGCACAGCGCACCAGTACTTTGGTCTTGGAGCTGTGACACGAAATACCTGAAAATATGGAGCGTCTTTCTTCTCATGATCATTCAAAAAAAGGTTTAACTTTACTCTTAGTTTGTTTCTGTCATGCTCATCGTTGGATATTCTATCAGATTAAATATGGGCGGCGTTGCAATGAGCATTTCCCCTTGTTCCGGTTCAGAGGCCTCAGGCTTGTGATACCCTTCGAACCGGAACAGGAGGCCAATGCCTGGCGCAGACTGGGCCCGGGCGGACTCGCATAGCAGTTTCCCCCGTACACAAGCCTGCGAAGTCATGTCTCAGAGTGTGCGCGCCCCAATGGGCTCCCTCTTCGAGTGAGGGCCCCACCCATGGCCATGGCATGGATGGTAATTTTCAGCTTCTCTTTGCAACCATACGCTCTCGTATCCTTGGGACAACAGTGCTGGTAATCCGGACGGGAACTCCTATCGATGGACCAACGCATATTCTGACTTTCAAAGTTCCAGGATGCGTCCACTACCGCGAAGGGTATCTTGTCACAATCAAATATTTTGAATGCCGCCAGTCATCACGTTTACTCAATATGTGAATAGATGTGTGTATGTCAATTATGGTTTCTATAGTCTTGTCGATGCTCCTCACAGCTAGTTCGAAGGGGCGGTGCATCCCATCCAGCAAAGTGAGCCACGAGTTTTGTGTTAGTCATGTCGCTGGCATGGAGCTAACTCAACTATGATAGGAACAGCTATCTTTCTGCCATCATCTGCTCTATGAAATAGACATCTTTCGGGACGCCGCCACACCGTATAGCCTATGCAGGTCCATCTATCTTGAGCGCTCCTGGTCAGCATTAAAGCTATATGGCTCAATGATCAGTGAAGCAGAGATCCTCAGCACAAATTTCCATCCATAATCCCGCAGTCTGTAATGAATCCTTTCAAGGTCATCCACGGAGGTCTAAGGAGCCCTCGGACACGGAAACTTATCTACACATATTTTTGCTTCAGAGTCTCACCAGGGACGCTCCCGATTCCTCTCGATCCCAAATTGACACTCCCTTGCTTCAGGTACTAGTGAATTTAGCGAGCGCTGGCTTTACCTCTCACGTTTGTGTATGCTTCAAATGATAGGATGCCCAGTTGGTAATCCATGCATGCCACAAGAATGGCAGTGTTTATTACATAGCATTGTTATCCCAATAGTTCCAAACATATCCCTCCTGTTTCTTCGTGCGTATTCTCTCACCGACCAGCTATTCTCAGGCCGTGAATGCGGTGTCTCAAACTCCCCAGGTACAGGTTGCGAAGAATTCTTCTGCAACCGAAAACCGAATCTAAATTATCCTTCAAGTGATCATGCGTATAAGACTAACACAGCATGCGGTGAGTCGTGATTCTTTAGATTCCTCTCGTTTTGTTGCAGGGTTGATGTCCTCACCTGACAGCAAGACAGGTGTCAACCGCTTACAAACCAGAGAGCCTGTAGGACCGTAGTATATCCGAGTCGTGGATTTCAAAGGGTACATCCATTCGGTTCTTGCCGCGACCGTCTTCATAAGATTTGGCACACTGCCCAAAAGGACAACCTTCCATGTTCTAAACATCCGAAGTCTCGCATGCCATACATTACACGTAGTGTATAGTGGTGTTAAGATACGATCATCAACAAAAGAAACAAATACTTCATATCATTCATCCCTGTCATCTCCTGTCATCGTCACTGCGCCGCTTCTTGGACGTTTTGGATTTCTTTGATTTTTTGGATTTTTTAGATTTCTTTAGAGCTTTTTCTTCTTTCCTCTGTGCCAGGATGTAGTCACGCATGGGGTCTTCCGGATCAATGGAAATAACCGAAGACGCGTCTGAATCCGATGCTTGACCTCCCTCTGTGACCGCGACATGCATTAAAATCTGCCCAAAACTTAGAAGGGGGCCACGCACCCATGACCATCTCTGGCTTGGCATTCAGACTCTGTTCTTCGGGTTCTTCCCATTCTCCATCTTCGCCTTTCACCTTTGGCTGTTTATAGTTCTTTACGTGGTCCACACGCAGCGTCTTACCCAGCACGTTGGCACCATTGAGGTTATCGACAGCCAGCACCGTGGACCTTTGATCTTCATACATGAGGAAGGCAAATCCCCTTGTTTTCCCAGTCGTTTTGTCCCGAGGGAGATTGACGTCCATAACTTCCCCATACCTTCCCAAGCGGTTCAACGACATTCAAATAGCCAAAGTAATTGACGCACTGGGAAAATATGGTGATCACGTCACCTTCAGTCAAGTCAAGGTGCAGACCACCGATAAATACATACGCAGAATCTAGTAAAGTGAGACATGCGCGCGTCAGAGCACCAGAACACCGCAGTGGACCACGACTCACCCTTATATTCATCATGCCATGATCCTGAAATCCCGAGTTCGAGTTCACGTTCATTAATCTTGTTTATTTCCCGAACGACGCTGTCAGAATTCAAGAATTAGATGGAATAGACTTTAGGAGGAACGATCATAGATTCATACCCACTTCATGACTGTAGAGGATGAAGACAAGGTTCCCACGCCCTCCTGAACTCAAAATTTCAGTAGCTCATCTTGTTTGCCATCAACGCAGACCACAATGGCTTCCTTCACTTTACCGCCAATTCATGACAATCCTGACGGAGGATGGGGCCCATCGTCTTCTAACATTCCTGAACAGTTCAAGTTCAAGGACATCCCATATGCGCCATACTCGAAATCTGATAAACTCGGCCGCTTTGCTGATTGGAATGACACAGGCGATACTCGCCAAACTGCAGTAGGACTTCCCTCAACAAGGGATGCCCGCGGTCCAGGTCGCTCAAGAAGAGATGGTGCTCAGGCATTCGGCAGTGGGACTGCCAGTGCTTTTGCTTACTTCCACGTGGAAGACGAATCTAGCTTTTCTCTGGTGGACAACAAAGCTGCTCCTCCACGCAGGGGCGGTGGATTCACCCGTGGAAGGGCTACTGGTCGTGGCGGTATGTCCTTTCCTAATCGGGGGGCTGCCCAGCGGGGTGGCCGTGGTGGTTTCAATAACCGAGGGGGCGCACAGCGTGGGGGTCGGAAAGGATGGAGAGACTGGGAAAAGGTTTACTGCTTGTTCTATTCACTCCTGGCTCAGCTAATAATTTTTATGGATCAGACAAACCGCACCCGTGAATCGTCTGTTGCAATCAGCCCACAATGGACCATGTTGGAGGAGATCGAGTTCCATCGGCTTGCTAAGCTCAAGCTTGAAGTTGACGAGCCGGAAGACATGTGAGTGTTCGTGGTTTTCTAGCCATCGTACCGTATCGAGGACAGTCACTAGTGACACTTACGGCCGCGTTTTTGCGTATGATAAATCATATGATCGAATTACAACGAAGACCGAACGCCCGTTACAGCTCGTGGACCGCATCAAGTACAACACTACAACTTCTGATGACCCCGTCATCCAACAGGTATGTTCTGTTGTCTCTGCACTTTATGATGCATAATGTCGCACACAGTTGGTCTCCAAAAATGTTGCCTCTGTCTACACGACGGATGCTATTTTGTCGGTCCTCATGTGCGCACCTCGATCAGTCAACCCTTGGGACATTGTCATTCTCCGTGAGGGTAATAATTTGTACTTCGATAAACGTGACGGTGGTCCATTTGACACTGTTACGGTGAACGAGAACGCTTCGGACCCTCCGCAGGACCCTGCACCCCCAAACCCAAACAACCCGACCGAGAAGACAGCGGTTCCAGAGCCGCCATCTATTAATTCGGCTACGTCACTTTCTTTGGAGGCGACTTATATTAATCAAAACTTTGGATTCCAATCTGTTCAGGAAAATATCGCGGCGGACTTTGCCCATCCCAACCCATTCTATGGCCCAGAAGAGACGGAGCCTTTGGCATCTTGCGGATACCGCTACCGCGTTTTTGACCTTGGTATCACGGAGGACGAAGATGTGAAGATTTGTATCCGCACTGAAGTGGATGCTTATGTTCCCGGACCAGGGAATCCGCAAGAGGGCCATGGATTAGTCACCATTCGTGCATTGAACGAATTTGACCCCCGTGCCCAAGGAGCAGGCGGTGCTCCTGACTGGCGGTCCAAGCTAGATTCACAGCGTGGCGCTGTAGTTGCTACAGAAATGAAAAACAACAGTTGCAAACTTGCCAAGTGGACTGTACAGAGTGTGCTGGCAGGAGCTGAACTGATGAAAATAGGGTAAGCATTGTTTCTTATTTGATCTTCCAAACACTTTTCTCTTTGTGTTTAACAATTCCTGATGTCAATTTTTTGACCTGCGTTCACAGTTATATCTCGCGTGGAAACCCTAAAGACAACACGCGACATGTCATTCTGAGCACAGCTTCCATGCGTCCAACCGACTTCGCTGCTCAGCTGAATGTCTCTCTTGCCAATGGCTGGGGTATCGTCAGAACAATCACTGATTTATGCATGAAAATGCCTGAGGGCAAGTACGTCCTTATTAAGGACCCCAATAAGGTAGAGTCACATCACTCTCTTCGGGCTCATTCTCATTCATGTTTCAGTCGGTGATCCGTCTCTACGCTGTGCCTATGACTGCTTTCACTACCGAGGACGAGGACGCTGAGGGGTATGAAGGGGATGAACCCGAGTCCGCGGCTTGAAAATGTTCTTTCATACCGAGCTACATATCTTAGTATGCAAAAAGATATATGTATTCCAAGAATGCGTGAGACACTGTTCCGAATGGGACAAAGAGATGTATGCAAGGATGTCTGAACCGAAATCATCAGGAAGCCAAGAGTAATTCAACTGCACTCTCAATGTTTGGACTACAATTCACATGTCAGAGCCTGAAACTATATGGAATAATAGGAAAGCTAACCTCCTCTGTAATGCCCCGACGATAACGGCTCGTTGCATATTTGGGAACATTGTTGTCAACTGAGTAATTTCAGCATCGGTCGGGACACGAACCCCTGTGGTGCCTTGCTCGTTCCTCCCTGTGAGTTCGTTAACCCATTCCCGCACCACGGAACCTCCAGTTTCTTCTGTGCCTGCCGAAGGACGCGCGGTGGCGATTATCTCTTCATTCCCGATGTCAGGGCTTGGCGCTTGATGGGTTGTTTCGGGACGAGCGCGGGTAGACCGTCGTGGTGCGCGAGTAGAACCTACCAATGGAAGCAAGAAACGCGTACTAAAGCGGATTATAGGTGGTGACAGTCGCCAACTCTTAATATTGACAAGTTCTGAGCGATATATGAAGCCGGTGAGTAGTCCAACAACTGCTGGGGCAAATGAACCCGGAAGGTGCCCTAAAGCAAGCTGTAGTTATATTAACGACAGAACGTGAACCAAATTCAAGGTATATTACCTGAGAAGCAAGTATGTACACGAACGCTTTATTGCTTCCAGCAATTCCAAATATTCTAAAATGGTACGCTGGAGGAATCAGCCTATACCACTGATAAAGGATGCTGAAGAGTAGTGCCGATGGACCGGATGGGATCTGATTGATTCCTATATTGTGGAATAATATGAGAGTAAGAAACTCTAATATCGTTGCGAGTAGAACGGAGGCTGCGGTGAATGACTTTGCTATAGGTTAGTGCATCAACATCAGAACGGATATGTTGCTACACACCGCGAATTTAACGCTTCCAAACTGACGTTCTATATGTACACCGACGCCATATAGCAGAATCTCGGCAATGAGGAGATCGCTTGAATTTGAGAATGCAGTATGATGAAGCAAGAGGCGCCAGTACTGTAAAGAAGAGGAAGTTCTAGTTCAGTTTCAATTTCATGAAGCATGTATAAACTTTACTCGGATACCTGATGGTTGCGTGACACGTGGGGCACGAGCTGCAAGAATATAGCTGAGCTAAAAATCTTTTACGGATCAAGAATCGAACCTGAAGGTGTAAGTAGTGCTTGACATCGAAAATGCCACCGACGATGGATGTCAATGCGCTACCCATCATGAGACCTGCAACACAGTAAGTGAGCTAGTTGATATAGTGAAGCAGCCTCGTTAAACCTTTAGTGACGGGAGCATGCTCGAACGACATGATAATACTTAGGACTCGAGAGCAAAACACTGGTGCTGATTGAGGTCACTGGGTCCTGGTGGGCAGGTTGCAACGCTCAGGCTGTGGCTGTGTACTTCTTGTCGACTCACCTCAGTCTATGATGCCATGAACTGCCTGCACCAGTGCACACTGCACAGTACCCACTATCTAGTTAACAACTTAATCGAGTCTACTTGAAGTCAAGTAAGTACCGGCGCGGCTTGACTCCTACTCACTAATTTTTGTTTTTCCACAGTCATTGTCTTGGCACGAAGAGACTCTATAATTGTATCGCTCGCGAATCGTGTGTACAGTGCTACACGCATTACCCGTATATTATCTCGAGCCACTAGGTGCACATGAAAAGCATGAAATGCCGTTTCAAGAACGCATATAGACTCGATGGTCTCCGCTCGTCTCACTCAATTCTCGCTGTCTCAACTTGGAACCTCACATTGTTTATCGACCCACCACGCCGTCTGGTCATTTTCCCTGGTCGCTTCGACAAAGGAGCAGCTAACGAACTTGCTAGATTCCCTAGCTTCTAAGTTCTATTAGCAGGAACGTCTTTCATATCCACCGAACAAACAAACCTCCAGCACCGAATTAGGAGCTCAGGTGACAATTGACTTGTGATCTTGAACTGACACTTCATAGAAAGGGTCTTTGTCTTTATTTCATCTGTCATACAATGTATTGACTGGCTTGTGGACGGACAACGGCACCTCTAGTAACGACACAAGGTCACGACTTCATTCTCGTTGTCCAGTGTCATGATACTTACACTAACATGTACAATTACTTCCGGTAAGAATTTCAAACTTAGTTGATAAGGGCATTGATTGTCTAGACACCGTCAAATAGGCTCACGTTTCTTGTGCGCGTGTGACTTAGGCCATTGTAACGGCGCATGGGTACACATTTTGCAGCACTAGTCGATTCGGTTGATCGATCTGATCAGCAGGACACGGAAAGATGCAAGGATCTAGATCCCAAGGACTCCGCGGAACTGAGAGTACCAATAATGGATGAATTGTCGCGGGCTTGGTGAAATGCTATGAGGGTGTTTATGTTGGGCTTCTTTGAAACCCTGCAAGTTCACCCAGGATTCTTTTTATACTGTCAGCTGAAGTCGCCGCGAACAGTCATAATTGCTAGGAGTCTCAGGCCCCTGGGTATCTTGAGCTTAATGGCGCTTAAATGAGGTTCTCAGATGCCTACAACTGTTTGCTTGTTGTCCTGCAGCAGGGCACTGAAGGTGAGGCTGATGGCACGGCAGTTGTCTGAAGCGCGCGTTCGTCGCAATCAGTGACATGGAGAGGCTTACGGATGACCAGAAAATCGGCGGCGGGGGTTACCTGTATGCAGGTACCCATATCAGATAGACGCACAAACGTCTGCCGTCATCTAACTTAACTGAAAAGAGCGTCCGTTTTTTCGCATGGAGGTTTCCTTGCAGGTACGCGTGTCCAAGGAGTCTCGTGCACACGGCGATTTTCATCCGAAGAGTTACGTCCACGTGAAGCCGTCGGATTGAGGTGACTGAACGTTGAGAGGCACCATTTCTCGGTGAAAGTCACGCAAATGATCTAGATTTCTAATACTCAACCTGTAGCTAGATACGGTGTCTACGACATTCTCTCGAAGTGGCTAATCAGTCCCCCTCATCTTCGCTTCCGACGGGTTCCTTGCCATCCTCCGATGGCACGCTGCCGATTACGACGAAAGCGCGCTGTTCAGGGCTAGTACCGACTCGCCGCACAGCTGCTTTCCCCGAGAGCGCTAAGCGTTCCCCTCATGGGGTCAAGCCCTAGGATAACAATTTAGCCCTGTCACAGAAGTGCCCGGATATGCCGAGGAGCGTTGTACGGCTCTCGAGTTAGCGCTACAATATGTTCTTTGTCAAGATTAGTTGTGCACCGCCTAGTCATTAACAGGGTTAGTTATAGATATTTGTCATACATGCCATTGGAAGCAGGGTATTAGCCCCTGGTCATTAAGAGCCTTCTCAAAACATGTGCATGGGGCTCGGATCTAGATGTATGACCAATTGAATTGCGCGTGCGCGTGGTTAAGCACAGGTGGACTCTTTTGACATCAATGGAATTCGGGAGGGGTAATCTCCATCTTACTTGAGTGTTTAATGCTGTCCTCTTCTGAAACACGAAACCGAAGACTGCACTCGAGACCATCAATATTCTGTCTATGACACAAGTCGACAAGTTACCAGTCTACGTCCACAAATCTACTGGGAACATTAGGACAGAGAGCTGGGGGCAGTACAGAATTTCCTACAGGGCCATCATGTCCAGCAAAGCGCGACAATTATTGGATGACGAAAGTGGATGAGGGGCGAACCAGCTTAGACATCTCCCGATGGACTCTAGTTCAACGGCGACATACAGAGTTCGATAGCAATGAAGCAGTTAGTAAGGAATTGACCACGGTGACATCGCAGTCAAATGATGTAGAATGGTGGATGATCCATCAGTGAACCGGTGAAGCTTTGATAAGGGTATGCATAAGGAAGAGACCTGCTCGTGAAGTTCAATCAATATGCGGTGATAAGGAGCAATAGAATGATTTTTTGCACATTAAACACAGCATCGTCGTCAGTTTCATTGCAGTGGACAGCATCTCGCCACTGACTTCACTACTGATAACCAGAGATAAGCATGAGTGTAAATGAACAATTTCTCAAGGTAGAAATGTGCCCTAAGGCGCGTCATTACAACCATCCCATTTGCTGATATGATTAGAACACTCATCGGTATTTCTCTATGCTTCGCAGATTTGATTCGGGAACGAGCGTGCATATTTTTACTGGATGGTTACTTGAACACTTCACTGCATCCGCCATCGTGGCATCGGAGGAACCCGATAGCGGAGTATTCATCCGTTGTATTTCATAGATATGCGCAGCCGCACTTTCCGCGCTATTGCCGAAGCGGGTGCGATTTAAAGCATATGTAAGACAGATGAGGTCAGTGAGCGTCTGGCGCCTTGAGAGCGTCAAGATGTTGAAAGATGGCATATCGACTTACCTTCGACGCGGCATTGTATTTAGTAAAGTTACTGTACTATCCTCGTGATTATCATGGCCGACTCGGACGTCGTCACGCGGTCGTTAAAATGACATATCTGGGATTCGGTCATCCTAAATATTTCATCCTGTGAAAGCATTTGGACCCACGAAGGACATTGGCATTGTGTCAGCGGAAAGTCAATGACATAGAACTTCACCAAAATTAACACATGTTCATCGTAGATTCGCAATTGCTGGATTTTTGCGAGGAATCGATACTTGCATGGGAGTGTTGGAGTCCACGCAATCTTCTTCGCGTATTTATTCAGTAGTACCGAGAGCTTGCCATGACAGACTCGACACGCAGACAACCGTGACAGAGAAGACTTGCACAACGTGCGAAAGTTCTCATTGAACAAGCGAGGGGTCCATCACCAAAGCGATGTTTGAGCTTGATCCCTTTATTGGTATTGGAAGGCACGACTGTCTTCCTTCGTCTATAAAGGTCTGGATAGGGGAGACTTCACAGGATCCTGGACATAAATCAACATCTCAGGGCAGTTTGGTATAGTTAGATTATGTTTCCTTTATTATATGACTCGTTGCTGACAGAACCTGCGAATCCGCGAGTCTGCGAACGGCTGCGAATGTTCGACGTCGACCTATTTGGAGAGTTCCCTTGACTCGAGTCGGAAGATGCGGCTTGTTTTCATTACATAACCCTAAAATTCGCGGAGTTTGAACTCCACGTCGTTGTTTGTCACTCTAGTCAGCACACCCTGAGCCACAACGACTTGACAATTGACAATATTAGAACGTGAAGACCATGAGCACTGCGAGCGTCCAAAATTTGGAGGAAGCTGTCACGATAGCGTCGGAATTCATAATGAGTGAGCCAACCTCACAGTTCATGGTATTCGCCAAGCTAAAGTGACTCAATAATCAGCCCTTGATAACTTACCCAGCGAAGTACAATTTCTTCTGCAAGAGCTTCGCTCGAAAGAGACCGATTCTCAAGGTATGCGGCCATAATATCACAGACTCTGGACGAAATATTTATGTATATTTTAAGACATTCAGAATGATCTAGCCAAAGAAGCTCATAAATATATGCGACATTCCCTACGATCGGACGGTACGGACCCCGCCTCGAAAGAGAAGGATAGAACGCTAGCACCACCAACTGAGAAACTGAGGGATGCTCAAGAGAAACTTTCAGCGCTTTCAGACGCGAAAATTGCTCTGGCCTCTCGTATTGTTGACCTACTATCCAGGAAGCGGGCTCGGTTAGAATATGATCTGGGGCGTGTCCTTGTTCTACAAGGAGAAACGGATCCAGCATCTGTTTTCGCTGGTGCTGCAGCTTCGACTCCAGTCTCTGTATCGGGACTTGGTAGTGGCACTGCCGGCTATGTGCTTGGAGGACGCAATCCAGCCGCTCAAATTAATGAAAGCTTGCGAAACGCGTTCGCTGGCGGTACCGCCACCCCTCTGGTAGGTGGCTCAGGAAGCATGGTTTCTGTCGGAGGGCGTGCTTCGGTTACTGGGGAAGACAATGCATTTAAAAGTAAGTTCGCGCTTATGTCATTAACTTTAGTGCTTAACGTCAGATTCAAGAACGGAGATTGATGGCGACGCAGGGCTCTATCAAGCTACCATCACCCGCGCCATCTGCCTATGTTCCATCTACTCGGGGCCGCCGGAGAAGACGGGGAGCTTCATCTGAGGCTGAGGACTTCGATTTCGATTATGGAGATGAAACCCAAGGTGCAGAAGAAGCAGAAGAAGGTGACGGTGAAGAGGGTGAAGATGGCGAAGATAAGGAACTGTACTGCTTCTGTCAGAAGTTGAGTTATGGAGAAATGATCGCGTGTGACAACCCAGATTGCCCGTATCAATGGGTAAGCCTATACTTCATGTTTTGGTAACCATAATCTGACACATTTGTAGTTTCACCTCCCTTGCGTCAACCTCAAACAACCACTCCCCGAGAGTTGGTTCTGTGATGACTGCCTTAGAAAGATGGGTCCTCCTGCGTCCGGTCCTGGTCGTAAGGGCCGGAAGAAATAGACCTTTCCCCCCTCACATCCCCTTCGCATCGCCTTGGCTGTGGCCTTGGGCAAAGAAGTTGCCATATGTTTTGGGGCAGCCAACACCGGGCTATCTACAACAGCGTTTTGAACGTAGTTCCGCCTCGTCACTCCTGTCGCATTGATGAATTTGAGGTGGACTACAGTCAAACTTGCACTGTGCTCCTACGGCCGCCAACTCGCCTTCACAAAATTATGAAGTAGTCAAAGTTACCTTTTTTTTGGCGACAAGATCGGGGGTTCCTATGATCCACGCTATGACCACACGTATCTCATCATTTCAGGCTTTCCCTCACTATGTCCGTCTCTGGCAACGTTTGGTGGCAGTGGAGTGCAGGATAGAACACAGATACGACCGAGTAGACCGAGAATGGGGTCACGACACGGCTGTCCGATAATGTGAAATCAAATCATGGGTCTTCAAGCAGGGCGTTTACTGTATGAGCATTCGCCCATAACGCCGTGATCCTGATACGCCCCAATCCGTGCGTTCGCTTATTTTCTTACTTAGCCGTTCCTTGGTGTTCTGCTTTTGCAGCATACCGAGTCTATTTCGGTGACCTGCGGCAACACTGTATTCCCGATTTCGGAGCTGTCTATGTTACGTTAGGAGCATGTATCCACAAGCACAAATATTGTTCGCGTGTAGACGTCCCAGGCGCTCGACTCCTCAGTAGGAATTATCTCTCCTGTATCAATTAGCGCTGCCAGCCCGTCTGAATTTCCCGTGTTTAAACTATCTGTCTGGCTCATTCTCACGAAGCTTCCACTACAGTGCCGCCGGCGTACCCGTTACGCGAAGTCAATTTACACGTTCAGGTTTCCCTTGGTTTCCTCGGTTCGACGTCTAGAACCTACGTTGACGTGCCCGTTGACAAAAACCATGTGGCGTAGCGCTCCCCACAACGGGTTTGCATGTGCAGTACAAGCTACTAGCTCGTAACCAATCATACAATTACCGTTCGCGATTCAGCGGTGTGAGGTTCTAACTTGGTGCTAAGATGGCTAGATACTGGCGATAGGGGATACTATCATGACCTGGCCAGTCGACTAGTCAGGGTTGCCCGTTCAACGAACCACGCCTCATCTTGATAACGTGTCACGATTACAGTGGCGTTTGCAGGCACCGACAACCTTATTGTGGCGCGAAAACATTTTTGATTTGGCGTTCTCGGTGACCATGGACTCCGCAGCCCGAGTGTCAATTGAATGTGGAAGGAGCATCTCTGGTGGATGATCTACAAGTGACCTTTCTCGGCTTCCATGGAACACATTTTGGCTCAGCTGTTGTACTTGCCTTGTTTGATTTAGTCTCTCTGTCTGCCAGACCATAGAAGGAAGAGGGTGGTATTAATCCTTCTTTGTGTCTGTGAGCCAGATACAATGGAAGCCGGAGCTTAAAACCTGCATAGGAGAAGCTCTTACAAACTCTACTCTATGGAATGGAAGCCGGCTGAACTATACACAGCCAGCTAATTGTCGTTGCTCACAATTATTGATCGTATGAAACTCGCGTCTCTCTCCACCCACTCTTGACCCACAATTAAAGAAACCGATTCATATTAGGTCTCCTGAATGCGATGCCGCGATAATTACAATATGCCATAACGGGTTCATAACTATATTTTTACTTCAAGAGCACCCTGGTTGCGATGTCCCGATGTTGCGAAGAGTCGTGGTTAGATAGGTACATACATCATGCCGTGATGTCAAGTCTCTGCCATGTCTATCTGTTTCCCGCTTCATGGAACCAAACGATTGTCATTCGGTGATGCCGGTGTATGGATGGTAACTGTGTGTGAATGAAATGAAGCAATTGAGTTCGCTGGCATCGGCTTTCCGTGTCTCTACTCCCGTAGGTAAAAAAATCCGAACCTCCGGTAACGGACCTCGGGTAGAATATGCCAGGAAAGGGTGGTAATGAAGACCTCGCGAAAAAACGTAGGGTCATTTGTGAAGGAAGAACGACTAGTGAGGACGATGGTGCAATTGAGTACGCACGTTATTACTCGTATGTGGCTTAATATGTACAGAACAGGGTTACACGCTTGCCATATCGTCCGGGCTTCTTCGTTTCGAGAAATGTCCAATTGTGGCCTGATCACGACATGGAGCGCGTCCAAACCGTTAGAGTCACTTTCAAATAACGTAAGTATCCTGCCGCCGCCACAGGACCGCCCCCGGCGGTGATGTCTTGTACGTAGCACGTCGCTCTGCACGGTGGCCAGCTGGGGATAGACGTCTTAGAAGCCTTCGTGGCGTTTAGATGGAACTGTCCAGGGCCCGGGGTAAACGGCCCGAGCAGTGGCGTTAGCAACGACTCGTCCCAAGGTCCACTGTATTGGATGCGTGTTCGAGCTCAGTTCTCATCCAGGAAGAAGAAATACTTCTTTTCATCCGCACTGTCCCGAAATCTCAGCGCAGACATAAACGGATCACCCAGAAATGTACCACCGTGCATAAGTGCTCATATTCCCTGGGCCCTGTTGCCAATACGTACAAAGTGCCCACGGCGTGCCTCCGGATAATTTCAAGGTCACCGTAGGACTTCGTTTGACGGGAAATAGAGATAGAAAGAGGTGGACCTGCCTAGAAAACTGTGGTTCGCGGGTGAAAGATGTGAAGATACGGAATTTACCGATGTGAGGAGCCCATACGTTGGACTAGGGGAAGCGTGCTTTGCGGGCTGCCGAAGACGCCGATGTGCTTCGGGTTCGATAATATACTATACTTATGAGCGGCACCGCGTAATCGAACTAGTAAGAAGCCCCAATTACAATGGGTAGCACGCTAACAAAGTGCTCTTGATAAGACTTTGAATGCCGGAGTGCACCCGCTACGTCAAGATGATGCATGAGGTCGGGTGCGTCGCTGTCAAGGTTATGAATAGAAAGGGGGTAGTAGGTCACACCAGTTAATTGCGAGCCGCGGCGACCTCATGATGCCCTGGCGCCTTGCCCCCAGGCTCTTCCAATGGCTAACGATAGGAGGTTGGGCTGTGGAGTTGCTAGTCATCCGCTGCCATCGGCGTGCTTGAAGCGAAGGAGCTACCACTCGGTTGGACTCACATGATATGCTATCTTCCCATAAAAGTGCAGCGACGAGCGCCCCCAAATTTGACGAATGGCGAAGAGAGAAAGGCACATTGAGCGTCCGATGCCCATATTAGTCCTCGTGTTGCGGAACGAACCGAATAAACTCAGCAAGCCAATACCCAGCTTTGTGAAACGTGGAGTGGAGAAATGGATGAGTGACACCGAATAGACGTAGATAGAAGTGGGCGGCCTAGGAAATGGAGAGCTCAAAGCAAGGGTTTGTCGAGGGTTTGTGCTAGCCATAGGATAGAGGGAACGTTCGTCCTTCATTCGTCTAGGGGCTCGGGGAGACTGGCGGCTGGCCGTTCATTTAATCGTGGAAAGTGAATGAAAGATAATTGTGGCCGCTAGTACTGTGCTAGTGAATTCTATCTACTATGAGGGGGCGCGAGAATGCATCGGGTTTAACTTAACTCAATTGCGCGAAGATAGGGTCCACACTCCCCGTCCCCGCTTATATTGAGTACGTGACCCCATGTGTGTGGGCCAATTGCACACATAGCTTTTTTGACAGCGGAGTCAATGTAATGTGCAACGTGATAAGCTTAAGAAAAGCGCTTAAGCAGAGTTCAAAACCTGCAGACGAAAATACGTCATCCGGACTGGCCGTGGCTGGCATCCAAATCATTGGGCAGGACACAATCTGACACACAACCCGCAGTGGGGGCATTGATTCATCTCCGTCTCCGTGGCGCACAGTTTAATGTATGTAATGGAAAAATGAAAATCACGGAGTCGCTTCTGGGGCGGGCGATGTGATTATAGCACATGTCGTGATCCCACTCAAAGTCCATGTTTCAAAGTCGAGGAAACCTTCTTCAGCCTGTGCATCAGTGATCCAGCATGCGAAGTGGGAGATTCGCGCTCTGTGTCTTGAATACACACCGTACTTGATGCGGGGGACGATCCACCTGTGCCTATGTCTGTGACATGGATATGATTCACAATTGCTCCACATGGGTGCAATATCAACCAGGCGATAGAAACCTTTCCTTTGACGACGGAACTCCTCGTGCATTTCGGGTTGCTAAAGGTTAGAAATACCAGTAAGATGAATAGAGCGTTGTATTGGGAACAAATACAAGCACTATTACGTGGGATACCAAACTTTGGGCCACAGATGCCCAATCCGAAGAGGATTGGACTCCTGGAAAGAAACCGACAAAGTTACACCCCACGCCAGTACAACAATACTGCATCGCAAGCATAGCCAATGCAGAGATGGTCACATGGATAAGATTGGGGGTAATGCCGAGACCATGCTGTAATGCCGTCGAAGCATCAGGCCTCAGGCCCAAAGAGAGAACACAGCATCGATAGATGCATGTGGCAGGATGTTGGATTGTCCTTTCCGGTGTAGCGCTAGCACAGGAATAATGGAGGGCGTTGGGAAGATACTGAATTGAGGCAACGTGCGAGCGGGCTATGACGCGTGACGAAACTGCTTCATCCAAATCCAATTCAACCTCGAACCTTGATCTTCCTTTGAATGAGTTTCGGTGTACAACATACACATGGTGAATGCGGATGATCGCAACAGGGGGAGCTCGGAAGCTCAGTAAGATACCGGAGTTTCATCTGAAGTCGTACACGGCCCGCGGACGAGAAAGATTCGGGAAAACATTCAAAAAATTGGGTCGTTGTGGAGGGGAGGTTTTGTGACTAGGTCATGCACCGCAGCGCCTCGGAACGGTGTTCTCAAGAGTAAAAGACAGTGAGAGGCCTAAGCTATGACAAGTTTAGACCGCGGGTATTTCATTTACGATTTTGATTCCGCATCAGGTACTAGCAGAGAGGGGACGAAAAAGGATATTGAAGTGGGATTTGCTGTGAGCTCTCTCCACGGTGTTAAGCGTCGGGCGTGGACAAGAAAAATGTCAAAGGAAGGGCTTCGAAGTTGCAAGCGCGACAGCTGCCCCACAGGAGGGAATACAGGAATGGAGGAGATAGGTGAATACAGCACTGGAAGTAGGACCAGCAAAGCAAGTTCCAAATTTAGATACGAAGCACTGTGAGTGGGAACTAATAATAAGAATAAAGCTCAGCTGCGCAGGCGGCCACTCGCAAATAGGCACGGAGAAGTGGCAGGAGGAAGTATTTTGTGGCAGTGAATTATGTAGTAGGATAAGTTTTTTGTCAAAAAGAAGAATAAAGGTGAACACAGGAAGGTAGCGGCAGGTACGGTAGCGTATGGGGAGGATCGATCAAGAAGACTTCCTAAATTGGATGTGTACGGTGGTCTGAAAGTAGAAACATTTGACTCAACTCTCTTTGAACGGACTGTTCAGGGATGCGAGGGACGGGGTTTGACTCGAATAACTGGCGGAGGGTGAGGGGAAGCGTGAGACAAAAGGGCTTAAATAAGTAAAAGTGGTACAAAAGACAGGGACGCAAGACGGCAGGATGTTGGCACGGAGTGCAGTAACCAATGAGAAGAGGCCAGCGAAGTGAGACAGAGGCTCAGTTCCGACGGGGCGCTACTCACAAGTTAAAAATTGTTAAAAATGTACAAATTTATTGTGAAGAGTTCGTATGCTGTGCGTGGGAATTGAAAGGACGTAATATGGGATGGATTGTTTGTATTTGGATCATGTTTGATTATATTTGGTACGCGATAAGAGATCTACCGGAAGAATCTGAATCTTAACGGGAAGTTCCGGAAGCACCGAGATAGTGGAACGGGCTAGAAAGAAAGAGTAACCAAAATCTGGGAGAGAGGAGGTTGCTCTAGTCCAAATTTGAACACTGCATGGACCTTCTTCTTATAATTTACCCGTAGGGTCCTTACATTTTACCGATTCTTCGTCTTGTGTCTTCACTATTCTAAACTCTTTTTTTTCTTCTTTCAATCGTCAGTCATGGATTTTGCAGCGTACGCATCTCCATACCCCGACTCTTCACCACCCTACTCCGAATCTTCTTCAACTCCCCGTACTCCATCTCCTCAATCCGTTGACCTCATTCATCCTCACGACTTCAAACATCCGATCCATACTGTTCCAACAATATTTCAAGAAGACTCATATCTTCCATCCGACGTAGGATCAATGATCCAAAACGATTCTTGGGTCTCTCAAGCCAACTACAACAATTATCCACAGTCACGAGGTTCCCTCCTCTGCGAGTTGTACGACTCGGAACCCTCTGAACATTACCAGAGTGAAGCGTATATTGACGATCACGCGCACTACAATGAATGGCAGCGGCAGCAGCAGCAGCAGCAGCAAATGCACTTGCGCCAGCCCGATCACCATACATTTCGTCGCGCCACTTTTCCTTACGTCAGACATGACCTCCCCCAACATCATATACCTCACCACTCCCAATTTTATGACCAATACCCGTCCATGTACAATGAGCCACTTACAATGTCCCCCGATCCATCTGAATCCCGTCACCCCCACGATCCTCAGTCAATTAAACTAGAGGACACCCCCCTCATTGTTCCTTCCCAATTGGGTTTCCCTGCACATCCTCTTCACGGTCATCACCTTCCTGGTTTCCTCCCTCCCGGAGCTGGTGCTTCAGTTCCAATTCAACACACCGATGATGCTGCTAGCAAAGAGACCCAGTACCTCAGGAGGCGTTGTTTTAATTGCCATACCACAGAGCCGCCTTCATGGCGTCGCTCCACTCTCAATCCTGGAAAGATTGTCTGCAACAAATGTGGTCTTTATGAACGTACCCACTTGCGCCCACGTCCCCTCCGCTTTGATGAACTCAGGGCAGGTGGAAAGACGCGTAAACCTGGCGAGAAAAAGGTCCAAAAACCTGCTCCTCTAGCTGGTTCACCCCAGATCAAGAAGGAGCCGCGAGAGTACGGACTGGCGAGGCGTAGCTCCGTTTCGAGCACCGCATCCAGTGGTGGCGCAGTCAGCGACTGGGATGATGCTGGTAAGTTTCATTATTTCTTACGTGTTGTTAAGCACGTGCTAACAATTTTACAGTGTCAGTGTATTCTTCACAGCCTCCCACCCCTGGCTCTATCTCCGGCCCCCCCTTCCAGCTATTCATCGCCTTCCATCGCAACGTTCCCCATCCCTCGCAGCTCGCAGAGCCCGCCTATCGATGCCGGCCCCCAGGCTCCAATTCGTCTCCCTAACGCCCCGTTGACAGACATTGCGTCTCTTCAACAACAAGCACCTAGGAAGTCAGCAACCGCTCCGGGTTACTTCCCACAGCCTCCAGTCTCATACCAAGGACAGGAGATGTTGCGTCGGGGGTCAATGCCTAGGCTCTGTGAGCAACCACGCCAAGTGCAGTTTGCCTCGCCACAGATTCCACCGCAGTCACTAGGCCCCCTGCAGGGTCCTGCCTCTGAAGCGCCCGTTGAAAAATCGCCGCACATCACGCAGATGCAGATTTCGTCACCTCAAATGATGACCTCATCGCCTGTACCCGCAGCAGCAGAGCCACTGTCATCCTGAGGGACGGCACGAGACACGTGTTTTCATGCCTTTCTGATTACCACGCTCGTTTGGATCTTGGTATTTATTCCGTTTTACAATCCAATTCGCATCGCCATCTTGAGCTCGATTTCACGGCCTATTTAATTATTCACCTCGTCGTAAAATGGCGACCGACAAAGACGCGGGCAAAACGGTATCTATATTCCGACATATATCCTGTATCCTATATTTCCCGCCTCGCATCCAAGCTGTCGATTATGTCTATATTGCGCATATACATATCGCCTCATGAACAATACCCTGCCAGCCATACCGCGCTCTGTATGTCGTCTCGATGATAGATACCCGTCTCACCAATACGAATGACTGCCGAATGTGCATGGAAGAAGAAGGGGAGTGTACTTGTAGACGCTAGTGTTAGTTAGTATACCTACTTAGAACCTTTTCTCGAATTTCAGACGCAGGAACATGAATTTTTTGCTTTGCACTGTGGCACCATTCAAAAATTCATGTCCGCCAATAAGTTAAGGTTGACTCAACCGCGCTTAGCAACGACAAGCACTAAGTTAGCCTGGAGAGGTAAATTGCTGTAAATTGCTGTAAATTGATAACGTTCTTGGGACCCGCGCTGGACCACGCCCCTTCATTAACCTGCTACTTCGGGAGGTATGACACGCCCGCTAGGAAACCCACTCATCCCCTTTGCGCCAAGCTGCACTGCGTCATATTCCTATTTAGTCTTGACTCAAAGTAGCACATGATGGGCGAACATGAGGCGCGCCAGAAGCACCATCTTAGAATGCACGCTTGAGTAAAATGTTTGTATGGCTGGCGTCATGAAAGTCAACGTTATCCTATTGAATTGAATTCTCATTTGCGAACTTCAAGCCCCAAGAACGCCAAACGGCCGCCGTCTGACTCATGTTCAAGCGCAATACGTACTAACTACGTGGCAACATGGAGGGAATCCGAGTATGCTCCATTCAAATCCTCGGCTGCGCAAGCGCTGGGACAGCAAGTTGAAGTCGTTGTTCAAGTTGTCACCCCCATCAAACAAAGCTTGTCTTCTTCGAAACATTCGTGTGACCGGCCGCCATACCATCGCTTTAAGCAGGTCTGACACGCCGAAACCGCCCTAATAGCATCCCCAATTGAAATTTTTTTGCCAGCGAAGCACTTGTTCTTTCTTCGGACTTCTGCTCTTCTCAGGTCGGGAATGTAGATTCAGTCTCAGACGATGCTTCGAGGACTCACGTGTCTTGTCAATGTCACTCTTGTCAGGGTCGTGGTTGGATTTGAGTAGTATCCCTACATACCTCCACCAGAAGTTCGTGTGTGTATTTCTGTGCTGTCAGTGGATTCGTCTCTCTCGGACAGGGCAGAGACTATATTGCCCCGCTCGGAGAACTACATGTGCTCAGGCCAGGTTGGTGACCCCCCTTCGCCTACGAAGCCCACGGTCCGTACCCGGCCCGCTCGAATCGAAAGCCAGTCCCTCGTCAAGATCTGCCAAACGAAGTGCCACCGTTTATTAAGAATTCAGCAAACTGAGACAATATTCAACATCCATGGGCTCCGGTCGCTATGCAGGGTCGAGGACAGCGTTTTCCCAATTCCCAGCATAGTCTTGCTTGACAGCGTGTGCAGTTTATGGTCTCCGCCGTAGAAGTTTTGGTATGAGGGACCTGGCAAGACGAATTTTTGTCGGCTCAATGTCTTCAGATGTGACCTGAAATTTGAATCTTCACAGATGCCGGTATAACGATGAGTAATACCATAAATTTGGTCGAGGAAGCGGAGTGTCGATAGGACTAACTGTTCAGGCTACGATTTGGCTATGATCTACTAGATATTTGCTCACGCGCCGAGGGTAAGGCTGGATAGCGTTATAGTTGACTGCATAGAGAGACGATGATCACATATATGAATCGTCAACCATAATTTCACTGTAACATATATTATCTTACCAACGTCGAGACGCAAGCTATAAAATTTTGATTTTCTTTGATTACTATGTGCGGGTGAATATCGGTTGGGGTTTTGGTTTCATGCCACGTCCAAAATGGAGTGTTACTGAACGTCAACCTTCTAATTGAAACTGGTCTAATTACCTTGTGCCTGTCACATAGCGACGCTCGGCTCAGGTCGTCATACGGACCGCTCGCGTTAGCTGCTCGCTGGAAATGAGCCACGCTACAGCGAAAGAACTAGATTTGAAAGAAGTTGGAAGACGAGGAATCGACTTGCACTAGCAGTGGTGCTAGTTGAACGAAGATTGATCTCGAACTCATCAAAATCTGACTAGCTGCTTAACACACTCTGCTAACTAACTTCGGTGGATGTCCGAGTCGGTGGGTCACCTGAGTAACGCGAACCTTCGCTATTTTTACCTATGACCAGGAGGAGCCAGGAGGTTCCAGGTTTACGGTCGTTCACGGTAATTAATGTGGGCATAACATTTGAGTACAGGTACAGCTAGCCAATCATGGTGCGGTTTTCCGCTGCTACTACTACATGCGTCCAACAATTCATCCCTGGACATCTCACCATAGGTAAGTCTTTTCAAATTCTCGGGCCATCCGCACGAAGCTGAGTTCGTTCTGCTATTGGGCAGCCGAAAGTAAACAGATTTTTGCAAAGTTTATGCGGCTCGTTCTTTCAAGTTCCCCGCACTCATGCTGCGATGAATGTCAGCCGCATTAATATTATCGGAAACTCATACGCTAATATGCACATAATAACTTAGTAATGAAGGAAATATTGCGGTGACAGACAATTACAATTGGATATAACAATTTCCAATCCCAAGATTGTCAGTAGTCACCAGGTGTCACCTCGAGGACTCGAGCATTTGGAACTGTCAAAATCGCGGGGTCATTTATCGCTACCCCTGAAATTTGACGCTACATGCTCGACTTGCATAACATTTTCCAGCATTTCCCCCGACTACCGCACTGTGTCGGAATGACGTACCGATCGCCACCTGCGGGTGGGCTATACTCCAAGTTGCTGACGGAACTACTTCAGGAATAACCAACATAGGGGAAACGTTCGCAGAATTGGCCGTTCTTGTCCCTAAACTTCAACTTGTGTTACATGCTAGAGGAACTGTAAGTAGTTGTCGGGGATCAGAACAGGTGAGCCAGCGCTGATCCTAAGTTATGCAGCTGCTTTGGTTGGTTCAGGTCAGGACTAGGCTAGAATGAAAATCGGTAATTCCTCCCTTGGGAAGAATGAAGTGCGAAGTCAGGCAATGGTTTTACCCCTTTTATTAGCTGGCTCTAATGATTGCGCACGACCAAGAGATCCTAGGATAACCGGCGCGGTCCCTAGTAGCGCATCCCGACACCACGGATCCACAGTTTACTTTATAGCTTGCTTGGTAAACTCCATGGCGCAACTGCGAGCTTGGTGCAGAGCGGTGCTAAATTGCCAATCAGTTTCCACCGAGGGCTTAGGCCATAGGAACACCAGTCATGTGTGTAAGTATACGGTGTCTATCTTCATTTGAAATCAATTTCAATTTCTCACCAAGGTCGTTCGTTCGTCATCGCCATCGTCGATGACCGTATGGTGGTGCATCTTGCGCTCATGTTTTCTTATCTTGCGGGCTTCATTCTGCCAAGCATGCTGATATGGTATCATAATGACTGGATACGATGAAAAGAAGATGAAATAAACCTTCTCAAGGTCTGAAGATCCAAGGGATTCTCTACAAATCCACGTGGAGATTTCCAATACCGGTGCGCTGAAGCGGACACGGATTACTGATTGAATGTATTGCATTTGTTGCAATAATGACAAGCCTCCACTCGGTGAATCTGTCGGTCTCGTTGCATTGCACATGTATTCCTGCTGACGATAATATTTCATACTCCAGCCAAACCTCAAACCCCAAGTCATTGTGATCTGGTTGAACCCCAAGAGATTACCTTTGGTCCAAGGCTACTTGTCATAAATCATTATCCCGCGGTTTAGGTGACGTCGGGCGCGAGTGAGCTGCAAGAGCGAAGTCACTAGAAGACAACATGCCGAATACTCAGCTCATTGCAGGAAGTACTTCTTTCATCGAGGTCTCTTGTCCCGATGGGGTCCATAATTTCGTATACCTAGCACCTCCATCGATTTACGCCGCGCATCATGGACTTCTCTCCCCGGCTCACAACGTAACCAAGGCAGTCGAGACCCCGTCATCTCCGCTATAGACACGCACTTCGAGATTTCACGTGTACAATGAAACCGGTAACAGGGATCGATTTGCGGCACCGCCATGGATAATTGATCGATGAGTTGTGCAATGCACAGCTATGAGCTGATGCTGTTCCGACTTCCCTCCCAGAACAGTGAGCGGCCACGAACACGAAGACATCGCAATCGTGATTCATCGTGCGACATTCACAGAGGTCTAATACATTCCTGGCTCTTGAGAGGCTATCTCTACGTTATCAAACCGTTGCCACCGGAGGAATCGTGGTCAGGTCGTTGGGCTCGCATATCCATCCCTTGACCCTTGTGCCAGTGCTTGTGGATCTAAATAGCTGATTCGGACAGAGCCCCGTTAATTTGGAATTTCGCCAAGATTTCTATGATAGTATGTGATACCACACATATGATCCACGTACCTTCATTTATTTTTCATAGATCGAACTCTCCGTTTGCTGCCAGTGCAACGTTGTAGGCCCGTAATGCAAATGTACAGGGATTTCGTAGCAGATTCAGCTCTGAGTCGGGTACTGCCGTGCCAGAGATTTAAATTAGTTTCCCACCCACGTTCGATCAAGGAAACTTTGTAGTCCACAAATATTTCAAGTGTACGTTTGATGTTACTCCAGCAGATCTATTTGCATGGACATGAAACTCAGCGAACTGTTCCACATTCAGGCTGCTTCAAGTTTTTTGGGAAGGAAGTATCTTTGAGATCACAGCTTGAAACTGATGGTATTCGATTTCACAGCCGCCGCAGGATGCCACGATTTCATCCCACAACTTTGATCCGGAAGCTGGACGTCTAGACTCCAGAACATCGTGCTCTCCATGCGGTGCTTACTGCGTATTGACACTTCCGCACGCTTGACGCATGAGAAGCCTTGTTTCCACAAGTTCCAACATTGTTTCATGTGAACATCATCATGCACATTTCCATCTCCTCAGTGCGCAAGGCCTTCCGACCGAACGGCAAACAGCTGTCATGCTCTTCTTTCGAGATGATTCAAGCTGTGATCTCATTTGAAACACTCCCAGGGGATTTGCTCTACCATATTTTCAGTTACCTATCGGTAACGGATATCGTTAGGTTGCAAAGGGTATGATTTTGTTTCGCATTCTGTCACCTGTGGCTTTGTTTGACAGAAATACACAAGGTGTCCAAGACACTTAGGTCGACCGTGCTCCGGGACGCAACCTGGTTTCATATCTACCGTACTTCCTCACGTCCACGTATTCCCGCATTGTTGTCCACCCACTCCGCCAGTTACCTTCAGTCGTGGCTAACTTCAAGTGAGAAG